ATGGATTATTTGCTTTGATTTATCCGAATGAAGCAGCTAAAAAAGTTTACAAGAATGATTTTTAAAGACTGAACTACAAAAAAATCAAAAAGTTTGAGTAGTTATTTTGACTAAGTAATAAAAGAAAAAATTTTCAACAAAATTTTACAGAAATTCAAAAAAAAATTACAATATTTCTAAGTATACTCATTTATTTTTTATTAGAAATAAAAAACAAATGAAAAAAAGTGCCTTAAAAAACTTTAGTCACTTTTCCTATTGATACTATTTTTGCTTCATATCAAATTTAATTATTCTGTCAAAGTTAAAAATAAAAAGATTTTTTCGAATTTGGATATTTTTGAAAATTAGTTAGCAAGAAAATTTCAAAAATTCTATTAATTTGAAAATGTTGCTGTAATTGTTTAATCGCATGAATGATATATCAGTTGAATTGATCAGATTAGAAGATGATGTTATTTAGAATTGATCAACATAAAAGTATCATTGGAATTTATGAAGATATCATTCTATAACTCGTTTCAAAAACAAGCAATAGCCGGATGAAAAATAAAAAATGCTGCATGCAAATATGCGCGCAACAAGTCAGACGACAAATGGCATAAAAATAAGGATAATAATGCAGAAGCCGGAATGCAATAAACTGGGTGTGGCGCATTGCATTGCCAGTTAATCCGTCCGTAATTGAGGCTTGCAGGATTCATTATTGCTCCAACGAACAAGAAAGGAATAAAATTCAAGTAATGATTTTCTAAAAAAAAGAAAAAAAATATTCTTTTTTATATAAAAAAAAAATTTATGTTCTATAAAAAATTTGCATGCAACTTCATAATGAATTTTAACTGTAAGAATTAAAAAAATATATTAAATTAGCAGTAATAAAAAAAGATGGACAAAGAAAAAAGCAAATTTCAATACATATTTGTAATCAAAGTTTCGAATTTTTTCGTATTTTACATAATAATAAAAAAAAAGGCAAAAAAACAAAACGCAAAAAACGAAAAATTTTGGCTAATTTTTCTTCTTGGCAATAATGCAGCAATTTTTTAAAATAGATTTTCTATTTCACTTCTTTATTTATTTATTTTTTCTTTTCTTCTTTCTTTCTATCTTAAATAAATAAAACTTTTAACTGATGGTTAAAAGATAACCTACATAATTTATTGGTTTAATTATGCATGTTAGCATTATTCAAATAGCAAAAAAAGAAGTAAAACACTAAGATAGCATTCGGTAGGATATGTTTATATGCACTAAAGGTAAATTACCCGATAATTACCAACCATCATCGTTATCCGTTACCCATCCATATACAGACGTACACACGCATGCACAAACGAGTAAATATATACATATGCACAAATTATGTGTCATTTCAGTTATGAGGATAATTTAACCAACTTTCCGGGCAGCATTTTTACCCTGTTGGTGTAGAGCACCTATATGATTGTTAGTTTGTCCATCAAATTCATCCAACTAACATCGATCATTAACAATCATTCGTGTCCTTCTCTTCGTCAATGAAATTCTTATCCATTTTCAGATTGATAGCTTTCTTCCGTTTCCTTTTTTTAGGGAAGTGTTCTGATCTCTCTCTCTCTCTTTTTTTTTCTTTATCTATCTCTCTTCTTCTATTTTTTTTCTACATTTGCAGTTTTTCCTTTAATCTTTATTTGTTATTATTATTTAGTTATAGATTATATTGAATAATATTATCATTCGCTTGCAGCAATAATACTTCTCAAGTAATAGTATTTATAGTATGATAACATTTGATACTGTGATAATGAGGAAGGAAAAAAGCAAAAGTGTGATAGGTTGTTGTGATAAGAAAATGATAAAAAGTTGTTTTCATAATTAATTGAAATTATTAAAGTTTTAATTGTGTAATGAGTTAAAGCAATTTAATTGAAAATGCCATTATTTTCTTGCACCCTCAAAGTGTATCATTGAAATAAGCTAAAATCAAATATTGTATCAAATACTAAATGACTCTAGCAAATGTCATCAATTTGTTGGCAAAATGATTTAGAATTTGTAAAATTTGATTGATTTAAAGTTTTTTTCTCTTTTTAAATTTATAAATTTCATTTTTTCTTTTTTTTCCTTTTTTTCATTCATCTTTTTTTACTACACACTTTTTTTTTAATTTCACGAATTTTTTTTGATTCACTTGCTAAAATATTATTGTTTTTCTTTTAGATGGGGCAGTGATCTAAATATGCTTTATAATAAAGAAGAAAAAGAAATTGAAATGAGTGAAAGCCATTTGCTCAATTACTTGAATTTATATTACAAAATAAGTAATGAAGTGATAACACTAGCAAAAGTAAGTGGTATCATTTTTATTTAATACTTATTAATCGATCTGTGAACAAATGACAGAACTTCTAAATATCAGAGAAAAAAATAGTAGAAAATAAAGTAATAATTTAAAAGGAAGAAAAAATGTCGCATATAAGGGTAGTATATAGTAAAAAAAAACATATGAATTGTTACAATTTTTTTGGTAATAACTAAAACTAAGGAATTATTAATTGATCGCAAATTCTTTAAAATTCCACTAAGTAATGTTTGAATTTCAATCTTTAAGAAATTGCAGCAAATGCGTCATTTTAGAAATGTAACACAACATTCAATTCCCAATGAACAATTTGAATTCTGTAAATTTCAGCTAATCAGTATAAGAAATCCATTTCGGATGAATCAATATACTGCTTTAACTTCGAAGAACTGTTATGGAATACGTATTTCTATGAGAATCCGGAATATAACAAAATAGCACGCATAAATTATGCTCAAATTAAACAAATTATATTAATTCGATGAAAAATGGATGTAAATTGAGGGATAAAAAATCGATAAAAGAATTGAGTTTTTGATGGACCGTATCAAGATTTGAAAAGCGGAAAATTTTTATTTCTAAAACTACTCAGAACTCAGATACGAAGGAATCATTCCTGTAAGAATTTCATAATTTTATATATACAGTCATTAAGTTTTTGTGTATTAGCGGCCTTTTGTGAAATAATAGGTAGACTTTATTAAAATAACAGTTTTCAATTAGTAGTATTTTCAAAATAAACTTTTGTCCCTTCATAATCATTTTTTTTTTGCATATTTTAAGTAGTTTGATAAACTTGCTATTATGCTTAAAGTTTTTAGAAGTATCAGGATCTTAAAAGAGATTTTAATGAGATTTGCTAATATATATATATGCAATTGCATTTTTCTAAGTTTCTGTTTGAAATATTTACCATGAAGCGAAGTTCATCTTATAATGCTTAAATTAAATTAAAATAAAGATAATAAATTAATTTATGTAAATAAATTAATAAATTAATTTATGCATATGTTTAAAAATTAGCAGAATAATTTCAATTTCTTGCAAACAAATACTAATCCATATAAGTTATTATTAAATTTGCAGAATGGCAAAATCAGAAATTTTCATTTTTCTTTTTTGATCATTAAAAAAAAATTGCACAACTTTAGATTTTACAAAAACTTGCGATTAGTTTATTTATGCATTTACATATATATATAACTCGTTTATTATTTTAATCATAACAGGAAGCTTTTCATTGATAACATCATATCACTAAAGTGCCTTTTTAATTATTAAATAAAAATTTTCTTTTGTTCAATTTCTTATCAAAGAATTAGTATATATATAATTGGTAAAATTTCTTTCTTTTTTTTTTTGATTCATTTATAACTGAGATCACTCACACATGTAAACAATAAAATATATTTTAAAAAAATGAATTTTTTTCGAAGAATAATTTTAAAATTTTGATTTTCACATACATTTCATATTCCCTAAGTTCACACATTCATGTATCTCTCTGTATGTATGCATGTGTGTATGTGTATGTTCTGTATGCATGCATGGCAGGGTGTTTGCCATCCATGTTGCATATGTGTCTGCATGCAGGCCTGTCCACTAACTCACTTGAACGATGTGCATCGGACTGCATATGTACGCACATATGCCAATATGAAATTATATTTTAAACATTTTTTTTTCATTATTTTTTCTTTTATTATAAAGCTCTAAATATATTTATTCACGTGAATAAACATAACAGTTACGTTTATTATAATACTCTACGTGAACAGTGTTTTGTGCTACATACGTGTGATGTAAGGCTTTATGTTACACGTATTTCATATGACGTCTTTGTCATTTGTTATATATGTATCACGTTTATGAATACTTTCTTACTCTTTATATATGATTTATATCCACGTTTCACATTTGCAGTTCTGCCTTATACACTGCCGTGTTTACTGATGGTCCTTTAACGTCTCATTTTTTTATGTACGCACATATGCCAATACGAAATTATATTTTAAACAGTAGACACATGCCTATATAATCTCTCTATATACAATATTATATACCTCAAACATTTACGTACGTACGTGTATGACAATACGTAAATGTAGTGTAATGCGTATTGCATAATTTATCAAACATTGAAAGTTGAAAAACTAATGTTAGAGACATAAACAGGTAAAAGAGATAAAGTAAACAGATAAAGGGTAAAGGTAAAGATGAATGAATATGAAAGAAAAGCACACATCATTCATACAAAGAGGGTGGTGGAGTAAGACAAATGCGGTAGAATAGATTGGATGAAAAGGTAGGTGTCAAGTCTGACTGAACCAATCACAAATAGGAAAATAATTCAGTGGGCGGTTCTTCACATCCTTCTACCATCTTTCTCTTTCATATTTCCATTTGCTTTTAACCATTCATCTTTCTCTATCAATCCTACTTCTTTCACTATATTTTTTTTTTGAGTAGGGTTAGACGGCATTAGACAATCATATATTTCCATCCCATCTTTTTCAAATCAAATAGGTAAATTTATTATATTAGTCTATATGTTTCCTCTTAGTGTCTGTGTATGTATGTATGTAGTAGAGGACACTGTAGTTGAAGTATATCGAATGAATTGGATGGTTGAATGGGTACAGCAGAACTACTGAAAATGTCTTTTTCCTCTTCTTCATCATTATTGAGGGACAACAATAAGGACGTACCTCCGCAAACGTATCATCAACTATCCTCACAAATTGCCAGTTTAAATTTGCCAATCATTAATAGAAGTTCTTCTGCAGACTTATCAATATCAATAACTGCGACAACAATTGCAACGACAACAACAGCTGCAGCAACAACAGGAGCTATAATTGGTATAGGAACCGAAACTGAAGAAGAAACAATAATTGAAACTGGAATAAATCAAATATTATTACCATCATCATCAATATCATATATGGATATGGATCAAAAACCACCAACATTTCAAGATTATGGTGCAAGAACATCTGTACCACCACCGCCACCACCGCCACCACCACCACAACAACAACAGTCATCACAACAACCACCACCACAACCACAACCGCCACCACCACCACCACCGCCACCACCGCAATCACTTTATAGTGTTGGCCCATCGAACTGTTACAATTCATTACAATCATCAACTAGCATAGCTGGTAGTAGTCATGATTTTACTCGTGGAACTACCGCGCCAATGTCTTCATATTTTTATCAGAATTCATTCCCAACATCAGCATCAGCAGCAGTTGCTGTAGCTGCAGCTGCAACTGTATCCGGTACACCATATGGTACCGGCGCAACCGGTGCCGCTACACATTTCATGTATCATCAACAGTCAGCTAGTTCACCAGAAGGTAATTATGTTATAAAAAGAAAAAAAAAAATAAAAGCTGTCTAATCTACATAATATACCAAACAAAAAAAGGAAAAACACCGAAACAAAAGAAAGAAATGCGATAATCTCTAATTTGCACTATTTATATAAACAAATAATAAAATTATAATAATAATGATAATAATTTGACAAGATGGTTATAAATTATGGAAATTACAGGTAGCCTTTCACTCGTGATGGTAATGATGATGATAATGATGATAATGATGATCATTAGGGTAATTAAGTAATAATGCCTTGGGATCTACCCCTTTTTTCCCTCTCCCGCCTTCCCATTTCATTTCTAGTATGCTTCAGTGTTTTCATTTCTCTCGAATGAGCTGGCTCAGCTCTAAATCTTTCTCGTTCCAATAATTATTGGTTATTTGTTTAAATTATAACCAAGCAAAATCTAACCAACCAATAATCAACGCATTGTTTGCTTTCATGGAGAAAGCTTAATCATTAAAAGTAGAAGTAGGAATAATTTTTTGTATTGTTTGTATATTTCATATTGTTTCTCTTTCCTATCTTAAAAAATCTTTTAAAGTTCTTGTTGAATTCCGTTATCAGAATCATCAAAATTTTATCGTCAGTTGATTGCTATTCTTTCAGTTTAAGTTTAGTTTACACTTTTTTTAATTTGAATTGAAGTTTAATCTTTGAAAATCCATTTAAAATTAATTTTTGAAGTATAAGTAAAAAGCTACTGTATATTATGTTTAAGTGAGTTAGTTATTATCATTATTATTAGTCAGTCTTCATTGGTATCGTAAATTCATCCTTTTTACGCTTTCAAATATTTTGGAATAATTCTCATAAATTTTAATTCAGATTATCAATCATGATTTCTTAATGTACCAAGCGGAAAGGATAAAGTTATCATCTGATAAGAATCTCTAGGATTATAATGAATTAATTATGCGATAACTATCAATAATTTATCAGAAACTGTCAAATTGATTATCTATCAACTAAAAAGTTCCTCGCTGATTGGAAAAATCTCTTTGTTCTAATCTTTTTCTCTTTTTCTCTTTTTCCTTCAAAATATCCTTATCATGAATTTATCACTATCTATCATCAATTAAATATTATTTAAATTGAAAAGTAGTTAAAATAAAATATAAAATGAAAAACATATATTAACTAAGTTGAAAGCCAAAAAATTTTCAGAAGCCCTCATTTTTTCCACAAATTATTTTTCACTCAAAATTTGGCACATTTTCCTTTTTATTTCATTGTATTTATATTTAATAAATTCAATTTCTTTGTTGATATACTGAAAAATTAATAAATCAATCATAAATATTTTATTATTCGAAAGAGCTTTTGTTAGCAAAATTTTTAATTCATTTATTTTTTCTGCCATTTCCATTAGTATTTTAAATTAAGTTAGCTAAAAATGTTACGATTTTTTATAACTATTAGTAAAGATTATATAAATTAATTACCAATTTTGCTTATAATTAAAATTAATAAACTTTTTCTGTAATATTTCTGATTTACTGGGCGTTTTTCATTTCAGAGCATTCAACAAAAATTATCGAAGGTGGTGAAGTTAGGATTAATGGAAAAGGCAAACGTGTACGAAAACCACGAACCATATATACTAGCTTACAATTACAAGAATTACAGAAAAGGTTTCATAAGACGCAGTATTTGGCATTACCGGAAAGAGCCGAACTTGCTTCCAGACTGGGACTTACGCAAACACAGGTACGGAATTAAAATTTAATGACAAATTTATTCTCTGTTAAATATTTGTTAATTTATGTAAAATATAACAATGAGATGGTGATTGATATTATAAATAAAGCTAATTAATCATTGCTTTGACGCATTAATAACCACTTTTATATCAAGAAATCAATTAATTTCCAATTTATACAATTCATTCTGCAGTTCTTTTTAAAATTTTGCGCAGTTAATTAGCAACTAGTGGACTGCAATTCAATTAAATTTCAGTTGTTTCATTTATTCAAAGTTAAATTAAAGGATTGTTTATCTGGAACTTAATATTCATTATTTCAGTTTTCTTTTTTTTCTTTGAAACTTGCTATTGTACACTTTTTTCACTTTTGTTCCAAAAAAAGTCGATCAGTTAAATTTCTTTTGATTTGATTAATTTTGAATTCTTTTCAAATTCTATGTCTCACTTTGATTATAACAATTTTTTCGAGTATAAAATATCCTATTTGATTTAAAATTAACTGATCAAACAAACTTTGATTATTCATTGACACAATCTATTTATTGCATTTACCCTTAAAATTGATTTAAATGAGACTGATTTAAAGAGATCAGACTTATTTTTAACTTTAAGGTTTAAATCACATAACTGATGCTAAGCTTAAATGAAATTAAATCATTTTAACTTTATCGAAGCTTAGCTAAGCTCTCTAATCCTTGAATCCATCCGGATTATCCTTGATTCAGCTAAACTTGCTACGGTTTATCTCTCACGTTTTATATTCACTACTCAATCCACGTTTCAAAATTTTGATGAATTGGAATCAATAAACTACCTAAATTTCTTTCCCTCCTTTTACATATATTTCATTTCCACACGTACAGACATATTCATATTCACATCACTTATTTTTTTCTTTTTAATTTACTAGAAATTTTCAATTTCCATTTAATTTATTTTAGAAAAATCAATTATTTCAGACACTTCTTTGCTTATTTTTTTTGCAAAAGAACATCAAAATTTTATTTCATTTTTTTTTTTTTTTTTGAACTTTTAATCAATCGAAATTATTATGCATGCTTACGGTGACAGAAAAAATGTAAAATAATAAATCAACTTTTTTCAACTATGAAAGTTATATGTCTTAGTATTGTTATAGCTGTTTGAATTTCAAGTTACTTAACAAAGCTATTCAAAATTTTATAATTTTGAAACTTTTAAATTTGCTATGGATTGTAAATCCACCTAATTTCGACAATGCTATTTTCTATCATAAACAATTTATCATTAAATACTTATTAATACTTGTTGCATTCATTTTTATTTTAAAAAAAATAAAATTTTAGTCTTATCAATTTGTCAACAAATTTAATCCTTTTTTGAGACAAAGAGAATTTCTAAATTTCTATTGAACATTTCGAATTACTTTACCACAAATAAATTTGACAAAAATATAAATAGATTCTATTGGTTGATTTATTTATTTTCTTTCTTTTTTCCTCTATATTAAAATTTTTCTTTCTACCCGAAAAATTTCGGAGAAAAAATATTGATACATTTTTTTTTTTTGTTAACTTATTCTATTATTCCGGTTGCACAAGAAAAATGACTGTTTAATCCGGTTATAATATCGATATATTCATTATTTTTTTGGCTATCTGTTCGTAATTATCTTTTGCTTCTTTTTTTTTTTAAAAAAAAAAAAGGAAAAGAAAGAAAATATAACACTCATCGTTTTCACGTTTCTGCAAAACATATCATATGAATCTTACTTAAACTATTTCTTTTGTATTATTTTCTAAATTCTTCCTATTTTTTCCTGTTTTTTAAAATATTTTTGATTGGGTAAAAATTGTTGGGCAAAAAAAAGCAGAATAGAGTGAAAATTAGGAAAATAGAAGTGAAAAAGTCAAAAATTACTGATTATGACAAACAAATGATGAGATATCAAGAATATCATGATAAACAAATGATAGAGATATCAAGAATATCATGATAAACAAATGATAGAGATATCAAGAATATCATGATAAACAAATGATAGAGATATCAAGAATATCATGATAAACAAATGATAGAGATATCAAGAATATCATGATAAACAAATGATAGAGATATCAAGAATATCATGATAAACAAATGATAGAGATATCAAGAATATCATGATAAACAAATGATAGAGATATCAAGAATATCATGATAAACAAATGATAAGGGTGCCATTATCATATCACCTCTTTTCTTCATCCCTAACTAGTCAATCAGTCATTCAATGCATCATTCCTATCCATTCATTCATATTCACTCAATCACTATTTCATTGTCTTTTGCTTCTCTCCTCTCTTCATCATTTCTATACTCTTCCTTCTCTTTTCTCTTCCCTTTTCTCTCTCTCCCTCTCAATAAGTATTCTCACCATCATTAACAACAGCCAATATTACGGTAGAAGAAAGAAAGAGAACAGGAAAGGCATAGAGAGAAAGAGAGAGAGAGATGAGAAATAGTCGATAGAATGAGTTTTCGTTTCTTTTCAAAAAAAGAAAACTTCGTGAATAATTTTTGGAAAGGGACCAGTTTTATTGGTAACTTTTTTGTTTCCTTTATTTATTTATTATAAATATAAATTATTCGTATATCTGAAAAAGCAAAAAGAAAATCGAAAAGTTAAAACTATAATTTTATGACATTAAAACTAAAAAAAATTTAAATAGTATTGAAATTTTCGTAAAAATTTTAGTAATTTATTATTATTATTATTATTACAAGGAAATACTTCCAATCAGTTTTGTTTAATCCAAATTTACTGATAGTTTTTTTTTTTTTTTTGAAAAAAGGTAAAAATTAGGTAAGAATATTTGAACATCAAGAATGTATTATATTTTCAGGATAAGTTTCGGGATAGTTTCATATTAGATTCATTTGCTTCGCTCTTGTTATCTAACTCAAAAATTGCAATCTTAAAATTGTCATTAGCCAGTTGGAAGATTGATGGAGACTAAATAAAGCTGACAGGACTTTTCGGCATAATTTCATCTAAACTTCCGCTTTACCATTTCCTGATATTATCCCAGTAAGATATCACATCACTCAAATCGATAACTGTCTAATTATAAGATTATATATATAAGTAACGGAGGCATTATACAGTTCTAAATGATAACGGAAAATTTACTTATAACATTAAATTAGATTTTCAAATTTGAATTCAACCTTTCTTGAAACTTTGTAAAGCTTACTGATTGTTTGACAAATTTCATTATAAACTTATTCCATGCAAATCTTTGTTATCTATTACATCTATTTGATAAGTTATTAAAATATTACTCTTTTCGGATTAACAAATCTTATTGACAGGGGTAGTTCACAGTATTGTCACAGTTGTTATTACTGATGAACATACTCAGACGGATTACTTTGATGTATAAAGTCGGAAACTTATCTCTAAGATTCCTGGTTGTACACTAAGATTACAATCCAAAATATTTTTGTAATGCTAATGGTAAAATCTCTTAGCCAAAAATTTTACCATCTTGAAGTTTGAAACTATATAGACGCATTAAAAATTTTAGATTTCTAAAATAAGCTTTTAAACTTTATTACAATGAAACAGAATTTTTCAATTTATTTCATTATTTCAAAGAATAAACTTATCCAAATTTATTATCGCATTGCTAAATATTAAAGTGTCGATTGAAATTAATTAGTTAACTACTTCATTGCTAATTGTTATTTGGACAGTTCTTGAAAAGCAATCAGTAATTCCCACATGTAACTAATAGATATGAAAATTGTTTGTCATTTATTATATAATATCCATTTTTTGATCATTGTTTTTCTTTCTTTTTTCACAGCTCTTTCTATTTAACTTTGCATCGAAAAAAACATTCTACAGGAATATATTTCAAATTGTCCACAAAAAGAGTTTTGAAAAACTGATACAATGAAATAATTTAGTTCAGTGCTTACATTTGTCTCAAAAGAGATGAAAAAAAAAATGATGCAATGGAATAATTTCTAATATCTTTTTTAAAAAGCTACCAAAAAAAGATTGGATTAAAAAAAAAAAAAGGAAGGAAAAAAGATAGCAGGGATAAGAAGAATGAATGAATGGAGGGAAAAATGAAAGCAACAAAAAAAGCTTCCGTAAGCCGGAACGGAATATCTTAATCAGTGGTTATACATGGTAGCAGATGTATTGTATATTACTTATGATGGCGTTATCTTTGAAACAAAAGAAAGAAAAAAACCTCTCTCTCTGTTCCTGCACACCTGTTATTGTAAAATGATAGTAAGGTAAAAACAGGGAGCATGAGAGAGGGAGAGGAAGGAAAAATGAGATTGAGGAAGAGCAAAAAAAAATGGATAAAGCTAACCAATTATGGCACAATAATATCGTATCAGTATCTATCTCACCTGTTGCTTTCAAAATATATCTTATCTCTAATATATCTGATCGTTTCTACCAATGCAAGAAAAGGAAAGCAAAAATAAATGAAATAAATAAAATTTAAATAAAACGAAAAATTTGAATAAAATTTTGAGATTTTGAAGAAATTGTTAAATTTTTAGTAAATGAATTCTTAAATGAAATAAGCAAGAATTGCATAGAATATATTTATATATGCTTAATATTAGAGAAAGAGAAATATCAGTATCGTCATTTAAGAAGAAATAGTTTTTAGAAATAATTCATTTATTATATGCAATTTTAACTCGCTATTGCATTGCTATTCTCATTTCTTTTCATCCATATTTGAATGTGAGGATCAAATTCAGTGGGTCAAAGGTCAGCCGGTTTTATTGATTAGGTCGTTTTGATTCTTTCATCTTACACCTTTCTGTCGTTTTGATGCATCATAATTTTTCCAATTTTCATTTTAAATTCTATTTTTTTTTTTTCGGCTTTCTTTTTTGCATCTGATCAAAGTGATGATGAGAGGTACGGTAGTTATCGTCCGCTCTTCATCTATTATACATTTCTGGGAAGGTTGATGGGTATATCCGGAAAGGAAGTTGTGATGTGTGTGTATGTGTATGCATGTATGTTTGTATGTAGATGAATAGATCAATCAAATGGATTAACTATTCATCCCCTTCCTCCCCAATATGTATTCTCTTGTCAAATTTATTCAGTCCATTTCAATAAAAAATAAATAATTACTCATATAATGAGTTAAGTAATTGACGAATAATTGATTAATTGAATAACTTCAACGATTCAGTTAATTCTAGTGATTAATCAGTTAATTGGAAATGAATAAAGCTTGTTTAATTGGTTATCATTTATTTAATTAATATTCTTTCTCTTTCTTTTTCACTTTCTTCTTGTAATGAAAAAGCTTTGATTTTTGCTTTAAAAAAACCAACAAATATGATTGTGCTTTTTTCACTTTTTTTGTCATATCAAGTTAATTTCAACTTCACTGTACTTTTTTTTTCTTTATTGAATTTTTGAAATGAATAATAAAAAAGAGTTAGTTGCTCCCTTTTTCTCTTTTTTCTTTTTTCATTCCTGATTGCTGTACTTCACGGCTACCGTAATACTTTTGTCAGATGCCATTACGGAAAAGAGAAAAATGAATGGTACTATTAGTAGTACGCTCACTCATTTTTTCTTTTAAATTTCAATTGGTTTTTTTTTTTCAATTTTTTATCCTGAATATAACAAAGCTGAGAAAATTAAGATTTTTCTTTAAAAATTTTTAGATAAATTACATTAAAATAAATAATTTTGATAAATTTTATTGAAAAGTATTATGTTATGAAAAACTAAAATCTAAAGCAAAAAAAAAGAACAATTTTTAATAACTTATGTCATTATCTAGTCTAGAAAATTGAAATTGAAGTCTTTTCTATTTATTTGATATGAATTATAATTTGTGATTTGTTGGTTTAATGAGTTAAGAAAAATAGAGGAATTTAGCTTGTGAAAAAGAAAAAGGTTGAGAATAGGAATAGTTTGAATAAAATCTAATAATAGTGTCAACTACGAAAAAAATTTCATTAGCTTGATTGCAAAGTTTTTTCAATTTTTCAAACAGTTTTACCTAAAAGTTTGATTTTAGGTAAAAATATGGTTTCAAAATCGTCGTTCAAAGCATAAAAAGATGTCCAAGAATGGATTTAGCAGTGATCGACAGGGAACTGATGATGAGGAAGGTGAAGAGGAAGAAAGTAGCTCAGTTGATGGGACAATAGCTTCACCTGCTCAACAACAACAACAACAACAGCAACATCAACATCAACAACAACAACAGCAGCAACAGCATCATCATCAACAACAACAACAACAGCATCAACAACAACAGGGTACCACATCACCGGTATTAGAAGGTGGCTGGCCACCATTACATCTTGGTACACATCATGGTGTCACAAGTGGTCCACTATCACACATGTCACCAGCATCACTGCATCAATTACCACATCAACAACCTACCCAGTTACCTCCTTTTGAAAAATATTGCGAACAGGTTGACGTGAAACCTTATGTTTATGATCCAATGGCGGGCTATCAATGGCAACAACCTAACAGTTATATGCCACCTAATTATTATAGTAGCATATGAAAATTTATTATGTTTGTCATTTGCATCAGTAAAAATAGTTTATATTTTTTTCGTGGTAAATATGTTTTTGTGTGTGTACAGAGTTATAATTATTTTTAATTAAAATTTATATGCATTTTAGTGCTATTGTATGAGATGAAATTAGAAGATGAATTAAAATTTAGTCATTTGATTGAAGAAAAAAATTAATTGACTTATTTTAATTTTATTGTTTTTCATTATTTAAAAATAATAATAATATTAATAATTTATAAGCTTTAAACATTGCATGAAAAATGCTGAATGAGAATGGGGAAAACATATTTCTGTTTGATGTTACTTTAAAGAGGAATCAAATCACACCTCAACTAATTTTTAATTTCTTTTCTTTCTCTTTTGCTTTATTTTGTTTCGGAAATTTTGTTGCAGACATGAGATAAATGATTTCAAGACTTGTTATTTTACAATAATTTCAACACGTTAGAAACGGAGAATTTATTTATTTAGAGTAATTTTTTTTTTCATTTTTTTTTTAACTAAAACTTTTCATCTAACTAGAATTTGACTTGGCAAATATTTAAACAATATCTTAGTTTTTTTTTTAGCATATTACTGGATTAAAAATTTTCTGTCAAGAGTATTACTAATAAATAAAGCAGAAAAATGAGAAATAAAAATTACACTAACTTTTCAAATTCATTCATTTTAATGAACAAGTTACGAATTAGTAATTTTCGAGATTTCTATAGCCACATTTTGAGAAAGAAAATTCATTCATTACTATTCGTGAATGTCTGAAATTATTTGAGGCAAATAATTTACAATAGTAATGATGACTATGGTAGTGACAATAACAATAATGATAATAGTGATGATGACAATAGTAATAATGGTAATAGTGATGAAAATAATGATGATGATGGTGACAACGATCACTGACCGTAACTATCGCATCATAAATGTATGTGTGCAAAGGTATTCAGACGCTTTTAAATTCTATCAGCAATTAAAAGACGAATTTAATGGTTACATCTAGCACGAAGTAATCGAAATTTTCAATAAAACCGAATCGATAACGACTGGTAACAATAGTGAGGGACACTGACAGTATAATAGTACAATGATATGGTGATAGTGAAAATGATGACGATGAAGGATGAAATCGACTGATCCACTACATACAATAAAATGCAATATGAATGATCCATTATTATTCATTCATGCCAATTATTACTTATTATTGACCATTCTATTTCAGGGAGCTATGAGTAAGTATATTGAAATACTATTTATAGGTACGTCTTTTTATTTATCTCTTCTTAATCCTTCCATCACTCAGCTCACTCCTTCTAATCTGTACAATATTTTACATTTCAATCTTTATTTTGCAAATAGTACGACTTGCAAAAAAAAAAAAAAAAAAAAAAAAAAACAGAATTAAATTCAAATAGCAAAAATAGACGAAATAATTGTTGTTTGGTAAAGAATTTGTTAGCATTGATGACAGAATTTTCATTTCTTTTATGAAATAAAAAAGAAGTGAAATAAAATCTAACCTGATAAAACCAATAAATTAAAAGATTTTCCATTATTCTGCATAACTCTGTCCTTTGTAAAAAGTAAAAAGTAAGTATTAGACAAAGTGTAATATCAATCAAATTGTCGCAACTTACTAAAACTTTAATTGCAAATCCTATTGAAATTGGGATTATTAAAAAACATTTCAAGTAATATTTTATCTATCAAAGTTATAATTTAAAAAAGCACTGTATTTATTGAAATACTGGTTATGGGGTAGTTAAGAGGAAAAATGAATTGAAATAATTAAAAAGGAAAAGAATGGAACTGTTAAAACTGTAAAGTGAAAATGGTAAGAGCAGACATGTATTTGCTTAGTTACCTTTAGAAAATATACAAAAACTGAAAGGTCTCATTTCAGATTCAAATTCAGTAGTGCTTGATATACTATTCATCGGAGAAATGAACATGTAATTTTAGGGTTTCAATTTTTATTTGATAATTCTTTTTCTCCTCGGCAATCAAATTTATATTTGTTGTCTGATAATGGATCATAAAGGTGCAATAAAAGTTAACGATACCTGTATAAAATATGTTGTAAAAAAAGAAGGTATTATGATTGTTATTAAATTATGGTAAATTAAAAAAAATATTTTGGCAACAAATTTCTGACTGCAATCATTTTATGATAATTTAATAGTGACACTGTTTTGTAGGTAAAAATTTTGATAACTTTTTTAATAAAACTTTTCTTGAAAATTTTTTGATAAAAATTTTGATAATAATTTTTTTTTTTGGTAAAATTTTAACAAAAATATGAAAAGAATATTGCTTAAATTTTACGATATAAAGATGAAAAGTTAACTTGGAGAATGAATAAGTTTTTCTTGCTGAGAGATTATGTGCGCTTGCCGTCTGGTTATTTAGCAAACGAATGAACTGAATTATTAAATGCTGTGATAGGACTGATTGCTTAACACTGATAATTATACAAGAAGGAACTTTGATAACAAAGGGTGATTTGACAGAGATACCAAAATTTTTAAAAAAAAAAAAAAAAAAAAGAACCAAACAAAAATTTCATCGCATAAAATCGAAAAGGAAAGCTAATGCCGCTTACAAAGCATGGAGAATTTACAGAAATGGAAAATTGAAATTTTGAAATGTTAATGACAGATTTAAACAGAAAATTGTAACTGAATTTATTCCAATTCATTAAAATTTTCCTATGAAATAAACTGAATTGCAGAATCAGAAATAGGATTTAATAGGAAATGAATAAGAATGTGAAAATTGCGATCGTTCGATTTCTATTCGAGTTTTATGCACGTCTGCTTTTATTTCAATTTAGTTGATCAGAGAGATTAAAAGAACTTTTGTGATTCATTGATTAATTTATTCATTCCATTCCGGTGACTGAATTCTGAAATTTCAAAATAAATGGAGTGATAGAAATTTTTAAATGTATGAACTTGTTGAATTAAATTTGCATTTTATTGCCTTAAAAATATGCGAACAAATATGACAAACTTTTCATTCATTCATTGAAAATGTCAAACGAACGAATGGACGAAAGGAAATATTTGATGGCTGAAAAGGAACAGTAAACGCTAATTCCCATGCCGAAAATTTTCCCAAGCCAAAGGCAAGTTTTAATTTTGATGACACTGAGAGAAATGACATTTTTTTCAAGAAGCACAAATAACTTCTCTCTTCTCTACCATTGCGTCTTATTCCGTTTCGTTCCGTCAATTGACGCTCCATCATTTGCACTTAATTTTTCCACTGCATTCACAATTTATTGTTATTATTATTATTATTGCAATGTGAGAGTGAAATGAATTCGACGTGCATTGCATTACTTCAAAATAACATTTAATTGATGGCATTGAAATTAATCGAAATTTTTCATCAAATAAAGAGAACAAATTAGGAACAAATATTATACTAATAGTAAAAAAATATTTTTTAAAAATAATTTTCTGAAATAAAATAAAAAAAAAAAGTTAATTTACTAGTTAATCTTTTTTTAGATTAAAATAGCAAACAAATTTTTCCAATGATTACTAAATCTTTACACAGCTGTTTTCTTCTCTTCTCTTCTCTACCTTCATTCTTTTTTTGCGCCATTTTCTATAAGTATTGCTGCTACTGAACAGGTGTATTCATCATTCATACAAACAACATTTTCATCCATTTCAAAATTATAATCACAGCAAAATTTGTTAAATAAACAATCAGTTATTGTTGAAGTAAAAAGAATTTATTTAAAAAGCTCATCGTTACGATTATTTTTAGCATATGCAACCATATTTGTTGTTCCTTTCCTTTTTTTTTTCGTTTTTTTGAATTTATTTAAATTCGGTAATTGAAAAGTAATTGTTTTCATTCCATTCCTTTTTCAGTTTATCATAATGGAGTAAAATATTTAAATGCCTGTAATATAACACTTTTTATTTTTAGATTTATTCATTATTCAAACATTTTGCAAAAATGTTTTGGATTAGTTTGGGATTGGAATTGAATGTAACATATGAATATTTGATATACAAATTTTACCAATATATTGTCATCTTAACTATCTTGGTGACATATATTTCGATGTCAATTCTGAAATATCATCAATATTCTTCGAAATATAAATCAGCTAATTGCAAATCAAGCATGATTAAATCTGTACAACCAACTACTGATAATGTTGAAATTACTGAAAGTGTATTTTCAACTGATAGAAATAGCAAAAACGATAATATAAACAGGTAAAATTGCACGATTTTAATTTAAATCCTAGTTTTAAAAATCAAATTTCAATATATTTTACTTTTAAATTGAATCATACTTATATCTGTGTGAGTGATCATTCATCATATTAAGCACTCAAATTACAAATTGAAATTATAAATTAGAATTAAAAAATCTATTAATTATTCTTTAATTTAATTTTAAATGGATTTAGCATTTTCAGGCTTAATTAATTTCTACATCTACAACTGATTCATAATTCAGTAACATGCCAAAAATGAGCATTGATATCCGATTATCAAAATATTTTTTTGAAAGCTTCAAAAATTCACTGATTTTTTCGTTACCTTTGTAATGTTACAATTTTATTTAAAATTTGGATTAACCACATTTCTATTTATTTATTTATTTATTTTCTCATTGAAATTAAAACAATTACTAAAACTATACCATTTTGTCGTTAAATTTCCAATTTAATTGAAAATTAATTTTGCTATTAGCTAATTAATTAATTAGCTCTATGTTATCAATTGACAAACAGCTAAATATAACTTTAACTTAACATGCATATATGAGATTTTGATGGAATTTTTTTCTTTTTGGAATGGAAATGAAATAAAATTTGTAACAGAAATAATAGCATATAAATTTTTATATAAAAATATCGATAACATTAAGATTAAACAAACAATGAGTATAGGTAATTTTGGTAATACATAAATGCTAATTAATTTAATTAATTATCTTAAACTAATTTCATTCCACGTCTTTTTTTGTATCACTGATAAGTGTATGAGCATAATCAATATCAATTGATGTATCACATTTTTCATCCTTTAACAGTTGGAATATAACATTTCGTATTGGCATCGAAATCAATATATCCAATAAAAATGCTACAAAATTTGATAGAATAATCGTTCCAATAGCAATATTAAGCTATAAATTTATATGAATTAAATTTGAAACAAATTTAAATTTGATTGTAAAAAAATTTATATAATTACATTCATAAAAATAAGAGAAAATTATAATAAAATCATAATTAGTGTCATATAATTTATACTAAATAAGACGATAATATGTATAACTTACATTGTAATTCATTTTGATATCCTTATCAGTATGATTATATTTTTTTTAGTACAAATTTTGTTTTAAATTTGAACTTACCAAAGACCATACAGTGGCATGTAATGGTCGATGTAATGATGAGAAAAGATATAATGATACAGGTTCCGAAATTAAAAATACCACAAAAACATTTTTAGCAAATGGTGAAAATACTCGCCATTCAAGAAATTGCAAAAGTCTACCTGAAATTTTTAGCAATATTTTTTTTTTCTTTTTTCCTAGAAAAAAATGAAAGAATATGTAAATATATGTGATAATAGTTTTAGCAATGATTTATAGAACAAATACACACATAAACTAAATATAAAAATATTTTAAAAAAAAGTCAATAAGTGAAATAAACATCTATAAATAACATACGTGTTAATAACTAAACAAAAGTTTTTCTTTTTACTTATAATAACTATGTAAAATAAATAAATATCTTACCAATGTTACGATTTTGATAACGTAAATAAATTAATGAACAAATAATAAACGACCAAAGTGGTCGATGAAGTGCCGAATATGCAGCAAGGAAAATCTGTGGAACTGAAGTTCCGATTGCATACGGATAGAGACCAAAAATGACAAATATACCAAATAAGAAAAGTATCAATGGTGCAAGCAATAATAATTTCTAAAATTTCACTTTTTTTTTTCTATCTTTTAAAATATATTTGTGTTCTAAGCCTTATTTATTATTTTTAATGGATATTTTTGTATCACTTTTATGGTTATTACTTATAAGGCTTATTTATTATAATTATGTTACATTGGTTTTGTTATAACAATAAGAATTATTTATTATGATTATGTTATATTTGCATTTGCATTGTTATAAGAATAAAGATTATTCACTGCAACTGTGTTATATTTGTTTTGCTGCAACAGTAGGGCTTATTTGTTATGATTATGCCATATTTGTATTACTCTAACAATAAAGATTATTTATTGTGCTCATGTTATGTTTACATTGCTATAAGAAAAAATATTATTGATTGTGATTCTGTTATGTTTTATAATACTGCAATAATGAAGATTACTGATTGTGACTGTAATATTTGCATTGCTATGACAATAAAGTTTATTCATTCTGATTAGTTCTTGTTTAAATAACTAAATATTAAGTTGTGTTATTATCTATTATATATTGCATATAATAATTAATTTCAGTTACTAAAAAAAATATATTTAAAAAAATATAATATACTAAAAAAAAAAATATATATACTATTAAAAATGAGATCGTTAGTTATATGTTTACTGTTGTAAATTTATAAAAATTCATAAATTTATTTAAATTTGTCAAAAAATTTACATTACTGATTGATGATTCGCCAGTAAATAGAAAAGAAAAAAGAAAACCGATAAGAAATGCTGGTGCACGAGCCCATGGTTTTGTGTACAGCAAATCAATGTATGTATCATAAATTTCAGGACTGAAATTTTCTGAGGAAAAAAAGAACAAAAAATTAATCATATTTAGAAAAAAAAATTGAAAAAAAAAAGATACTAATTAAAAATGAAATTATTAAATAAATTAAAAGAAAAAATATAGACAAATCGTTAAAAAAAAATTAATGATTTTCATTTTCGAATATATCACAAAATTTAAAAATTTTCAAATTAAAGCTTTTTCATCTCCTTTAAAAAAATTTATTTAAAAAAAAATTTCAGTTTCAGAAATTATTTATTAAAAAAAAAAACAAAATATTTCGAAGCTTACGATATTGGATTAGCTGTGAGCAATAAAGTTGGTGACAGCTTAGTAGTTGACATTTCATAAAATGTATAAATAATGGAAGCTAACAAGCTTGACACAGCAATAGCTAATACCGTTGTATAATAGCGCTTGGATATGAAAAGCATTGGTAGAAGAAGTAGGAAGAATTGTACTATCAAGGAATACAGATAACTTCCATCTAAGCACTACAATTATCATTTAATTAATCAAATACAGCATATCAATGCATTAATTATTATTTGATTATTTCCATCACCTAATCATTTTATAATTTTTTTTTCATGATATTTTAAAAAACCAATCAATAATTAATATCAACAATATTGTTATTGTTAATTAATTAAGTAGCTAAGTAGTAATTAATAAGGCTATTATCTTATCAATAGTTTTCTCATTATTTTTATCATTAACTTGTTTTCAAAGTTTCTCAATGATCATTTCATTAGTAATTCTTAAATTAATTGAATGAATAATTTGACGAATTTTTTAGCAGATTTTGAATAAAAAAGAAAAAAAAAACAGTATTTTTTAAATGTTGAATAAGTTCTTATAAAAAGATTAGATGAAAAAAGTTAAAAATATTTTAGAACAAAAAAAAAAAATCAATTTGTCTTTATTTAATTTATTATTAATTTTGCTAATCAGCAGCTTTATTTAAAATTTTTTTATACTGGAGCATCAATATCTTTAAAATATTACTATAACGAGTTTGACTTTCCAAAAATTAGTATTAACTAATTTGATAAAAATTTAATAAAATTTGGTGTCTTATTTGGAGCCGATTTTTTTAAAATAATAAATGACTAAATGATATTTGCTGAATTACTAATAAAATAATATGAAAGAGATTCGTGAAAGCAAAATTTAAAGAAGTTTCAAAAGTTTTAAATTTGAAAATTTGTTTAAAAAAAATAGTACCGTTTGATGAGATGAAAAAAAATTATTGATAAATAAAATATTTTTCCACCACGAATGTTTGCAACGTGCGATCAAATCATCATGCATCCATATTGGTCCAGACGACAAACGTTCATATAGGAATGTCATAAATAGAATTATGAATGTAAATACTGGAAGTATCCTAAAATGTGCATCTCTAAACGTGAAATACGTGGACTGTAATTAATATAATAATAAATAATAAACTAGCATAATTGATTAGTTAATTTGTGATATTTTCTCTTTTGATTATAATATGACAAATAAAGCGTATACTTACTTAAGTTACTTTAAAATACAATCTAAACAATATTTGCCTCAAGTTACTAAATAAAATTATTAAATATAAGTAAATTTGTGAAATATGTTGAATAATGAAAAGATTATATAAAAACTTATACAAATGCATTAATTTGCTGAGAAAGAAGAAAAATCTTAATTGATTAATTTATGAGTGAAAAGTGTAATGTTAATAATAATAAATAATAGTAGTAATAACAATGATAATACTAATAATAAATTAAATTTATGACATAATGAAAAACAGTTCTAACTAATTTAATTTGTAATTTTTAATGTAACAATTTAAAAGTTTTCCTTAAAGAGCCATAAAAATATTAAAAATTCAGTACAAACTGTAGTAGGCGATTAAAATAGAGTTTTTTGATATTGTCGGTTGTTTCAAGTATATGTTGAACTAATAATGATGAAAGTAAAGTATCGATAGCAATTAAACCATCAATATGATAAGTAAAATTATTTAGTGGATGAAGTTGCCAGCTATAGACACTTTCGTATGAGAATAAAACATTTTCTGAAATTCTGCTTCTTTTATTTAAATTTCGAGAGAAAAAACTCAATTTTAAAGATATTATTATTATTCATTTTTTTTTTTATTTTTTAAACAAGAAATTCAAAAAAAATGTAGGGTAAGTTTTTGAAGTACTTGAAGATTAATGAAATATTATCATTGCATGCTATAAGAAATTGCCGAGGTTTATAAATATATGTAAAGCCAATATTTGCAAAGTTATGAAAACTAATTATTTAAAAAAAAAAAAGTAAGTTAAGAAATACGAATATAAGTAAGTCAAAATTTGTATAAACAGATGAAAATTTTGTAAATATAAGTAAGCTAGTAACCATAAATGTAAATAAGCTAAGGTTAAGACAAATAATATAAATCTATGCAAGCAAAGATTTGTAAAAACAAACTGCTGGGATATTCATAAATATAAGTAATAGAAATAAAAATTCATAAATAAAAAAATAAGCCCAAATTTAATCATTGTTAAGCAATCACAGTAATAAACAATAATAGTGATAATAATAATAATAGTAATAATAATGACAGTGATAGTAAAGTTAATAAAGTTAAACACGTTTTCCTCTCATTCAAATTAGTTTTTTCAAAATGTAATTAAAACTGAAATCCAATAAAAAATTTTACACTTTAAACTGTTTATTCAATAGAAAAGGAGAAAAAGTAATTAAAAATGAATATACCAATATACGGTAGAATGTAGATGAAACAATTAGCTGTGATAACAACTGATACAGTGATAACTTGTAAGCCCTGAATAGAATGATAATTATGTGAACGCTTGGTACTTAATGCTATATTGCCATTTCGTGGAATTGATAAGCATTGAGCAATTGCCTGAAAAAATTTCTAATTTTTAATTATTATATTTTTTTAATTAACTTTCCTTAGCACTACGTATATAATAAGTTGAAAGATATTGCTGATAAATGAAGAAAAAAAAATATGTAATTAGCAATTTTTTTTAAAAAATGAATTGAAAAGGAAGCAGAAAATAAATGTAAATAACAATAAAATTTAGAAGTAGAATTCATACTTTAAATTTTTTATTTGAAAAAAATTTCCAATCATATACATCGATAAAAGTACCAATAAACAAAAAACACAACCAAAAAATGATCGTAATTCTGAAAATAATCATATCACAATGATAATAACTTAGATGATTTGATTAGAAATGTGATAAATGATATGAATTATTGATTTTTTTCTTCACTTTCTTTTTTCGTTGTGTTAATTTACTTAAATTATAAGTATAATTCACAATTTCTTATTTACTTTACTGATAATATGAAATTGAATAATTATATAAATTCTTCATACTTTTGTGATAATGAAAAAAAAAAAACTTCTTTTCAAGAAGCTAAAAAAATTTTGTCACAATTTATTCTAATGCTAGCACAATTAAAGTATATTCCAATTATTTTTTTTTTTTTCATCATTATGGGAAAAAACTTGGGCAAATAAAGTTAGAGAGAAAATAGATAATCAATCGACAGCTTTTTCCTAATTCAAAATTTCAATTATAAAATTTTGATATTGCAAAAAAAAAATAAAAGCAGTAATGTTCCTCCATTGAGTTTTTAATTAAAAGATTAATTTTGCAATTCTGAATTCAATAATTAAAATTATCGTAAAAAATGAATTTTCACTGCTGTAAAATAATTCTCCAATAATGTTTCAAGTTAAAAAAAAAAATTAAAACAGAAAAAGTTAAAAATTTTTGGATTAAGAAATTACTGGAAAAATATGATAATTTCAGATTTTTTTAATGATGGATTCATATATAAATATTATAATGAAATTGAAAGAAATTTTTAAATTAAAGGAATATAAAATTTAGTTACAAATCTTAAAAAAAAATTAATTTTTATAAAGAAGTTGAGATTCTTCGAGTGTTAAAGATTAATTTTTTTGTTTTTTTTTTTTTTTTTGAACGGCAAAGAAAGAGCGAACTTACAAAAAAATTTGTGAAGAAAGTGGCCAATGAAGAGGTGTTTCACATTCTGCACTTGTCGCATATGGTGTCACCACTAAATTCTTTTTGATTACATGAAAATAAAAAATCTTCCAATAAATTTTAACAAATATTTTTTTTTTTATAATTTATTTTAATAATAAAGACTCACTTAAAAAAAAAAATAAAAAATGTTTCGAAGAAAAAAGGAACATAAAATTTTTTAAAAATGTAGGATAATTCAGATGTTAAATTAATTAATATTAAATTACTGAAAATTTTTGAACATTTATCAAATTTGCTAATTTACTTTGAGCTAGTTGAGTAATTTCTTGTGGTGTACACATTGATGGAGCGCATAATCCTACATGAATATTAAGACTATTCGACTGTGGACAGTATCGATACACTTCCGGAATTTCCAAAACAACCCGACAGTATCGACCATCAAACGCGTTTGTTCTAAATTTTACAGCAATAAAGGAAAATGTTGGCTCAATTAATTAAAGAATAAAAAACAAAAAAATCTATTTAATAGTAATAAAGCTTAGAATAAGATTTCAATATGGACTAGTAAGGCTAAGTTTAGTGATATGATTATGTTTTAAAATAACTAAAATTAATGATAAATATATTCTTAATATCTGTAAGCCCTATGATACGAGTATTTTTTATATATTTAAGCCTAGTGACATAATTATATTTTAATAAGTCCAAGTCTAAAATAAAGGTATTCTTAATAGCACTACTGATATGAACTTATTAGAATTTTATTGAATGAAAAAAATCATATCACTAAAACATCTCATCATAATTATCTGCTACGATTGAAAATAATACTAGTAAATTAAAAAATTTTTGATATCTTTGATTTTAATTTATCTTTAATATTTTATTTAATCCAAAAAAAAGAAAGAATTATAAAGGTAAAAAACTTGAAAAAAAAGCAAAAGAAATAAACAAACTGTCGTAAGATTGAACATTGTTCGTAATCACCCAACCAGTAATAATTTCCCTCACCTACAGCTGGCGGCATCTTCCCAAGTGAATCCAACCCTATAATTTTAAGCGCATTTTGAAATTATGTGAAAATCAAAAAAAAAAAAAGAAGAATTTCTTTTTCTTTAACGCAAAAAAAAAAAATCATTTGCATTTAATGATTTGTTAAAAATTTGTGCAACAAATATTTCCAAAATTTCTCATTTATTTCATTTTCTTTCTCTTTCCTTTTGGTAAATAACTTAAATATATAATAGTTAATTTAATTATTACCTGTTTAATTTTTTTTTTCCTATGAATAATAAATAATTAAAACATCCAAAATCTTCTTTAAAATTCTATTAGATATGATAAGCGTGTTTATTAATTAAATTATTAATAATTATGTGCAAAATAGCTAATAGCACGAAATGTGCAATTATTAATTTAATTATCATTTAACTGAAAATCTTCGTTTGAATTGTTTTCTCTTCGATTAGATCAATTTATCTTTAAGTCTAATCCATTTGCAAATTTTACAATATTCCAAAAAAAAAAAAAAACACAAAAAGGCAACAATTCAAAATGGAAGGAAAAATTGTTGACTTGTTAATGGATAATATGCCACAAAATAAAAATATTTATTAAATATATAACTTTGAATAACTAGGATTGAAATGTCATTTTTTTTTGCGAATTTTCATATTAATTGAAATATTGTCTAAAAATCCAAATATATTTGTTTGAAAAAATTTTAATTAAAATGTGAAACATTTTCACTTTGTGAAGCAAAAAATTTCTAAGAAATATTAGGCTGTTGCTAATTGTAAAAAATGCATCAATTTTCATTCGTAATTAAAATACAATTATTAAAGAAAAAAAAAATTTGTCTTTTAGATTAGCAAAAATATAAACTTACACGTAATAACCCACGAAGTTTGACGTAAAATATTCGTCTTATTCCGTAAACAGTTCACACATTGTTCATAATCAATATTTTCCAAATTGCATTCTCGCCAATTATTGTCCATAAAATTGGATAATGAGCAGAAAATTTTACCTAAACCATTACGACAGCTATTTGTAAATGGCAAACGTTGAGTGATATCGCACATTTCGGTTGCTGTTTCCGGAAAATTAATATCCTCCAAAACTGTCGTCCATAAATAATCGATAGATTTAGGCCTTGCCGGTAGACGAAAATAGCATAAAAGGCAACTTTGACAAGTTGGAATTATTGAAATTATCACTATTGATAGTAATAGTAATGATAGCAATGATAAATGACAGTAGAGCTTCATTGCATCAAACTAAATGATAAATCGTTGATGATAAGGTGAATTGCACATTAAGCATTTATCATTTACTGATAAGAATGATTTTTCGAGCCAACGAATAGTTTATTATGCAATGATTAGTACAGTTTTTTGATCTAACCTATGAAATTATAATTTCATAATTCAAAATTTCACATTCAAATTCTGCTCACTAATTTAATCATAACTTTAATTTGCTGTTAACCTTTTTTTGCTAGTTTAAAAATTTAGATGACTATCAACCTTTTGAAACATTAAAAAAAATTAAATTTCAGAAAAAAAATTTTACTGCTTCTTTTAATGAAATCAATAGGATATTTTGTTAAAATTAAAAATGATATCTAATCATTTTTGTATTTTTAAATGATTGCTAATAGAATTAGTTATAAAACCGGATATAATAAAATATTTACATTTCCGGTCTCATCAACCTAAATAACTATTTACTGATAGTAAATAATTTTGTCAAAAATACAATTATGTTAGTTTTATTAGTATTTCATTTAGCTTTATCTTCCTTTTTTTGATAAAGAAAGGAAACAGAATTAACCATAAATATATATTTCTTTTTAATGAATCATTAAAAATCGTAACGATTTACGATACATTATTAATATTGATTGATGTTATTACTATTATAATATAAAAGTCTTAAAATTAGCTTAAATTCGTGCTGACTAATTAGCTATAATTAATAGAAAAGATATGTAACTAGCAGACTGGTTGATTAAGTTAATTTTAATAACTTATAAGTTATGCAAAACAGACGTATTAAAATTTTGTTCAAAGAAGAGAAGAAAGAAGCAAAATATTGATAAAATGCAAGGGAGGGAAGTCATATGGAACATTTACCAGCTTAAATTTCAATCATAATTAAGGGTAATTGATTACTTTGTATCCAAATGATTCTCAAGTCAAAAGTTCATAAGTATTCATATAATTGAAATTTTAAATTAGGATAATGAAGGTTTCATTTGTACAACAATGAAATTATACAATGTCAGAACGAAAGGAATGAGTGTTATTTTATTTCCATTCAATTTTGCTTCAAAAATTTTTGTATTCACTTCTGCATTTAGTGATGATCAATTGTGCAAAGAAATTATACAATACATTATGAATGTTTTAAATATTATCTCCTTTTAAATGTTAAAAAAAAAATACAAATGAGAAAACTTCAATTTAAAAATAGTAATTAGATAAACCAAAAAAAAAGTTACACAATATTCTTCCTTTGTTGGAGAGTATTTGATCAATTAAGATCAACTGATAGAATTTGAATTATAATCGCCTAATTAAATCAGAGTAAATTCCTTCAAAAATAGAAATAATTGCTATAATTCTCCGAAAATATTAATAGAAATTTAAATAAGCCTAAAGAAATAATGTCTTAATACTTCTGCATAATATTCAATACCAACGAATCAAGAATCAAGTTGAAATAAATATAAGAAATTTAAGGATTCAGGCATTTAATTTAAAACATCTGTTGCTATTTCGCCATCAACAGATCGATAAACGCATTCTCAAACTCTTGAACAGCTGACACTTTCTTATGAAAATATTATTAACTTAATGTAAAATCTTTACGAGATCATTTGGACAGCTTTTCGTAGCATCTTTAATTTAATAGATGGTCTTTTAATTTCAGTTAAATTGTTTGATAAAATTAAACTAACAATTATAATTTATAGATTATATATCATTAAGATATAATATAGTGGAGGGAAAAAACATGGAAGATGAACAAATTACAAACTTAATAAGCAACAAAATAATTATTATTAGTCAATTAAATAAAAACAATATTATCGCCGTAAAACAATGAATATATAAAAAATAAAAATAAAAAGCTAGGGTATTGTTACTAATGCAAACAGAGCTGTGCTAGTGCATTGTGAATGATATTTGTATGTTTAGCAGACAATAGTTTACGATCAATCATAAAATTTTTAAAAGAATAATTGTAAAAGTTCTCGCTCATTTCAATCTCTTGCTCTTTTTCTTCTTTTCTTCTCTTGTATGCATGTTTTTTTCTTTTATAACGCATAAAACAAAAATGGATCTGAAAAAATTTTTAATTCCTTTTTAAATATTATGAGAAAATCAATTTAAAATCATCAACTGAATTGCAAAAGAAAAAAAAAAATGAAACAAAAAATATAACACACCTTAATGATATTGTGTCACAACAAAAAATAACATCACAATTAAAAAAAAAATTCTTGTAAAACAAAGTACAAGGAACATACCGAAATTTAATAAATCTTCTTTAATATTAAATTCAAAAAAGAAAGTGAAAAACTCGATAAAAAACAACTAAATTAACAAATCAGTTTTCAAATACACAGAATGAAACGACGAAGAGTACCATTGCTCTATAAATTCTTGTTACGAAAAAAAGATCAAACCGCAAAATTTCCATACTATCTAACTATTGTTATTCCAGATCAAAAAGCAAACAAAATACTTAAAATACAATCATCAATTTATAAAAGACAAATCTAGAACACAAAAAAAAATAAATAAATAAATAAAAAGTTAATAATAATAATATAAAAAGATTTCCGAATATTTCAAGAAAAAAATACCAAGTAGTACAAGGAAGCTTGTAGCTAACTCAGTCGACCATCTCCAACCGTTTCATTATCTCTTATTTCTTCGTTTTCGTGTTCCACGTCATTTTTTAAATCGTCTTTTTGCTTTTCCTCATTCTCTTTCAGTTTCGCAATCAAATCTAAACAAATAATTTCAGCAAAAATATTTTGAATTTTCTAGTAAAATGCTTGCAAGACTCCAAAACTGGAAAAATTAATATAAAAAATCTGCTTTTAATAATCCCTTCGCTAATTTTTTTTTTCTTAAAAATTCTTACCTTTGGCAACTTTGAAAACTCCCACTGTATTCTGCTCGCATATGTAGCATTTCGATGTCTTCTGGAAATGTTCCAGCGCACATTTTTCACAAAAATAATGCTTGCACCTTTGAAAAAACAAACTGATGAAAGCAGATGCTTATATCTATAATATCAAAAAAAAAAAAAAGAAAAACAATCATTTGTCCAAATTTGATGATCAATTCAATTCAAACTTACTTCGTAACGACAGGATTTACAAATGACTGTCGGCAGATAAAACATTTAAATGGCAGTTCACTTTCTTTCTCCTCTTCATCCTCACTACTTATCCGATACTTGTCATCATCATCCTCTTTCATCCTACCAGCAGTATAATCACGTTCAATTTCCCACCCATGCTTGTAATCGGTACGATCGTGTAGAAATTTACATGAATCTATGAAACTGAACATTTTTAAAGAGTGTGATTTTCAAGTAAAAGTAAACAATTGCTTCAGGAAAAAGTAAAATGATTGAATACTGATGAATAACTATAAATGACTAACAAACAACCATCTACAATAACACTGAAATTTCAACTATTAACAAAGAAATTTAAAGACCTTACAGTGTGTTGATAATTATAAAAGAATTCCCTCGATTTGTAATCTCAAGAAATTTTATAGTTGGATTAATCTGAAGTTTTACTAATAAAAAAACCAACCCTTTAATATTATGATCAAAACGAAAAGAAAGAGAAAAATTCAATCGAACAACATAATAGAAATAATTATACCAGTAAATTTAAGAAAATAAGTTGGAACTAACCTCCAAAAGTGCAAAATCCTGTCTCTTTATAATCCTTGCAAATGTCCGGTGCAAAATCCCATCTTACTGATTGCCTCAAAAAATTCGGTGCTCTGATAGGTCCAAATCGATTAAGCCCTGATGAAGCATTCCCCCAAACCGTATCTTTCTTCTCCTTGGCCCCATACAGAGCTGCACCACGATAAACCTGAAATATATGTTTAAAAACTTTTAATTCACACGATTCTTGACAAATTGCTGTATAAACTACATCAAAATATAGATCCATATTTGAACGTAATTGTTTAAATCTTTAAAACAATAGCAAAATGCTTAATGACATGATATGGTTCTGTCAAGCATCTATAAGCAGGACTTCAAATTAGTTCACTAAATTTCTGAGCGCTAGAATAGAATACAGATTATTCAAAATTTCAAATTTTGAAATGAAAAAAATTTTTAACCTTTGAAAAAAATATTATTGCAGAACTAATCAAAAAAAGAAGAAAACAAGTCTGATGTTAGGTGCACCTTATCATCACGTTCTTCTTTCAAAATTTGCTGTACCCGTTCAAACTGCGCTTGAGCATCACTTTTTACATCAGTATCAATCTCACTAACTGCTGTTGCACCCATATCTGATGGTCCAGCACGTTCTGCTGTCCCACTCGATGCAAACGTGACACGCAACGGATCGTTCTGAGCTAATTCCTCCTCACCCGATGATGATGTACTATCCGATGTGGATTCTAGTGTTTTCTGAACTTTCCGGTTGATTGTCTAGAAAAGATTATCATTTCTTGATAAAGATTTTTGCTTAATATTTCATTATCTCACAAGGAAATTTAGAATGCTTTACAAATAGTAAACGAACCGTGAAAAAAAAAAATTTTGAAATGTCTTAAATCAAAAATTTCTTCAAAGGAATAACAAAGGGAAAAGGAAAAAAAAGAGAAAATAGCTGAGGAGGAAGCAGAAATAATTCTGAAATTGATAAGAGATATACAAATTTGTTGAAAACAAACCGATTGTATCATCGGATTCTTTCTTTTCTTTCTTCCATCAACATATTTGACTACCTCATTCATATCTTCACTATCGCTTAAGGAAGTCGACATTTCAGAAATACATTTTCTTCTTGATGCTACATTTCCTTTCACTCCTTTACGGCTCCTAAATACAGTCATAGACGATGATGCTTCTGCTTTCTCAGTTAATTCCTGATTGGACATTTTCGAATTTTCTGAAATAAACAGTAATCAAATGCGTTACATATAGATGTAAAAAACATTACTTGTGACACACAATAATTACATGAAATTGGAATAATAACTAATATGACATTTATCATAAGCAATAATCATGAATGATTTAAATACGGACGAAATTAATAGTAAGGAAGTTAAGTGGAAATAATTTTTAAAAAATCAATTCGATATCTCATTTCGACATTGCAGTAATAACCATAATAAGAGAAAGCAGAAATTTAATATCATCAATTGTGATATTGCAAATATATTGTAAATTGATCATGAAAATAATTAAAAATAGAAAGCGGAATAATTTCAGGAACAATTCCAGCAAATAAAATGAGAAAAACGATGGAAGAAAAAACTTCCACAAATACACATCTCTCGCAAAATATCAAAATTATCGCAACTTGAATTAATACCAATTCCGTATTATTGTTATTTCAATTTTTACGTCCTATTCTCTCTCTCTCTTCTATCTCTCGTTGTGCTCTCATTCTCTGCTTTCGTTGTAATACGTGGCTATTTTTATCATTCTAGCTTTCTAGTAGCATAATATTTTTTACCTTTTTAGTCACTGTGCATTTCACATTCCCATGTCTTTTTTTCTTTTTTATTTACTTTTGTTTATGAATTATAAAACTATCTCCAAATTATCCAATGAATTCCATCGCTTCTTCACCTTCTCCATAATTTTGCATGCTACTTTGCTCCTTCTTTTCCTTCTCAATCACCAAATATCACTCTTTCATATATTTTATCAATCTTTCATCTCTCCTCATACTATACCTTATTTTATCAATCTTTCATCTCTCCTCATACTATACCTTATTTTATCAATCTTTCATCTCTCCTCATACTAAGAAAGTTTTCAACCAGAAATGTTGAAATGAGACTTTTTGGCAATTGCCTCCAGGATTAATTGGTGAAAATGAAAATCGGAGAGATATCAAAGTTTCCTACAAAAGCTCCCAATTCATTTTTTAGTCGGATTTCGTCTTCAGGCTTTAGGATAAAATTTGGGAATTATTTTAGCCAATCAATTTGTTTGTGATTTGTGAAGATTAGTAAACGAGGTAAATGACTGTTAAAGGATTTAAATATCATATTGATCAGAATGTATGCATTTTCTTTTTCAGTATATGGATGGTATGTAGAAGATGTTAAAAGCAAATGGATCACGTTTAACGGAAAGCATTTTACCAAACATTAATCAGCGGTTTACTTCATCAAATTGTCCAGTGTTCCAGGGTACAAAGCTTCGTGTTGTAACGTTGGATGCGTTGAATACATTAATTCGGTAAGTATAATATATTGATAAATTTAGTCTCTAAATATTACTGTTGTTTGATCTGACACGCATATTTTACAGTTGTACAAAATATATGTTGATAGGTATGTTAGGTTGGAAAAAGTGTAATAATAGTTCCTTTTTTATCAGTTTAAAGCAAATAATTAAGTTTAAACTGAGTTATATTGTAGTTTAAAACAATCACCAGGACATACATATGCAAATTTTGCCAAGCGTATCAATGTTCAATGCAATGCCGATGAATTAGATGATGCATTTCGACTAAATTTTAAAAATTTGTCGAAACGAAAATTATGTTATGGGTTTAAGAAAGATGGTGAAATAGCATGGTGGATTGAGCTGGTGAAGAATTGCTTCGCAGATGTTAGCTTTAGATTTCATCATTTGCTACTTTTTTCATACATAAACCTATTAACTATCTAGTAATCTTAGATTTATACCATCATCTGGAGCGTTTGCAGGATCAAAAGTATTTTTAAAATTGCTATGATTCCCGTGAGACCTAGAATTACCAGTTATTCGTGATCGATTGTCCGCTAAACATTAAAAAATCTTAGTTATACTAGTATGTCTTATTTTATGCATTTTCTTTCCACTACTTCTTTTTTATTTAATCTGAATTCGATTCCAGAATAAGACTACTATTTTTTAGTAAATCGGTTGTAATGCGATCTAATGCGATAGTGCATTCTGCATGTGTCTTTGAAAATTTTAAATTTATTTCACAAACCTTCACTTTTTTCTTTTTTATAGGTTGGTGAGAATAGTGTCGGGATAGACAAAGTGGCTCATGAACTTTTTGTTTATTACGGTTCTGTAGATCCATGGAAATTAGTTGACAATCAGGTACCCATTAATTTGTGATATTTAGATTTAGGTATTTAACTGGCAAGAGGAAAGAAATCATTCGATAGAAGAAACGTTTCTGGAATTATCTATACATTTTTTAGGATGTTAGATTAAACGAAACTGTTTTATTACCGATATCGTTAGCTTTCGTTTAGGAATCCGCTGTGTTCAGAAATATGTGCATGTCAGCGGGTGTACTTATTTTTTTTCTGTTTAATTATGGTATTGCTAGATTTCAGAGTTATAAAAGTTCTTTGTCAATTTCAAAACCATCGAACCCAATTCAAAAACAGTGAATTTATAATACAGTCGGGTATGAAAATGTTTTCAGCAACTTATTTACAGGTGCACGATCATTTGAAGGAGCTGCAAAGTCGGAAAATTCGATTAGGTATAATATCAAATTTTGACAGACGTCTTAGAAATATTCTGGAAGGCTTAAAGCTGTCGTCCTATTTCGAAATGATGCTTTTAAGCGGAGAAATAGGTATGGAAAAACCAAATAAGCAAATTTTCGAAAAAGCTGCGAAATACTTTCAAATCAATCAAATGGAGGAAATGCTTCATGTAGGTGATGACGAAGAGAAGGACTTCAATGGTGCAAAGAAGGCAGGTATAAGGGCCGTTCTATTAAGGCCTGAGAAAGTATCAGCATGTGATAATAAGCAAAATATTCTTTGCTCGTTGAAAGATATAATTGATAGATTGGAATAACAGTTAATAATGAATAACCGGTTTTAGCTGTATTTCTTTTTCAGTAGTTACGTATTTAATGAAAAATGGGGAATTACTTTGTCAATTATTCTTTAGACTTCACTTGACGAAATAGTGAGCTTTGCTGCGATTTCTTAGCTATTTTTATGTTATTCTATTGCTAAACTTTATCCTTCTTTTTCGTGCAGCAGTTTTGATCTGATCCTCTCTTGATGTTTTCATAATTTTTATTTTATAAATAATTTTATTTTGTATGGAAATGCTGTAGTTAAATCACATGTATAAACAGAAAGTTACAGAAATTTTCCTGGGGAAAAAGACAGAAATATTAGAACATTCTCCTTGAAGAGGGCCAGAACATGCTGATGTTTGTTGAAAAACTCCATGACTTCTCGGATATTGCTTACGAAATGTATGCAATCTACCATAAAATGCCAAAGGTTATGTTGCACACCTTGTTTTAAGACATAAAATAATGATAGAACAAATGTATTATGAGAAACAAGTATAAATTTAAAGATACTGGATCATTTCTTGATGAGCTGGTAAAATTACAAGTCTCGTTGAAATATGAACTTGAATTCCAGAAGTTTACCTGTCGATAATGATTGTATGAGTTTGAATAATCTGTACAATTCATTGGTGGCTGAAAAATATCCTTTTTCGGGTGAGATGTCAATAATCTGGACTCGTAATAAGATTTTTTTTCTTGACAAGAGATGTAGAAAAATCGGTTATCAACTTATCATTACCCAATTGTAATTATTAACAGACACAACCAGCCAAAGACATTAACTCCTACCTATTGTAACTAAATCTCATCATCAATTTATCAAAAACTACAATGCACTTAAAAACACCGCGTAGATCGAAAGTTTTCAGTTTTTTTAACTGATTGCTAAATGATAATGTTATTCAATGCCATTCATTATTGAATGTCTTGGAACAATGCTGATGTAATCTAACCGATAGTGGATTATTCCTTGATGTGTTCATAAAGTTAGAAGTTTCGTTGATATATGGACTTTTTTTTTACTAATACAACTTGAAAGGAATCATTTTATCTACTTCATAATTTTAAAGTAAGAGTTTGAATTTTTTTTTAACGAACTATACCTATATGTAGGTATAGTTCGTTAAAAAAATATTATTACTAGTTTGTTAAATTAACATTAAAAAAAAAAAAAAAAAATGCTAGGGAAAGGGAGAAAAGATTAACTGTTAATAATGTGCATTCATCGTCGCAAACATGGCAAATTTGAATGTGGCATTTTAATCGAAGATATGTAAAACCAACTTGTCGGACTGACAACCAACCTAACGATAATGCTTTTTGCATTTTAGAATCATAACGTGGTGTACTAATCATTGTTGTTTCAGATGAACATCTGGAAATGATTGATTACCAAAGATTGTCATCTTTAATTATTTACATGTATGATTTATCTTATTACAATTTTTCCAAATTATTTTCTAATTTCAATTTATTTTTTGAAATTATGTTAAATTTTTTATTCAAATAATATTTAAAATATAAATAACAGTTCATATACCCATCTGCTGTTATCAAATATACCGGATGATATTTGCTACCAACCCAACAATTTTCAACTCTAATTGCATGTTCATCTATAATGATAAATTAGGAATGATTAATTGCATACAATATTTGTTGACTAAATCAAATTAGTTAAATAAAATTTAGCTGTAAAAGTAAAATAAACAAGTAATGAGTGTAAAAACTAATTAGAACTAAAATTAATTAGTTAATTAATTGAAACCATCACAAATAAATTATTTAATAGATAATAAAGATAATAGAAATAAGAACTTACAAATATTGCAGTGCCATTGAAAACATATTCGAGTATTCCATGCAATTGTTTCATTCTCTTCAATTGGTGGTTTATTGCAATTTGTACGATGTAAAGTAAATGTGCAATTATCTGCCGGATTACTTAAATTATGTCCTCCATAAACGGTAAGACTATCGATTTGTACTCGAACTTCGTTATTTACCAAACTAATATATTGATCGTTTTTTGATTTCATTGCAAACGGAAATGTGATAGAGACCGGAAAAAAAAACGGTTTACACAAGCTTAGATTACATTAATTTGACAAAAAAAAAGTAAATTTGAAACTTTTCATATATTAAATTCAACTACTTATTCAATACAAAATTCAATCAGTGAGATATTGAAAAATAAATTTAAATTTTATAGAACTTATTCTTTATTGGCTTTTATTAGTTTAATCGTATTTTTATGTTTTACTGAAGAATTTTTGATAAGGATAGCTTATAATTGAAATAATATTGTTGCAATTAATTGATCAGTAAATAAGTAATAATTTGGACATAATTTGACGTAAATTACTTAAAGAATACTTATGACATCATTTATTTCAAATATTCGTTTCCTTCTAAGCTGTTCACTGATTACAATACCATTTTTTAACAAATCACTGTCAAAATATTTTTCACCGAATCTAGTAATTATTCAGTAGTCATTATCAATCTACTGTTAATAGATTGACAATACAACTATATGAAAATTTTTTGCACAAAAAAAAAGAACAAAAATTTAAAGTTTGTAACGTTTGAATATTTCTTGCGATTATTTGTTTACTTACCAGGCATAAGCTGCATAAAATTATTTGAAATAAATGGTAAAGAACTGAGCAAGAAGTCATCTTAGATGGTGACATCAACTGGACTACTATCTCACGGGGGAGGCTGACAGATTTTGCCAAAATAACCGCAGATTGATTACAATGCCTTTTTTTTTCTATTTCATTTCCTTCTTTTTTCTTTTCAAAGGATAAATCAAAAAATAAAAATTTTTTTTCAAAAATGAAAAAATCTTATCAAATAGAAGTAATTCTCTCGAGATTAAACTGTTTTGCCAATTAAAAGAATTGTTAAAAATGGCACAAAGCATGCATAAATCATTTATTATCAAATGGTACTATTCAAAAAAAAGAAATGTTGAATTTGAAATGTCTTCAATTTTAATATCAGCAAACTTAAATATGCTATTGATAATTTCTTAAAACAATAAACAATTAATTAAAATCACAATATTTATACCTTATATTAAATTCTATGTTATCATCAGCAAAGTATTTTTTTGAAACCTTTTGTTTTGACAAAAAGTTTCGATTACTTTCAATGCCATCAATTAAATATTACTTTGAACTAGTGCAAAGTACATCGAATAACAATAAATCGAATAACAATAACATTGGAAAAATTAAGTGCAAATGATGGAGCGTCAATTGACGGAACGAAACGGAATAAGACGCAATGGTAGAGAAGAGAGAAGTTATTTGTGCTTCTTGAAAAAAATGTCATTTCTCTCAGTGTCATCAAAATTAAAACTTGCCTTTGGCTTGGGGCCATCAAATATTTCCTTTCGTCCATTCGTTCGTTTGACATTTTCAATGAATGAATGAAAAGTTTGTCATATTTGTTCGCATATTTTTAAGGCAATAAAATGCAAATTTAATTCAACAAGTTCATACATTTATTTGATCTCCGCAACAAAACATTTAAAAAAAATGGGAAGAGCAAAAACGAAAAATTAGAAATGAGCTGTAGTGTAATTTTATTATTACTTTAATCAAATAACACAAAAGTAATTTTCCCTTTGATAATTATGTGAAAGTTTTTATTACTTCAATTTATTTAATTTGATGATTAGTTATTTTTTGGTTTGAATTCAATTGGTTTATTTTCTTTTTTAAAAGGAAGAAAAAAGAATTGAAAGAAAAATTTGGTATAGAAATGTGAAAGAAATAAATAAATGAATGAATAGTAAATGTGACAACAATTTACACTACAATATAATGCGACAAGAAATTAATAATATAATAATGTATGCTACTATTAAATACTTTTGCAATCAATAAGCATTGATAATTTAATGCAAAACAGGTAATCTATTTCCGTTTTCTTTGGATTTCATTTTTTCATTGACTTCAATTTTAATTTTTATTAGTTTATTAATTATGTTCTTTATCACTGATTAAACTAGGAGAAAAGAACGTTAAAGAATTGTTAAAAAATATCGAATTTTTTAAATTTATTTTTTGTTTTGTGTGTTTCATATTATTTTAAATAAATGGAATTAAATTAAAAAAGCAATTCTTAAAAAAATATAATGAAATTATACGTTCTTCCTCATTTTCTCGCCATTACAGGAAATATAAACTTGTAAGGTTTTTTTTTTTTTTAATTAATAAATCAGTATGAATTTTACTCAGTTTTCGGTTCCATTGTTCTTCCATCGTTTACAGTTGTAATAAGCAGTATAAATAAGATTTAACAGTAGCGATTGTTTATTATAAAAAAGAATAAGCGAAAAAAATTAAAGAGAAAATAGTAAAAAAATAAAACAGTAGGCAAAAAATAATACAAAAGTAAATCAATTAGCATTAAATCAGATCCGTTTAATAAAAAGATAATGCATTTGTATAAGATTATTAAATGCGACTGATATTTCCGTAGCATACGTATGTAAACGGATCCGGTTGAGAATAGTGAAAACTTGTGACGATTTAGCAGGTGGACATTGCACGCAGCTGAGATTTGCATTTTTCGTAACGCATGCGAAGAAATACGTAAATGCGGTCCGTGCTTTTATGGGAAGTGTTTTTCTTTTTTTTTTTTTTCGGAAGAGGTTGTTGAGGTTTAGATGTTGTGCGATGGTTGTGGGTGAAGATGGAATTTTTTAATAATTTTATACGTTTAATAATCTTATACAACTTAATAATCTCTTTTTTTGTTAAACTTAGACTTTAGGTAATATATTACATTGCTAAGAGGATTTTGTGAAAATTTTGTTGTAAATTGAAGTATTTTCAAGTTGCAATTTTTGCATATGGTCGATTCAGTGGTAACTTCAACTGGCCCAACTGAAAGCAACAAAATGTTAGCATCAAATTCACTGGGTATTACCAGTTTGTTAACATTTATCATCCTTGTGTTAGCGTGGCTTGTTGGTTTTGCTTCACGATTATTTGCTGTTATACGATTTGAATCCATCATTCATGAATTCGACCCATGGTTCGTTCATATTCTTTTTTCATCCGTGTTCTTTTTTTTTCTCTTATCTATTTTTCTGGAAATAAACTTTTTATTTTGGTGCTTATTAGTAAGGTATATTCTTAACTTGGTGCAAACTAAAAAAGTTTTATAGCATGTTACAATTATATGGTGGTTTGATAAGCACTACTTCGATCTAGTTCTTGGACATCAGGAATTCATGGAGTAATAGGAATGAAAACTGTGAGATTAATTCAAAGAGCAGTGTAGCTTAAATATGTTGCAGTTTTTTTTTTTATTAAATATCAGGTTTAACTATCGGTCAACACATTATATGGTTGAACATGGCTTTTATAATTTCTTAAACTGGTTCGATGAGCGGGCATGGTATCCACTTGGACGAATTGTTGGTGGCACAGTAAGTTGTAGTTCTGTCTTTTGTGTGTGTGTGTGTGTGTGTGTGTGTGTGTGTGTGTGTGTGTGTGTGTGTGTGTGTGTGTGTGTGTGTGTGTGTGTGTGTGTGTGTGTGTGTGTGTGTGTGTGTGTGGTGTGTGTGTGTGTGTGTGTGTGAAAAAGAGATTTGTTGAATTGATCAGTACTCATTAAAAGCTATGATTTCATCAGTTTATTTGCTGATATTTTCATTTTTCGATATGTATAGTTATCGCAGTATTTTATTATCTATACACCTCACATATATCATGAATATATGAGAATTTATATGATTAATGTAAATAGTGTTTCTACTTTTAAGTTTCTTTTCAACTACTTATTTCAACAAAATTTATCATCATGCTGACAAGTAATATTTTTTCCAAAATAACTTTCTTCTATTTTTTTTTCGTTGAAATGGTGATGATGTTATTAACACAGGTTTATCCTGGACTCATGGTAACTTCAGGAACAATACATTACATTTTGTCAGCTTTAAATATTTCTGTACATATCAGAGATGTTTGTGTTTTCCTCGCTCCAACGTTTAGGTATAATTTATTGTTTTCTTTTCAGCAGTCGAAAACTAGTTTCAATTTGTTAATTTGATTATATTTCCTGGCGATTCTTTTTTTTTTTTCTAAATTTGTATTTGTATTTGTATACTTCAGAAATAATTTTGACATCATTGGTGATTTCACTTCATTATAGATCATTTAATTTTTCAAATGAATTTATTGCCTTTTATCGACACGAAATCATAGTTTGACCTATTTTGATGATTTTATATAATTATTTTCAGTGGTCTTACGGCAATAGCTACATATCTTTTAACGAAAGAACTTTGGACTCCTGGTGCTGGTCTGTTTGCAGCATGCTTCATCGCTATTTCGCCTGGTTATACTAGTCGTTCGGTTGCTGGTTCCTACGACAACGAAGCAATTGCAATTTTTGCATTGCAGGTATACATGTACCTATTTACACTGCGTTCCAAAATTCAAATTAATTTTTATAAGAGATTATCATGTTTTTTTTTTTTTTTTTTTTTGTTGCAGTTTACTTATTTCTTATGGGTACGTTCTGTGAAAACTGGTTCCGTGTTTTGGGCAACGTTAACTGCGTTATCATATTTCTATATGGTCTCAGCTTGGGGAGGTTATTTGTTCATCATAAATTTGATCCCATTACATGTTCTCACCCTCATATTAATTGGCCGGTATTGTTCTAAGCTTTACATTGGTAAGCTTTTCATTGGATTCCTTTTAATTTATATTGATTTTGGTCAAGTTTGATGGTTTTCTACCTTTTTCATATAACTCTGAAATGTGATTTATATCTTGAACATGACTCATTCTTCATTGCATTGTTTTTTTTATATTGATATTTGAAATAGTCCATATGTTCCTTTTTGTTTAAAAAGATTTTTAATTTTATTCTGTAGTTTTCCTATTTCCAGCATATACCACTTTCTATGTTTTGGGACAAATAATGGCAATGCAAGTACCATTTGTTGGCTTCCAGCCTGTAAAAACATCTGAACATATGGCTGCTGCTGGTATCTTCGGCTTGTTACAGGTTAATAGATTTTTGTGTACACTCGCACGTTATTAATTTTGAAATTTGAAAGATTTTTTAAATGCTATTTATAAGCAATCGGATTATTCTATTTTTCGTAGGTTATTGCCGCACTAAAATATATGCAACATCGAGTTTCGAGGAAGGAATTTATAACTTTATTTTTCGGTGGAGTTTCATTAGTATTTGTATTAGGAATTTCTACGATTGTTCTCCTAACATATGCTGGTATGATTTAAAATCTTAAATTTCCTACAATTTTCGATTAAGTTAATTTGTACATCGGAACAGTTTCTGCTTCTTAAGTTGCTCTCTCGACATGGCTCTGAAATGCTCATTTATACATTGAAATATTTATAGGCTACATAGCACCATGGTCGGGACGTTTTTATTCACTATGGGATACGGGTTATGCTAAAATTCATATACCAATTATTGCATCTGTTTCGGAACATCAGCCCACTACTTGGGTTTCATTCTTTTTCGACTTGCACATCACAGCTGCTGTTTTTCCGGTGGGTTTGTGGTACTGTGTTAAAAATGTTAATGATGAGCGAGTTTTCGGTAAGTTATTCTGATATTACTCTGATTTCTATTTAGAGATAAAAGATCTCTTTCTTCGTTTCAACTTCCTAGATATTATTCATACATTTTTAGAATTTTCAAGTTTGAAATTATAATACGTATAAAGAGTCACAGCATAGCAAATTTCCTCTTTTTTCGCTTTTAATAAATAATCATGAGAATAGTCACAATTGTATTTTGCAGTAATACTTTATGCAGTAACGGCTGTTTATTTTGCTGGTGTAATGGTTCGTTTAATGCTTACGCTTACTCCAGTTGTTTGCATACTTTCTGGAATAGCCTTCTCTTATACATATGAAAGGTATCTGGTCGACGAGGGTGATCAATCAAAAAGGTTCATTTTCATTGGGCTTATCTAAAAAGGAAGCTTGTAAGAAAAAAAGAAAAAGCAACTATGTGATTTCTATTTGTACTCTTCAAAAAGAAAGAAATGTATGTGCGTGTTGTTTTTCATTTATTTTGTTACTATTTAAAATAACTTATCGTCGTGAATACACAATAACTAAATGTAAAATAAGGTAAAGCATTACAAATTGTACTATCCTAAAATTTTGTTCATCCTCCGACGAATGTTGAAGTAATAATAAATGATTAGTAAACAATGGATGGTAAAATGGGAAACTATTTCAGTGTTAATAATGAAGAAGAAAACAAGCATTTATATGATAAAGTCGGAAAAGGCCGGAAAGGTGGTTCATGGACGAATCAGGCAGCACCGGAGAATGGTGAAATGTCAATTGGGATGAATGCGCGATCTATCGTTTCAGTAGTACTCGTTTTAATGCTGCTAATGTTTGTTGTCCATTGTACATATGTTACAAGCAATGCATACTCTCATCCATCTGTTGTCTTACAATCACATAATTCTAAGGGGTAGGCTTATTGATATTTATGAAACATTATTACCAATAATATGTTTCAGGTGTTTAACACTTACGTTATGATGATCACAGAATTCATTTTAAAAAATGAAATAATTTGAATGTGACTTTATTTTTTTTTCGATCTCGAATTATTTCTGAATAATTCTGGAACTGGATTGAAAGGAAAGAACAATTCGATGAGAAGAACAATTGGTTTGTTTCGTTTATTATAGAGGTCGCGAAATAATGGATGATTTTCGTGAAGCTTATTATTGGTTACGAAAAAATACCGCGGAGAATGCTCGTGTGATGAGCTGGTGGGATTATGGTTATCAGATAGCTGGTATGGCAAATCGTACTACTTTAGTGGACAACAATACATGGAATAACTCACATATAGCTCTAGTAATTATTTGTCACTTTTTTCTATTTTTAGTATTCGTGGCGTTGGGTAAAGCTTACAGTATGAAAGATTTTCATTTGATAGTAAATGATAATCTTTTACCAAGTAATGTTCTTTCCTTAAGCATTCTAAGCAAATTAGCATTCTCTTTTGTTTTAAATATGATTTCAATCTGTACTACTCACTGTTCAGAGAAGTCATTGATAATTGGGATGATCATTTTTTTAGGTTGGAAAAGCTATGGCATCAAATGAGTCATCAGCGTATGAAATTATGCGCGCACTAGATGTTGACTATGTTCTGGTTATTTTTGGAGGCGTCATTGGTTATTCGGGTTGGTTGCTCATTTATTAAATTTAATGCCAAAATAACTTTGGTTTTGTCTCTACTTTAATATCTGTTTTTGAGATCTGTGAGCTAAAAAAGAAAAGGATTTAGGAGAATTTTGAGCATAAAATCCGTTTGCCTCATTGCACTAAAAATAAGGAATTTACTAACTTGTATTAAAAAAAATTATATCCTGACACCAACTGCAAGATTAAATTCTTTCAGGTGATGATATTAATAAATTTCTGTGGATGGTACGAATAGCTGAAGGTGAACATCCAAAAGAAATACATGAAGCAAATTATTTCACCGAATCGGGTGATTACAGCGTTGGAGCAGAAGCTTCCGAAACAATGCTAAGTTCTGTAATGTACAAAATAAGTTATTATCGTTTCGGAGACTTTGAAGTAAGTGTTTTAAGAATTGGTGTGAAATCAAATTAGGATGTTTTGTTGGGACACAGATCTCGCAATTAGATAATGTTGAAACATAGTTGGATTTATTATATCCTGGCATCTTCGAATAAGATTGACAGGACACAGTCAAGTTAACCAAAATTGGTTTAATTATGACCAGACGTTTTGAACCATCAATAAGTTTAATCAATTATGATCAGTGGTTGAAAAGTGCTGTTCTCATTTCTCAAAGTATTGTATTATTTTGAACTCAAATGAGACCAAGTTTCAGATGAGTTATCGAAAACCAGCAGGTTTTGATAGAACCCGTGGTTATGTAATTGGTCGAAAAAATGTTGTACTGGAACACTTGGAAGAAGCTTATACGTCACAAAACTGGCTTGTAAGAATTTACAAAGTGCTGAAGCAAAAGAACAGACCGGTGATTCCAAAGAAGAACAGGCGAAAACAGCCAGCGTTACATTCCTATTCGAAAAAAGTATGAATATTTACTTATACATTCTTCAAATGTCGTTATTGAAAATTGAATAGAAAGAACTGATCTCCCATTTTAATATCCGTTAGTAGAGAGAATTAAACTTCCTTATTACTCATTTCCAAATGTATCCCTCATCATTTGTTGCAGATTCCTCGATTTTGGAAAAATTTGGGTGGAGATCTTTTCTAAAAATTTTTATCGTTTCAATTACCAAACTTCATTAGCTATTTGTTTTTTTTTTTTTGAAAGTTCTTTTTATAATATTTTAATTCAGTGTTATTAACTTATTGAGAAATTATACTGTCAAGCTTTACTCACTTTAAATTATTAACACATGACAATATATCATGATAATTTTCAGGATAAGTCAAAGAAAGGAATCGTGCAAGGAAAACCAATAGTAGTGAAGGGACATCGACCGCCGAAGCGTGCTTAAGAATTCTGCGATCTTCTAGATTGTATAAATGAATTTGTTTTTCGCCGGCACTGGTCGGGTGAATGTTCGTTTATGTTTTTATTTATGGGAACTTAGGATAAAGAAATTCAAAAGAAAGAAGGACAATACTAAAAAATATTATAGCACCAAACACTACTTTCAATCAAAATGAACTTTTTTTTCGAAAGATCTGTCGAATGAGGTTGGTCATTTCTTTTATATTTTTCTGTTAAGAAAAAATGATGTCTTAATTTGCGATGCTTTGTTACTGGTTTCCGTATATACTTGTTCCTTTATAACAATTTTTTCTTAAATTTCTTTCACTGTCTTCAATTCAAGAATTCATTAAGTAATATTTTTACTTACCAATAGAGTAACTAAAGTTAGTTTAAACCAAGCGTTTATATTTTCGTATTAAGTCTGTGACTAATTTGCTGATCTAAGTTTTTATGAAGCTATCAGTTTACGTTTCTACCTTTGATTTTTGTACTTTCTTTTTCTTATTATGCGTTTCTAATTTATTATCTTACTTTTTATGCAGTTGATATTTGCAAAGTTTTTGCTTCGAGAAGTAGGAAGAGGACAGTTTTCTTTTAAATTACATTTTTTGAAGAAATGAAAATGTGCGTTTCTAAATAGGAAAAAGAAAATTATTGTGAAGCACATAGTTTTTTCTTCGTTTGTAGCAGTATAGAAAATGGTGCTAATAATGGAAATTTAGTCACATAACTGCAATTTTTAGAAAATTTTTTTGTTCCTAATTTAAAAAAGTTGTTTGTTATTAGAAGACTGGAAGCCCTCTTCTAATCTCGAATGTAATATTGGTATGAAATATTGGTATCAGTTTTTGTTAACTGTGATTTTTAATCACTTCAGTTCAGCTTTAGAAGAGTTACTGATCATGTTTAAATTATTAAAATTGCAAATTTAGAAAATGATAGGTCATTTGTATGAGATACTAAGTACTCATATTTATTAATATCGTTGTTCATTTTGTTTTGTCCATCCGATATTTATTAAATATTTTTTTAAATTTCCTGTGATCCCCTGCTTCTTTCAGTAGATTTTCAGACCTGTTGGAGATAGTATCGCTAATCAGCTGATGGCTTATCTTAACCTATAAAATTGATTTTCAGGTGAGATTTTAGGTTTAAATCTTTTTTCGTACTTAATGGTGGATAACTGGAAATGTTTCTTAATTCTGCAAAGTTTTTTCTTTTTTAGGATAATTCATCAATAAGTTTGTTCATTAATTTCTTCATTACGGTGAACATTTCTCCTTTGCCTTCAGGTACTTTTGTCATTTTTTAAAATTCTTGGCAATGATACCTTTTTTTGTTATTTAGCATATTTCTTTGTGTTTAAGAATTTCGCTTGTTACAATACCGTTATTGTTGCTGATCACATTCCTCTCTTATGTTTAGTCTTGTTATATATACCTTTTTTCCTAAAAAAATTGTAGTAAAATTTATTACAGATCATTTCATCTATTTAATATAGTAGTCATTACTTGCATTGCTCAGATTATATGATTATTCAGTTGAGCATTTTCGATGTTTACTACACCGCATACCAATTATGCTTTCAGAAAAGGCTAAAAATAGCAAACTTATTGTTTCAGCAAAATGACATATTAGTCAAGTAGAATTCTGATAATGGACCTTCATAGTTTTCATGAAATTCCAGGAAGATTTTTGTTCTTTCATATTATTGTGTAATTATTGCTGTTGCAATATCGATAAACAATATGCAAAGCTATTTATTTTATATTCACATAATGCTTAATAATACACTTTATTAGTTTATATGAGCTGTTGTCAAAGATAAAAGGTCTTTTGATTGAAAGAAAACTACGCATTGAAGAATTTGGCACAGGATATACTGAATCTTCTATAGTTTATTAGTAGTATGAACTAGTAATAGAGATTAGTCGAAATATTTGAACATTCGAGCTAGTATAATTTGTAATTTACATATTATTTGCATTTTTACAACTTGTAATAAAATGAAGTCACTTTCACAGTAATTCCCTATTACGATTTTGCATAACACATAAATATTTTCGTTTGCTGTGCTGAATTTGAACATTACAAGTATCAAATTTCAACCCACTGAAACTGACAGCACATTCCAGTTCACTAAAATTGATATTAAATTTCAGCTCACTATTACTGAATTTTTGTTTTTGTTGTCTATGTCTATTTTATTAGATTATAGTTGTAAAAATATGGTCACATGTAAATTGCTAATAATGTTGGTCAATTTATTAAGACTTTGAAATGAATTTGCAAAATTTTCTTATCAAATATGTTTGCTATAAATTATTTCTTTGTGCCGAATCATTACACTACAACAGTTCCTGGATTTATTATCCTATCATTTATTTGTAAATCGGCACAAATATAAAATAAAATTCTTTGCAAATATAAGAGTGTAATATTAGATAAATCAAAACAATTAATGATAGCAGTAATTGTTGTAGCTAACAATGACATGATAATGAATGAACAACATGTAATCAATCTATAAATCAATTTGAAAAAAGCTGGTCATGTATTAATCAAGAGAACTTTCATATTTTGTTTCTCTGCATTTTACAATGTTATACTTAATATATAAGTGTTATTTTATCATTATTCAATAAAGCATTAAGTTATAAAGTATTTCCGATGTGTTATAATTTTTATTACTTATGTAAATATTCCCGATGTAATATAATAATATATTATTTATTACTTATATAAATTGTTTTAAGTTATAAATGTAACAGTCTTTTTAAGAATAATTTTAAAATACTTTTGTTTGCTTTATGGTTTTGATATATATATATATATATATATATATTTTTTTTTTTTTGATCTTATTAATGAAATATGAATGACATGATTATATTGTTTTCATTGCGATGATAAATTATCATAAAATTATTAGCAATAAATTACTTTAAGCATTATACTGCGGACAAAAAAGAATTTATCCTTAAAATAATAGCAGAATTTGAAAAATAGTATAAACTGTATAATTAGAATATATGTCACATACTATAAATTGCAATTGCTTTGTCCATACTTTTTATTTTTCTTTTTTTCTTTCCGAAATTTCAATTTTTTTTTTATAAATTAGCTATATTTGCATGTATAATATAGTTTAAGTAATTTTCCTGTTGCTCCTAGGTAACCTCTCCGGCTGTTTTTTTTTTTTTTTTTTTTCGTATTTTTGGTCAAAAATTTTTTTCATAGCTAAGGATTTTGAAGTACCAAATTGCTTTAAATTGAATGATTTATATTCTCTATTATTAAAGACTTTTTTAGATATGTTAATGATTGTGCAATGGCATTAAAATACGCCTATTTCATATCACGGAGGAATTTATTCCTTTCATTGAAACAGTTGGCAAATTTAAAGGAATATCAGGAAAAACGTCTTGTTGGGTAATAATTATAATGCATTCTTTCAACTAGAAATTTTTTGAACTTTGAAAATCATATGATTGAAAATCATATAAATTGTAGGAATTTAATGTAAAGTTTTAATATGCAATAAGAAATAATTGTAGCTTGATTGAAACAGCTATTTATGCTTTTTAATTATATGAGACTATGTATTATGAGTAATGATAGTTATAATTTAATAACTTAATTTATCATTTATAAGAATTGAGGTTGTGATCATACTTTGATGATTGTCTGAATAAAAATTTAAATGGTAAGAATCAGTTGAGAAAGTTTATTTCTCAGTCAGTAATGGCTTGTTTTTCCTGACAAATCATTTAGTTGTTTGTTTTCTTTAAATAGGAATATGGGTTTGTTAGAATAATTTATATTTTCTGTTAGGTACACTGCAGAGGAGATGTTCAATATCGCAGCAAATGTATCCGAATATCCTCAATTTGTACCATGGTGTCAAGGTGCCAGTGTTGCAGTAAGTTACATTTTTTTTCTATTCTTTATAGATAAATAAGTATTTAAAGGACGATTTTACTAATGATTTAAATGAGGCTAAGAACAGTCATTTATTGTATTTGTTTATGGCTTATGCCATAATTCATCTCACGATATTAATCTTCCACTGTATTTTTCAGTTATTACAAAAGTTAACTTATTTCCAGAAACATTCACCAAATTTGTTTACTGCTCGGCTGAAGATCGGCTTTCCGCCTGTTTGTGAAACGTATACGTCTCGAGTTTCTACCGTAAAACCAAGTATAGTTCGAGTAAGTTATCGAATGATTTTAATACCACTGAATATCTGTATTTGCCTTTAATTCTGTTTAACTGTATTTTTGACGACATACTATGAATACTGTCTGTATTATACTTCTTCCGGCATATTAAAAAGTTATATTTTTACTATACCGAATATGATTGATTAGTCGATAGCTTTTAGCATCGGAAAAGCGTATTTTTCAAATATAATGAATATTTATAAGAATTTGTTGAAGAAAATAACAACTACAACAATTGTTTCAGTCTGTCTGTACCGACAAAACGCTATTCAAAACATTGGAATCGACATGGCAGTTTAGTGCAGGTCAAGTTAACAATACTCGTTCTTGTACTCTAATATTTAGTCTTTCTTTTGAATTCCATTCAATGTTTCATACCGTTCTTGCACATCACTTTTTCGATCATGTTGTGGAAAGTATGGTTGTAGCATTCTTAAAAAGAGCTGAAACTAAATACGGTCCACCGTCTTTCGATCATTACAAAAATTTTAAAGTTTTAAAAAAAATCCGGTAGTAATGGTTTAGAAGTTTCAAAATTTTGCATTAATATGTACTATCAAAAGCATTAATTCGCTCTTCTAATTGCTTGTCTGAATGTCATTTTTGACCAAAAGTTTTCTTACTTTATTACTACTGTTGTTATTAGAACAATACCTAATTAAGCTAGTAGAATTGAAAGGATCTATAAATATAAAATATCTCTAGAATCAATTATAAATAGGAAAAGAATGAATTATTTATAAATCAATCGCTGGTATATGGTGATGATGGCAGGAATGGCAAAAAGAAAGAAGTAAACTGGGAAAAAAAGTACGAATTGAAATGGAAATCGATGAACAACAACGAAAGAAATAAAAGTGGATTCGTTTTACTTAGGAAAAGGAAAAAGTTATAAAAGATGTGTAATTGAGGAAAGAAAGATAGGAACTATCGATATTGTATTAATAAAGTGATCAATAATGGCATAGGTAAATCCGATTATTATCTCTTTAATTCACTTTATTTCTTCAATATTAGAAAGACTCAATGAAATAATTTTAATTTGTTTTTTTAAATTTGCAGTTGATATTTCTTTAGGCATACTTTTTTAATTTCATGATTGTTCCTCATTTCTAATATTTTATGCATATTGTCTTATATTGTATTTAGCAGTATTAGTGCTTAATGTTTTTGAATAAATGTTATGTTTGTTGAAAGAATCAAATAGAATAGTGAAAATGTGAATTAAATGAAGTGTTTTGTTGGTAAATATTGTTTAGATCTCTCCATAAAATGTTAAAAAATAATTGTGCAGGTATTAAAGTATCATAATATTAAATAATAAATAGATTTAACAAGAAAAGTTTATTAAACAAATAACGGAGGAAACGTGTAGTTCATTTCTATTATAATAAATGGAAAATTCTGATGAGGCTACTATATTTATAGGTGGGATTTAAAATTTAATTTAAAAACAATTGTTTTGGCATTTTTGATAGAATGAATATGAATCAGTGTTATCTGATGTAACTATGCAAGAAGTATGTAGTCCTTTTTTTTTTCTAATTTTTAAATATATAAAACTAATACCAGAAATTAGCGTATAAATGTAAAAATGTCCCTTTTACATTTGAAAGTTTTCTTTTATGATACAAAATAGCTAAATAATATGCAATTAATTCGCTACGATATAATGCTATCAAGTTGCAGCAGGAGGTAACGAGTGGTAGTAAGTACTAACAAGCGGTAAGAAGTAGTACAAGTGGCACCGGGTGGTTGCGAGTTACTTGTAACGACAGTGGTTGCAAATTACTGGTAAGTAGCAGTTGGTCAAGCGAGTGTATAAAGTGATGTCGACCACTAGCAAGTGTCATGGCAAGTAGTAGCATAGCAGCAAATGCAGTGGGTGGCAAATGGTAGCAGACGGTTGCAAGTGGTAGCAAGTAGCAAAGCAGATCATATCAAAGGTCGTAAGTGGCAGTAGGCGGATGGTCGGTGATGGAAGATGACAGCAGGTGATAGTAATTAGTAGCAAATGGTGACAAGTAGTAATAGTAGTAGCAATTCATTTTATCTTCAAAACTATTAGAAATTAAATCTAGAATAGATTATTTCACGTGAATAGTTTAGTAGTTGACAAAAATGAGATTTTTTTTTATTTGTCAATTCAGTTTGAGTCTTCAACTTGTCGAGTACTGGGATATCGTTTTATTGAATGCATCAAATAAAATTATAGTACAAACATCGAGTCATCACATAGAAATGGATCAAATAAATTATAAAACATTCGAAGAAATAAACCAAATCAAATCAAAGATAACTGTCCATTTCATATATATCAATTTCCAAAAGAACGGTTTTAGAAGTTATCATATTTTTTGGTAGTTATCTTATTTTGGTTCCCTGATGCAAACATTCAAAAGATAAACTTTCAAATTCGTGTAAAAAAAATCAATGCAAAGAAATTATCCGGATTAATAATATCTTACTGCTTTTCGGGTGATGAATTTTGACTTCCATTTTCTGGAGGATTTTTAGCTTGTGTTAATGAATTAACCGCTACTTGCGTCTCTGATGAATTAGTGGAATTTCGTGTTGGCTCAGGGGTTCGCATAAACAATTCCAAATGTATGAGTGCAATTCGTGCAGCATAATCTTTTGCATCCTCTTCCGTCGCTCCAAATCCATAGAAAGCATTCTTCATATCATTAGGACCATTAATTGACAACATACACTGAAGGTTACCTGAAATAATTTTTTATGAAATTATAATCTCCAGGACATTTTCTTTATATTCTCACCCATCACATGACTTGCTTTGAGTTAATTCTCAATCTATTCCTCATTTCTCGTTTTTTAAATGAAATCAAAATGCAGAATATTTTTGCAAAATAAAATTAAACATACCATCCAAATCTGGTTCAAGAAATATAAATTTCAATTTCTGATTCAGAAAAATTCTGTTGATATTTTCGTCATCCGAATTAATCAATTCAGTCAATTTTTTTGTAAAATCCTGTGTACCATTGCCATTTTGAAATGCAGCACGAACTTTTTGCAACGATTGTAGAGGCATTACTGCATCTCTTGATGCACTCGGAGACAAGTTCTTAATAATTATAACTCAACAAATATATTTGAAGAAATTGTATTTAAACAATTAATCTTAAATTTTTTCATCTGAACTTTAATTACTAGCTACAATTACATTTGCTGCAGATTCATTACTACTCGTAGTCTCTTGACTTGCAGCAGCAGCGGCAGCAAGAGGAAACATCGCATTTTCTACATCATATGCCAAATCTTTCCAGTTTTCTAATTGAGTGCACATTTTTTGGGCTGCTAGTGTCTTTGCAATCTGTAAAACATTTCCATATCTGCTCAAAAAATTCGAAAAGAGGTTTTCAAATCACTGATGATTGTGATTAGAAGATGAAATAAGTTGATAACTGTGCAAAAAGAAAAAAAAACACACACACACACAAAAAAAAGCTTAGAGAAAGCAAAATTGGAGAGAATAAGAACTACTAGAAACAATTTTCAGATAGATAAACATAATGGTATAATGATTTTGACAGTTATTATTGACTTACTTTCTTCGTTTTTCCATGCGCCACAACATGAATCTTCCCTACTGTGCATGTAGCAATGAAAATCCGTTGATTTGTAGGCCCTTCTTCATCAATTTCATATGTAGCATTTAATAATTTCAACTTTTGACATCTAAAATTGGACGACAAGAGTTTTAAAAACTTGTTGAAAACAAAGTCTGAACTTAAGTTCATAGCCAAATTACCTGTTACGTAAACAAAATAGAAAATGCTATAATATATCAGGTAAAGTTTTGCAACAATAAAAAAAATCGAACCTTTCATTTACTTTTCCCACCCAATTTTCTACAACAGAATCATCAGTACTTCCTCGATTTTGAAAATCTATCGTTAAATTCTCCCTGCAAAAAAAAAGGACCACATTTAATTCTAGTACAACAGACAATCCTAATTTTCTTTCCATTTTAGATGTCGAAAGCACACAAAGAAAAAATCCGGAACCAAATGTTTTAGAAGGTTAATTTGTATTTCGGTTTCCAAATTTTCTACATTTTGAATTATAACTGTCATAAATAATAAGCATCTAGAAGTATATTTTACAAGAAAATACAAAAAAAAAAAAAAAAAAGAAAAACAGAAGGACACAAATTTTTTTAACCATCTATCAGATTATCATATATATATGCAAGGTTTCACACCTTTACCTAAGGTGTTACCTTAAACGTAAACAAGAAATTAGGAAGTTATTCTCTGCGTTACTAATACTAATGATGATGTTATACAGTCTTCCAGTTTGTAATCCAGAAAAGTTTCGGGTTAGTATTTAGTTCAAAATTTTAAGTGTTAACAGGTTTAATTGCGGTATTTATGCAATCTTAGCAGATGTTTCTCAATAACTATTTATCGACAACTACACTAAACTTTATTCATAGAGTTATTAATAAGACAAAAGCATAAAGATACCAAATTTTATTCTAATAAAGCAATAAGGAAAATATTATTTATTTTATTTCAACAAATACTTGGCTATAATTTATATAGTCTGTATCTTGATTTGCCAATATGTTACAACAAATGTAAAAAAAAAAAAAAAAAAAAAACATTACTCACAAATTAGCCAGTGCCTCTTCTTTTGTTTTACCGAGCCCGAAATCACTGAATGATTCCTTTTCAATCATCTGAAATAAACTGGAGAATTAGTTTCATTTGCTGAAAAGAAATGCTAAAACCATTTCTCAAAAGACCAAAATTTTTAGCTTTTAAACAAATCAGTCTGAAAGTATAAACATTCGCAACTATAATATAACTGATAGGTGAAGCAAATTTTCCGATATAATCATAGAATGCTTAATGAATTTTAGGTCAATTATGGTAAAAATCAACATATCCCATACATGGAGAGTTCGAGCATTTACAATATTAAGTATTTGTGATACTGACTGAAGTATCAAAAATGAAAAGTTTACATTATATTATTCCTCAACTTAAATTATATTATTCCCCAACAAAGAGCAATCAAGTGATAGTGCCGATAAAAAATCAGACCCGCCCTATCTTCTAGAAGTACGCAAGATAACATTACAAATGTTAACTTCGCTCAATTATTTGCCTACGTATATGCATATACGAATGAAACTTTTTATCATAATTTCCTTAAAAATAGAACTGTCTTTTTCTTAAACAAAATCAAAAAGAAACCTTCTTTAGCATATCTTTTGCAGCCATTTGTTTAGCGATTTTCTTTGTTCTTCCATAACCCATCGTATAGATGCCGTATAATTCACATCGAGTTGCAAATAAATTACGCTAAAATGATAAGCTTATACACAATTTACTAAATATTTCAAATGTTTTATTATATCATAATTTGGAGGAAATACTATGCCTGAATTTATACAATGTTAAATCACAACAACTCAGTAAAAAAATCGGATCTGTTCTATCTTCTAGAAGCATGTAGATATCATTAAAAACACCAAATTCGTTCATTAACTGCCTATGTATATGTATATAAAAATAAAACTTTGTACAACTACAAGTATAGGTAAAAAATTTTCTTACTTAACTGAAAAATGTTACTAACCATTTCCACGAAATTAGATGTAAAAACAGGCGGTGATCCATCATAATATTTTTTACACCCCTCTTCCAAAATTGAAACGAATGTTTTCGTGGGAGTAACTGATATTCCCGTTGATGAAGTTAACAATTCTTCATTTTGTTGCATTTCCACTATTCGCTCATTATCGGTATCCATCACGTTTAACTTCTCCATCTTTTCAATTTCCTTGCTACTCTTCGAATTTTTGTTGCCAATCAAACTGTCGAAATCTACTATTATTGGCTAAAATAAGAAAAAAAGGAAGTATAAAAAGTTAAAGTGTAAAAATTTTTGCATCATATTTTTTCATCATTTAATAATCCAAAAATTAATAAATTTTTGAAACAGAAGAAAACTAAGGAAAAAAAAGCGCCTTCCTAGCTGATTTTTCGGAAATATTTCCAGCTAAATTTCAATTAACTATCAATATCTATGAATAATAATTAACAGTTGTTTAAAACTTTTTTTTTAAAAAAACCTTAATTTTAATGACATATGACCGATTAGCATGAATGATTCGTCCCTTTCACATAATATTCTTCATCTATACTAGCCTAAACTTAACAATCTTATCCTATCTTATCTACTTTTAACATCTTGAACTGAATCTTTTGATCTATTCACTGTAATCAATGCTATCCATTTATTCTCCTATTTGTATATTGACCCTTAATTATACTCTTCTTCGTTGATATATATTTACTAATAATCGCTATATGAAAGAAATAAATAGATCGATGCAAAAGAGAAGCGCAAATTTCTAGTGTTATCAACATGATTGCTGACTCGCATTTCGTACTACAACTTTACCATTTTCATCATATTTACATCATTCTTAAGCATTAACCTTTTCGCAAATAAAATATTCCGGTTCGCGACTTTTCAGCACATCAACATGAGTAAATACATCATATAATTTCTCCACCATGTGTTACCACTGAACATGAAACATAAATTCAAATTAATATCAAATAAAACAGAAGATGCTTTAATATTTGAATTAAATTTTATTTAGTATTCAGATAATTTTCGACATAATTCATAATGATACATAGATAGTAATATTTGCTCAATCATATATAATATCATTATTGCCCTAATTCAAATAAATTCCAAATTGAGAATTTCGCCACGTTGAATTAAAAAAAAAAAAAAAACTGAATTAAAATGGAGCAACTGTCTCCAGTGAATTAAATGTTGAAGACTGCGATGACAATTAAAATGATAAAAATATTTGCCAGAAATAATAACTGTGAGAAGATTGCAGAAAGCTTTAGAATGAAGAGAAGGCAGAGACAATAGGGACATATGAAAAGGTCGTTTATAAGAGATTGAAAAGTTTATTGAATTAGAGTGTTTGTTTTTGGTAGGATCAGTATGCGATGGTGGAAGAAAAGAGTACAAATGAGAATGAGATTACAGAGATTGATGCAAAAATACTTAGTACAAACGAAATGAGCTGATTTTTAACAAGTTGGGTTTGGATACAAATTGCAAAGAAATTTTTAGATTCGTTGAATTTTGGTAGTTTATAGTTTATGTTCTCTTTTATCTAATTTAGTTCTTTTTTGTATCTTATATTTTATTTTAATTTATTCTAAGGACTGAATGGAATAATGAGTTGAATTTTTTAGTTAATATTTTCTTTGTAATTAGTTATACAATTTTGTTATTAATTGGAATGGGTTAAATTTTATTATAATTTACACTTTCGAATTTATTTCAATTTCTACTTTAATTTATACGCTCAAGTTTTTTTCAGCCTTTTATTTACAGTTCTGAATTTATTTTAATTTGCGCTTGATTTACATGTCTAAATTTATTTTTACTTTTTTATTGTTTATTTTTATTACATAATATAAGGATAATAAATATTTGAAGGATATGTTATTATCGTGGATAAGGTTGGCAGTTAAGCGAACTGATTTACGACCACTTCATAAACGTATTTTTACCGACAATGTACTTGATAAAATGTATCGTAGTAAGTTTGCATTTTCTCAGCTTAACTCAAGCTTAGAAAAATTTGCAATTTTTGAGTAAGGAAATTTTTCTTATTCTTTTATTTTTTTTTCCTCTTTTTTGATTAGTTGTAATTTTTATTGTGAATTTTTTGTCAGATCATCCTCCATTCCTTTATGTGTTAATTGCTCTTATCAGAATTATCAGGACTTATCAGTTTACTATATATATATTATTTTACTTATTATAACTATACATTGCGTTTTTCTTCAAACTGCGTATTCCTTTTCAAATTTAACTTTAGTTAGTGAGTATGCATAAATATAACAACTGTATTCTATAATCTCTTAGTCTTTTAATTACTAGTAACCAATGGCATACCAATTATTCTACAACAATTGGACGTAATTTTCTTTAATAACTGGCTAATTTTATTAGTTAATGTTAGTTCATTTATTATCTCATTCAGAAATTAGATATGCTGTGATAATGTAATCTGTTACTCAGTAATCTATTTAATAGTGATTCAGGTATGTATTAATTTAATGACTCATTATTGATGTACATCTGATAATACGACAATGTGTCTTTATCAGAGATATGATCTATTTTAGATAAGATAAGAGGAGTTAATTTTATATGACTTCGAAGATAATGTATTTTAGCCTAGAAATATTACAAGAAGTCAAAGTTAAAGCAAGAAGTTAACTTTCAGAGTGAAGTAGTATCTTCCAAGGAAATTCTTTGGATAATAATAAAAGAACATCTTTTTCTCGTTGATTTATATGCATAGTTTTAGGCAAATTTTATGAATTCATGAAAGTGAGAAATGTAAATTTTATGGATAAAAAAGCTATACGACTAAAATAACTTTGATGATGATCAACTTTTGAAAATTGCGTGACTAAAATCATATCTTTGAATTAAATTTAAAGGACCATAAACAGTTGCGGAAATTTTAAATTCTCAAAGTAATTTCAGCTTAGGGTTCAGTATTCACACATTCCAAAAAAAAAGAAAAAAAAATACCATTAAATTCCAAAAACTTTTTTAAAAATATTTATGTGTATAAGAAATTTGTATAACTTTTAGCCACGGTGGTAGTATTAATTGGTGGTGCATTATGTATGACATCGGTAGCTTTGGTTAATGTTATGATGTACTACAAAGTGGTGAAACCAATACGTGAGGCAGACCGTGAACGATTAGAGAAAGATTTAATTGAAGCTGATGAAGCCGGTTTCTCATTGAAAATTTGAAAAATAAGTCATCTATTGTTTTTAACTTGCTATAATGGAATCATTATATCTGGTTTTATTTATTTCCAAAATTTTTGTCTGCATTTTTTTCTTGATAAATTTTATAAAATATTTTTATAAAACTAATTTTTTTTTATAAAATGTGTTGCTTCTTATTATTCTAGCAAAGGCATAATTGCAAAGTTATTTATTTTCAAAATTTATTGTAGTTTTGACATTTCAGTTTTGGAAGTATTATTGGAAATACTTATTTTATAACACTGAAATAAGCTCGAGATAATAAAATGTATGAATATTTTTGACATAAAATTGCATTTACTAATACTTTTATTTTTGACATTAAAAAATTGCATTTGCTAATGTTATAGAATGATCGCTATCAGTATTATATAGCGATCATTCTATAACATTTGGCGAAGTGCTACTTCATGAATTATAGTTTTATTCAGATAAACATAATGTAATTTCTAAATATTGCAGGTATTTTGCAGTCTTATGCAAGTTCCACTTAATGAATATGCTGTGTGAAATTATTATCTTTCATTACGAGACAAAAGCAATCCTTGCATAAATTTTTAAAAAAAAATACGAGGTGCGTTAGTTCGTCTGATCAATCCAGTAGTTGATTAAATTATAGGTCAATTGATAAAATAATGTAGGTTTCATCTGTTACATTTTAATATTTTGAGATGTTAAATCTTATTTCATATATCAGTGTGATATTTGCAATTTATTCAACTTTTAAGCAAAAAAAAAATAGATCAAAAGCTTTTAGAAGTAAAATCAGTTAGTTATAAATTGCTCAACTTTGTAATTTTACCTGTTATATTGTTTTTGATTGTACTTCAGTTGTATATTTTAGTTTTTCTTTTTTCGCTTTCATGTTTCTTTTTCTCTGTTATTTTGATAAAAATATGCTCTGTGAAATTGTTATGCCTCCATTGTTCACATTTTGTAATTCAACCATTGTGCACTATTTATTTTGATGAAATAAATGAAATCCGTCGATTTTTTGATGACTTTTTCTTGATACTTTTTTTGATTAATCAATACATATGAAATATCGGAATTAATTGGCGGTCATTTTTTTGAAATTCATGAAAAGATGGAGTAAAATGTGAAATACTCTTCCATTTCCTGGAAATTGGAGAGTTTCGGAATGATTCACTTTTCTCTTTTTGATTGGTTGAATTTTGTCGAAATTTTCCTTTTGTGGTAATTATAGTTTTTTGCCTAGTGTTTTTTTTCTGCATTACCAATCACTCAAGTTTAATTTTATGGTTAACTTTCTCCTAATCGTTTTTACGGTTACTCTAATTCTCTTCGTCCTTTTTTTCCTTCTGATTTTATTATTGAAATCGAAATTAGTTTTTTCTCTATAAGAAGAAATTTGCCAGTGAAATTTTTCTGTAAAATTCGTTTTCGTTTTTCCCACAAAAATAACTTATAATTGCTATGCTAGAATTAATTAAAAATTTCTTTAATCCTTTCTCGTTGTCGTGAAATTTGAATTCAGCTAATATATTTCAATATGTAATTAAAATTCTTTCCAGATGTTTTCACGTAGCAAGCGTTTCATTCAATTAGTTGGACCGGATGTATTTTATTGGTTTCCGGCATGTATACTATTAGGAGCAGCTTTTGAATTATTTAAAGTATTTTTTTCTTTTAATGCTTTATTCTTTTTTCATCTGTAAAATTTCCGTATTTATGATTTCTGAATTTAATTCATTGTTAAAATATTAAATAATATCTATGAATAACTAAAAAGTGATCTATAACTAATGCAAATATTAATCACTTTTATAAATCTATGGATAAATTCTTTTGTCTTTTTTTTTTTGAAATTAGCGAAGAAATTTCAGCATACTTATTCCATCTGGATGCATTTTTTCTTTGGTTTCCTTTGTTTTTATATTTCAGATAAAATTCACATTTATGGGTGTGAACTACTATACGGTATTTAGGAAGAAACAGATGCAACAACAATTAGAAGATTTTGAGAATTGGTTGAAACAAATGGATTCATTATCTGCACAAGCTGTACAATCACAAATTGAAGCAAGGAGAGAAAAAAAGTAGTTTTTAAATGAACCAAAAATAATCATTCGAATGGTTATTATGAGTGTGTAGGTATTTGAGGTATTGAATAAGACAACAAGTAACACTCAAATATTTCACATTTAGAATTTCACATCCATTTGATAAATTTCATGTTTGATATTGATTATTGAAAATTTTTGTATTTTATCAAATACTATCGTTTTTAAATTATCCCTGATAAACTAACTATTTAATAATGCTTTTTGAATTTTTTTTCCGGAGTTTCTAATATGCTTAACTGAGCTTGTACTGATATTGGTTTGAATTGGCTCGAAAAATTATATATTACCTTAAATGAATATATATTACCTAGCTTCATTCCTTGCTAATACATTCTGGTAAAATTATATTAAAATGGCATACGCGAAATCTGGATACCTCCTTTGACTTCTGTAAAGCACTAAAATGCGACTCTTCCGGTTTTTTTTTCTTGTTTTTTGGTATGACTTTTCAATAATTAGTTAGTTTTTTTTTTTTTTTTTTCTTTTTCGGTTGAAATTGCTTTAAGATTGTATATGTTTTCATTCGAACTTTTTTCTGAGGTTTGGTTTAGAATAACAATTAAATAAAATATGACCTGGGAATTTTTGAAAAAAAAAATGATCTGAAAGAACTGGGATAGTTTGGAATATTCGTGTTTAGACAAGAAAAAGTTAGCAAAAGTTTGTTATATACATTTGTTAGATTGAAAAGAAAATAGGAGAAAAAAAAGATTATTTGTGTGAAATTTTCATCCTTTGTTGATGCATTTGTAAAATTTAAATGCTGGAAGAAAATTTTCAAGATTTTTTAAACTATGCGGCAACGATTAAAACAAGCAAATGACTAAAGTTTATTTATTGCCATTGTAATAATTTTCGCTCTGCAACCATTGTACTTATTGCTATTCATTTTTTGGCTCGAGAATTTTATCAGACTGATAAACTGATCAAATAAATATATGCAGAAAATAGGCTACAATTTTGCATCATCAGTAGTAGGCAAGCATTAGTCATTTATTGATTATGTATGAATTTGATTGATTTCTCGGAAAGGTTCTACGTTTACATAATTTTGATAATATGTCGCATAAAATTTTTCAGTTCTAAATATCAAGCAAAAAAAAAAAAAAAATCAATTAAAACCATTTAACCCACATATATTAATCATCAGAAGATATTTTTCTTTTTATTTTGCTAATTAGTGCAGTTAATTGTATTTCAGATGTGCAAGAAAAAAGAATTACTAACTGATTAACTTAAGATTAACATGAAATAATCACTCGAAATGAGAAATTTAGTAAGTCTTAAAAAAGAAAGAATAAAATAAATGATAAATGAATGACTAGGATGAGTTGAGAAAAACAACTTTAATATTATTTCCATATTATAATAAATTTTCGAGAAGAACGTATCATACAAACATAAAATTAAATTAGATTAAATTAAACAATTATAAATCGTTGTTTTCTATTTGTTTCAAATTAAATTTGAAATGATTAAAAAACACGGATGAGAATATCCAGCATACGTAACGTAATGCTTCGGTTCATCCGGTTATTTATGATACATTATCTTTTCTCATCACAAATGTAAATTAATTCTGTTTTTACAAGACTAAATAATGCAGTTCAATCTATAATTTAATTATTAATTTTAATTATTCATTATTACTAGTGAGTGCCTTATAATATGCATAATTTCTCATTTTTACTGATTATTATTTAATTAAACTTCGAATTATTTGTAGTGAGTAGATACAATCTATTTCTCGTCCAAAGAAAAGCGAAAGAAAAAAAAAAATAAAACACAAAAAAAAGTCCATAAAATTTTTAAATTAATAAAAACATGCTATTTTCTTATTTAAACTTCCCTTTCTTACCTTTTCTTCCTCTTTTTCTTTATTTAATTGTACTTTCATTTTGAATAATTTTAAACAATTTTTCTTACATAAATTTTTCTCTTTCTTAATCCTGTCCTCTTTTTATAAAATTTTGTTGACAATTTCAAAGTTAAACAAAAAATAAATAAATAAAAAGAGAAAGAAAGAAAGAAAATGAAAAGTAAACAAATTTTTGCACTTCTTTAAATAATATTAGATGGCGCACATAATTGTTGTAATTGTTCAAATTGACTATGCAATTGTCGTTGCTTTTGCACTAATTTTTCCTGTCGCCCATCTAATTCCATTGCTACTGTTGAATGATTTCCTGAAATTTAATTTGAATACTTAAATATTTCATTCTTAAAAATAGTCAATTAATTCATTCTGCTTAAGTCATCTATTTAATAATTAATTAGACTATTTATTTTTTTTTCTAAATATATATTCCATCAAGAAAAAAAGACCAAAGTTTTATTATATTTTATTGAACTGCTAAAAAAATTCATCGTTTTTTCATTTTATCACCATAGTAACATAGCAGTGTTACAAATTTCTCTAATCACATTCTGTTTATTTGCTAAAATTACGGTTATTTTATAAAAAACAATTGATTTAATAAGTAAATTATAACACACATATTTATTATTTCTTGGATTTTTTGCCATTAATCTTAAAAATTAATGTTGAAAATCGAATTTCTTTTTTATTTATTATTAGGATTGTTTAAAATTATCAATTTACTTTGTTGAATTTTTGATAAAACAATAAGTAAAATAATATAAGATTTATTCTGCTTAAGTTGTCATTCAATGATTAATTGTATTACTTTTAGTTTTTTTTTTTTTTTTAATATTTCATCAATATCAATCATCCAATTGATGGTCATAATTTTCATAATACAATCATATTGTTGTAGATAGGAAAAATTTTTTTAAATTTCACCAGTTAATCTCTAAATAATCATTAATTAAATTTGATTAATATTATAAAACTTCATGAACTTCGCAATTAATTCAGTTATTATCTTTATTTTGTAAAGATAAATATTGAAAATTATTTAACTTTACAAAAGTATATTTGTAATATATTAGTGATATTAAAATATATGCCCCAAAATTCGATGTAAATTTATAATTAATTTAAGTGGAAAAGGAAGTATTTTTTTTAGGCGTTAAATGGAATGGAATAAGTAATTTGCAGAAATATTTTGCCATATGTTCATCACTTGTCATATGAAAGACATCGACATCTGTTCGCTAGTACTTTTGCGCCATTTATTCAAATACATCAATCTAACAATGTCTTCAAGTATCATTTAGAGAAATAACGAGCCGTTTTTTTTTTTTTTCTTTTATAAATCGTTCTCTCCCAATCTTTGTTAAATAAAACAAAACAAAACAATGATTTAAAAGAAAGGAGAAAAGGAAGCTTTCGTGAATGATAATTAATTAGCAGTGCTGTGCAATAAAAGGAGAAAAAGAAAGGGACTGGGAGATAAAGATAGAGAGAAAGAAAATCATGATAACAGTATTTTTGGGAATAAAAAAAAGCGAAAACTTTTATAAAATTTTTATTTTTTTTATTAAAATGCAAATTTTTTGAATTATACTTAGTTTTATTGAAATGAAAGTCCATTAAATAGCAATTTGATAATCGAATATTTGAGATAAAACATGAATAATAAGAAATGGCTAATTATTAAATTCGAATATTATATTACTTTTTGTAGCATCATCCCATCGAATTTATTAAAATTTAGAAATACTTTCTTTAATTAATCCAAAATGGATTGAATGCCTTAAAATGTTCGCTAATTTTGATTAGATGAAATACTTTGCGATGTTTGATGTAAACTAGCCTGCAATAGGTGAAACACTTTCAATTGCTCGACGTTGCATTTCATGTATTTCAGATGATGTAAAACGATTTCGAACATCAATTGTCGAATGACGCTCGGGCGGTTTTGGTGGACCATTTCGACCATTTGAAACTGACATTGTTGAATTGGGTGATTTTGATTTAGAACGCATATCACGTTTTACCGTATTTGTTAGTTCATCTAAGATTGTATCCAAAACATTCGCATCTGCATTTCTTTTTGAATTACATGTTGAAGTACCTAAATAAAAATCAAAAATTATTTTAGTCATTTTTTCTTAATAAATATTTAAATTGAATAATTCTATCACCCAATTATTAATCTATGCTCTCTCTCTCTCTCCATATATATATATATATATATTGCGTTATACAAGTTTTTAATCATTTATTTATGTTTTTCTATAATTACTAAAAGATCAAATAAAGGATCAAAAAATTTAAATATTATTTCTACCAAAAGAAAATATTTGCCATTAATAAAATGTAGTAATTTGTACTTCATACTCAAAAATACTTTTCTTTTTTATTGCTTAAGTTTCTGGTAATTTGTTTTCATCATTGATACATTTTAAATTTATGTGAAGAAAAAAAACGAGAAATACCTTCATAATAAATTGGCGGTGGTGGTATTAATGGCGGTAATATTTGTTCGTTTATTTTTTCATTCACCATTTGTTGTTGCATATTTACTGCATCATTGCAACCATTTATTTGATTATTTTGCATAAATTTAGTAGAATTATTTGTTGAATCATTTTCTTTAAGCGTAAATAATGTACGATTGTTGTTATTCTTTTCAATTTTTGAGACATTTAAACTTGGGTCTTGGACCATTGCTAATTTTTTCATTGTTACCATCATATTGGCTAATGTTTTACAACGTCGTAAGCACTGATCAATTTGTGCAGTTTCTTCTTTGATGAATTTTTCCTCACAAACAATTCGTTCCATATTTGTTTTAATTTCCTTTTGTAATTCATATTGTAGTGTTGGAAATTGTGCTAAAAAAAAAAAAAAAATTGATCTTTTTTTCCTTTGAAAACGTCTTCCAATAAAGAAGTTAAGCAATTTTCGTAACATATAAATGAATAAGTAAAATTAATGAGCAAACTTTTTAATTTTGCTGCATTACGACCAATTCTTGTAAGCGTTTCAGTAAATGCTTCCACTTCACTCATACGTAATTTCCGATTTGTATTTAATACCAAATGTCTCACTTCCTCAACATTTTCTTCAAATATTCTGAAAATTTTATACCATTTAGTGTGTATTGGTCTCTATCAAATACTTTTAACCATTTCTATCTCAAAGAATTTCATGAAATCACTGTCTTTTTAATAAATATTAATTAAAGCAATAAATTTGCATATTTCACTTTTCTTTTCTTAAAAAAAAAATCAATTTATTAAGTTATCAATAAAAAAAATTCACTGCAATGATTTTTGAAGATTAGCAACTTGATTAATGTGTTCCGATTTAAGTGTATCATTGACGTGCGCTGATGAGCGATGTGGCGTTGCACCCAAATAATCTGCAATGTACTGATGAACTCGATCAAATGCATCTGATAAAATATCACGTGACGCTTGCGTATTCATCTGCAATAAATTTTAATAACAGTTACGATATCTTAAGAAAATAAAGTAAAGAAGAAGAATTATTGATTGATTTCCTTTTTTTATTTGGTTATTATTTTCAATAATAAATGAAAAATACCTGTACTGTACGTCGAATTTGTTTTAATTGATTTTGCATTTCAATTATATGTCGTTTAAATTTTAAAATTTGTTGTTGTGTTTCACCATTTAGAAATACAGAATCTATCAATGACGGATCAGTGCTTGGTATACTGCTTTCTGATGCAATTGATGCTACTATAATTTTTAAGTAATAATAATAATAATAATGCTAAATCAGTCTAAAATGTAAACTGAATTTTAAAATCATTGATATAAAGAAGAGAGTGAATTTATCAAAAGCACACAATTAAAAAAGTAAACCAAATTATAAATGTTGGCAATACGAAAGATGCCTATGAAATGTTCAGTACAATAAGAAAAAATGCTTAGAAATAATAATAATAATAATAATAATAATAATAGTAATAGTGTTAAAAATAATGATTATTAGAAACCGTCTGGATGAAGTGCTAAAATTTGTTTTCGTAATTCTTCCATATCTCTTTGGCTCGTTTCGCTCATTCCTTTGCTTATCAGTGCGGAATGCACCAGAGAGGATAAACCTGCTAATTGACGTTCCATCGTTTCCATGCGGAATCTAAACAATACAACGATCAAATTTAGATCACACTTAACATATTAATTATGTTGGAAAAGCTTTTCAAAATTTAAATAAAAACAATAGAAACGATCCATTTCCAACACTTTTTTTTAAAATATTACAAGTTTTTTTTGAAAATTTTTAGAAAGAACAGTAATTCAATAATGAATTTTATATTAAAAATTCATTTCTTTATAATATTCCACTAAATACATTTGTTCTTATATATCAGTTCTGTTCCTTTCTCCTCAAATTATATCAATTTTTTTCCCTTTTTAAATTGATAATTGTCAGTGGGAGGCATCATCATTTCACTATTGCATTTCAAATGCAATAATTGTTGACAAGAATTACTGAATCGAAATGATAAAAAAAAAAAGAAAAATATCACATATGAATCATTTGCCATATTTAATTGAGCAAAATCGTACTTATAATACCGTTAAATATCTTTCCATAATTAAATTCAAGTTTTTCAGTCGCATTTACATAAAAGAACAGGATTATATTACTGGACATAAAAGAAAAGGAAGAAATTAATGAGCAGTTTAATTAGAAAGAAAACGAAGAAAAAGAAACGAAAGTTACGATTGTTATTATTTCAGATTATTTTTTCTCTTCATTTATTATTCTATTAAGGTATGAAAATTAATAAATTGGAGCATTTTTCGGTTTCAAAAGATCATTTATTAAATCTATGAAAGTATCGATTAGTACTTAAATGTAAATTGATATTTAAATTATCTAATCGTATAATTTTATGTTTGTAAAATATATATAATGTTTTCAAATATTATAAGTTTTGATAAAAGAATTGTGGTATAACTAAAAATTTTTGCTTTTGCAGTATTATCAAGTAAAGGAAATGTTTAACATCATAGAACTGAAACTTTTCATTTGACAAAAATATATGTAATGGATGCTTTTTTTTCTTAAATTGTTAACAACAATTAAATTTAATAAAAAAATTTATTTCACTTCAGATTATTAAAATTTTAAAATTAACTAGCCTTGCTTCCTTATCAATTATTGGCGTAATTGATCCAGAACGTTCCTGACTACTTGTATCACTAGCATAAGGATCACAGTATGCATCAAAACGTGATGATATGGGAGATCTGAAATAAAACAATATCTAGTTGGTATTAGTTGTCACTAAATTTCAAATAAAAAATTCCAAACAGCAAGCAACCAACCAGCAACAACAACAACAAACAATAAACAACAAAAACAGCAACGATAACAACAACAATAATAGCAATAACAATAAAAGCAATAATAATAACAATGGTAGCAATAACATTTTATTATAACAAATTATTATTCTATGGTAATCATATTATTTAATTATTGCTTAACTTACCAAATGAATAAATATGCTACACTTGCGCAAATTATTAAGTATTAAAATATTATTAAAATACCGTTTGAATTATTAAATGAATAAACAGTTGCAGAGGTACTATCACTTATTAAATATCATGGTTTTTTTAATTTTCAAAAAATTAAAACTACTTTTTTTTTTTTTTTTTTTTTTTTGTAATTCTAGCAATATAAATTTACCATTCTTATCAGTAAATTCATGCTATTTCGACAATTTACCAAAAAAAGTAAAATTAAAAAATATTTCTGAAATACCTGGTTGATTTAATAGTACCCGCAGCAGAGAGCATTCGACTATCTAAAGCACTTGCTGGTCGATAACGATGTGCCGGTACACGATTCCGATAATCCATCAGATCAATTTCCGATTCACTTAAATAGTCAAGCGATGAATGATTACTGATAAAACGATTCGACTGTGTCGTTTGATATCCATTTGATTGTTCACGTAATTTTAGTACTGCTTGATCTTTGATATCTCTAAAAAAATAAAGTAATTATTTATGAAAGTTTTTTCTTGCTTCTTTTTTTTTATTTTTTTTTATTTTTAATTGCTAAATTGTTATTCGTTTTTGTTGATTTTATTGCAATGAAAGAATATTAGAATATTATGCATCTTTTGCTTGATTTTCAAAGTTCAATCAAGTCCGATCAATTTCAATTTTTTCAAAAAAAATTTAAAATTCAGTATTTTCAAAATATCAGCTGAAAAATAAAGTCATTTCTTTTTAACAACACAAAAAAGCAGAACAAGAATATTTAAAAACTTTATGCTTCTAGAATTTAATGAATTTAAACAAACTTCATTAAAAGTTTCAGAAATTAGCAAAATTCTTATCCAATTAAACAAATTTAAAATTTTTCAAACGAACAAATTTTGCTTTATTGAATATAGTGGTGATCTGAAAAAAAGTAAAGAAGTGGTTGACACTCGGCGGTTTTTAGAATGACAGAATGAATACAAAGCTTTGTATACATAAAATGTGTGCTTCTATTTATTTTAGTATGACTAAGCGAATTTCGTTTAAATTAGTTTTTCCAAAAAAAAATGTTTGAACAATGAAATAATAACTATAATTTTTAGAAAAAAATTAATTAATTGATTACTCGATAAAAATTATTGAAATCGAAGTTGAAAATTGCTAAAAATTTTAACATTTGTTAGATTATCAAATATAACTTTCGCTTTTTCAAACATTTACAGCAATACATTGTATCATCATAAATGAAATAATTTGTTTGAAGTTCCATTTTAGAATCTTTTTCTTCAAACTTTTTGTATTCATCTTTAATATTTACATCTGATGTTTATTATTTACTTTTCGCAACATTTTTTCATTTTATTTTTTTATTTGAATGAATTATTTTCATTTTTTATTTCCCTTTTAAAAGATGAAAAAAAACTTAACAGTTCTTTAATCAGTTAATTAATTAATTATTACTAGAATTAGATTTACATAAGCCTTTGAAATTAGCAATTTTTATATTTGCTTATTTTGTTATGAAAAAATTATAAAATCTGCTATGATTTAATGAAAAGTTCTATTGAATCTTTACAAAAAGTAATGAATATTGGCATTAATTAAATCCACATTGCTTATTTTTTAATGAAAAAAAATTGTAAAATTTGTAATTTTTTTTATTTATCAAATTTGTAATAATTACGCATTTTGCAAATAATAATTACTCTTTTTTTTTCAAAATTTTCTCGTTTTTTTTAAAAAAAAGGCTGCTCGAAAAAGTAATTATAGCAGCAATGATCAATGGAAAGTTCAAAAAAAAGAAAAAGTTAGATGAATATTAAGTAAAATATAAAATGATTAATGCTATTAACTGCAAATTAATTAAGCATATTTACCTGAGATCATCAAGCTCGTAAAAAAGTTGTCCTTTCGAGGATTCTTGAATGTAAATTTTAACGTATGGTAGACTAAGGTACTGTGATGTTAGCTGTGGAAAGGATCGTAGAAATAATGCTCGAACAGTATCAATGCTACGCACCGATGGTGGCAAAAGAGCTCGTTTAACTTCATCGTTTAATTCAAGATATACCACACCTAAAATAATTCTTCTAAAGAATTTACAACAAAAAAAAATTAGATTTTTCATTTTTTTTTAAATGAAATTTATTAATTAATTATGATAAATAAACTTTACAATAATTAATTTTTGTCGTTCATTATTTCTCTCATAATTAGGTTTTGACTAAATATTGAGAAAAAAAGAATAATTTACTGTGGGAAATAGCAATTTAATAAAATAGGCATCGAAAATTGAGTGAAATCGAAAGGAATTTTATGTCTTTTTTTTTAACTTTATAAATTTTTGAAAAAAAAGAGAGCTATCTGTGATTTTTTTCGTAAATTCTTTTTTATAAATTTCATTTTAATAATACATTAATTTTAATGGAAATTATTTACCAAATGATCTGTTTTTAATTGCTTGGCTATCATTCAAATGAATCTCATCGACACTTTTTATTTCATTCAAATTGTCATTCATTTGCAGCTGTTGTTGTTGTTGTTGTTGTTGTTGTTGTTGTTGTTGCTGTTGTTGTTGTTGTTCGAATTGCTGCTGTGATACTGATAACTCCAAGAATTGTTTATCACTTTTTTGTGCTTCATCTTTCATTTCATCTAATTCACTGCTTGCCAATGGTGCCTTAACAGAAAAAAAGAAATGAAAATGGTTTCATTTTTATTATCAATAAATTATTTATTTAAATTTGCTTCCTTTCTTCTTAAAATTTTTTTTTCTTTTTAAATTTCTCAAATTCTTAAACATATGTTCAATATATTTTGTTAAAAAAAAGAGAAAACTTCTAAAAATCTTTACAAATTCCTCATTTATACATTTCAATGATTTATTGTCAATCTGAAAGAGTTTAAAATTTAATTTTAACACAACAATTCATTTTATAGTTTAAAATTTAATTTTAACACAACAATTCATTTTACACAAACAATTCATTTTATTATTGATATCTCACTCTTTCCACTTTTTTTTCTCTCTCCTTTTAAAATTTTATTCAATGATTGAATTGTTTGCCAGCGCAATTAACGCATACCTTTTTATCATCAATTTGTTTCCAATCCACTATTCCATCCCGATTGCTTATCAGTCCTATAAAAAAATATATCATTTTTTTATTTTTTAAAGTATCCATTTTTAAAACTAAGTGTAAGGTGAAGTTTTTCTGCTTATTTGTTTTTTAACTCAAACTGCTAATTAGATTTTTCAATTTAAACGACTGAATTTTTCTTTCTATAAAATTTCATTCCCTTAAATTGAAAAAATATTCTCATGTGTACTATTTAATTTAATTTAAATTTATTTAGCATTCTTTATCATTAGCAATAGTCATTGCTGATAAAAATATTTAAAAAAAAAAATAATAAAACATTTTTAATCAAATTTTTTTCATCAGAAATATTAATTCTTATTTTCATTATTTATTCGTTTATCCTATCTCTTTATTTCACTTTTTTTTCGGCACTTTATTTTTGCTAATCAGATTACTTTATTTATTTCAAATAATTAATTAGTTGAAATGTTTTGTCTAATCTATTTTAATCAGAATAATTACTAATAAATAGCTGTCACATAGAGTATTAATATCAATTATTCCGTAATATGAATTAATCATTTGAAATTTTTATCAATTAATTAATTTCTACTACAGTACGAAAACTTGTAAATGTACATTTCACTCAATCCAAATGATTTATTTACTTGTTAATATTTATGTGACCTTGCTACTGCATAACATTTATTTAACTTTGCTATACTAATAAAAGTAAAGAAAAGCTGAAAACTCAGAAAAACAAAAACAAACTTTGATTTGAATTTTAGTATTTCTACACTTTAAGAAACTATCAACTAGATTAGATCTATTACAATAAAACATTATATATGTTCCATTTTTTAATTAATCATATCTAACAATGGTAATTAACTTCCCGCACCCATTATCAATTGTTCTTCCTGACAACAATAATTATATTTCATTTTATTTTCAGTGTTTTTTCTCACCACTTTTCCCAAATTTACCATCAATTTTCAAAATTTATAAGCCCATTGTTTCTCATTTCATTGGTAATTAAATTAAATGAATTCTTATGAAAATAGCAATTAATCAAATTTTTTCATTATCATTTATAATGTAACTTTTGCATTATTCCTAATGCGCACTAATTTTTTCTAAATTTGCTCTAATTTGCTGCATAAATAAATCTGTGATAATATAATGGTAATTTACTATTATATTTCAAAAATGACAAATTTAGCAACATATATTAACGACATTCTCTCAAAAGATAAAATTTGAAAAATAAGTGATTAAAAAATTGGAAATAATAATTTCCAGCTTTTTCAAGTTATCCTATTATAGAAAAAGGTAGATGGGTGAAAAAAAAATACCAGGTAAGTATGACTTTTAAAAATAGCTCAAATAATTTTAATTATTAAATGACGATTTCTTTTTTTCTGATAACTAAAATAAATCGGTGATCAGATGCAAATTTAGCAAACAAAAGCTGAAAATGAGTAGAAAAGTTTTGACTGACAAAATTTTGAGAATGAAATAAGAAATTGATAATATATGTTTGATGACAGAATTCAAAAATTAAAAATGAAAAAATTAGCGATGGTGGATGAAATTGTAATTTGTATACAAATTTTAAATGAAAAATAACATATTATTAAGATTTATTGTATAGACTATTAAATTGATAAATTCACAGTAATCTACGCATATATTTATTGCACTAATCGAATTAATGAATTTCTCTTGTTTCTATAAAAGTCAAATATAATTAATTCAGCTATTTTCACCAAAAATTTCCCATTTCTATCGTTTCATCATATTTCTTATCTTTTAAAACTGTTTCTGGAAGAAATTTAAAAATTAAATTCATAATATATTAAAATAATAATGGAAATATGAAATGTGATAATGCATTAAATTTAACATAGAGAAATTTTAATTTAATTATTCTTTCATTGCATTATATCATTCGTAAAATTTAATGGAGCAAAAATTTTCCTTCCTTTTTTTGCAAACTTTTCAAATTTTATGTCTTGAAGAGTTTATCAATTTTTAAAATTAAAATTTAGACAATACAACTGAAAATGCTAAGTAACATATTTATCAATCTGCTAGCTTCAATATATTTTTACTACCGCTATGGATTTATCAAATAGATTTGAAAGAAAGAATCAATTTTATACTTGCATTCTATAATTATGCTATATAAATTAAAAATTAAATTATATTTTTCATTTTAAAAAAAAAGAAATAATTGGAGTTCATTTTATTTTAATTCAATTTACTTCCACTAGTAATAGTAATTATTATTATTATTATTGCTATTATTATTATTATTGTCATTAATGCTATTATTTTAGTATAGTAGCAATAATAGTAAAATTATTGTTATTATTAAGAAATATGCCTGTGCATCAATCACCAAAATAAGTGAAATTGTATAATAATAACAATAATAATAAATAATAACAATAATGATGATAATAATAACAATAATGATAATAAATAATAGTGGTAATAACAATAAATAATAGTGGTGAGAACAATAATAATGGTAATAGTTGTGATGATAGCAATAATAATGATAAAAATAATAAGAATAGCGCTACTGCTACTGATTATTATCATAACATCCACTTCTTCCAAATTTGGCTGAGATGATTCACTCATATTCTATGCACTATATAATATTCAAACTTTATTCATATTTCATTGATTAATCTTAAAATTGAAATTAATGTGATGGAAAAAGAAATTGTTAACTTTTATGCTTTTTGTGAGAATATTAGAAAAAGGAATTGTTAGAAATTTTTGAAGGTTAGAAGTTTAAAAAAAAAAGACATGGAAAAGAATTAATACAAAGGATACATATATAATTTCGGATTAGAAAAAAGAAGGGAAAAAAAAACATATTTTGTTATGTTGTCATTTAATTCATTGTATGACCTTGACAAACAAACAAATTAACTGAAGAAAGGAATTGAAATTTTCGAGAGGAAAAAACTATTTGACAGCAAAATAAATGACAAAAATTTCATTGCAATTATAGTTTGCATTTTTTTTTATTTATTTATTCACTTATTTATGCATTTATTTGTTTACTTATTTTATATAATAACATATTCATCTGTTTTTTATTATTCTTGCTTACTTGTGAATTCATTTGTTTTTTCCCTTTATTCCGCTTTTTCCGTTATGTTTTTTCCGTAATTTTATTTGTTTATTTCTCCCTTTATGATTTGCTTATTCACTTCCTTATTGTTTCTGTTTATTATTTGTTTATTTTTGCTTATTTGCTTGTCCATTTTAATTGTAACTATTCACTTATGTGTTTTTGGATAACAGCATAATAATTCATAATAACTAAGGATAACAAAAGTGGAAAAAGTGGAAGGAATTTGTAAATCAAATTGTGGTAATTTATTGATATTACAAAATAGATTTAAAAATGATTGTATACAAGGCGTACAAGGCGGAATAATCCGTTTTAATTTTTAAATATTTATTAAACTAAGTGATTTATATGTAATAATATAAATTCTGCAGTTTATTTATTATTTGAGAAAAAGAATTAAAATTTTATTTGGCAAAAAATTTGTCAATCTTTTAAAATAAACTAAAAGCACTCATAATAACAGGAAAAGTAATAATTAAAATGTAAGTATTCATTTAAATCATACATTCATAATAAAATGCTAAGTGGAATTATCAGATTGAATAATGAAATATTTTTAAAGAAATAAATTACATTAACAGATTAACCAACTTTGTTTTAACATTTCAATAATCAAAAATCGTTAAAAAGTTGAAATAAATATTTAAATAAAAAGTAAGAAAGATTTTTAAAAAAAAGCAAAAGAAATGAATAATTACCATTTTCATGAAAATGCACCATACGTTTATTCAAATGTTTAGACATTGGTGAATTAGACGGAGTAGGCGAGAAAGAAGAATGTAAAAATGGTGGTACTGATGAAGAAACTGATGAACGTTCCGAATCTGATGTTTTACGTGTTCGAAAACGTGGCTTCCAAGATGAGAATAATCCCGGCATCTCATAAATAAATTTAAATATAACTTTTTTTTTTTTTGAAATATTTGCGTATCATTTTTATTACCAAAATTCAATAATAACAATTAAATATTAGTTGTTATACTACCGTAATTTTTAATTCGAAAAAATAAATAATAATAACAATTATTATTATTAATTAACCTAAAAGATAAATAAATAAAGAAACAAATGAATTATAGTAAAATTGGAATTAATCTGAATGATTGGAAAATTTCCGGAATGGATGAAAATAGAATAGAATTATTTAATGTAAATTGTTAGAAGAGAAGAGGAAGGAATCATCGATGGTAACAGTTGTAATAATACATTTTGGAACCAAAACTGGGAGCAAAGGGAGAGAGAGAAAGAGAGAGAGAGAGAGAGAAAGAAGGAGAGAGAGAGACTCATTCTAAGCTATCTTGTCAGAAATAACATTGAGCTAACCGACGTGAAGCTTATCCCAAACTTTACATCTAGCACATCCATATCGTAATGATCAGTAACAAATCGACGACAAATGATCACAAATATGTCTGTATATTGACTACACACACACACACACACACACACACACACACACACACACACACACACACACACACACACACACACACACACACACACACACACACACACACACACACACACACACACACACACACACACACACACACACACACACACACACACACACACACACACACACATACATACACACACATACATAGATACACTATACATGTACTCATATTAGTATATATATGTATATACAAAAACTTTTCTTAAAAATTTTTTCTGTATCTTTTGGTATGACAAACTTTTCTTCACATGCATACATATGGACAGAAACACACACACACGCACAGACAGACAGACTCCGATCATTTCACAGAGATAAATTTGCAAATTTCAAACTTCATGTATGTGAGTGTATGTGCGTTTGTTTGTGTGTGCATGTGTTTGCCCATATATGTGTGTATGTGAATGTATTTGTGTATGTATGTCTGTTTAAGCATGCATGTATGTATGTATATGTATATATGTGTACATCGACATTTGTATGTTTGCATTTTGAACTTATACATAGTACATTTATACATCGATCATTTCAAAGACAAAATAAATACAAAAGGATGTGATCAATTAAACAATCAATTAATCGATCAATCGATCGACCGACAATCAATCAATCAATCAGTTAATCGAGCACTTTCTCTACCGCTTCATCGATTTCTATTTTGCTAAAATATGAAGAAATCTTTGATTGAATTATTGAAATATAAGAAAGGAAGGATTATATATATGAAAATGTGCAATGATAGGATGATGAATTTATGAGAGGACTGAAAGGAACAGTTGTTTGGGAATAAATATACATATGAGATAATAGGTGAAAATGTGATATGAAATGTTAACGTTCAGATAAGATTGGATAAATGCTATTATCATTGTACATTACCGCTTTATCATTTATTTGAAGCTAATTGAAGAAAGAAAAAAAGCAAATGATAACATTAAGGGAGGAAAGAAGGAAAGGACAGAAGCGCTTCGTTTTTTTTTTTGCTGTAGAATTTTTTTCTTTTTTCCAACTTTTGATTTCATTCGTTTTTATGTCAAATTCTATTGTCATTTGTTTCTCTTTTTTTTTATTTATGTCATTTCTCTCTAATTCTTATATGTTTTCATGTTACCAATTAGCAAAAAGAATGATATTAGTAAGATTATTTTGATGATAACGGCATGATGATAATGATAATTGAAAAGTTTACAATAAGATAATAGCGATGATGATAATGATAAGACTGAAAGGATAGCAATGATAATGGTGAGATTGAAACAGTGATAGTGATAATGACAAACGACACTCATAATAAAATGGTCAATTTAAATTTTGATGATGATAATAATGCTGACCATAATAAGATCAAGGTTGAGAGAATGATGATTATAATAAAGATGATGAGAATAATGATGAAGATGATAGTGATGGCGATGATAATGGTAGCATTAAAGTAATAATCATGATAATTTATTATTGACAATAATGATAATAAAGGAAATTGATAATGATGGTATGATAATAATTAACAATGATTAACAATAGTATTACTAGGATTATAACGATAATTAACAAGCGAGAAAACAAAAATGAAAAGGGAAAAGGAAATAGAATAAAATCAGTTCAAAAATTTAAATTTTAGCATTAAATGCAAAATTCTAAATATATGAGAACAGAAGAGGAAGAAGAAAAAATTAAAAAGAAAAGCGAGAAAGTACGGAAGGCGCAAAATGAACGGTATCCACTTGCACTTCATCTCTTCTCACATTAAATTTATAAATAGTCTATTAATTCACACGAAATTTCTTTTTCTTCCTACCAATAAAAATTTTGGACAAAATGAAAAAATAAAAAACGAAGCGGAAGGAAGGGAAAAAATGAATATTGATACATATTTTGTTGAAAAATAATTTTTGCAACTAAATTAAACCAAAAGTTATGATTTGTTGATGAAAAAATATTTCTTTCTTTTTTATGCCATCAATTCTATGCAATTCATCACTAATTTTGCAAAAAATTATATAAGAAAGTAAACAATGAAACGAAAAAAAAAAACAATGAATTTTCGGATGCAAAAAAGAATAGATGAAAATGAAATTTTAGTAGAAAATTAAATTTATACGAGTCTCCATATAATTTTTATTTTTTATTTTTTGTATATTTTTTGCTATTAATATATTCTTTGCAAATTAATGAATAATTAGCAATTAAAACAATTGAAGAAAAACAATAATTAATTAAATCACGTGAATTTTTTTCTTACATATATATAATTTAATATTTTGATATTTTTCATTCCTTAATTATTTATTTCATTATTTAGCAATGTTTTCTATTTATTGTGCAATGAATGATAATTAAATTTTGGAAGATGAAAATCGCATATAGTTATTATTTATTTACTTTCTATATGTTACCCACTTTTGCTTTTATATTTTGATTACATGATTTATATATTATTAATCATTTTGCTTGGATTATTTTTTCAACTTTAAAGTACTTTTTCAGGATTGGACAAGTGAAATGGATAAATTGAATTGCAGATAAGCATTTTCATTTTATCATGTTAGCTTAAGTTTAGAAAATGAAAGAATGAAAGCAGTGAGTATGAATGAATGAAGAAGTTAATTAACTCGATGAATTTATTATTCAAATTATTTGCTTGCCATTTTAATGCAAAATTATTATTCACTATACACATTATTAAAATTTGAGATAATTGAAATGTTTAATCATTTCAGCACTCAATATTATCAATAATACGCAAATTTTTGATAATACACTTTTTTCAAATAATTTAAAATTTTTAAAAGCTAAAATGTAATTAATGGCAAAATGTAATTGATTGGAAATTGTCTAAAATGTAATTAATGAGGAATTGATAGTTGGATAATTAATTTTAATGAGTAATTCACTTCACTTTATTTTACTTTGCTTCACTTTACTTCACTTTACTTCACTTTGCTTCACTTTACTTCACTTTGCTTCACTTTGCTTCACTTTACTTCACTTTGCTTCACTTTACTTCACTTGATTTCACTTCACTTCACTTCACTTCACCTCACTTTACTTCACTTTGCTTCACTTTACTTCACTTTGCTTCACTTCACTTCACTTCACTTCACTTCACTTCACTTTACTTCACTTTACTTCACTTTGCTTCACTTCACTTCACTTCACTTCACTTCACTTTACTTCACTTTACTTCACTTTGCTTCACTTCACTTCACTTCACTTCACTTCACTTCACTTCACTTCACTTCACTTCACTTTACTTTACTTCACTTTACTTCACTTTGCTTCACTTCACTTCACTTCACTTCACCTCACTTTACTTCACTTCACTTCACTTCACTTCACTTCACTTTGCTTCACTTCACTTCACTTCACTTCACTTCACTTCACTTTGCTTCACTTCACTTCACTTCACTTCACTTCACTTTACTTCACTTTGCTTCACTTTACTTCACTTTGCTTCACTTCACTTCACTTCACTTCACTTCACTTTACTTTACTTCACTTTACTTCACTTTGCTTCACTTTACTTCACTTTGCTTCACTTCACTTCACTTCACTTTACTTTACTTCACTTTACTTCACTTTGCTTCACTTCACTTCACTTCACTTCACCTCACTTTACTTCACTTTGCTTCACTTTACTTCACTTTGCTTCATTTCACTTCACTTCGTTTCATTTCACTTCTCATCACTTCATTTCATCTCATTTCAATTTAACGCCCTATCAACAACTATTTCATTTAAAATTTGAACAGAAATGCAAAGCTGTAAAGTACAAAGGAAATTTTTTTAATTATCGAACAAAATTATTTTTGAATATCAATAATTTTTATTACCATAAAAAGCGATTGATATTCTTGCATAAATTATTTTTAAAAAACTTTTTTTCCAAGTTATAATAATGGAAACAAGAAAAAAGATGACTTGAACTGTTAAAATAACACATAAATTTAAAATATATTATAATCTAAGCTTTATTGTTTGTTTTCTCTGCTAAAAAAACTAATATTTTCTATTAAATAATCTTTGCTTATTATTTTTTAAAAAAGCTTTCTTCCTTCCTTGTTTTTTATTCTTAAATATTTCAACTACAAAAGACTGTAAACTTCCATCAAAAGATAACAAAGAGATTATCAGTGTCATTACTAAATAAGTTATTAACAAATATTATCTTTTTAAGTTATCAAATCATTTGAATGAAAAATTTTCAAGCATTTAATGATGCATATGAATTAATATTTTAATTTACTTTTTTTCTTCATTTTGATAATCTTCAACAAATTTTGCATATTTAAAAGATTTTCTAAATGCTTAAAGAAATAACAACAATAAACATTTGACAATAATTTAATGATGAAAATTCACAAAAAGTAAAAAAAAAAGAAGGAAAAATGGGAAGCAAAAATTTGTTTAAGTTTTTCATTTTTTCTTTTTTCGTTCCTTTTCTTTTCATTTCGTTTCTTTTCTCTTTTAAATATTTGCAAAGGATAATGAATTGATTTCAATGAATGCTTTGGAATGTTGAAGTTGACAAATACTGAAAGTTTGTTTAGAAATTAAATTTATAAGCAAATAAAAAAAAAGAAAGAAAAGAAGAAAAAAGAAAAAATTAGGAGAAGCAAAAAGAACATTTTTAAAATGGTCAAAAATTTGATCTTGAAAAATCAGAGGAAAACATTTTTTTAAAATCAATTCTTAGTTATTTACTTTAGTCTTTGTTATTTTCTAGATTAAAATAAAACAATTTAATAATTTTGCTATTTTGATAACTTATTTAGCTTGTTATATTATCATATGTAATAAATGGTACTGCAAATATTAAAGGTATTTGTTATGATATGTTTAACTAGTTAGATCATTTTAATGTTAATACTTATAAATTATGCAATAAACAAAAGTAACAAATCTACTGGACAGCTAACTGTAGAATAAACCTTACAAATGCGTAAAATTACGTTATAAAGTTTTCCATTATAAAATTTAACCAATAGCATAACTATAATTGTAGAACACGTAAAACACGTGAACTTATATAAGGTAAAATATATTTTTTACTTAATGAAATCATGTAAATACTCTAGTGATACTTAAGATTATGTTGAAGTTCTTTCAGCTTATAGTTAATCAATGAAATTATCAATAGGTGAATCTTAACATATGCGAACTGATATAAGATTAAAACAAGTTTCTCATTCAATGAAATCGTAAAACGTGGGAACTCGTTAGTGAATGATATTAGTGATAAATTAAAACTAAGTGAAAATTCTCTTTGTTAAAATATAATCATACAAACTGGTTATGGCGTACGTGAACTTATACAAAGTTAAGAAATACATAATGGTTATGTGCATGTGCTGAAATAAAATTTTATTTTCATATACACTGATCGTTTCTTTCTCTCTTAAATAATTTTTGTTATTTTTTTAAAAATTCTCGTTGCTTTTTTTTTTTTTTTTTTTTTTTTTTGCTCCACTATGCAATAATAACAATAAGAATATAAAGAGCGACAAAATCAATTGAGTGACAACATTAACAGTAGCATTAACGACAACAATAGAAAGTTTAATGACAACAGACTGTGATAACAAACGACAAATAAAAACAATAACAATGATATAAATCAGCGAACAGTAATAATAACAGTAGTAATAACAGTAACAATAACGACACTAAATATAGTGACAATGACAATAACAACACTAATAAGAATAGCAACACCAAATATAGTAACAATGACAATGACAATAGCAATAACAACAACAGAATGCAATGATTTCATATTTTTCATATATAAAATGATTGTTAATTGTTGAGACGAGTGAGTGCTAAGATCATTGAACAGATCTTTTTTTTTCATTTTTTCAATACTTCAATATTTATTTGTGTTGAAAATTTTCAATACATATTGGTTGTTAAGTTTTCTACACAGAAAAAAGTGAAAAAAGAACGAATTTTTCATTTTTTTTTTTTTTTTTTGAAAGATAAAATTTGAAAAAAGCAGCAAAATGCATTTTTCAGTTATTTGAATTTTTGAAATGTACATCTTTTAATATTTTTTCTTTTTTATAAATGATCTTTTTTCCATCATTTTTTTCATTTCTTTGTTTTTAGTACTTCAAATTTATACAATGTAAATATTCATTGAAATTTTTATTATAAGTTTTTCTCATTTTCTATTTTCTTTTTTTTTTCTTTGATTTCAGTTTCTCTTATAAGTTCAACTTTGGACCATTTGTTAGTTTTATTTAAATCTGAACGATTTTTTCAATACTTTCCCATTTTTTTTTTTTTTTTTTGTATTAAAATGAAAATTTAATAAAAATTAAATTAAGAAAAAAAAAAAAAAAAAAAAAAAAAACATTATGGTATATAAAATGATGAAAGTGTAGATAATGAATATGAAAAACAATGCAAAACCTGAAAAATTTTTTGAAAAATGATCTAACCGGTTTATATACTAATAGTGATATATTAATTTCATCAAATTATATTTCTAATGGAATCATACATGCACATATATCTTTGCGATTTTTCGGAAAATTGAGCAAACAATACCATGCAAATGTATTAGTTGATTTGTGCATCAACAATGATTTATTAAATTGATAAGATTACATTTCTAGTATAATCATACTTTCATTTAGTAGTAAATCCTGATTGCTTTCCGGTAAAATGAGCAAACAATGATGTTGTGCCGGTTTAATTCACCAAACAGTGTGTGTATGTATGTGTGTGTGTGTCTGTGTATGTTTATTTTTAATATAATCATCAAAAATCAAAATTATTTAATAAAATTACTATCTCATAATATATATATATCAAATCAGACATAAAAAATATCAGTGCAATTAGTGATTAAATTTAAATTACAGTTATTTTAAAATTACCTTCCGGTGATAATTCTTCCTCAAATATACTGTTAGGATCCAAATTATTTTCACAAATATTAATATCCATTTGATAAAAGTCAACAAATGATTAATTGATTGACCGATCGATTGATTTAATGACTGATCGATTTATTAGAATTGACCAATTGATACCAAAAATACTTTATTTGCTGAAATAAACAAAAAGAAAAAAATACGTATTGTAACATTTAAAATTTTGATATTTTTTAATGATAATTTAATAACTATTCATATCTAATAGTTGAATTTCATGTCAAATTGATGCCAAGAAGAATAGATACTTTATAGCATATTTAATACAATATTTGAAATTAAATTTGAAATAAGAAGGAGATGAGAAGAGAGAAAGAAAGAGAGAGATAGAGAAGTAAGCATAATATTTGAGACAACTGACATCTTCAACTAAACTAGATTTAATGTAATAAAATAGTGGAAGAGTTGTCATAACAACTGAACAATTCGTTATTTTCAAATGGTTTTATTACTTCTTGCAACTAATGAATGAATGATCGAATGAATGAATGATAAATTGATAAAATGAATTGAATGAGTGATAGAATGAATGATAAATGAGACGAAATGAGTTGATTTAAAATGAAATGTTGTAAATTAATGTTGTAATGAATGAAAAAAGAAAATTTTTACAGTAATAAATAATTTTTAATAAAATAATTTATAAATTAATAAATAATTTATAAATTTTATGCATTTCATTCTTTTTTAATATTTATTTAATAAAATAAATTTTTTTAATTTATTTAAATTATTATTTCATATGTGTAATGTAGTGTTATTTAAAATTTATTGCTTTTCTTTTCTTCTAACTTTTATTCGTTTTTTTTTTTTTTTTTTTCGAAAGGTTTGATAAATTGTATGTAGTTAATATGTTTATCATTTTGCTAGAAGAAAAAAAATCCAATTACAGCGGTAAGAAGAAAGAAAAAAAAATCATAAATTAGAATGAAAGATTATTCAGAAATTATTTTTGAATGGGAAACGAATTTTATAAGTATTATCGCTTTTATGATTTTTTTTTTAATTAAAATCCTTTACCTCTTTTTTGGCTTAAGTTTTTTTTTTTTTTTCTTTTGAGATAAAGAAGGTAAAAGAAGGAGAAATGATAAAGAATAAAATGAAATGAAATATACATTGATATTATCATTTCATCTTTTATCCTAAAACATTTTCCAAAAGAATTTGATCACACAGTGGTAAATGTCAAAAGTTTTGTTAGAAATAAAAAAAAAAAGTGAAAAATGAGAAAAGAAAATGTTATCCATTAGGATTTATCATATTATTAAAATATTTTTCACAAATCATTCAAATATATTATTTTTTTCTCATCTTGTTTACATGTCCAAATTTTAAATTAATCAATCTTAATTAAAATTTTCGAAAAACAAACACAAAAAATATCTAAAATGATGAAAAGGAAGTGGAAGAATAATAATTAATTACTTATATAATTTCTTACAAATGTGCGAAAAAAAAAATAAATTCATTTAAACAATTAAATAAGTTTTTTTCATTAATTATTTTTACTAGTATTGATTAATACTATTAATAGCTTCTTCTTTTCTTTTTTCTTTTTCTCTTTCGCTTTCTATTATTATTATTTTTTTTTTTTTTACTATTTTTACGATAAATAAATATTTCATTGTTATTGTCGATAACAACAAAAAAGAGAAATGATAACATTAATAAATAAATATTCAGTATACTAATTAAAGATTAAAATCTCTTTATTTTTTTTTTTAATTTATTTATATTATGTAATTGTGCAATTTGATTAGTTCAATTCATCCAATAAATTTGCCATCCTTTTTTTTTTTTTTGTTGTAAGAGAAAGAAGAAAATAATGCATGCGAGAAATTATTTTTTTTTTTTTAAATTATTTTGGAGTTTGTTCTTCAAATAAATTAAAACAAATAATTGTATAATTTTGCTAGCATCATTTTAGTGTATTTAGACGGAATGTAATTATAATCCTAAAGGCTAATGTAATCTTTATACTCATTTAAGATTCATTTAATGCCCAAGTTTTTTTTCATAAAGATTAGTTTTTTTTTTTTCAATTTTTCCTTTTTTTTTTTTAAGGGATAAAATAAGGCTTATTTCATGTGTATCAACAAATGCCCTTAGACATTTTTAAGCTTGTTTTTCAGTTATGCTATTTTGCCGAAATTTTGAAACGAATGCTGTCTTTGCTACCATAAGGACATTTCAAATTTCGTCTCAAAACATAGCTAAAGCAGAAACTTTGAAAAATGCCTTAAGGGTATGTTTATTGCTTTATTTTGCAGTAATTTAAAAAGAGCTCTTCAATAAATGTATTGCAAAGTAATTTCGTAGTGTTACTTTTTAATTATTATGAAGAAATTTTTATAATTATTATCGTTGCTGATAGTTTATAAAGAATAATTATTTGTAAATTATGTTCAATTTTTTTTTTCTCTTTTTGTTTCTTTTAATTATTTCTTAAATTCAATATTAATTTCTGGAAGATATTTGATGTATACATGCATGTGCATATAGTCAGGTGTTAAATAAATTAAAATGAATTTCAAAGTTTGCCATATTAATGCATAATAAATATGCCTTCATTTATTTATTTCCTCATACATTTTAATAGCATTAGGTAGCTTTGATTGCTTTAGAAAGATTTTAACATTCCCTTCCAGTAATACTTGAAAATTGAATGAAATTAACATTGCATAAGCTTAGGAAATATTTGCTTGTGTTAAAATTTTCAAATTAATAATTTTAATAGAAGACGAAGTGAATAAGTCCATCTTTCATTTTTGTTTTAAAATTAAATCATTCATTTCTGTCATTGTTTACAACAAATGCTCATATCTTTGATTATGCTAAATAATAGTTTAAAAACTTTAAACAGTTTTAAAATTTTTTCTTATTACTAACTTTTCAATTTAACATACATTAATTTCATTTGATTTTTCTTTTTGCCTGCATTTTTTTCTTTTTTTGCTTTCATTTAGCAGACAAAGCAATTTGCCGTTTTGCTATAATTATACCTTTTTCAATTTTCATTATTAGTTGCCAAATGTTTGGTATTTTAAAATCTGCAATTATCTGATATGAATTTCATCTTTTTACAACCAACAATTACCCATGTGTATGCATCTGAAAATATCTTAATTTAAAGAAAAAAAGTGATATGTATTTATTTCAGAAATATATTGTGTTCTAAAAGATAAACTAACTATTATCGGTTAAGTTTCCAATCTGTTTAATCTTAATAAGACGTATTTTATCAATCAAATATATATACTCGACTGCAAATATGCACCGAAAAAATGTGCGGAATTTTTGAAATAAGAAAATAAATTGATCAATCGATAAATGCTGTTACTGCGTACTGAATGTTATGTTCTTTAAATATTGTATAAAATTTACATTATCGAATACTTCATAATTCAGAAGCAACACCAACAACAATAGCAACAATAACTGCAACAACAATAAGAACAACAACAACAACCACAGCAGCAGTAAGTAACAAATATTATTTCGGATATGTTTTAAAATCAGTTATTTAAAGTTTTAACAATGATCCATCAATGTTTTAATTTAAAATAAAACTTGCACTCATTTAAATTTTTTATTTTCCGTATCACTCTTTCCTACCTAACGCTTACTTTTAAGCAAAAATGATAAATAATGATAATACTTATTAATAATTATGAAAGAGCAAATAATTCATAACACATTAAAAATTGATATTGGAAATGGTCATATTTGCAATTATATCATTTGTCATCAACCATTAAATGGTAATTTATTGAACTATTCGTTAATAAAGTAGCAAATCGATTACAAGAAAATAAAAATAGGTAGCAATAACAGAATAATTTTTTTTTTCAATAATTTCTAACACATAAATTATTTTCACCTAATTTATAGTATTAATTGATTATTACTTCATTATTTATTATCTTCGATATATCCCCTTCTATAAAAATTCGCTCATCAAATTGTTTGCGCCAAAATTTAAAAGGTCAGTCACATCGATTATCATTATCACTACTGTCATTATTATTGTAATAATCTTTTATTGTTTGTTATTATCATTATTATTATCGCTATAATAATAATATTAATAACAATTATTATTATTGCTATTATTATTATTTTATTATTACCATTATTGCTTTTATTATTAATTGTCATTATCACTGCTGTTGCTACCACTATTATTATTATTATTATCGTCATTAGTGCAAATGTTAATTTTGCACATGGACATATTAATATTATTGACGAGAGTTCACTATTTCTTTTGTATGATAGGAAACAAATTTCGCTTGTCAGTAGTTGCAGTAAGTCATTTGAAATTATTTTTTATTAATTTTTTCCCTTTTTTATTCTATCCCACTAACATTCTTTCCTTGGCTAATTAAATTATCGTTTGTAAGAACAATTGCATTATGAAAAAAAAGATACAACATTTGTTCATATGTTAATTAGTCGGCATGAGAAAAGCAGACTATTTATTAGGCTAATTTAGTGAGATATATAAAAATGAAGCATTTTATTTTGGCCAATATTCATCAACAATTTTTTCTGAAAATATTACTATACATAAACTAACAGAAAATATAATTAAAAAAAAAAAAAAACAGGTTTTAAATTACTCCCTGTCAACTTTTTTTTAGGAGAAAAATTAGTTAATGAGGAAATGTTAGAAACTAATAATATTTAAAAATATTAGATGAAATAATGATGGATACAGTAAATGAGAGAGCGAGTGTGTAGTATTTTAATTTTTATAGGAGAAGTAAATCTGACGAAAGATGACAAATAAGAAATGAAGGAGTATGAATATGACAGTGAAGAAAAGATAGGGAAAAAAGAAAATAGTAAAAGGATTAATTAGAAGGAATGACCATAAGATAATCATTGTCCATTATTGGTGTTGTAAACAATCTTAAAAATCTCATCATCTTGACATAAATAAAATAAAAGTGTAATATTGCCGATACGAAAATCATTGGGATAAAAATAAATGTCAATTACGGGTACCTTTCCTCCTCCTTCCTTTCTTTTCTTTTTTTCATTATAAGAATCCAGTTAGATTATATAGAGGAAACTATTACTGGAATAATTTTTACCTCTTTTTTTTCCCGACTTTTTTCAAAACAATATCTTAAAAATTTTGTAATTCGTAATTTAACGCAATATGTTTATACAGATATATAATACATAAATGTCAAATAACATTAAGTAATGAAATGATGGAAATCACGCCATCTAAAACGTACGATGAGACCATTCGTTATGAAATGAATACCTTTCAGCAACATGGTTTATGTTTACGTAAACGATCCACTTCTCATTAAAATAATCCATTTTTTATCCAAATGATCTAATTTTCACCGAAATGATTCACTTTTTATCAAAATGATCTATTTTTCTTTTATCAGAGTGATCCATTTTTATTAAAATGATCTACTTTTCATTGAAATGATTCGCATTTTATCAAACTGATCTAATCTATGTTTTATCAAATGATCTTTTTATTGAAATGATTTACTTTTTATCAACCTAGTAGCATTAATTAAAGAATAAAGAATCTTTCATAATTATCAATTACCGTCACTTAGACAAGTTGACAAATCCCACCCACGTGACACCGTGCTACCGTGCTACCGAGGGGTACGCAACGAGAACCAATTAGGATGAATATGCATGCTACAGAGCTGCAACAACAAAACAGTACCGTAATCGATGATACCGTAGTGGAGGAATGGTTCAACTTGGCTAAATGCCAGATACACCTGACTGGCAAATAGCATTTATTGATTCTCGAGTTGGTGTCGTTTTTTCCTTTTTTTTGGTTCATCACCATGCTAACGGTAAGGTTATTGTTAGCTATAGTTACAGAGTATTTAACTAAGTAATCACTGTTAGGTAAACGATTCAAAATAATTGTGAATGACTTATTACTATTATTATTATTATTTGTGATTATTACTACCTAATTAGTGTTGTTATTGTTTTTATCATTACCTTCATTATTATTGGCGTTAAATTTCACAAGAATTTTATTATGAGGGTGTCGATTTTTGATGGTACATGTAGATTTTGTGTCAAGTCTTATTTATTTATTCATTTGTTTGTTTCTTAATTTCACTATATGTTTTTGGAAGCCAAAATATGAATTCATTACAGATATATTTGATCATATGCCTATTACACTCAGTCAGTGACACCAATAATGATATTTATTTATTTCATTTTACTGTTTAAAGAGATTTTTTTTTCTCTTTTTCTTCTTTATAGAGAATGCGTGATGTGATGTCATTCTATGGAAACTTCGATTTTTAGTGATATCTATCAGTTGATGCTAGCTGTCACGTATAATGCTTCCAGTTAAACTCTTTGTCTGCTAAATAATCGATTACCTCTGCATGCTTTAATCCGCTCCAGTTAATTATGATTAAATGCCTACAAATATATGTTATTTGATTAAGATTAACTAATTACTCCATAGCTTTTTCTATAAAAGGTCACGTAGTCTGGAATCTATTTGATCGTAAGGTATACTCCATTGAATAGTCTGATGTTTCAAATATTTTCAATCTGACATATCGGATGATTGAAGCGATTTTGACAATGGAACTCAACTAGTTCCTATCCAGTTCAAAATAAATATGTAAGTTGTTTCATCAGATTATATTGATTGCATCTATTTTCAGGGATGACGCATCTTTGAAAAAGTATTCATCCAGTGGATGATGCATTTTTAGCTGTTTCGCAGCATATTATTTCTTTTTTTTTTTTTTTAACTAGTCACTCGTCCGGTTGATTGGTAATGAGTGATCAAGCAACTATTATTTCTGATATCTCTTGTAAGCAACAACAACAGCAGCTACTGCAGCAACAACAGCAACTACCACAGCAGCAGCAGCAGCTGTTACAACAACCGCAACAACAACAACAAGAGCAACAATCGCATGATCATCACGTGGAGAGTTATCATGCGTCTGCAGAAGGCGTACAGAAAGATGAGAAGGGTAAAATTTTTGTGTCAGATTTATGACTCTATTATTAATTTAATTAGTTATGGCTCTCTTTTTTTCTTGCTTTAATTTTTTTCCTTCTTTGTTAAATTTTCCGTTTTGGAGTTTATTTCATTTCAGAGTGGTTATGTTTGTTTGATAAGCGAGCAAATAGCGATAATTGTTGTCTAAAAGTTGCTTTATTCATATGTCTTTCGTTTGTTTAGGAAGTATTGAGAGCATTGATTAATTGTTTTGAATGTTTTTTTTTTTTCTTTCCGCTTGTTATTTGGTATGAAATTCCATTGCTTGGTAAATCTGACAAAAATTCAACTACTAGCTTTATTGATATATTTGTTAAGTGAAATGAATATATATGTTGGATATGTTCAATTAAAGTAATTTTATTACAAGCTAGTTTTCTTTCATCTCTTTTTTTTATGGATCGTGGAATTTGAAGAGTTGGCGACTGTTAAATTTTAACAAAAAAAACTGGGAAGCTCAGGAAAAAAAAAATTTAGGAAAACATTTGTGACGAACATTTTGTTGGATTCGATTGAAAATTTTTAAACTGCAATTTTATTTTTAAAGTAGAAAAAAATTTTTCATCAAAATTTCTAGTTTAAAAAAAAGAAAAAAATTCATTACATTATATTCAGGCATTGTCAATTTTCAGGTTATACTGTTGTTCCAGCAAGTGTTAGCTTTCGTGGTGTAAGCATGAAGTTGGATCTGAAAATTGATCAGAAAACGTTGGCCGCTGCAACAAATTTCTCCAAGGTCGTAGAGGAAGCTGTTTCCACTCATCTTTCATCGTCGGTTATACCGGTGGAAAACGATGAAGTGGGCAGTTCACTGATACCACACATTCCACGTACATCTGCAACAGCTATTGCTCAGCCATATCACTCAGTATCCTCATTTACAGTTATGGAATCTCCTAATAGTACCAAAGATTCACCTATTTGCGATAGCTCGGTCGAGAGCAGTACTGCACTTTTGGTGAGCATTTTGGCCCGCCTTATGCACGAATTCGATATTTCACTTATTAAATGGTTAACGCAGTTTACTAATGGTTTAGTGTATTTACTCTTTTGCTTGTTGTAGTGTCCACCTTTCAGTTGCTCTTCTGTTAAACTAACACCTTAATTTTTATTTCTTTCTTTTTCCGTTTTTTGAAGGAATAGCTTGTTAATCCCCCTCCTCCAAATATTTTGAAGCCTTACGGTGAAAAGTGTTAAGTATCCTCTTATATGTCGCTCTTACAGGTTCGAAAAATTTTTCTTTGTTCATATAAGAGCGTCTTTCTAAACTCTTACTTCGGCTTATATTTTTACTCTATCCTAACTGATCTTTTAGGTGTATCCGTGCAATTGACGTATAAAACTTAACAAGACATTATGTTTTGTTAGTTCTTATGTGCTTACACGGATTCAGTGGTATTCATTTTATGCATTTAGATACGCTTATATCCTGTAAGACTAAGTCGTAGTGAAATTGACGATGGTATTGCTGTATAGTGAAATATATTTCTTAGAATCTTATTCCCCAAAAGGCAGTAATTCACTCTTCTTCATACTGGACAAATAGAGTCAGATGAAGTTAATCGACTTCATCGGTAAATGATAGTTCGAGAGTGTTTAATCAAATAAAAGCAACCGATTGAAATACTCAGCTATATCTCGGTAAGAATCATCGTGATACTCGTGCCGCCCGATGTTTGTCTAAAATTCTGATTTAATCATTTTTTGGTGATTTTCAGGGTAGAAATGAATTATGTGAGCAAGTAAATGAAGTATGCAGTTCGACCGTGGATGCAAGTCCATTCTGCGATACCGCTTGCTCACCTATACAACTCGAATTACAGACAAAATTACCACATGGCATCATGAACAGTTACATAAAATCTCCAGACGATACACCTCCTGCTTCGTCGGAAGAGCAAAACAGTTAGTAAACACTTTGTTTATTCAGGCTAGTATGTAATTGTAGCTCGAGATTGATTTTGACATTATAAAGGGTAGTACTGCTGAGTGTAAAAATCTTATAGGGCTTCAATTTTATCATATGCATTACAAATTTTGTTGATTTTTAAAATCTCCCTCTATTTTTAAAATTATTAATATATATTTTTTCACTTAACTTTACACTATAATTCAAAGATTTAATACAAAATAAAAAACCGTAAAACCATACTGTGAATGTTATCATGCAACACAAATATTATTTAACTAAAGAGAATGCATCATCTGCAGCTGTAGATTGATAAAATTATATGTGTGCATAGTCTCTTGTTTTCCTCCTTACTGTATTGACTTTTGTTTGTTTATGCGAGACATAAAGAGCTGAAATGATAATCTTAAAGTAAGTAATGTTCTTGTCAGAACGGAACGTCCTAGTTACTTAACACATAAGAATTATTTCAAGCCCTTTTTTCGCACTCAATTTTACCATCATATTCTTTGATTCAGGAATTGCTTCGACATTAGTGAAAGAAGAACTGACCAATTTGATGGCTACTACTGCACCGGATAACATCTACCTTACACCATGTGCGTCAACTTCATCAGCTGAAATAGATGCTACTGCATTTTCACCTCTGCTGACTAAAAGACGAAAGGAGAAGTCAACCACAGCATCTCATCTTTGTGAACAAATTGATCCGGAAAAGGGACAGGTATATCCATTTTTTTACTGAAAACATTTTAAGGACTTCAATGGATTTTGTAAAAAAGCAAATTTTTTTCATTATATTTTATTCCGTAGATCAGTTACAGTGTCGACAGCGAGCCATTGTAAATTATCGATACTGCATTCGTCATATACTCCTTGATCCAGAAGCACCTTACATACAATGTCAACATCAACGTAAGCCGAAAAGTGCGTTTTTTATTGTATGCCAAAAGTGGAATAAATCACTTCAAACTCATTAAACGATTTTTATTTAGGATTATAATTTTAATCAAAAAATGATTTTCAGGCAAACGAGATACCAATTTGCTTTGCACGAATGCGGTACGGAAAGACAAAGGAACAATTTACTGCAGTACTCATTTAATCATGAATGGATTAATGGAACCAAGGAAGAAAAAAGCTAAAACAGGAGCAGTCATTGTCGAGAGCAAAGAACTTACTTCTTCCTGTAGCAACAATGTTTGGAATCGGTCTGCAATTACCGGGAAGTCGAGTATTGAAGTTGCACTGTCACCAGCATTAGTGGATACATACGAAGATTTGAATTGTATGTGCTATTTTGTTTTGGAATTTTGAGTATGTAAATACAATACCACTGCTGAATTTTCTACGTTTCTTTTCCTGTTTTGAAGCGGAAATAAGAATGAGTATTATAGTGTCGATGTATTCTGTCATGTGACAAGCCAGCGATATGAGTGATGAACTATTTGCTGAAGATGATGATCCATTTGAAAGCACTACAACAATTTCATTTAGGAAATGGATGTTCCTCTTCCTTCGCTCACTTTTCAAATTTATTAAAGGTACATCTCGCTCAATGGAACAAAGTTGTATAAGGAATGATGGTATTGTCTACAATAATGTTATGAACAGTGCTGTGGTAGCTGTTGATTCACTTACCAGCAAACGTACTGTGTATCACTTTTCGAAAACATCAGTAGCCAATACTTTACCCATGGAGGCAGGTATCGTTACCGTGGCAACAGAATCAAGGAATGAAGCGACAGCAGCTTATGATAATAATGTTTCAATTGAAGATGAATATACTGGGCTACCGAAATTACCTGTACATAAAACTATTATGCCTCTTCCCATTACATCGTCTTATGGCGGAGTGCGATCAACATATGAATGTCCTGTGCAAGCAACAACTAGTCAGGTGGTATGCAATAATTGCAGATTTTAAGTTCAATCAGGAAGAAATAATTGAATTGAGTTAATTTAGCATTTATTGATTCCATTTCTAATTTCCTTCATTAACTATGTAATTTGTTTGCATCAAATCTTAGTCCAATGTTAGCCCATTTAGTTCTAGCTAAATCTTTTTTTTCTCAAATACGATAATTAGAAGCGTAAGTGAAGCGTTATAGCCATCGCATAATATTTTAGTAGTCGTAGTATAATATTGCGTAATACTTTGAATAATATTTGTTTTTCAGTATTTTACATAGAACTAGAATGATATTTAAGTAAGTTTCCAGGTTCGTCGAAATCTACCTCAGTTGTATTCACGTACGACTTCTCAAGTTGTCACTCCAGCTGTTATTAAAACGAGTGATGGTGTACAAATTCCATGCGCCCAAACAACAGTTGTGAAACAGCGTGTAACAGCGAATCTCAGCAAGCAACATCCGCAGCTCGCTGCTAAGCTTCTTCAGGTTTATTCAGATTTAAAAGAGAAATAACTAGTAGGAAATTGATGATTATGATTATTATGATAGTTTCGGAGTGGACAAATGAGAAGTATGTTAGTCTTTGTTAAGCATGTAACAGGCACAGTTTGCGGTACTAACAGCCACAATTGCGCTTCGATAATGATTTTAAAAAACCTCCCACTTATTAGAATCAGAATTTCATGAAATTTTATTAAAAATATCGTATTTTAAATCATTTACAGGCACCAACAACAGCAGGGCAAAGCGTTGTATCATCATTATCGAGTGCTCCGATACGATCAAGTTTTCCAAAAAGTGTTATTCCACCGTCACTATTAGTTCCCGAATCCCGTAATTTATTGCCCTCTGCAGCTCCTCGTCTAACTTCTCATCAGGAACCTCCACGTTTTTATAAGACACCTGAAGATGATAAAATTAAATTAATCATCAAACAGGAAAAAAGTGATGTGCCCCAAAAGGTTAAATTTTGATTTCCCTCTTTAAAAATATGATGTTATAAACTTATCATTTTATGGGCTAATTTTATAAAACCCGGTTAAATCGCAGCCGAAGCTAGAGAATCCTTAGAATAGATGAAGAAGGTCAAAGTGGTAATCAAATGTCAGAAAACAAAACAGAAAGAAATCAAATGTGTATTTTCATTACTGGTCACTTGGAATGTGTTTTTATTACTGCACACAGAAATTAAGTAATTTTTTTCGTGGAAATAGAAATCTCTCAGGATAAACTTGTTAATTTGAAAACTTTTGCTTCAGCCGAAAGTTATACAGCTGAAGCAGAAGCGCAGGCGAATGAAAATGACGGGAATTTATCGGAAAATACCTCAAGTTGATCAAATGTGCAGAGTTTTAGAAGATCAGGATTTCGATCGTACTGATCTTTTTCCTCGCGGTTAGTTTGCTTATGTATTTTTAAACAAGCGGTTGTTTAAAAAACCTTAGCAGAATTCTATTCACATGTTTCCAAAAGGTTTTCGATGAGGAAGAAAAACTCTCTGGAAGGTTAAAAACAAAAGTTTTTACCTAGTTAGTGAAAGTTTTATAGGACTTGAGCCATCAGATGATGAAGACGAAGAAAATGATTATCTTGATCTCAGATGGTCAGAAATGGCCTGTAATGCTGTATCGGATCCTGCGCCTCAGGGAGCACTGCAGGTCTATTTAGTCAAAAAACAGATCAGGTATCATCAAAATTTTTTGTAAAAGAGAGCTATAAATAATGTAGAGGGATTTAGTGTAGTTTTTAACATATTTTAACATAAGCACAAAAATTCTTATTGCATTGTGCATCAGTAAATAAGGAAATCGCTATTACTGATTTGTTTATCTAATTTTTTGTTTTTCTATTTTATTTGCTGCTTGGATTATTTCGGTCTACAATTCGTATTTTTCTTTATTTTTGAAGATTAGACAAGAATGCATTAATGAAAGAAGCAGTTACGAATGCTCCGATAATGCATGCTTGCAAACAGTACCCGAATAGTGTCGGTGCTGCACTAGCCGATCGTGCATCCAATTATGGGACTGCTCCGAGCGCTGTATTGAATCAAAAAAAGTTCTATCTTTTCTTGTATAATCGAAATGAAAATTTTGATTTCTGTAATCACGAACTAATAGTTATAATTATTTTTTATATCCCAAACAGCTTTGAGTGTAATATGATATTGTTGAGCCAATTTTTAATTTTTTTTTTTTAAGCAAAGAACATGTATCTGTAATTATTTATCAAAATCTATTTTCTTCTTTTTTTAATGTTTGACACAGAATGTCCTTTCAAAAATTTTTACAGATTTTTAAATTCCAACGTGAAAGAGAAATAGTTTTGTCGGAATAATTTTGTGATTTTTTCTTCCCTGTAATAAGCGGCTAAACTTTTTTTAGATACTTTTTTCTTTTTTTAGATGTACTATAACGATTCTGAAAGGTGGTTCATCCCCCGTTCAATGCATGAATAACTGCCTTCCATTCTCTAATCACTGCGCGCAACACATTTCTTATAATTTAAATCAGAAGTTATTCAGTTATTGTGCTGAGCCGTGTTGCTCACAACCCGTTCTTTGTGTTGATGCACCGAAGACATTGAGTATGTTATGTTATTATTGTAACTGAAAATTATTAATTGAGGAAATATAGGAGTGATTAGATAAGCCGTCCATAAATTTACATCTTTACTTTATTTGCACGTAATAATTCGATTTTTCAGAATTGTGTGTTCATCATTATGAACTGAGGAAGAAGAAAAAGGCCGAGGAGGGATTAGCACGAGAAAAGACTCATCAGTCTTGGAAACAACAAACACCAATATGTTACGTCCAGCAGCAGCCCATGCAGCAATATGACGGCGATATTCGTATGAATATTCAACATTCACATTATCAGTCTCAGGATATTGGAACAGATCGATTAAATTCTGTTGGTGTGGGTGATTTCTGCGAACTTGAAAGTGAGTTTTTCAGCGAACTGGAATTCAGTTTTTGAAATATGATGATTTTCCAGAATGATGGATTCAAATCTATTGTTAGACATCATTAGTGTTTTTATGATTCATTTTGGTTTTTCTTTTCTCATTATATCCATGGAATACCTAATTTAAATGCTTTCTTTGCAGTGGGTTCGGCTTCCAGTGGAAATGAATCAGATGTATATTTGGCTTCATTTGCTAAAGATCTAGAATTTAGTTTTGATGGTAGGGAGATAAATGATATGTTGGCAAATTTCAATGTTCCTGATGGAGAAGGTGCTGATATTTTACACGACCAACCACTTTCAGGTAATTTACTTTGTTTATTTGATAATTGAGTTAGGTTTATATTTACTAGAGAACCACAATTGATTTTATTGATACTAAAGACGCTGTTAATTTTTCGAATATAAAGAATTGGATAGTACTGCCGGATAATACAATGTACAAGAGACCAGACCATCTCTAGATGAATTCTTTGAAGCCTGTATTATTTGTTAATGTTGAATTCCAGAATAAGGAACTTGAATTGTTCAAATCTTTTGATTTTTCAGATGGCGTGAAGGATGAATTCTTGCAACTACCAACAGAATTTAATGAAATTGCTGGTGGTCATAATTGGCTTGACGTTGAGCAGTTCCTCATTTCCGAAGGTGTCGACTTATCCTCATCATCACAGTCGAGCAGTATATCCGCCGTTTCTGTGCCACACCCATTAAGTCTAGCTAACGATGGAGTAACGTTCTGCGAATTCGCATCATCGCATCAACCACGAAGCTAACCTCATTCGTCAACAGGAAAGTATTTCTTTGACTCATTTCTTAGCCGAACTCACTTTTTTTAATCTCACAAGAAATGTAATTTTTTTCTCAAAATCACTTGAATCTGTATTTCCTGCTGTTATTGTTTCTGGAAGTGATTACAATTCCGAATAGATATATTAACCGTATCAGTTCAGAGATCGCACATATTTAGGCATAGCTGTCCAGGAGCTCTAGTAGTATATCTTTATTATTTCTACAAAAATCTCTTTCCCCACCAACTCAGGTTTTTTCTTGAAAACTTTTGAATTTTTAAAAGTATCTTCTTGAAACGCTCACTACTCCATTGATTTTATAGACTTATAAGAAATTCGTACCTGCTTTTCACCGTTCTTTCTGAGCAAAGGCATTTCTGCAACCTCGGGTATGTAAATTTCTGTAACTTCTTTCTATTTCAAATTGGAATGAGAACATCTTCTGGTGTGCTGCTTAGCGCTCAAAATGATCTCATTTAATCCGCGTGGGCTTAAATGATTTTTCTAAACTTTGAAAATTTAATTTTCGCTATGTGAGTAAAATGATTTTCAATCTTGAATTATTTTTAGTCATAGTGATAGCTACATGTTATAATGTTTGATTCCTAGTGGAAGGTAGGAGAGGAGCAGTGCACATAATGTTATCGTTAAAAAACGTGATACATTAACTAGTCAATAGTAAGTTTAGAGATGCAAAAAGAAAGAAAGAAAACGCGAAAACTATTCCCGGTTTTTCTTCACCTTTGGTTAGCGTTTTTTCTACTTAAAATTAGATAATATGTGAATCTGCTTGCGGAGGTAACCTTGTCTGTGATGTGTTGGGTACTATTTGTACCATCACAAGTAAAGTCCATTCGTTCCAGGTGTTATATTTTTTGCCTCATATTTAGTATATTAGTTGGTTGTGTTGCACCAAAATACACTTTATCTATCGTGATTATCCTTTGTGGGTTATGCAAGTTTAGGATGAGCGCCTAAAATGAAGTGCGGAAATACTTTCGCTGTGGATTTAGGCTGTAAATTACGGTGATGGGTTCTGTGGATCGATCTAATAGGCTATTTGATCTACGATAAATTATTTTTATAGATAAGAAGAGTCCATTTAATTAGTGGTATTAGTAGTTCCATGTTCTTTCGAAGGTATATGAGGATGGGATATATTAATGCAACTTTGCAGTTGTCTGATCTCTTCAGAAGGAGGAAAAGGTATGTGATAGGAAGGCATTCATATATTCTTCTCACACATTTGAAGTGCCTTATTACCGCCTGCACTGAAGATCGATTTTTAGTTTCCATCCTTCAAATAGAGTGCAGCCGATGAATGAGTTGATCTCTTCCTTTGATGCCTTTCTTTTTTAACTTTTTAATTTCTCCAAATCATGAGCTTTTTCCTAAATATATTCTTTTTTTATTTTGTTCATCCGGTTAGATTATATGTTATTAAACAAGTTGTTTATATATACATACACAAACAACTTTCGTTTTGTTTCTGTATACTGTATGTCTCGTCTCATTTTGTACACTGTAAGTAAAAATGTTTTTGATTTTGCGTGAGTTGGGGATTTCCATTTCCAGTAATCATTTATTCATTATTGATTAGCGCATATATATATATATATATATATATATATATATATATATAAGGCGGGCTGGTCTTTAATTCATCATTTATAGTATTTTGCCTTTCTTGCTATTTTTTACCACTTTATATATAAATATAAATAAATAAATGAATATATACATATATTTATTTATATTTATATTATAAATATGTTTTCCAACAAATGTATTTAAATGGAGTAGACTGTGGTGATACGGTTTTGAATGGTCATTCTCTTTGTTTTATTTCTTGTTTTAAAAAATATTTTGATTTCAAATGTTTCATGTTTTCATATTTAATATTGTAGTTTTCAACTGTTGTATAATTTTACAGCTGAAATAATCATGAATGAAAGTTCGAAATTTATAATTGGTATCATCTTCTAATTGACTTACAGAAAAAAGTTTCATAAAACATTCCTTCAGTACATTGAAATTAATTGATGGTGGAAAGTGAAATATTGATTTTACAACGTATAAACTACATTTATGAAATTAAAATTGTGTTTCATCTTGAGCTGCGCAGTTGTGCAGATGTTAGCTACATTCATATCTCAATTAGCAAAGATGCAGCAATTTGATAAGTTGAACATCAGATTTTTGTGATATTAGCAGAGAAAGTTTCGTTCTTTTATTTTATACCATCATTCTAACAACCAAGTGAAGAAGTTATTAAGAAGTATGGTATTAGTTGATGATACTATCTGGTCGAAGTTACTGAATATGACAATGGTCAAATAGGAACCCATTATATTCATTTAATCAAGCCCTTGTTTCGCATTGCTGAGCGTAATTAAAAGTCCCACAATTTTTACGCTAACATTGGTCCTGATTTTAGAAGAATTCATCAATGAAATGCAAAAATGAAAAACTGGAAAGTATAAATCAATATTTAAGTTAAAAAATATCAACAATGTATGGAAATTTGTGTTAGTATAAATTTATTTTTAATATTAATAAAAAAAGTTTCTGGTTGAACACTGAAATTATTCATCCATCAATGCGTTGTCAACTTCTTTTATGGATTTTATCATTTCTTTTATGGTATATTCTATTTTCGGCATCATTTTGTGCTCATATTTTCCCTTATGATACAGTTGCACTTATTATTGAATTAATATTTTTCCAAATAATTTGGATGCTAGCTATCTGTTCGCTGTTTTCAACAACACTTATAACACCGGCAGAAATTCCGAAACATTTTGTACCACCGGATGATATCTTTAAGAAACGTAATTTTGTGAAAGAAATTGCAAGATGGGTATGTATATTTGAAAGTAATATATTTTTTGTTTTTAAAATTCTGTTATTTGAATGCTTCAATAACATACATCACTGTGTTGTAGGTAAAAGTTTGATTTTAGAGTAGTTAACTAGCTAGTGAATATTAATTTACAATCAAAAAAAAAGAAGTATATGTATTTTTACGAATAGATTAGTAATCAAATTCATATGTTCATTTGTCTTAACGTTTGAAATTTCCACATTTAAATGTTTCATCGTAATATCATTGCTAGTTAATCATTCACCTGTTTCAAACAATTGTTGTTAAGGTAAGTCTTCGATTTTTCGAACAAAAGCGCTCATTTCTTTTTTCATATTACTATCATTTGACGATAAAGTTCTTTCGAAACGATTTATTATAATAAAGAAAATAGCATAAATTTTAGAATTTTGTTGAAAATTCTTGATTTTCTCTTTTTTATTCTTGAGGCTACTGAAAAACAATTACCAGTACGTTATGTTACGATGTCAACAGAAGGTGGAGATATTAAATGTCCACCATTTTGCTTATATTGTAAAGTGATCAAACCAAATAGGACACATCACTGTCGCAGGTAAAAGCTCATTTTCAGGATAAATTTTCGTTTTTTTTTTTTTTTTTTTGAAGCTAGTGAGGTAAATTACTATTATGTTATGTTGAGCATGAAATTTACAATCATTCAATTATTATCGGAATGATATAAAATCATTTCATACAAAGCATTACTACAAATTACTTCAGAGCGAATTATCATTTTGACCTTATTATCATTGGCATGATTAGTACTGATGAAATTCCAATTTGATTTTCAAAAATTTTCTTTCCCAATGAATATTGTCAATATTTGTTCTATACCTCTATGATATTAGTGATAAGGGAGGATTTCATAATGTCATTTTTATAATGTCTGATAACAATGTTATTTAACTTTCGGATTAGATAATAAAAATATTTTAATAATAACATAGATTAAAATTTTAGCAATGATTTTTTCTCACTTATTGAATTAATATCTTCATAATTTACTCGATATAATTAATTGAATTAGAATTACTATACATCATATTTAAGGTAACATTAATTTACTACTATCTATCTATATGTTAATAAATTATTCAAATAGTTTTTTTAGTTTACAAAATTTTAATATTAAACACAGATGTAATCGTTGTATAATTCGTATGGATCATCACTGTCCAATAATTGGTCATTGTATTCATATGCATAATCATAAATTCTTTCTACTCTTCCTTTTTTGGTCAGTAATACTTTGTGTTTATGCTATTTGCATCACTATGCCAGCATTATCTCAACGAACAACAACTGTTATTTGGAGTTTTACAGGTAAATTTAATGAGAAAAGAAAAGAAAGAAAAACAATAATTCTGATTTTATTGATAACTAATTATATTATTATTGCGAAGATTTTTTTTATTATGTCTATGCTTTAAAGAAAAAAAATTTCATTAAGTTTAATTAACTTTTTACATTTTTTAAGGAAAGAAAAATTTAAGATATAAATGTTATCTTCTCTTTTCTCATTTTATTATCCAAATATAATTTTAGAAAATGTGAAAAATTTTTTAGTAAAAAAAAAATTTATAATAATTTAGTAATTTTATTATAATTTTTTAATTTTTAAAAAATGTTAATTTGAACAAAAAAAAATTTTTAAACTTACTATGTAGTAATATTTTTTATTAACAATTAAAAAGTTTAATAAAGTTCTTTTTTTTTTTTATTTTAATATAATAATGGAATTCAGAAATGTTAAATGCATTAATGCCAGGATATGTACGGCAAATTCCGCCATCTATCGATGGACTTTTTGCAACATGTTTAGTTGCTTCTGGTATACTCAATGCTTTGGTAATTATTAAATTTCTTTCTTTTTTTGTTTTTTGAAATTGCTTTTTTAATTTTTTTTAATTGATATTTCTTCTATACTTTAAAAAAAAAAAAACATTTTTTTTATTGTTATTATTTTACACGTATCAGATGCATTCTTCAATTTAAATATTATTTTGCTTTAAATAATGAAATTTATCTTATATAATTGAATTTATTATTAAATTCCCAATTAAAATGTTGGAAAGAAATTTATTAGATATGTGGTATTTCGCTTAGTATATTTTTGGGTCAATTAATATATTCATTATTACGTAATGAAACAACACTGGAAAGTGTAGGATTTCAATATTGTGATGCAAATAGTGATCATTATCATCATTATCACCATCAAATTGATAATATCTCCTATGATTTGGGCTCTGCTTGGCATAATTTTTGCTCTATTTTTGGCTATAATCCATTTTTATGGCTTTTGCCAATACATACAACGTATGATAATCCTTACTTTAATGAAAGTAATTTGAAAGTAATGTATAGAAAGAAAGCAAACAAATGAATGTTTAAATTGTTATATTGTAATTTTTGAATAAATTTCTTTCCCTTTAATATCTCTTAAATTTTTATTAAAGTTAACTTTACAAACGTATTGATAAATTATATAACCTTTAATACTTTTAAAATTTTTTATTAAAGTTTTTATTAAATTTTTATTAAAATGAAATTGTATACTGCTATTAAAAGAATTTAAAAGTATGTTGATTTGTTCTCATCAAAAAATTAAGTGGATTGAATGGAACTAATTATAAAATAAAATAAAATGGAAAAATTATTTCATTTATATACTATTAAATATGTATTTTTAGGCTAAGATTTATTAATTATATGAATCATAAAGTTAAAAACGAAATGTTATATATTTTTCATACTACTGAATGTGCTTTTTCTTTTTTTTTCATTCTTGTTTTTTTTTTTTTTTTGATTTGTTAGCAATATGTTTTTGATTTAATATAAGCTTAATGCTATTTCAATTATTTCAGTTGTAATATTAAGGAATCATATGTAAAAACGTACCCTTTTTTTCGACTAATACGATGTGAACTTCAAGAAATGATAGCAATAAGTAGATATATAATGTTATTCAACATTCGAGAGTATCTTTTACATTAACTTACATAATCTCAAAGTCTGAAATTCTTAGCGAAGTTTTTTTCCTTTTATTTGACAAAACATGAACGTAAATATTGTTATTTTCTCAACATATAACCTAGGAAAAAGTTCCACGAGTTCCGTGAAAGTAAGTGCTATCGAATTTTCAAAATTTCATATAAAAGTATGTGCTATCAAAGAAAATTTCACATAAAAGTAAATGCCGTTGAAGAAAAGGTTACATAAATATAAATGTTATCGATAGATTTATCGTAAAACATCAGATTAATCAAACTAACGGACTTAAAATTTTCATCTTATTCATGAATTGCGAATGATATAATTAGTGTCTTCCGATTTTGCGAAGAATTTAACAATGTTATATTTCAAGAAAATTTTGGAATATATTCAAAATCAATGAAACTTAAAAATTTTACGAGTATGTTAAGGTTGACGTGAACCGCAATCAAATCGCGTGGAATATGCGTGAAATTGTACCTCATTCATTTTATGATTAAATTAATAGTATAATTCAATTTCATTATATACGCATTTCTTCCTAAAATTACAAATATTTTGAAATTTACGTCATGGTTTTTCCTTTTTTGTATTTTACTTTTCCATATAAAATTAAATATATTCAATTAGTTGAAAGGTCATAGAACAGATATTATAATTTTCGATTATGTAAAATTAGTTACTCTAACTAATCGATCAAACATCACTTACTGATAGTGCATAATGCACATCCAATCTAAGCGACTGGAAATATTCGCTGATCATAAAATATTATCCTAAATTAGCAAGAAATTCGAAATCATCTAATTTTACCACACATACTAAAATTTATCAAATGAAATTAATGGTTTATCGATCACAAAAATTTTCCATATTTATTGCATGAAGTACATTTTCTAAATTTTGTTTTTTTGTTCCCAAAAATTAAGAATTTTTAATAAATAATTGCATAGTTTTTAGATTTGAACCTTTGTATTATTTCGTAGTAAAAAATGAGAGTTAAAAGTTTTTTTAGTTTTAGAAAAAAAAGAAGGAGAAATGTCTCAATTTCGATTTTTTATGCAGTACAGAATTAGTTACGAATTTTTTCAACATAATTTGCTTCGTTCTTAAACTGATTCATAATTTTCATATAAAGGAATTTTAGCGCTTCATTAATTTGGCATAGAATATTAATAATATTTTGTTGGTACATATATCGTACACAATAAACAATGTTTCATTTTCACAAAAAACAATTTTTTGATTTTTAATTGAAAAAAAAAACTGCAGAATAATAAAATAATTAAATATTTTTTGAATTTTAAAATCTAAAAAAATGTTTTTTGCAGTGTTAATTTATAGCGGTTCATTTTAAAATTTGAAAAAAAAGTTCAGAAATCAATCAATTTTGCAAAGTGTTTGATTCTTTGATATTTTTGACATTTTGATTTTACTATTGTGATTTAATTTAAGAAAAAAAAAATGAAGAAATTGAGAATCCAAACATAAAATGATTTATAATGAAATCCTCTTTTTTAAATTCATCGAATATTTCAAAAAAAAAAAGAAAAGAGAAAAGAACGCTGTTATGGTTATCTATAGCTTGATATAAGAAATATAAACACATTCAGTAAAATTGTCACCAACTACTTTGTCATCTAGCAGATACACACACACATCAGAGAAACTTGTTTTAAATATACCATCCAATTTCCATCACTGATTTATTTTTTACTCAAATATGCAAGATCAATTAACATTTTCGTAAAGTTGGATAAAACATTTAAAATTTATTAATTTAAAATTAAAAAATGATTTGCAAAAAAAAAAAAAAAAGACTAGACAAAAAAAGGAAATAAAATTTTCAACGATTTTTTTTACAAACATAGCAATTATTTATATTATTACTCATTACTGTTTAATATATTTTTTCTTTAAATATCAAATTTTATAATATATAATTGTATAAAAACGAAAGAATTTTTAGTATTATTAAATTTTTAGTAATATTTGTATCGATTATTTTTAAAGTAATACTGATTTGGTATCTATAAATTTCATGCTAAATATATTTTTAATAAATTATACAAATGAAATTGTTGAGTTTTATTTTTAGATGATTGAAAAAAAGAAAAAAAATGATATATGGAATCATAAATTTCATATGTAATACGTTTTTTGTAACTATTTCCTAATAACTATTTGCTAAATGAGTAATTAAACTACTCATTTAATTAAACAAAATGAAATTATTGATTTTTACTCTCTAATAATATCCAAAATGTCACAAATTTCACATACAATATATTCGCTTACATATTTATTTGTTACATACAATTTAGAAATATCTATATGAGATTGTTTTAACAGATTGTAAGAAGTAAATAAGATTAGATAAGACATGATATGATAAGACAAATGGGATTGATAAAATGATAAAATGAGCCACTTCAATCACCGGAACAGATGTGTTGTTAAGTTAATTACACTAAGTAAGAAAGAAAGGAAGATAAATCTTCCGAATTTTAAAGATTATAAGCATTCTTAAACTTTTTCATTTTACTTCCTTCTTTTCATCTCTATTTTTTTATTTTCTGTCTACCTCCTTTCTTATCACACTCCCCTTCTCTCTCTCCTTCTCTTTGTTTTTCCTTTCTTCATCCTTTTTGCTTTTTGATTAAAATGAAAGAAAAAAACAAACAAATAAATAAAAAAAAGAATTTGTATTCTTCATAAATAGTTTAATTGTAAAATTCCAATACATTTCCTCCTGAAAGAACTTTTTTTTTTTAAATCAACAAAAATCGTTGGAAAGAATTTCTTTTATTTTGAAAATAAAAAAATTTGTTCTGTGAAATTTTCTCGTCGTATTTTTTTTTTTTTTTTTTCATTCTTTTTTCACATTTATTTGGAAAACATATTCAAATTAAATTTTATTTGCATGCAAAAGAAAGAAAACTGAAAATAATGGCATAGCTAATTTTTATTTTTAAAAGCCTAACAAGCATGATTTTTTTTTTTCTTTGAAAGCTAATTTATCTTATTGCATTTAGTTAAGCCTACAAAAAAAAAGCAAATTATTAGAGTTAAATGCATACTGATCATTTTGAAATGTTAATTTTTTCCAATATATCTTCAGAAATTTTTTTCGATCCGAAAAACTTTTCAAATCATTTCTGTTGACAATTTTGCAAACGTTTTTGTTTTTAAAAATTTCGTAAAAGTCTTTCAAAAATTTTGTTAAAATAATGGAAAGATTTTTTGGGATATATAAATGAGTTTCAAATAATAAATGGTAAAAATAAGCCAGTCGTAAAATTTAAATTCAAATTATAATAAATAAATAATGACTGGTAGAACAAAAAAAAAATTTCTCTCCAAGGAATGAGAGAAATTATTAAGCAATTTTGATGTTAATTTATACTCAAAGAATGATAAGAAATGCAATTGATTTTAGAATTTAAATAGAAATTATTCATTTTTTGTCTTTTCAAAATATGTTAATTTTTTCCTTTTTTTTTTTTTTTTTTTTTTTTTTTTTTTTTTTTTTTTTTTTTTTTTTGGGTAAGGCAAAGCAGGGCAACGAGTTATTGTTGTTTGCATTGAGCAAAATTTTATTTAGTTTGAAATTTTATTTTGAAATTATATTTGCAGAGTAAATTAAATTTAGCTATTTCTAGAAGTACTCAATGGCAAAAAAAAGATAATAGTAACATAATACATTCACATTACATTTATATGCTAAGAATTTTAAATCATTGCAATTTAAAAAAAAAAAAAAAAATTAATATTTCAACATATTTTTATATCTTTGAAAGATTTAAATGCTTTTTTTGCACAGAAATATTTCGCATTTACAAATAGATGAGATCAATTTCAAATACTTAATTTTACAATAATCAATTTATGAAATTATACAAATTTTTTTGAATCAAACAAATGTTGCATTTCCAGCATCGCTAATAAATGAGCTATTCATTGAACATTCTCGAAAACTGCCAAATTTTGGTGATCGTGAAAAAGAGCGTCTTAACTGTGTACCATGTCGTATGATTTGAGCTCGTAAGCTATCAATCTGTTGCAATGATTTGCCAAATCGATCCGATTGATCTGATCGCATATTGCCACAGCAACGGAATGCGCATACACAACCTAATTAGAAAATATTTTTGATATTTGTTTAATTTAAACTAAACTAATAAATTAGTTTAGGTTTAAAATTTATAGAAAGTTTCATTTCCTTTACTAATCAATATTTTTTCAATATTATTCGTTTGTTTCTATCTCATCCTATTCTTTTCGATAAATAAGAATTTTTTTTTCTGTTTGTTTTTTCTTCTTCCTTCAGTTTTTTTTTTTTTGTTAAAATTCAATCAATTTGTTGAAACTAATCATAAATAGCAATAATAAATAAAACTTTCCACTGAAGAAGAAAATTTTAAATTTGCAAAATTTAAAATTTAATTAAAAAAAAATATATCAATGCATTACTTACATGTAATCATAATAGTAAGTAAAACAGCAACACCAACAGCAATAATCAATGATAATGTACCCGTATCAATACGAACTTCTGGTTCACCTTTTAATTCATTGTGTAATGCTGCTGGAAAGAAAAAGGAAACTTTGAAAAAAAGAAAAAACAGTGAGAAAAAAATGATAAAAACGATAAATGATAAAATGATAATATTTCAGTGATGAAAATAATACTGCAGAATGATTGATATTATGTGTAATTAACAATTTATTAGAAACTGATAAGTCAGTTAATTAATTAACCAATTAATCAATCAGCTGACTTAATTATTGAGTTTGGAAACTGTAACTTTATGACAATTTTATCGCCATTACTTTTTTGATAAAAACGATAAATTTTTTTTCTATTTTTTTAAAAATAATGACACGTTAATAAATTTTAACAGTCATATAATGTGTAAATGAACTATTTTTATGTTAAAATTTTCGGAATTAATTAATTAATAATTAACAAATAAAGTTACCGATGACCCGTTTAAGCGCTTCATACCATTTATCATTTTGTATTAAATTATTTACATCGTCTAAAATTCGTCGCCTTTCTCTAGCCGTAACATATCGTTGAGCAAGTCGAGCTGGCCAAATAATTATCTTAAAATTTTAATTTCTAAATCAATTAGTTTCATAATTGTTTATATCATTTATACTAATTATTACATCAATTTTATCTTCCTTTATCATTCAATCAACTAGTCCAATCGACCAGTTAATCAATCAATTAACACTTCGTATCTTAAAAAATATTATCAATTTTGTCATGCAAATCACGTATATTCCTATAATTAACCTACAAAAGTTCACGTAGTTAACGTGAGAGGAAGTGTACACTTACAGGAAAAAGCTGAAGTTAGTAAAAGTAAAGAAAGTAAACTTATTAACGTATACCTTTTTATAATGTTTCCATATAAATACAAGGACCGAATTACCGCAATCACCAAGTGCCCAGCGTCCTTCAAGTGTACGACAAAAACTTTCTGCTCGATCTAATAATTGCCTGAATAATTTATTCCATTTTAACATTTGATATAAAATTTAAATCGTTAATATCTCAAAATTTATTATATATTCCATTTTATAAAATTGTCTTTTCTAAATTATTCTCATTTCAATCAATTTAAAAAAAAAAGTATCAAAAAAAATTTGCCTAAAAATTCAATTAATTAATTGTTTTACTCTTTTTTTTTCTTTAATGAAACATTCCTCCCTACTTTTTCGTCGTTATTTGAATAGATTGAAATTAGATGCTAATTTGATTATTTCAGTCAAATGCTAGCAGCTATTTTTGATAATTTAATAAATATGATAATTAGTTAGATGCAATTAAGAACAATGATTAAAACTATCAAGATAAAAAATAATATTATGAAAAAAAAAAATTATTAAATTATACAAATGAAAAAGCAAGTAAAAAATATAAATATTAAAATTATTCATGCATATGTATTTTGTTTGATCCAATATTACAGTTAAATAACAATAAACGACTATCAAAAAAAAAAAATCTATATTGAATTTTATTTTTGCATTTTTTTTTTTTTTTTAAGAAAGATATTATTTGTGGATTTACATATAATATTTAGCAATAAATTACATTATATTTAGAAATAATTGTAATTTTTGAACAGCTCATTTTTTTCTTTTTTTTTTTTTTTCAATCTATTCGAAAGACCAATTAATTAGTACAACAATTATAAATGTTAAAATGTTAATTGAAAGTTTAAGTTTTAAAAAGTACAAAATGATGATTAAGAATCAGCGTTAAAATAAGATTATTATTTGAAAATATCATATCATTGAAAAGATGAACTGTTCGGATGGACTGTGAATGGTCATTTGTAAATTGTTGACCAATGCAATTGATGCAACAAATCCGTGAAATGGACTGTTGACATCATCACCTGTCGCACATTGTGATCGTCGTTGACAGTGACATGGTGTACCAATGGTTAAATTATGAAGTTGTTCGTTTAATAATTGTGCTAAAAAGAACAAATTGAATCTTTTAAAAAACTATTTTAACAAAAGTAATCAAAAAATAAAAATAGTTATAAATTATGTATGTGTCTAATATTAACTTAATTAAAATGTTTTATAATTTTGAATGAAATTTTTCGCTTTAATAATTTGATAAAATAATAAGTTTAGCTTAAAATATTTATGATATTATCCTGTAATCGATGAGTTTTTAATTAAGTGAATTATGAAAAAATTACCTTCTGAAGCATTAAGGACATGATCAGGATCACAAATATAGTATTGTTCACCTGGTGAAATTTTAACAGCACATTTTGATACAGTTGGACCACGTAAATCTGGATAGCCTGAGCTTGTCCAATGTGTTAGGCTCATTTTACAATACAATAATATAGCCATTATTTGAATTATTATTAACGAGTATAGTTTCATAGTAAAATTTTACAATAGGAAACTTTGGAAGATTTTAGATGAATTCGCATTCTTCTGTTATACAAGTAAATAATAGCAACAATAAATCGCATATTTCATAAATTTTAATTTATCTGAAATTAAATTAAAAAAAGAACTGTTCAATTCTTTTATAAATTTAAATAATAATTATATTCGAAAAAAAAAAAATTTGCAAGGAGAGACTATGAGATGTAATGAAATAAATGTTTCACATATACTATTCAAATTCATTTAAATTGCTAACATTATTAAAGTATACATTTAAAAATTTTTAACAAATTTTCCCTCTTTTTGAAAAGATTATTTTTATTAATTACAAAGTTTTTGCAAATTATTAAATATTATAAAATTCTTTCAAAATTTTCTCTTGACTTTTTTTAAATTAAAAAAGGGTTTGCAATAATAATTGAACTTTTTAAATTACTAAAAAATATTAAATTTAAAAAATTTTGATTTTTTTTTTTTTTTTTTTTTGGAAGTTCTGACAAATTTTTACCAAACAATTAAAATCGTTAATGATAATAAAATGAAAACAAAATGGCAAAAGTTTTCTAACAGTATTGCAATTGATGAAGTCAACAAGTACATGTTTAAGAAAAGTATTATTTTGTTTGAAATTACGAGTATGTTTGTATGTATGTATGTATGTATGCACGTACGTATGTTTATATGTATGTATGTGTCTGTTTGGTTACTTTGAAATTGTTTCGTTGGGATGTTTGTTTGATTAGTCTTTCAAAGAAAAGCTTTGAAGAAAAAAGAAAGAAATTCAAAAAGTATAACATATGAACTTGTTAGCTAAAATAAATTTTTTTAATAAATGAAATAAAAATGAAAAAGAGAAAAAAACTAAAAAGAAAATAATTAAATAAAATCTAAAAAGAAAGGAATGAAAAAAAACGAAAGTTAGAATTAAAAATTAAAAAATGAAATAAAAAAAAAAATACATAAAAGTGGAAAATAAAAAGAGTTGGTGAGAAAAATAAAAAAGAAAAGAAAGAAATGAGATGAAATGCAAATGAAATTGCACAAATATGTAATGTAAAAGAAGAAATTCAAAAAAAAATAATTTTTAGTAATAACAAAAAATTGATTAGTGAAATTGAAATTTTATCAATCAATTTTTTTTATTCATTTTATTTTATAATCCATCAAAAAAACAAAAAAATATATATATAATTTTTAGTCATATTTTTATTTGTAATATAAAATAAAATAAAAGTTTTTTTTGTTAACTCATTTTTTCTTTGTCTTACTTTCATATTTTATATTTTTGTAAGTAAAACCAAAAGTAAGGAAAAAAAAGAAAAAAGTGAAAAAAAACATTGGCAAATTTTTTTTCAAAAAAATTTTTTCAACGAAACTTTACTTTTCTCTTTTTTGTTTTGTTATACTATATTTTATTTAAAAATAAAATAAGTGTGTAAATAATTGCAGTACTGATGTTTAGCTTTTGAGAAACTTTATACAGATTTGAGAAAAAAAAATTTTTTCAAACTGATTCTTTAGCTTTAATTTTTCAAATGATAAATGACAAAAAAAATGAATGAGAAATCCTTTCGCATTGTTGCAAAATTTCATTTTATAAATTAAATTTAAAAGAGACATAATATTTGTATTAATCTCATTTTTATTTATCATTTGAATCTTTTTTACTAAAAAATTAAAACATATAAAAAAATAAAAAATACGCAAAAATTTAGATTTTAATCAAAAAGTAAATTGGAATATCGAATAAATCAATTAATTGTGCGATTTAGTCTAACAAAAACCAAAATATTTGAATATCGCACTGAATTTAAAAGTAAAATATATTTAAACAATTTCAAAAACTAAATTATTTACTTATGAATTAAGTAGTTTGTTGTAAATGTATTTTAGTAGATGCAAATAAATGGTTAAGAAAAGTATTATAATAAAAATAATATTTTAAGCATAAGTTGAAAGTAATTAGACTATTTGATGACAAATATGATTTCAATAAATTAAGAAAATTTTAAATTAAAAATATTTCACTTAATGGTAACGATATGAAGTAAAACTTTGAATTTATTTAAGTAAAAAAAAAAAGTAGAAAAAATTTTTTCAACTATCTCAATAATCTTTTTTTCCTTTCTTTTCTTCCCACCTCTCTCTTTCTCTCTCTCTTTCTCTCTCTCTCTCTTTCTCGTCCCAAAATTAGCTTCCTATTTTTTTCTTTCCCTTTTTTCCTAAAAAAAAAATTATTTGAAATTTAATTTAATCCATTCAATGATCCATTCAACCATTAATCAAAAAAAAAAATAGAAATGTGGTCGAGTAGAAATAAAGAAAATTTTGTCAAATTTTTTTTGAAGAATTTTTTTTTTTTTTAAATGATCAATAACTAAATGTCAAATATAAGAAGAGTGAAATGAATGTTCAGAGAAGAATTTACCGCACAAGTAGTAAATGAGCGAAGAACTTTCGAGATGATATGGATGCTCGTTAATCACACTTATCCATCAAAAATTTTTTGCGCTTCTTCTATCTTTTTAAATTTCTCACCATTAGCTATTTACATTGTAAATAGTAGTAGCATTTAGCATATGAAACTTTGTAAACAAAATATTCTTTTTCTTTTCTTTTTGTTGTTATTGTTGTATTTACAAAACTATTACAATATATATATATATAAATGAAAAAACGAACATAAAAAAGCTTAAAACATAGAATTATGCAATTAAGCAAACAATCAATTAAATCATGAAAGTAAACAATGCTTTAAACATCAAATATATAATCAAATAATGCTTAAATCAAGCTTAAAACAAGCAATCAAGCAGGTGTTTAAAGCATGCAGCTTGCAGTTAAATAATGAAAAGTGATAAATCATTCAAAAATTATTGGATAAAATGAGATGTAAGTGTAGAAGTGATAATTGATAGTTATGTAAGAGATTTTTTATCAGTGATCGATATTTCTCGTAATGATATGATTGAAATTAATATTATATATTTGAGCAATTTACGGTAATTTTGGTTACAAATGCTATTATCAGTTGGTGAAAATCTTTGCGAAGAAGTAGTACTGATAATTTACTTCCCTACTTATTTATTTGACTTTGACCCTTTTAAGTTAAAATGATAACTTTGTTTGAATTCATAACTTTTTTCTCAAAGCAATAAATTCAAATGATTAGTTTCACAAATATTAATAGAAAAAAAAAACATGCCAAACTTAAATATTTTTAGAATCAATTTCAAATAACGCTTATGTAAAAAATATTATCAAAAAAAAAAAAAAAAAATCATAAATTTAATTTTTGAAACATATAATAATGCATTATAGACTGGTAAATTTAGTGCCACATCAAAAATAAACATAAAGTAAGTTAAAGTTTAATTAATAGAATCAAATTAATAAAAGAGAAAGAAAATGAGTTAACAAAATATTTCTTCTATAAATTAATTAAAAAGTTTCTTCTAAATTTAAAAAATATTTAGGGAAAAGATTGACTGACGAAATATTTCATCTAAATTTATAATTGTCTTTAACGTATTAATCAATCTATTTGGTTCTTTGGCAAAAAAAAAAAGAAAAAAATTTAAATATTCTTACATTGTTTCAAAATTTCGTTTTACAAATTAAATTTAAAATGGACATAATATTTGTATTATTTTTAGTCTTAATTATCATTTGAAATTAATTATTGAAATTGTATGCAAATAATATGTTGAAAGTATTTTAATTATTTCATTAATCAATCTTAGGACAATATTTGCTTGTGACAAAATGATAACAAACATATTAAAGTGATAAAATTTAATGATCCTATTTTCAGGCTAAAATGAAAATTTTACAAAACTTGCAACATGTCATAAGCTGAAGTGTCAAACATTTTCAACTACGATCTCAGATTGCTCTTTGGTTTCTTGTTAGAGTTAAAATTGGAACAACTGGCGCTTTTTTTTTTTTTTTTTGCTCTAAAATATTTTTTTTTTTGAATGGAAAATTTCGACGAAAAAACAAAACGAAAAAACCTTTCAATCAATATTCCCATCTTCAGCATTTGTTGACATTTTTTGTTAATTCTAACTTAAATTTCAGTACTGATTTTGTAATTATTAAATGCAGTCTCTTATTTGTGTAATTCCTGTTTTTATTTTAATTGTTTTAATTTATTTAAAGTTGTTTTAATTGCACATTATTACCATATTAGGTTGCAATTTTATGCGACTCTTTCATATATTTCATCTTATTATATTCATGTAATGGATGGAAAACATTGAAAAAAAAAGCCAAAAAAAAAACTGAAACGGAAAATCGACCAATCAATATTGAACTTTATATATTAAGCATTTTAATATGAATGCTTATATTAAAGCAAATTATTTCAGTGAGTTTTTACTTTTCTTTTGTTTCTTATTTTTTTCACTTTTCTATTTTATTCATTTATTTCATATTTTAATTTTAACATTTTTTTATTTCTAAAATAAAATTTAAACTCAGTTAAAATTTAAATACCCAGTATTATTTATTACTCATTAATAACTCGCTCAAAATTTGCATGCCAATCACTAATTATCTTTGTCATTATTATTATCATAGTGATAACCGATGTTTAATATTTCAAACAAGCAACAAGATTTGTTTGTTTCAAGTGTTATCAAAAAAAGAGGAAGCCAATCACATACATTCCCGCTATTGTCATCTGTCCTCTTTCCCTTTATCTCCTCCCCCGTTGATCCCCCGTCTCTCCTCGGCTAATTAAATTATCCAGTTGTCGACGTTTGCATTGACATACATTTTCTATCCGTTTGGTATGCACAACACTCAAATTTCCACTACTATCATTCATCGATAGAACAACCAATCATTTCAACGTTTCTTTCATTTTTTTCTCATTTTAATTTATTTGTTTTTAATTTAATTTCAAAATTTTGAATTTATTTTTAATCTTTAATTTCTTTTTATGTTTCTATAAATTTAAAGAGAAGCAATTTTGGATCATATAAAATGTATGACCGGATAGTTTGATTGATTGAAAATGAATCCGGAAATGTTTCGCTTAAAATGATAATGTTAATCTATTGTTGATAACATTAAATGAACCATTTAATTGAATTTAGTTAAGTAAGCATCCGGTAATGCTATCAACAAACTTTGCTATTTGTTTATTCTCGATAAAACATAATGTCAGTTTTTTCCTTTCCCAAAAAATCGCTTCCTGTTACTTTCAGGATATTTTTACAGGGTTAGCAAAATTAGATGAGGATATACGTAATACTTGCTTTAGCAAAGATAGCAATTGCCAAGGAATGCAAAAATGATGAGTGTGAAAATCGATGGCCTGGCGCAATATGTCGTAATGGGCGATGTGCTTGTCCACAGGATAGCATCAGGTTAGTAGACATATTATAATTATCATATGAAAATAAGAAGAAGGAAAGGTGGATAAGAAACCGTAATAACGGAAATATTTTGTGTTAAATTATAAGAATAGACAAAAGTTCGAAAAAAACATTAACGAAAAAAATTAGATACAGCAATGCAGAAGAAAAAGTGATTCCAATGGTTGGATATGTTTATCACTGATAGATGCTAGTACGGGTATGCTTGGACCACCATTTACATGTCCATTACCAAGTGGTACCGGATATCGTTCGATATTGTACCGTAATAACGAGCCGGTATTTTGTCAAACATTAGAAGAAAATAATTGTCCAGAAGGATATGAATGCATACAGTCAATTGGACTTAGCACTGCAGCCGGAAATGGTGTGTGTTGTCCAAGAAAAGGTTAAATTAATACTATAAAAAATTTCTTTTATTTTTCTTTTTTAAGTTTGAAAATTGCATGATTTTTTTTTTATTTTCAAAACTTATCTAAATTTAAAGATAAAATTTTGGCAATTTGTTTTTTATTTTTTCTTTTGTTTAAAAAAAAAAAAAAATGGAAAAGTATTGCTGTTCATTGTTCATTGTAAAATTTAATTTTTTTCCTCTAATTAAGCTCAAATTTTCTTTCTTTTTTTTTGAAAAATGGGATATTTTTGCAGAGACAGCTTGTCTTCAGCCAGTTTGTCAATCAAAAGATGGATGGCTTATTCGTTGGTATTTTAATGGTGAAACATGTGAATCATTTCGATGGAATCCGGAAGTTGAAACAAGCGCCAACAATTTTGTCACTAAACAACATTGTTTATCATATTGCGCATTCGTAAACAGTGAATCCATCAATCAATCAATCTGATAAACATATTATTTTGGAAAAATTATAAATTATTTTCTTGCAGTAATTTTCAACAGAATTTTTTTTTCCTTTTCAAAAGAAAAAAATTACACAAATTGTAAATATATTGTATGCAAAAATTTATCTAAATCAGAAACAATCATTGAAGCATTCTGATATTGAAATTTTAGAAAAAAAAAAAAACATGAATAAATCGTTGATAACATTGCGTTATCTTTTGCAAACTTTTATTTTTTTTTCTTTTCAATAAAATTTCTACTTAATTATTTTAAAAAATGTTTTGTTTGATGCAAAACGACGATACAAAATAAAATGAATCGAATGTAATGGAATAATTTCATTAATAAATAATATAACATAAGTAAATATAGCACAGGCAAAATTAATTTCAATTCAAAATATTTCAATATTAGCAGTTGAATGGAAATTTTGGAAATATTTCAGTTTTAACAATTGTCTTCATGAAGTAAACTTCTTATAGTTTCCTTATGCATCACATAATTCTTTTTATATTACTTTCCGTTTTTCTTTCTTTTTAAAAAATAAAAAGATTAATAATCGAATTTTGTCCTCTTTTCCGATGTTAGCATCTTAAATCTGAATAATCAATCTTACATTGTCATACTTTAGGCGACTATTCATCAATATATTTATAATAATAATAATAATAATTGTTATTATTATTACTATTATTATCATTTATTATCATTACTGTTATTATTTATTATTATTACTTGTTATTATTTTATTACTAATTATCATTTTATTATCATTTGTTATTATTATCATTATTATTGTTACAATTATTGTTATTATCATTTATCATCGTCATTATTATTATTCTCAATATTATTAACTATCACAATCACTAATTTCTGTTTGTATTATAGCGTAATAGTGATTGATTCATTGCAATTAATGCCAGATTGGATTTAAAAGAGAATTTGAAATTTGGTTGGAAATTAGATGAAGCGTAGTAATTTATTCTTAGAATTATTACGAAAAATAAAATAATATAATATCTTTTCTCTTTTAAAGGGAATGTGTATTTCATAAAAATCTATGATGAATTAATAATATAATTTATAAAATATACTATCACATTTCGGGTGACTATTAATTCTTCCCATGAAAATGTGTAAATTTAAAAAAAAAAAGAAAAAATATTTCATTTAATATTTGATAGAAAGAACGATTGAAAAACTATTATGTTTCATTGAATATTTATTATCCATTTGTACTATCCAAATATGTTACATAAATTATGAAACTTTCATTGCTTTTCTCAAATAATTTACATCATTAATGGGTATCTTTCAATTGAAAAACTTGAGATTTAATCGTATAATTTAGATGAATTCGAACAAAACAAAGAACAAAAAGTTTTAAATCGCGTAATTTAGCTAAAGTGGCTTATAGTCATTGTGTATAAATTTATTTCAAAGATAAATATTGAATTACTTTCTGAAATCAAATTAATTGTTACATTACTTTGTTATTTATTGAGCAGATATTAATTTTCATCGTTATTTCTTATTTAATATTTTTGTGGGATTTAAAAAAATTGTGCAAGGTTGTTTAAACCATATGTTTACAAACTTCAAATGATAACAATCAAAATATTTCTTATCGTCGTGCTAGCTTAATCAGTAGGGCTTTTAATAGGATGCTAAGAAATTAGTTTGTTAAAGACTGACTGATTATCAAAAGACGATCTTACTATGTGATCATAATCTCCTTGATTGATTATCAAAAGATAATCTTACTGATTAGACATAATTTGCTTGATTGATTACGGAAAGATAGTCGTCCTGACTGGTTATGACTTCATGATTGATTACAATATAAAAAGATAATCTTCTCACTGATCAGTGAGATTATGAAAAGATAATTCTATCGTGTTATCAGCATATTATCATCGAATATCCTTACAAATTAACATATAACAGTACAGTGAAAGTTGCAATATAATTAGCAAAATTAGCCATTATTTTTAACTTATTTCGAACGATGAATGAATGTTGACTATTGACTAGAAAGATTTACAGATAATATATTAATAACAAATAAATAATTGGACTGCTATACTATTTAAGCCATTTAGTCTACCAATACAGCTTGTTTGGAAATTCATAAAATAATAATTTAACTATTCATCACTTTCAGCACTAATCAAGAATTGTAGTTTCCGAAGAACAAGTTAGTAACACATTCGGGATCCGGAAATGTCTAATTTACTAAGCCTAATTTATCATAACATATACCAAATTAAATTAATGATTTATTCTATCAGCTCGAATTATATTAGGAATTACAAATAGAAGGCAAAAAAAAAAAAGACCTAAAAAATCAAAAAAGAATCAAATCAAAATTTTTATTTAAAAAAACAAACAAATTTTTATAGTAATAATAATAATAAACAATAAAAATCAGGAAAAAAGTGTAATGAATAAAGTACAACAAAAAGAAAAGCAAATATTAATGAAATAGTATAATATATTAGAGATTACCAGAGATTGAGAAAAAATTTGAAATAGTCGCAGTTTATAATAATACCCAGTGATTGAGAGTAAAATATTTTATTATAATTCGGAGATATAGTAATAATTCATAAGAAAAACAAATACAATCAAATAAAAAATAACATCCACGAATGATATAACTACAAGAAGAATGATTCTTGACAGGTTGGTGCTTGATTTGCTATTTCCCACTTCTTTTAATTTACCCATTTATTTCGTTTCTTTTACCTCTCAAGCCTTTACTCTATTCATCAATTCCCGTATTTTACCCACCCGTGTTTTCCCATTAATTTATTGGTCACTTCTGCAGTATGAAACAACAATGAAATTAAATAAAAACAATATAGGATAAGTTAGCAATACTTATCTTTTTTCTGTTTTTCCTTTTGTTTTAATTTTTAAAAGCTTTGTGAGATAAATAATACTAATCAATTATTAGTTTTGTAATATATTTGCTTGATTCGATTCTTTTCGTTTATTTTGCATAGAAAATTATATAACTGAATTGATTATGCTTGTAGAATTGATTTAAAAAAAAGTATTCCAAACAATTATTTATTTTATGTGACACTTTTGCTCATTTGTTCTATTTTAGTTATTAATTTTTTTTTCTTACTTCAAAATTGCTAATGTACGTAATAAACGAAGCGTACGTAAAGCTAATGTATAAATGATTTATTATAGCATAGAAAATTATTGCATTAATTTGCAGAATATATTTAGTCGTACGTTTATACATCTCATATTTGCATACTAATTTATAATTGATTATATAATATGAAAGATTATTGTCAAACTGCAAATTATATTTAATCGTACGTGTATGCATTTCATATTTACATGTTAATTTTCAATTTTTTCGTTTTTTTCCTCTTATATGCAAAATGTTTTATTGTTAAATATCAGTTTTGGGTTTCTAAATTATACGCTCAAATTTAAAATTAGCTAAGTATAAATATTTCATGCTAGATGGAATTAAATATTTGCTCAGTTTAGATTTTTCTTACATTTTTTATTATAAATTAATATTTGTGAAATTTTTTAGATGCAGAAGGAAGTCCATTTCAGATCTTCGAGTTTCTTTTAATTTTCATATTCAAACTTGTCAAAATGTTTGGAAGTTACGGTACCGGAAATGGTAATGGTAACAAGTTGAATTTACGAACTGAAATCTTGGAAGGATTATTAGCGTCGATGGGGGAGGGAAAAAATGCAAAAGTAAATTTATTGAAACAAACAATCATGAGAAATAAGACGGATATGGCGGGTGACGCATTTCGTTCGCTTGATTTAATGCGGCAGGTATATTTTTGCTTTAATAAGTGATTAGAATACAATACTTAGGTTTCATTTGTTTTAATTATTTGTAAAATTTGCGAGAAATTGATTCAAAACTTCAACATTTAATATGAAAGCATATAGACTTGATTAACAATAGTTTATTTTGTCAAAAAATTGACTTTAATAGTTTTTGAATCGTTTGTTCGAAAAAAAGCATTTGAAATGAGAAAATATTTCGAATGCATTATTCGCTAGATTGTGTTTTGGGATGAAAAAAAAAAGGACTTAATTTAATAGGTTTGGAACTTTTTATTCACTTTTTTTATGACAAGTCATAAATGAAATGTCTCGCAAAATGAAAAATTATATCTTTCATTCGTTAGGTTTTTCAATCTGAAATGACCGATGAATTTCGTCAAATCATTGAACGGCACTTAAGGACAACTTTCTCTCCAGCACTGGAAAATCTTCAGAGAAATGGACTGGTTCGTATTACTTTCTCTCCAGCACTGAAAAAACAACTTTCTCTCCAGCACTGGAAAAAAAAAAAAAAATTCAGAGAAATGGAAGAATTTTATTATAATTTTTTCTTACCACTAACAGACTATTATTTCATTGCTGAAGAATATAGATCTAAGCATTCGATCAAATTTATGCGTATAGTTATTACAGCAGAGATATGCTAAATTAAATAATCATATAATCTTGATGATACTGCTACATTTTTCACTTTTAAGCGGAAAACATCTCGTATTCAATGTTAATTTATTTCATAAATATTAATTTGATCATCTTTTCTTTTTCATTTTATGTTCAGGAAGTAACAGAGGATGATATTAAATGCTTATGTCGTAGCATTCTTGAAGCAGCTAAAAAGCCATTTTTATGTGAAAAACAGATGGAAGGTTTTTCAGAAAGAGGATTAGAATCTCCAAAGTAAGTTGTTTTTCACTCATTGGTATTCGCACATTATTCATTGCCGTATAAATGCCTTTTTGTTTAAAATATTTGGGCTTAAGGAAGAAGAAACGATACAAAAGTTATTACGCTTTGTAATTAATTATCATTGTTATTGTTTTTTTTTTTATTTATTTTATTTATTTATTTTTTTTTTTTTTGAAAGGATGAAACATAAAATATTCTTGTCAAATCTTCCATGAGAAAAAAAAAGTGGTATTATAAGGCTAAATTATGAAAAGTTGGTTCATTGCTCCCTTTATGATTGTAAAAAACAGTAGTTGAAACTTAATGTTTGTTGCAGTTTCCCGATTAATACTGAATCGGATATGGATAGCGAAACAAGTGTTGTTAATTTTGTCGTACATCAACGTTCAACAACAATTCCTCCACGTGGAAGAAAGCGCGGTCGTCCTCCTAAAGTTGGATTTTTATTAAATTTTATCAAATGTTTTTTTTTTTTTTCTTCGATCGCTTTATATTTATATATGTTAATTTCCACTTTTTTAGACAGATAATCCTGGTAGAAATACACCGTCATATATTCATATCAGTGAAATGGTTACCGAATCAGATATGGTTAAGGTACTTCCTTCTATGCGTATTGTTTCATAAATAGAATATTTTTGAATTCATTATTTTTTAAATACATTCATAAATTTTGAAATATGAAAATGTGTTATGATGAGTATGGTTTTATTAAAATAATCGAAAGTTTCATTTGTCATTTTTTGCAGTGGAATCCGGATCGTGTTTGTTCATCATCGCAGTTTATTCTTGTAACAAAAGTTTCTCGATTGCTGATGCTGAACAATTATCACGAATTATTCATGAGATACCCAACCATTTTCCGGGTAAATTAACTTTCCTGAATTAATTTTTAAAATATTATTTAACTTCAGTAGCTCGAAGTTCAAATTTTTTTTTATTTCTTTTATCAAAAATAAAAAAATATCCGTAAGATTGGTAATGGCAATAAAACAGAATAATCTGACTATGCATAACTGAAAGATAAACGGAAGATTATTAGATTAATTTAAAATTCAATTTTTCTTTACAAAATGAAATCAATCTTGTTTTGCTTAATTTCCTTTTATTCTACTTGGTTGACTGCTTGATTGAACTTTCCAAGAAATTACAGTATAGTAGTGATGAAATGGATCGAAAATGGCTAATCAAAAATCGATTTACAACTCGATTAAATGGAAAAATTTATCTGTTATTACTGATTGATGCTGCTGAAATTGCTAGCGCTGAAGGACTTTCGTTAGTTTATGTTTTTTTTTTTTTTTTTTTTTCTACTTTCTTTTTTTGGCTTGAACTTTATACCACCCTTGATTTTCCCAAAAATTAATTATTCTAATTAATATTTTATATTCATGATTGTAAGAAAAAAAGACTGCAATGTACAGAAATAGTATTGACATATATAATGTACATTTTTTGAATGAAAAAAATCATTTCTCTACGAGAAATACCGGAATATCAGAATTTCATAGTAAAGTAGGAAGAATTGCAATTTTTTCCTTGTTGTTAAGTATTTTCGAAAATTGTTTCAAGGCATTTTATCAGTTTGTTTTTGATAGGTAGTTAGTTTTGATGAGAGGGAATGGTTTATGGGATGAGGTCTTAATGCTTTCTAATTTTTGATAATGCTAATTAATTTCTAATCTTTTTTTCATAGTACCATGAATATCATGATTTCTTATTCCTTCTTGTTAATTTATTGAACTGGAAGGTTTTCCTTTTTTTCATTTCTAGATCTTACATCGATTTTATATGTATGCGAGTTATTTACAATAATGAAATGCAGTTTCATATTAATCTAATTCAAATTAAATGTTAATTTTTTTTTTGTTGGCTTATTTGTTTTAGTCATTTTTTGTCCATACAATGCCAATTTATTTTCAAAGAAGTGTTATTAGAATTATTTTACTAAATTTTTAGCTTTTTTATTTCTTATTTATTTCTTATTATTCTTATTTATTTTTTATTTATCAGAATTATTATGCTATTCAAATAGAAACCTATTGAAATCAACTTGATGCAAGTAAATTATAGAACATAACATGGGAAATTTGCTGTAGCAAATTTCATGAAGCATTCAATTTGAAATGATCATATCGATTATTAATTTCGATTCTGATGTGTGTGATATAACAATATGGAAGAGAGAGATATAACGAATAAATTAAAAAAAAAACAACTGATTTTTTTTTTTCAGTGATTTTTGATTTCTTATTAATAATTTTCTTTCATCTTTTTCTTTAGATATGTTGTTGATGTCTTCAAATGCTTCGCATTTTATGTTCCACCATCAATGATCCTTAAAATGAAGCAAGAAATGCGAAAAGTTTTTGATACTTCAAAAAGCAGTTGAAATGGATTATGGTAAAAATGCAGATTTATAGCAGTGTCTTATGTTTTATTGTGCCTTCATTTCTTTGTATCATAAACACAGGTTATATTTATTGTAATGTTTTTCATTTTAATAGGTTTTAGTTTACTAATTTTTTCTGTTTTATGACGTGCGAATTTTTCATACTCTTTCAGTTTTAAGATTCTATTTGTTTTATAAGAGAATATGTTTGGAAAAATTATTTTGTTCTGTCATTTTTCATAACTCTTTATCTGTAATGCTCTATGTTTTTTTTAGACATTTTGATATGTATTTGTCAAAATAATAATAAAGTAGTTCAACTTTTACTACTGTAAATAGAAAAAGTTGAACATTAATCATTAATATTAATTTCTAACAAAAGTATTTCATCGAAAAATGCTTTCTGTTTCATTTCATCCAAATTTTACAATAATACATGCCATATATACAATCCGTCGTATTTATCTTTCAATTGATCTATTTTAATCCATTGAGACTAGTCAAGCTTTTATGTTATTATTATTTCTTTTATTATTGTTATTTTCTTTAGTATTTTTTTTTATGTGTTACTTTTTTTAAAAATAAGCAGAAAAATGGTTGTTGTAATGATTTTTATGATCATTGTAACATATTTTTGTGTCGTAGTGTACAATAATAAAAGTTTTGATATTATTCATGGCTTTATGCTTGGTATAAAAAAAAATGGAAAATTATTTTAAGAAAAAAGCTATTCCAAAAAAAATGGAGCAAAAATTTAAATGGGAGCAGAGATTCGTTTTTTCTTAAATTCAAATTTTTCTGTTTGTCTAAATCATTTTAAAATGGTTGTTCATGTCAAAATTGAATCAGTCATTCAAGTGAATGATTGATTTGCTTGATGATTGAATAAAAAGATAAGCATTGATAGGTTTATTTAGAATTTTACTAAGTACATTTTACTAAGCAAATTTTGTATTTTATTCTCTCACAGACTAATTATTGTTTTAAATTACCGTAAAAATCCCTAATCAACAAAATTTGCTAAATAATGTAAAAATATAAACAGTTTTCATATGATTTTGTCAAAATATTCTGATTTCTAGAAAGAGAACTATAAATTTCTGGTAAGGTTTAAGTTTAAATAAATGAAATTTTCATTTAAATGAATGAAAATCAAACTGAAAAGTATTATCATGGTTATTTAACGGTGGACGACATTCAACCATTGCTAAAAAATGATGGTGATTTTCTGATCCGGAAAACTAATTATAAAGGTTTCTGGAGTATTATTATGGTTGATAAAATCTATTCCATATTATTACAGTCTTGTTTTCCTGTGGTTGATAGCATAAACAATGAATTAAGATTTTTAATTAAAACAAAATATCAAAAATTAAGATTTAATAACATTTGAAATATTAATCGAAGATGTTTTAGATATAACAACTTTATCACTTGATGTATGCACAAATAAAGGGATAAAGCATTTTATAATTAATCAAGATAAAAAGGGTGAAATTTATATTGAAAAAAATAAGGTTTATGTTTTTTAAATTATATTATATAATTGAACTGGAATGGATGAATAGCATTAATTATTTCACTATAACGTTGATATGATAAGAATATCATAATTATTAGTAATAATGACATTTTCTTTCTTTTTTTTTTTTTTGTTACAAAATATATTAGGAAAATGTTTTTGAAAATGTTATAAAAATTAGAAATTAAACAGCCAACATTTTTTCTCCGCTATCTACCAAAATTATTTTAACATTTTGGGGAAAAATTTTTTATCAAAAAATTTTTGTCTAACTTTTTATCTGCCAATTTTTTTTTTCTGTCGTTTTGGGAATATTCGTTTTTTTTTTCTTTCGTTCTTTCTTCTTAATTACTTGTCAAAATTATTCTAATATTTATAAAAAAATTTCGGATATTTTTCATCTGTCAACTTTATTCTCATTAAATGCATTTTCTGCATATTCCGGAATTTAGCTAAAAATTTTTTTCTTTTTTTTTTTTGTTTTGTTTGTGCAAAAAAATACTGCTTGTAAGAATTTCTTTTTCCAGAAATTTCATGAAAACTTAAAATTAGAAATTTAAAGGTAATGTCATGGTGTGTTTTTTAAATGAAATGAATTCATGGAAATTCTTGGGTGAGCAATTCTGAGCAACAATATATGTTATAATACAGTGATTTTCAAAAATTTGATAAATTCTAATCGGAAAAAAAAAGTTGCAATAAATTTTTTTTTTAGAAAAAGTCAATTGCTGAATTGATTGAATGGCATTTGTCAACAAAAACACCTATTACAGAGCGTAGCCAAATAGTCCTAAAAAAAGGCATTACAAGGCCTAGTTGGCTTTTAAAAAAGGAACAAATAAAAATGATTAAAAAACTTGGCGAAGGAGCATTTGGTGAAGTAATGAAATTAGTTTAGATAATAAAAAACTTTTTTGTTATTTATAATGCTATGTTTGAATTATTTATAATTGATGCTAATTGATAGTTTAGGCTAAGTTATGTAATTACTTTATAGCTTACATTAGACAAATCGATTACAATGCAAAAAATAAATAATATATTAGCTTTAATTAAATGCTTTATTGTTTACTTAAAATTCGAACAGAATATTGTTACACTAATATTTTAATTCAATCATTTACTGTAAACTGTTATTTACTTTACGGCGCTTTTTTCTTTAAAAATAAATTTCTTTTTTTCCATTAATTAATTAATTAATTAGCGATGTTTAAGAAAAAATGACCTTTTTCTCAAATTATTTCATTTTTTTGAAATCTAATTTTTTTTTCTCTTTTTCAGGTTTATTGTGGTGAATATAAAGATGTAAATGATCACGTGCATTTAACAGCAATAAAAACAATGCATGATAATGCTTCACGTAGAGCACGTTTTAGCTTTCTTAAAGAAGCGCGAATTATGCGCAAATTTGATCATCCAAACATTGTGCGCATTTTTGGCGTTGTTGCTGATGAAGCACCATTGCTTATATTAATGGAACTTTGCGAAGGTTTCCAATTTTACTCAGTAATAATCAAATTTAATTTATATTTAAAATTGATTTCATTATGGAATCTAAAATTTAAAAATTGCTAAATTTATATTAATTTAATAGTTTAAATTATTGTAAATAATAAGAAATAATTGACTAATTTTAGAATATGAAATGATTTATTATGTTTAATAGTGATAAAGATAAATAGCTTCTATTCATTGACTTATTATCGTTTTAAAGACAAATATATTAATTTGAGCTTCTAATTTGTTTCAATTACAATTGTTATCATATTTTTAACATATATTAATTAAAGTGTAAAATTGTTTTGGGTATTTGTTTGAAAAAAAAAAGCCATGCATGAAGTTGCAAAATATTTGAACGTTGTTTATTTATTTATTTTAATTCAAATAAAACTTCTTAGCATTTCCTTATACAAAAAGTAATGCTAAAATTAATTTTTTTTCTAATTCAACACATAATTCTTTTTATTACCTATCAATATTTTTTTTTTTTACTTTTTCAAAAAAAAAGGTAACACGATTAAAAATAATAAAATAAATTAGATAATTATTTATAAAATAATAATTTAGGTGGATCAACACTTTCATTTTTGCGAAAAAATCGTGGAATGATTGTACCACAATTAAAAATGCGATTTATAACTGAAACTGCTTCAGGTTTAAAATATCTTGAGCAAAAGAATTGCATTCATAGGTTTTTCTTTTTTTGTAATAAAAACTTAGTTAATTAACTTATTTCATTCTTTCATTACTGCTATTAATTAAATAGCTACTGGAGTAAAAAAGTTTTCAGTTCATTTTTAAATCAAATAATTGAGTCAATTCTTGTTTTTTTTATTCAAATAATTAATTAACACTTTATTACATATTAGTCATACCAATACAAAAAAAAAAAACATATTAATTGCTTAAAAATTTTATTTTATTTTATTTTTTCTTTTGCTTTTTTAGAGACATAGCAGCACGAAATTGCTTACTAACACGAAATTTTCATATTAAATTAAGTGATTTTGGTATGTCAGATGAGAAAACGCCAATTCAGGACAAAAGCCTTGACAAAGTATAACAAATTTTCTTCATTTACTTTGATTATTTAAAAAATTTTTCAGTACTAATATTAATTTTAAGTATTATTTGCTTTGTTTTATCATTGCAATAGTTTTTTTTTTTTTTTTTTTGAATTTAAAAAAGGTTTTGAAAGAATATTTTTAGTAGATGCATCACAAAAGTAATTACAGTATTATACAATTTCAAATACACTTATATATTACAACTAATTGCAAACATCTTGTAATTTTATTTAACTGGAATTTAATAATTAAGTAATAATGATAGAATTGTTTTTGGTTTTTGATCATAATTAGTTTTTTTAATGATAATCGTGTAATCATTGTTAGAATGAATTTCAATTTGCCAAAGAAAGGTTTAAATTATTTTTGAAATTTCACAGATTTAAAATTGATTAAAGAGCAAAAATGTATCCATAAATTATTACAACTAAGTTTGTTATTTTCTTCCAAATCTTTCAGGAAACTTTTTACTAATTCAAATTGAAATAATTATAGGTACCAATTAAATGGCTTGCGCCAGAAACAATGCAAAATCGAATTTATTCAACTAAAACCGATGTATGGTCTTATGGCATAATGGTAGGCATTTGCTAATGTAATTCCTCTAATTAATTAATTAATTAAGCAGTTTTCTTTTTTCCTACTATCAAATTAAATGTTGAAATTTGATAATAATTAATATTGTTAATGAAAAAAAGCATATAAATATGAAAGTTGTTTTATAAATATTTCATAAAACAAATGGCATGATTGTAAAAAACTTTTGAAATGAACTTTTTTTGTTTTAAAATTTAATTCAACCAAATTAAAGTTAAATTTAAATTGTTTCTTTTTTTTTTGGTTTTTTTGTAATACTTTTAGGTTTATTTAATTTCCACATATGTATTTTGTGTTAAAGTTACAAATAGTTTCAAAATGAAATCAAAACCAAAATATGAAGAAATGTTCTAATTGCAGTTTTTTTTTTTGACTGAAATAAAGATAGAAAGTAAATTGCATTATCTAACTAAAATTTGGAGGAAAATAATTATGAAAAAAAAGAACAATTTGAACTGAAAATAGCTAAGCTTTATCATTTATTAAACTTTTTGCAACTTATACGCTGATATGTAATTTTTATTGAAATAAATTTAATTTACATGTTTGGGAAGTGTATTCGGAAGGTTATGAGCCATATCCATCACTATCAAATATACAGACTAGAGCCAAAATTATCATTCAGAATTATCGTATGGATATGCCTCAAGTATTATTCATTAAATTGTTTAACTTAATCAATATATTTCAAATTTGCTTAATTCTTAATTGATTGATAAGCATTTAGACGTATTAATTTGATATAATCATGTTGTTAATTTATAAAGTCATTAAATTGTCCATTAAACTGTTTAACTTAGTTGATTTAATTTTAATTTAATCAATGGAGCAAAAAAATAATAATGATGCATTTCAGCTGTTTACTTGACATTTTACTTGATAAATTTTCACTTTTTTATTGGTAAAACAAAAAAAAAAAAGTGAAATATTGTTTGATACAATTTAATCATTTGTTCATTATTTTGATTTTTGAATTGCTTAATTTTAGATTACAGTTTCATTTAGAACAAATTAGATTTATGATCTTGTAATAATACTTTACAAATAAGTGATGTGACTACATGTATATGAGTAAGTTATGTAATATAAGTAATGTAATGAATATAAGTGATATAGATATATGTAATGTAATTAAGAAAATATTTCAAAAGTAAGTAAATATATAAGTAATGCAAGTAATAATGTAAGTAAATACTTCAAAATTTGACTGACGAATTTGATCAAATAGAATTTGTAGCTGAGTAATTAACCAAAATAAGTGAAATATTTGTCGATTAAATAAAGAAAAGCTATTTTAATTCTTTTTAACTTTTTGATGTTAAAATTGATACAAACTAATATTTGTAGAGTACACCACCAGCAGTAGCAACACTTGTTAGTAAATGTTGGGCTAAAAATCCCATCGATCGGCCATCATTTGCAAAAATTTATGACGAATTGAAAAGCTTATCAGCTGATAACACTGACATTACCTTATCAAGTGGTGAAGGAGACTGAAATAATAGAAATATTTATTTGTCAATATTTCCAAAATAAACAAATTTCTAACTGCAATTGCTATCATTTTCATTTGAAAGAGACAAAAAAACCACACACATACAAAAAGATAAATAAAAAAAGTTTTCGTTATTCTCGTATGGGTTATTTAATTAATTGATTTAAATAAATTAGCATTTAAAAAAACGTGAATTTGAATTACTTATGGAAAAAAAAATTCTTGGATAAATATGACTGTCCAAACAAAAATGTTTATAACAATTTTTATGCAATTTTATAATTGCTGGAAAAATTTTTAGTCTTGCAACAAAATAAGATTTAGAATTTAAATGAAATAATTTTCATATTCGTTATCGTATATATATTTTAAAGTTTAGTTCAGATTTTCGGAGTTTAAAGCATAATCTGCAGCATATGTATCTTATTTTTGTAATTCAAATATTATTCCAAATTTACGAATATATTTAAGTATTTATCTATCTGAATACTTTCCCTATTAATTCTTTGTCAAATTTATGTTTATTTAAATATTCGCTCGTTTAAATTTTAATTTGCTTAAATTCCAAATTTATGGCATGAAATGTCTTAAATATATTCATACTTGTCATACTATTTATTTCGTAAACCATTTAAACACATTACTTCAATTAATTTTATTGAGAAATATTTGAAACTTGTGGAAAAGTTATCATTTTCGGATTATTATAATTTAAAACTTATAGTATTTATATTCTATTTAATGTTTATTTCACTGATTTAATAGCTTTTAATTACTTTATAAATATCTCAGACTGAGAAAATCATATCCAATAATAATTAAATTAAAACTTTTCTCTTGTTTTAGTTGGATAATAAAGTGGCGCAGAAAGCAAATTACGACTAGCCGAGAACACACGTAGCTCGGGAATGGCTAATGAATGAAGGACACAACAGTTATTCGATAACTTTAAACTGAATATTTTATTCATTGGAAATGGACAATGACCAATTGAGTGCAATCAAAGAAAATGGTCTCTGAGTGACCAAACGTAAATTATTCTGAATGGGTCATACTCCGAAGTGCGCATGTTTCTATGCCAAAGGAACGAAACGAATTTATTACTTATCAGCAAAAATGTGCCAATTATCACGGTTCCTAATTTTTCACTGATAACGATGGCAATTTACAAGAAGCGCAATTGTTTCGATCTCAATTTGATATGTGGCGGCTTTGTTCAAAAGAAAAAATTCAGTGATCCGTTATCTATAAATGTTTTAGATGTTTAAACATAAACTGTACTAAGTATAACATAAAGCACAACATAAATTTCAGGAATGAATCAGCTAAGTTTTCTATTTGCAGTTAATATTATCAAATCATTCATAGGTTCTTTTCAACTTGTCTATAAAATCCAAATATGTTTTTATGCAAAATAATTAGTTCCGAAAATATTTTGCAAATATTTTTTTTTTTTATTATAGAATTCATATATATTGTTAAAAGCTATAACTGATTTCAAGGATAGTTAATTCTAGATTTTCTTTTTAAAAAAAGAAAAGAAAAGAAAAAACGGCAAAAAACACTTAAAGTGTGAAAAAATTGCTTTTTTTCTTCTGGAAAATGAAAAAAAAAAAAGAAAAGAGGAAAGATGGAAAAGTGTAAAAATAATTTGCAATAAAATTAAAAAATTATTTTAATTAAAAAAAAAACGATTAAAGAACAGTACATTTTTTTTCTCTTTTTCTCTTTTCTTTTTGTTTTCTTTCATCCAACAAAAAATTTGCAAAAAGAAAAGAAAAAACAAAAAAAAAAATTGAAAATAAAACAAAATGAAAAGAAAAGCGAATTTTTGGATGAATGAATTTGAAAAATATTACAAATGATGACAAAATTGCTATTTTAGAATAATTTGTTAAAAGGAAATGCAAAAAAAAAAAATAATGATAAAAAATAAATAAATAAAACGAAAATTATAGATGAATGGTAATCTATTTCATATTTCTTTAGCATCAATTTAAAAAAAAAAAAAAAAGCGAAGAAATTTCTCTTTTGGTTAAGATTGCTCTAAAAACATTTGTGTGTATACATGCGCATATGTGTATAATAATCTTCCGGTTATTAAACTTTTAAGGTTTTTCATTTTTTTTTTTTTTTTTTTTTTTTGTTTCTTAGAAGTATTATTTATTTTTATGCAAAATTTTCACATATATAAATATTAGTGAGAACTGTTTTATTCGTAAATATTTCTTTTTTAATTTTCTTTACATTATTATTGTTGAATATATTATATATATTTATTTATATGGGCGAAGAATTGGTTCGTAATATTAAAAGTAAGTTTGTTTCAATTTTGAAATTTTTACACAAAGGTTATGAATGAAATATGTAAGAAGAGCAATTTTTTTTTATTTTTCTTTTTTATTGATCAGAAAAATAAATCTTTTTTTTAATTAATTCTATTTTTTTTTATTTTTATTTTTTTTACTAATTCTAGGTTGTTATATAATATAAAATAATACTTTACTCTTATAAATTATTGACTTTCATTTTCAATTTATAATAACTTACAGTTATGGCAACCTATAATTAGTAAAAATTTATTTGATTTTGCTGAAAATGTTTCATACTTGGCCAATTAATTATTTAATTAAATAAAAGTTTTTCTATTAATATTATTAACAATGAAGTAAGTAAATTTTGATATGGATATTTTATGTATCTTATAAAATTATATTATTTTCTCCACTTCATTAAATAATATTTTCTATATACTTTCAGGTTTATCATTCCAATTTAAAGATTTCTTTTCCGGTTTTTTTTTTACATCTAAAAAGCAGAGCAAATACCCAATGCAAATGAAAAACCTAGAATTAAGCTAACATAATTTCTTATTTCAAAATGTATTCTTTTTCCGATTGATATTAGTGATTATGATAGCTTTGTAAATAATATTACCATTTCTCAAGAACGATGGAAACAAAATGCGGTGTTTAATCGAACTTTGACTCTCTTGTTTGAAAAAATTTTTGCAGTTTAACTAATCAAACTACTATTATTTAATATATCCATGCAAAAAGAAAATGTAACAAAGGAAAAATAAATAAAATTATAAAATCAGTCCAGTGTGTCTGTTTTTCTGGAAATTAATGTTTTATTTAAAGATCAAAATTTTCGATTATTGATTTGCAAGAATCTAAATAATTTTTAGAAAACAAACAACGTTTAATATTCAATGATAAAAATGATGATGATAAGGATGATAGTGATAACAACGGCAATGATACAAAATTGGAAGAAATGATAGCAATAAAAAACGATAAGCAATTAATACGAAATGATTGGAATACAAATGATGAGAGTAGAGAAATTTGGACTCGAAAAGCTGATTTTTTGCTATCTGTAATTGGCTTTGCCGTTGATTTAGCCAATGTTTGGCGTTTTCCATATTTGTGCTTCAAAAATGGCGGAGGTTTGTTTGCTTATTTCAACAAAAACAAAATTGTTAATTAATTATGCAAATTAATTAATTATCATCATAAGCGATCATTTATTTTTAAGTTAACACAAATTTAAGCATTTATTTTTAAATTATTTAGAAAATGAATTGTTGAGAAAAAAAAAAAAAGGAAAAAGAATATTTGTAATAAATTTGATGAAATGCATCTTTTTTAAATAATCATTAATTACAAAAGTTAGCTAAATTTGGTTTATTTTAGGAGCTTTTTTAATACCATATACATTAATGGTATTTTTTGCTGGTGTACCATTGTTTTATATGGAATTATCGCTTGGCCAATATTACAGAAAAGGAGCAGTTACGACTTGGGGTTGGATCTGTCCACTTTTTAAAGGTTCAAATATTTTAAGTTTTTTTTTTAAAAACTTTTTCTTTTTTTTCTCCTTCAAAGCTCCAATGTTTGAGGATGATAGAACAATTAAAGAATGGCAATTTAATTGTTGAACTGAAATTTTGAAAAAAATTTTTGGCACTTTTTCAATTTAATAGCTATTGTTAATTAATTAAAATATTTAGTGAAGAAAGTTGATGAATGGCTAAATGAGGAAAGCGGTAGAAAGATGTAAGGGACAATGGTAAATGATAAAATATATTCAGTGATATAAGAGAATCATAAATTATTGAATAAAGTATAGTGATAAAGAGAAAAAAATAAAAAATAAAATAATCATAAACGATAAGACGAGAATCATCCAATTTTCAATGATAAGAGAAGATAACGAATTGAACTGAAAAAAGCCTGTGATAAATGATGGAATCAGTGATAATGGATAAAAAAATATGATATGCTGATTAGGATGAAATATTTTGTGTGGTAAGACAGAATTTACAAATGAAATAATTAATGATAAGCGAAATGATTATGATAAAAGATGAAATTGATTTTTATAAATTTCAGGAATAGGATATTGTGTAATAATGATAGCATTTTATACGGATTTCTTCTATAATGTAATTATTGCCTGGTCTCTGCATTTTTTCCTGAAATCATTTACCACTCATTTGCCATGGGCATCATGTGAACATGAATATAATAGTGCTATATGTTATGAACCAAGGTTATCATTCATTAGCTTATCACAATCAATTGCAAACATCACAAAAATTATCGCAATAATAATTTAAAAAAAAATTTTTTTGTTATAAATTATTATAAACATTCTCGAAAATTGAAAATTTTACTTTATTCATAACCATAGAAGAAATTACCTTTTTTCCTTGTTTTTATTAATTAAAATCGAAATTTTTATTAATCAGAACCTAAACCTTCACTACATAACCAGTCGACAATTTAAATTATAATTGCTATTATTAGGCAACTCATTAATAGTTTTATTGTTCATTAAGTACGTAATTCATTAGCAATTTCAATGTTTTATTGCTTAGCTCACCAGCAACTCTAACATTTTATTGCGGGCTTCTTTGATCTTTCAGCTGGAATAATGACAAGGACAGCAAATGTGCCCAGCCATTAAATATATCTGATATGGGTGTTATATCTGCTGCTGAGGAATATTTCTAGTAAATTGTTTCCGGATTTATGAACAATAATTTTCTTCAAATGCAAAAAATAAAAAAACCCAAATTATCATTATTATTATTATGATTATCATTTACACCACTTTTATACCTTCACTATTACTACCTTTATAACATCTCTTAATATTATCATTATAATTATTATTTTTATTACTAGCATACTTCATTGGCTACTGGCATGATTACTATTCATTTCAGTATTATTAATCATTTCTTTCTTATCATTATTTCACTGATATATATTATTATCATTCAGTATTAGTGAACAGAGAAAACGAAATCTAAGGAATCATACCTGACATTATTTACAGTAAGGAATTTCTTGGGTTGCATATGCCCGGTGCGCCAAATTCATCTGTAGCGCATTCATTGAACAATCTTGGTTCACTTAATTGGGAAATGGTATTTTGCCTTCTAATTGTTTATATCATTTGCTATTTTTCTCTTTGGAAAGGTATCAGAACAAGTGGAAAGGTTTGTTTTAAATTTCAATAAACTTTCTAGAAAAAATTGAGAATTTATATACTATATATAATGTGAAATGAATATATTTGTTTATTTACTATTTATGTTTGTTTTCTTATTTATTTATTTATTGTGCTAATAACAGTAATAGCAATATTGATTGCAACAGATAGTATGGTTTACGGCAATATTTCCATACGCTGTCCTACTAATACTGTTCATTCGCGGTATCACTCTACCGGGAGCTGAAAAAGGCATCAAATATTACATTGAGCCAAATCTTGAAATGCTAACTGTGCCAAGTGTTTGGCAAGATGCTGCAACTCAGGTATTCATTCACCTACCAATCATTGCAAATTAGTCTTAAGTAAAACAGTAATTAAGTATCACAAACTAATTTCATCATCAAATTAATTCAAACTTTTGAATTTGAATCGCCAAAATTTAAATCACATTTAATAGACTGTAAATTTTATTTGAAATTGAATTCGACGACAAAATATTCATTTGCAGCAAACAATAGAGCTCTTTGTGAAGCACATTTAATCATCATTATAGTTTATTATATTTTCATTTTTGAATTAATCCTAAATATGCATAAATAAATGTATCATTACTATAATTATTACTGCAGCCAAATATATAAATATTATTATAATAGTAAAATTATCGTAATTAATTTTAAATGAAATTAAAAGAAAAACTCTTTGAAATAATGAATAAATTCAGGTTTTCTTTTCATTGGGACCAGGATTTGGTGTTTTAATGGCTTATTCATCATATAATGAATTTCACAACAATGTTTATCGGTAAGTTTCAATCTATGAGAAATAATTTTACTTCTGCAACTAATTATACGATTGTAATAATTAATTACAAAACTATAGGATGTTTATCATTTATCAAAATTACTATACAATTTTTTAAAAAAAAGAAATCTGCTTAGATAATTTGTAATAAATGTTTGACTCAAACTACAGCTATGTATAATCTTACAGCAATTCATGCGATATTCAAATATTTCAATTGAATTAATTAATTAAACTGTAGTTAACTCGTACTCACTAATTATGTTACCTTTGTCTTCAACTCACTTTTTTTTTCATTAAGTTGTTGCTAGAAAACAAAATCAAATCCTTTTCAGTTAATTAACTAATTATTTCGCTCTCGCATTTTTATATAATTTCCATTGAATGCTAAAATGAAGCTTTAAATTATTTATTCACAACTTTTTTTTGCTGCAAAACATTGAAATTAAAACAGTGGAATATATCGCAATTGATATTAAATTAATATAATTCAATTAAAAAAAAAAATTACAGTGATGCATTAATAACAAGTGCAATTAATTGCGCAACAAGTTTTCTCTCTGGTTTTGTCATCTTTTCGGTAAATTTTTTCATTTTTATTTTTTCCACATTTCTTATCGCTTTAAGCAAATCAATTTTAAAGTGTTTCAATTATTTTCAAATTATTTCAAGCAGTTCAATAAACTTTAATAACATACTTTTTAAATTTTCATGTACTTGGCTATATGTCCTGTAAAAGTGGTAAACCAATACAAGATGTTGCCCAAGTAAGCTAATTTTTATACTACAAATTACTTTTCCATATTATCCAGTTAATCATATACCATTGATTAATTTTCGCTTATCTTTTTTGAGTTATCATACTTATTTCTAAGTTATTTCATGAATATTTTTATTTGGCTTTGTTATTAATTTGTAATAATAATATTTATTTAATTCTACCCATTTAATTATTTTGCAATTAATTTTACTGATTTATTTCATTTGGAGATAACTGATTTTACTTCTTCTTCCTTCATGATAAGATAAATGATTTACAGGAAGGCCCAGGACTTGTTTTTGTTGTCTATCCGGAAGCATTAGCAGCAATGCCGGGTTCATCAATATTTTCCGTCATTTTTTTTCTTATGCTACTTACACTTGGATTAGATAGTTCAGTAAGTTTCATTATTTTATTTATTTATTTTTTTCATTTAATTTCTATTATTATTTTTTCTTACTCCACATAATTTTGCACAAATTTTTGAAAGAATGCAAAACAGATTGATTAAATTTTATCACATGTTTAGTGTTTATTCACATTTGTAATTTCACTGCACTTTCACTTTTGCATTTTTTAAAATGCTTTCTAGTAATGATAATTAACTTTGATAATCTTATGAAGTAAACAATTTAATACTTTTATTGATAAAAGTGTATGTTCAAAAAATAAAAATTGATATTGGAAAAAAAAAGAAAAAAAAAAGATTTACTTGATGAAATTTAGTGACTCAAAAAAAAAATAAATCAATAAATTTATTAATTGGAAAATTTAGTTTGGTGGTTCGGAAGCAATAATTACTGCATTAAGTGATGAATTTCCGTTGCTAAAACGTCATCGCGAATATTTTGTTGGCATACTATTTACATTTTATATGTTTATTGGAATTGCTATATGTACTAAGGTTGTTCCTTTTAATATTTAATATATTATAAGTAATAATTGAAAATTTTAGTCTCTTTCTTCTTTGATGAAAAAAGCTAAATTCAGAAATGAAATTATTATTTGAACTAAAAAATGAGAAAAAAAATGGAATTATTATTCTTTTTTTTTTTTTTTGTATTACTGTTTCATTTTTATTACCTACAATTTATATTACTGTTAAGAATTTAGTTTCAGACTAATTATTCTTGCCATGTATCAATAATTGTTGATGATTAATCTATCTAGTTATCATAATTAATCTTATCATATATCATATATTAGCATATATTAGTACATATGTTTATGTTTTATGAAATAAATCTTGACAAAATACAATTATTTTTTAAAAATTTTTTTTTTTGAATAATATTTTTTTAGCAAATAACAAATTTAATTGAAATTAATTGATAATTTTATTTAGGGTGGTATCCTGATTATGGAATGGTTAATTGTGTACGGTACTTCATGGGGCTTATTAATTGCAGTTTTTTGTGAAACAATTGTCATCTCATTCATTTATGGTCATTGCATTTAATATTTCAAACTCCTATCAGCATAAATAACTTGCTAATAATTATTTTGATTTGACCATGGATGGTCATTTTTTGTTAATTTTTAATCATTGATTTTAAATCAAAGGGGAAAAATACTTTAGTTCGAAAAAGGAATTAATCAATATTATAGTATTTTTTAGGCTAAAGAAAAAATTGTAATTACTTTATTTTTTTATTACAATTTATCATGGTTATAATTCTTATTTAACTTAATGAACATATTAAAAAAGTTTGTATGGTCCCGAATGGTGATATAGTATAATCATATCCAGTATCATGGTGATAAGACAAAAGTCTCATTCTGGTCATTCTAATGATATGATAAAATTCATCGTGATTATCTTCATGACAAGGCAAGAAAAAAAAGAAACATTTTTGTCTACTATTTTCAGGAATAAATAATTTTGTGCAAAATTTAAAAGAAATGCTGGGCGTTGAGCCTGGATATTATTGGCGTTTATGTTGGACTATTGGTGCGCCACTTTTTTTACTGGTAAAAAATTTCATAATTTGCATTGTGAATAATGTAAATAAATCTTAATATATGTTAAATTGTTTTCCTCTGTAAAATTATTTAAAAATTAACAATTTTTAATTATTAATTTATACTACCATCTTGATTTTAGTGTACAATAATCAGTTGTTTCGCTAATTACGAACCATTAAAGTATCAAGATTTTGTTTATCCTCAAATAGCTAATATTCTTGGCATACTATTCTCTCTCTCAACTATATCAGTAATTTTTATCGTTGGCTTCTATAAACTTTACATCGAGAAAGGTGACACACTCACTATGGTATGTCCTTACTAAATCCATTTAAATTCAATTATTCATTTAATTAAATAACGAAGCAACTATTGAAATCTTTGAAATAGCATATTATGATGTAACTTTTAGTTTCTGTAGTTTCAAAATACAACAAACAATTTGGTTGCAAAAATTACTTAGAGTTTCCTTTAAACTTAGAACAATTGAGTGATATACGTTTGTTCCATCTGTTGCAATTAAAACTGAAAGTTCAATGCACATATTTTGTTTTAGAAATTGAAAGCAGTTTTAACGCCTCAACGACGGGACCTTACTAATGAAATTATCGTATCTACATTAAATGATGAAATAAATTTGTAACATTATAATCCCTTTTGATCCTAACGAAATATGCTTTTACAAATAGCAGTAACAATACATGTACTTTAATCAAATTAAATGGAAAAAGAAAAATCAAAACGAAAACGAAACACAAACTTCTTGGAATGTAGAATTTTTAGATTTCTCAAATCCTAAATCACATTACGAACTTCATCCTTTCTTTATACCTTACTTTTATAACAATTCATCCATTCTCTTAAAATTTCTTTAAGCATTAAACTTAAATGTAAAAATGCATATATATATCGATCGTTTCTCCGATAAATATTTAAAGTGTACATGTGATAGCTCTTAGCTGCAGAACTTCATCGAGGAATTGATGAAAGTAATTTAAATGAACATATTACCAAATTAAATAGAACAAAATTGTCTGAACTATCTGAAGGTGAGGGAAGTGAAAGAATCCCGAGAAGCTGCAATCCAGACTGCCGACTAAAGGAACTTAATATTACACTGTCAAGTACATGCTAAGCTGTTGCGACATATTTGTACTGCACTGCGACATCATGTAAATCACCTTTATTTCAAGGGAATAGCTCTTAAAGATTACAAAAAGATTAAAAAATGAAAGCAGAAATTCTGACCAATTAAAATTTTGTGATAAATTTTCAGGAATATCTCGGAAAAAAGCACTAGAAAAAGCTAGTTAAAATAATGAAAACATATACGAGTAGAGCAAAAAAGAAACACAAAGAAATTATTGTTATGACTTTGCAACAGTCAATGCAAACAGAAAGTGAAAAATTGGAGATGAATTTAAAAAACAGGAAAGTGAGACGGGAAGAACTACTCTCAAACCTGTCAAATTACTGAGTTGAAGTTAAAATTTGAGACTAAGCTATTTCCATTCTGATTCGATTTGCATATTTATAATAACACTGAAATATTAAAAGTAGCAAAACGATTCACGAAACTGTCCAGCCCATAAAACAAATAACAAAACAATTTCAAACAAATGAAACGAAAACCATCAATCGACCTCCATTCCAAGCTCATTTACATTGTTAGCATCAGTTTTCGGTGCATGATCGGAAGCAGGATTTTCGCCCTTTTGACCATCACTTCCTTTTTCTGGTTCCTTCGCAGGTTCCGCTTTTGGTGGTGATGGTTTTGGTTTGTTCAGTATTGGTAAAATAATACTTTCAAATTTCTGAAAACATACTAGTAAAAACACCAGACAGAACAGTCTCACAGCCGAAATTTTTAACTTTTTCTTGCCGATCGATCTATTATTCAAATATTTCCAGGATTTCCACATGCATCACAGATACAGGAATGAAGATTGCCAAACTCAAAAGCCAAAAAACCCAAACTCGAGCTCATTCATTTTACCTGCTGCTCATCCTGTATTTGGTAAACGAAAATGATTGGAGGTTCAGTTTTCTTGCGCATTTCCTGGCGATTTCTTTGATCATCCAACCACTTCTTTTTCTCTTCCACCGCAGATATTACCTAAAAAAATAAGTTATTTACAGAACTTTAGGAGGCTGATTTTTTTTTACAGAATCATAATAGATAGAACCCCAGGATATGAAAATTAATAAAAACAAAGACAATGTACCTTCTCCATATCACTTGATCCAAGATGCGCATATTTCTCACTTCCTTTTGTATATTCATCGTAAGCTTTACGCGCTCTCTAAAACTTTTGACTTTCAAAATCATGTAAATAAGTGAATTAACGAAATTCAGCTATCGGATAGTCACATCAGTTCCAAAATAGTTGCAATTCAAAATTTATTCTCTCAAAAAACTAGACGCAGCGCATAAAATCGAAGAAGTTACGATAATAGCTCGATCGAACTCATCGAAAGCATTCTTTCGATTTTCATATTCACGATGCCGTTCCTGAACAGGATCACCCATTTTCTTCAGCTCACACATCCTAGCGTCGTATATCTTCTTTTCAACATCTTCACCTTCATCATAGAGCCAGTCCTCTGTTTTGGTTAATAATGCTCGCAAGTTTTCGGCATCCTAAAATAAATCCAGAAATATCACTGTAGTAATTTAAGCTCGAACCATTCGTATCACAATCTTCTCTGTTTAGTTAACAAAATATGTACCTCACACATATTCAAATGAATATGTGACCTAGAAGTTCACGATATTTTCATTTCATATTAGTAATGATGAAGATTGGTAGATCCCATTAATTTGCAAGATTTAAAGATTTAACAAAAATCTACCTCATCAGAGATAAATTCTGCGAATACATCTGATAATTTGTCTCGCATATAATACACGTATTCTTCAACAGCATTTTTCGCATCTGCTTTTTCTTTTTCCACACGATCTTTTCCTTGCATTTCTTTCTTAAAAAAATAGAAAATATTTTGAATTAAATTTTATGCTATATATTTGTCGACAGAGGTTCGTAAAATTTTCATCGTTCCTTTTTAAAACATTTTTACTATACTATATGATTTTTTAGTGTGACAAGAAAATATAAGCACCGGTATGATAAAACTATCCATTTCCTTTCTCTATATTGTGTTAGAGTCGACTAAGTCAAAATTCTACCATTTGTATCATATAGCTACATTTTATTGTGTATCCTCCTTCTCTGACAAATAAAATTCAATTCGTACACACTAAGAAACTAACCTCGAATTGTATTACTTGCGGTTCGTTAGCTACAATACAGGGGACGTGTTCTTCAACCGGTAAATCCACTGTAACTGTTTTAATTTTCGGTGCACTGCTATTTGGTAATTTCTCTTCTTCTTCAGCAGGAAGGACAACATCATTAGATGATGCATTTGTATTTTCTTCTTTTTCCTGATTGCCTTTAGCGTCATCAGTTTCCATTGCTTCAGGTGCTTTTTGAATCTGAGTCTAAATAACAAAAGATTTTCTAGGGATCAACTATGATATTGAAACAACGCATAAACAATATTTCTAGAAAACTTACATCAGATGGACTTGTTTCGACGGTTTCGAAAGTATTCGCAGAGCAAACCGAAAATATACCATTAGGATTGATTCGAACTTTCACTTTCACTTTTTTTGCTTCATTATTTGGTCCAGGTGCAACATTTTTGATAACCCATGAGCCTTACAAAACATGCATACGATTTCAAATTATCCAAAACGATCATTCTTACTCCATGAAAAATCAAATTTTAATAAGTTTTAAAATCAGTAAACCAGAAATTAATGTTCTTATAATTTTACAGATACCTATATGTCGTGCTGGATGTGGAACTTGATTGGGATATGAATAACTGGCATCAACTTGAAATGGTTCCTGTCGATAGAGTGTAAGCATTTTGGAATAAGGAAATTCATCATGCTCAATAAATACATCATTCTCGCTGAAAATAATTACAACATTGCAGAATCTGAGTAACTTGGCCAAAGTTGTCAATAAATTTCTCATACATATTAAACCAATTTCAAGATACACTGCAAATGATTCAGCTCAAGAAAGAACGTAAAGAAGAAATTATCAGCTTATACATTTTATACATACCCTCCTTCACTTTGTCCAATTCGTGCCCACGAAAGTTTGATTCTGTATGGTTGACTGTCTTTCACCGAAAAGTCTCGAACTTTAAATGCTGGTGAAAGAATAGCACATTTCATCGCAGCACCTGTAATTAATGTACTTTGAAGCAACGTTTATAAAATAAAAACTTCTTGAAAAAGATAACTGGTGTAATTTTTAAATCAACACCAGAAAATCCCTTAATCATTCTCGGGTAAACGTTTTACGGAGTCAGTTCACAATGATTCGGAAATGTTTCGTAAAAAAGCACCTCGAGCTACAGCTTCATCCTGATTCATCGTAGTTTTCGGTTCCTTCCCAAACACTTCAGAAGTAATCTTTTTGATTGCCGGAATACGAGATGTACCGCCGACTAATTCGACTGACTCCACTTCTTCTGCTTTCTTTCCACATTCACTTAGTAAATTTGCCAGCAAAACGCGCACACGATCTAGAAGTGGTTGTGCGAGCTCTTCAAACTGCGAACTGAAACAAAGTATTTCATAAAAAAGAAAACCTTTACAGAACTAGAACAAAACCTGAAAATGCAAACTTCCTGATAAGGAATTAAATTATTTACCGCTGCATCTTTCCAGTGACATCCATATCATTCATGAAACATTCAATATTCAGTGGTATAGATGTACTATTCGTTGACATTTGCTTTTTAATTTTTTCGCATTCGTCCAGAAGTCGGAACCATGCCCGTTTATTACTAGTAACATCGATCTTAAAAACTTTATAACAATAAATAGTTTGAAGATGTAATCTTATACAGATCAGAATAGCAGAAGACGGCAGTAATTGATGCAAACAATGAATATATATGTATAATTATATTTCAATTATACATAATTATATTTCAAACTTAACCTGATAAGTATAATTTCACTCTCAATTTTGTATAGTTCAAAACATAAAGCAAATGAAGATCCTGATAAATTAACCTTATAAGTATCATAGAATAATTTGCTGAAGTATTCCCGTATTACATCATCAAAAGCGAGGCCACCAACTTCGAGATCATATGTTGCGCCAAGTACCTAGGAAGAATATTACATTAACTATTAATTTATATGTTTCAATATACATTACTCCGATCTATACGCTTGAATGCTTTCGAGATGAAAGAATATGATATGAGAGAATGTGCTGACGTTGATGAATAAAAGTAGTACTTAGAATAATTTTAGGCTAAACAATTATCAATTCATTTAGTAACAAGTAGTGAAGAAGGTTATGTACTAACCATCATGGTTAGAATTCTCAAAAAAAAAAAAAAAAAATTACAGTGAGTTTGCCTTTATTATATGCAACAAGGACAGCTTGTGCAGCGGAATGTCCAACGTCGATGAATGCAACAATTCTAGGCGCTTCGTTCTCAGCTGGCAAATCTTGTTTGTAAATACCTGAAACGTGTGATCAGAAAGACTGCTCGAGATTTTCGAATCCTATTGAATAGCTATTTAATCCACGGTATTAGACAGTATAGTTCTATGCTGACTGCAGAGCTTATTTGTTAAATACTGGAAAGTTCGATGATACCATATGCAAGAGCAACAGCTGTGGTTTCGTTGAGAATTTGTAAGCAATTTAAGCCTGCAATTCGGACGGCTGTCAGCAAAGCACGTCGTTGAGCATCAGCAAAGTAAAATGGAACCTGAATTTGATGACAATATACTTTTCGAATCTCTATAAAGAAAGAATTAGGAAAGCTTAAATCAGATGGGCATTTGTGACACAGAAATGGCATGATGAAGACGAAAATGATTACTACGAAATACCGCTTGTTGATTTGAAATTCTAAAAGCACGAAACGGAGAAACGAATTTTAAAAAGATACCGACACCACACAATCGGTGACATTCCTCATTCCGTGCGAACTATTTTCCGTAATATCCTTTAATTTAACCAAAAATGTTGCCACCACCTGTTCTGGGGTAAAAACTCGTTCTTCATTAAAATATTGGACCTGAAGATAAAATACGCATTTCCTTTTTATACTGTTTCACTATGAAGGAAAAAATCCGCAGTAAATAATTAAAAGAACTCGGAAGCTCAAACGTTCACAGCATTGTGCGAAGAAATATACCTTCAATCCAATGTCATCATTTGGTAACTGAATCATTTCACATGGTATGAATTTCCGGTATTTTTGGGTGACTTGGTCGCTAAATTTTCGTCCCAGCAGATGTTTAAAATTGATAATGGTGTTTTTAATGTTGGTATTCAACTGCTGCCGTGCAGCAACACCCATCGAACGACCTCGGGTTGTAAATGCTACACAGGATCTAAAAACAAATCATATATTAACTGCTATCCCTAATATTTAAGAACAAATAATACTTGCTAATGTCAGTAGCAAATATACCATGCACTACTCTATGAACCAATGATTTTTCAACAAATCACAACAATAATGAAAAATATTTTATATTATATCATATTCAGGAGTAAAAATATGTTGTAAATTCATGGACTAACTTTTCAATGATTCAATAAGTTCCTTTCTATAACAGTACTCATCTCAAAGCTACAGTTTTTGAAATGGTTCCTCTAACAAAAAATAACAATAATAATAATTACGGAGTAGCTCGTAAAGAGTAATCATTTGCGATCGTTTCGATACCACCTTGACGTGCCACAGCGATGAAACTGTTTACATTACCGAAATCAAAGCCTACTACAGACATTTCTTTCTGCCACTCGTAAACTGAAAAGAGATCAATAAATTGGAGTTCAGTGGAATGACGAATTAGACATACGTTGGTCAGTTGACAAAAATGATAGCAAAAGCGAAAGAGTCCTTGGAAGATAAATGATTAAAAAAAAGATCAAAACAGAGTCGAAACTTAGCGTCAAAACTTAGCAATTACTTAACAAATATGCTTCACGAATGAATGGTATCACTGGGAAAAAAGCATTATGAAACATGAGACGTATGAAATTTTTTTTTTCATACCTAATTATTATCAAAAAGTGAATCCTGTCTGCTCTCTATTAGCAATGATGAAGAGTATAGAAAAATCAAGTGAACTGTCATAAGATATATGAATCGAAAAAGATTGAAAAAAAAAAAAAAAAAAATGAATCGAAGAAGATTTAGACTGAAAAAGGAAAAACTCACAGCCATTTAAAAGAATGAAAGAAGGTTTTATAAGACGAAACATAAAGAACTTACTCAGTGTCAAGTCGCTGGAATGACACAGTTTTAGTCATCACGACCAGCGATGCGATTAAAGGTTGTAGGTCATGGTCACTGGAGCTATTAACTAACTATATATAACTACCGAAAAATGAAAATCAAAAAGCTCGACTACCGATAATTGTAGCTAAAAGTACTAATAGACATTTGTTTAAACATATATTTTGATTCCGTTTTTTGAAGACTTCAAATTGAGTCGTACTGTAAAGACTAAGTTGCACTGTAAAAATTAAGCTAATAAAAAAGTGAAGGGTAAAGAAATTTGGAGACTATCAGAATTACGCCTCATATTATTTAACCGCAGTTCCATAGTAACGCACTTTCGCAATCTAAAACTGACCTTTAAATTTCATTCCTAGACATCTCATATATATATATATATATATACTTCTAGAAAAAAACATCTGATCTTTTCAAAAATGCTACTCGAGAGCTCTTAAAACTTATAAAATTTGTGTCCACGATACACGACTCAACCAATAAGAATAGAAAACTGAGAGAATGATGAATCAAAGCGGTGCATCACAGAAGGAAGGAAGGGAATCAGTTTTCTGTGCGAATTTCTCCCTCTCTCTCTCCTTTCCTCTTTATCTTTTTCCTTGCGTACCCAGTATAATTGCAGAAGAAAAAACTCTGCACCTCAAAAGTAAAGGAAAAACAAACGTATTTCGAAATAATAGTTACACATACATGAAAAAGTGCTGAAAAGGTTGAAGCAAAACAGGAAGTATGGGGAATAAAAGTTAGAAGCACTAAGTAAATTTCTTATATATTTAAAACAGAATTATGTGATAATAAAAATAAAGGATCATTAAATGAATGAAATTTTCAGGTTAAAAAAAACCAACTGCACTGCACAATTGACATTGACATGAATAAACAAAGCATACAAATACTTTCACAAAGCAATACGTGAAATCACACATCGAGATCACCGTTTCAAACGTGTAAAAACTTTATCACACTGCTTCTTAGTCAATGTAGCGTAAGGTAACATGCCAGCAATTAAGAAGCACTCATGTAAAGCGATGAAATAAGATGATATAATAATAAATAAATAACTAGTTCATTTGTCAAATAACCCAGAAAAATCTTACAAAAATTAAAAATCATTTGCTGAGAAAAAAAATTCCGCTTTTCATCTAGTTTTTCAAAAAAGGAGGAATAATTGGAATGTATTTTCTATTTCATTTCTCTATGTAATGCAAACCAAATAAATTTGTATGTGACATCATATTTGAGGATAAACTGCTCATTTACCTATCCACTAACATACGAATCCCAGGACTGACAGCAACCAAACAACCAATCAACCAAGCAACCAAACAACCAACCAATCGACCGTCATCACCCAATTGATTTCGTCACGAAAGTTCGAGAACATTGCAGAACGGTAGTTTGCTATTTTTGCTAACAAATGAGGAAGATGAAGAGAAAAAGAAAGGACAGTAGAGAATGGAGGAATAAAGGGGGCAGAGGGAGATGCACGTAAGAAATGATGAGGGAAGAGAAGCCAAGAAAACGAGAGAGGAAGTCTATAATGCAGAAACTCTTATGCATTAAAGAAGTTTCTCGAAAATATTGCAGCACTATGCAAATTTATCGTCTCCTTCCAATAATTTTTCCATCAATAAGGGACGTAGTTTTTCCCTTTTTTTTGAAATACCCTTTGACAGTCTTTTTTTTTAAAACTTGTAGCTGTATCAAAGCTTTTGGTATTACTAAACTGTGGAAATAATTCAAGAGGTTACAGATCACATATATGATAGTGTACATATTGATAGTAATGGTAGTTTTGTTCACGATAACATATGAAATCATTTAAGATTGTTTAATTAATCGGAAGAAAAGGATGGGAAACGTTCACATGCATACGCTCATGTTACACTTTATTTAATTAATTTAATACTGCAAAAGACATACTACAGCGTTACGTGAGCGTAACGTGACCAAAGAGAAATCTCGTGTGAGACAGAAAAAAAGACGCATTGAAATCAACTGTGGCATGAAAATTGCAGTTTTCAGCTAAGTTTTCCGTTCCGGAATGGTTGTCTGATTCAAAAAAAATGGTATTCCGAATGAGATTAATTCTCACTTCATACTTATTCGTTCATGTACTTCCAATTTATCTGTAAATATAAGATACGACTTTTCAATCTTCCTTTTTTAAATGTACGACTTGAGAAAGAAGAATTAGATAGAAATAAAAATAAAATTCTGGGGAGCGGCGGGCTGTTGGATCTGTTTGGAGTCGTAGCTTTTTTTCTAGATAGAAACGTGGAAAAAGTGTAGGATAACAGAGATAATTTATCAATATTAGAAGTAAAAATTTATTTGAAGACATAAATACAGTGCAGTGAATTTATAAATGTTTGTATAATTCATTACAAAGAAAGAAATATTTATTCAGTAATTTCAATGGAAATTTAAGTACAAGTTTTTTTTTTTTTTTTTTTTTTTGTGAAGATTTAACTTACCAGAGAAGTATACATATACGTAAATTTAATGTAAAAGATGTGCGGTGTATAGATATATGGTTGAATAAATGAGAAATTTACAGAAATGTAGGAAAGATATAATAATAATATGTTTCGTATTAATTAACACTTCAAATATAGTCTTTTCTATCTTTTGGTCAATTTTTTCTTTTTTATTTTCAGCTACGAGTGAGTTAAATGATAAGTTATGGAATTTAGGATATGATTGATTTTGTATAAATCACACTGAATAATTTACCATTTTTATGTAAATTTTGCCTTTTACCTTCCATATTTCAAAGTATAATTTAACTGTGATGGGGAAATTTTAAATCATGCAAATAAGAAAAATTAGATGAAGTGCAGTTTTATATAAAAACTGCATTTTCATTCCTTTTTATGTTTTTCAACTGCTTATATATTGATGAATTAGGAAAGTTATGCACTCATAATAGAATTTTATTTCCATCAACTTTCAACCATATACATACGATTGTTGCGAATGTATATGATTCGGTCATTTTAATAGTTTTTTTCAGCTCTATTCCTGTTAATGTTTGCTAATAGTATCCAAAACATTCATCGTAAATTGTTGTTTCCATATTAATTGGGAAATGAAGTATTATGATATAAAATATAGTAATATATTACTTGGAGGTATGCTTTCTGGAATATCGTTTCATACTGTATGTCAATTTTTTCAAAGAATTTCTTGCATATACCTTTTTATCTGTGATTTATTATTGCAAAATAGGCATTTGTGCTTTCTTTCTTTTTTTTTTTTTGACGTGTGCTGAACTTAAACTTTCAAAACTTGTAGAATGCCAAATCCGGCATTGCAATTTGATCGGACGGAATTGTTACAAAAAGCCGAACAAAGTTTGCATGCTATTGACATAATTGGAAGAAAATTAATTATTGGGCGTTCAACATGCCGAAATCCCGGTTCCGAGCTTATTTTAATACAACTTGAGGTTTTGTTTTTGTTATTATCACTGTTGCTATTGAATACATTTGCCATCTTTTTTTGGAATAACATTTTTTTTTTTTTCCATATTGAAATAAACAATTTCTAGCAAGTCATGATTATAAAAAATCACCAAGTAGATTAGCAAGTTTTCGATTTTTTTTAGTTTAATTTTTAATAATATATTGACAAGAGATATTTTGATTGGGAGTGGAATTACAGTTTTAGATGTGGAATTTGTTACATCACGGTGTACGGCTGATAGAGCATATATGAAAGTAAATATTAATAATAATAAATGAATACGGTTTATTTGGATATTGGATTTCAAATTCAGAATGCGCAATGTTCATGTTCTCTTTCATTTCACAATACTTATTGAAAATGTTCAAAAATGTGAAAATAATGCATTCCAGGCAAAATTAATTCGGCATGCTTCACAAGTATGTTATTTAAATCAGCGTTATCGAGGTACGAAATATCCATCTCTTAATGAATGGTTAACATACGTTAATCTGTTACCAACCGAAATTGTTGCTATTCTAAAATGCTTACAAACATTTTGTGTATTAATTACTATGAACGACAAAGAAGTAAGAAAAATTCATCGTTTTATTATTTTTTTTTTTTTTCTTTGAGTAATAACTTAAAGAAAATAGCTTTTGCTGTATTGAAATTACTTTTGTGACTAAATTTATTTCAAGTTTCCGATGAATCTTAACAGTTTCACTTTTTTTTTTTTTGAGGCTTGTTATTTTGTTAAATGCAAGTTGAGATTTTTTGCAATTCATCTTGTTATGGTATACTCCTAAATGAAACTGACTAATGGTTTGTGATTGTTAAAGAATTTAGAATAAATGAATGAGTAGTGGCATTTTTTCATCAAATTTAGTTTCGACGATTGTTGGAACACAAATTATTTCGCTGTCACTTACTGCAGTCATTATTTCGGTGTATTTATTGTTAATTGTAGCTTTTGGATATCTGCGAAAAACTTCGATTCACATCAGATGGCCGTCGTAGATTGCGCAAATCATCGTATTCATTGCGAAGTTATATTTCAAAATGGAAAGGTTACTTGCTGGGATTTGTTCATGTTTAGATACGATTTATTTAGTATGTATGTATATTTTTCGCTTTAGAAATATTTTATCTTGGGGTATTGGTTTGTTTAAAATCTTGAAAATTACGCGCTTATAATTTAGGACATTCCTGCATCTGATTATTTCAGTTTGTTTGTTTTAGTGGTAAACGCTCAAAGAATTTTAAGGAATCATATCTCGAAAAAATTGTATAACTCTTCAGTCTTTGTATGCTTCAAATTATTTAATTTAGAAGTGATGATGTTTTCTTGTTCATCACGGTTTTTTTTTTTTTTCTATCAATAAGATGATAGATGGTTTGCATGTGCGTGAAGATGATGTTTTTGTTAATATTCACTGTTCTGGACAGTGTGCATACGAAGTGACATAAATCGTCATTCCCCTGTTTATAGTTGTTAAATTAAAAACATTAATAAGTTGCAATATATATTGATTGTTTTGTTAGAAATGCTATTAATGTTTAATGTTTATAGATGAAGGATATGAGCCAATTCGATCATTTAGCGACAGGGATTTATGCTGGATGAGTTTTGATCATTTAACTCCGAGTGACAGTAGGCCGTTTCGATATGAAAACACTGCGGAATCGAGTGCCAGCGATTCTGGCTCAGGTTTTAATGATACTACATTTTTGTTTCCATTTTTCCAGTATTTGGTCCACAATTGATATTTTGTTTTTTTTTTTTTTTTGTTTTCTTTTCAATTGTTCAGTTTTTCAGGTGTGGGATCAAATCTCTCACAGTCATCACTTCCAACAACGACGCCACCAGCTAGCCCAAGTGTTACGATAATCAATACGACACTTTCTAATACACTTAATGTTTTTCCAAGGTTGGTGCAGTGCTTTTTTTAGGTTTCTGCAAATTAAGAATAGTAGTTATGCAAATTAGGATAGGAGTTAGTTATATCTTGAAACGCTTTCCATCTGGTCATACAATATTAAGCCTATCAATTAAGAAATTAATCCATGTCTTCATGGCATTCAATTTATGCATCAGTGTTTGAAATTTTATTTCTCATTCACTTTCGCTGCTTGGGTCTTTTTGAAAAATTGTGCATTCATAGGAGTGTTGGCGAAAAAACATCAGTTTCTAATCGTCTATCAACGACGAATTTAGTGACGGATGGCCTAATGCGTTCACATTCTCATGAATCAAATCTTCAATATACGGTTAATAATAGAGGAAATGGATTAACAAGGTGCATAAAGTTTTATATACAAAATTTAAAAAACTTTAGTATTAATGCCTTAAAACCATGGGAAATGCTAGACAATAGGTCGTGATTCTGTCGTCATTTCATGCCATAATGTCTAATAGTGTTTAATTAGCAGATGTAGTTAAATCAGTAACAAATAACTAATGATAAACTTTCATTCTATATGACTTAAGATTACTATCTCCAATGTATCAGTCTAAGCAGGAAAGTGTGCAAAGTTAATATTTAGCTGAACCCTAAATCTTCACCTAGTGCAATATAAGTAGGCGTGATTTTAATCACTGTATATAATTGATAGTTAATGTTATTGTTTTTTTTTTTAGTTCACGTTCAATTAATGATTGTTTGTCGGTAGTGGATCGTGGGGCGACTTTAAGTCCATCATCTTCGCATTTAAATTATATGAGCCAGGTAGCAAGTAAGTTGGTTTTTTTTAATTCCATATAAAATTTGATGATTTCGAAATTCCTAATTATGTTAAGGTCATAATACAAGAATCATGTTAACATTCATAGATACAATGCCTCGAACACCAAAAACTGCTCGTGCCAAGCACTCCATCCCTCATCAGTGGCATCGACGAAAAGGTTTTCGTATTTCTACTGAAAATTGTCACTTCTGTCAGCGACAGTTAAATTTTTTCAGCGAATATGAGAAATGCAAATCGTGCAAGTAAGTTTGTGACCGAAATTTCATTACTGTAAGAAAATTTATCAAGTCTTAAAGCATACTCTCTCCTTTCGCTATATTTTATCTCAAATGATTTTATCTTCAAGATTAGAATTGTGAAGATTGTAATATCTCGCTTTTGAAAAAAAAAAAATAAAACAAAAAACATGATAATGCGGATTATTATAGATGGAAAGTACATTCGCATTGTAAAGAGAAGATTGGTGATTCATGTGGCCTTACTCCTGCTTATCTCAAACAGGCATTAAAAGAAATGTTCATGAAAGACATTGGAAATGTGAGTTTACCTCTGAAATATTGCACATATTAGGAATATTTCACAATGACTGTTGTTAATTTTTCTGAAATATTGCTTTTCAGTCAGGGCATTTTGGATTCTTTCATAATTTATTGCCTGTACTTGATATAAAAATGTTCGTAAACTTTCTGCGCACAACTTCTAAGTTTCTGGGATTAAATCTACATTTTATAATCTTCAACACTTTGTAGGATGGTTGGACACCGTCGGAATACAACGTTTCATCACATCAAACGTTTCCTTTCGATCCCATGGATAGTTCATCAAGTGCAAACAGTTCAGCACCTTCAACACCGGCTTTCCCAGCTATATATTCTGGTATTTATTTACTTTCTATCTACATGATTTGACGTTGTAAAGCTGGTACTGTAGGTGAAATAGTGTCATAGTACGTTTTGTTATGATTTTACTGGTAATTTATTTACTTTCTATTTCTTTTCTCATGCTATTTAAGATTTGTGAAGTTTTAAGAAGTGATAAATTGTTGCAGCTGTCCTTCCAACATCAAGTCCATTCTTGTTGCCATCAGCACCTCCTTCATCGTACAGAAGTAACTTTGACTTTCCGGAAGCGGTTCCTGAAGTGCCTGATATTGTTGTGGAAGGTGGTTGCAGGTAAATTATGAGTAACTGTAATTTTTTATTGCTGAAGCATTTTATTTCAGAAATACGAAATTTTTTTACTAGTAGAAAACAGTATAATTTTCAAATTATTTTTCAGAGAAATCAAAGCTTCATACAAATTTGCTTAAATTTTGCAAATGATATTCTTCATTTTATATATTACAAATCAATAGTCACAGCACATAAAATTTAATGAAGTCTCAAATGTTTATAGTTGTTGTCTGTTTTTGTACAAACTAATATACTATTATTACTCTCCATGATAAGAAGGATGAAATAGAAATGTAAAATTTTCAAAATTTTGTAATGTATTTTCTTCTGCATGAAATTAATTTGTGTTGAGTGTTTCAGTGAACAGCATCGTTTAATTTCATCACAAGGCTCAGATTGTACAGTCAATTCTACTGGTACCATTGTTTTTGGTGGTTCAGAAGGTTCCGAAGGCACTTTATTCATTGAATCAGTGAGCAGTAGTGGCGGCAGTTTTGATAATAAGGTTAGATCTCACTGTTCTAGTTCTTATCACTTCAATATTGTAAGATGATTCCACGTAATATGAGTTAAGAATTTGATGCCATTTTCAGGAAGAGCTGGATAGTTTAAAGTTAAGCCCCCGCTCTAGTTGCTCATTGAATCGAGATAGATGGAGTAATGGAACGATTAGGGTACCAAATAACTGGAACGACTTCACTATTCCGTTCAGTCAAATCGAATTCAAGAAACAAAGTTTGATTGGAAAAGGGCGTTTTGGGGAGGTACTTGATCAGTGTTGTTTTTTCTTTTCCTTTTTTTTTTTTTTTCAGGATAAATTACTTTACCAACATCGATAATGCATTTAATTCTTCATTCTTACAGCATGATTAATTTTATATTTGTTGGAATAATTAGGGTGTTTGTTCAGATATCACATATGCTGTATATTGATTAAAGAAAATGTATTTTTGAATTTTATTATAATTATGAGTAATTTATTGCTTTTTAGGTCCACAAAGCAAATTGGTATGGTGATGTAGCAGTAAAATTGCTGAATATGGATCATGTAGATGAAGAAAAGCAATTAGAGGCTTTCAAGGTAATTTTTCTAGTTTGCAGCTAATACCTTCCAGTTTTGTTGTGCTTAATGGACTGCATGAATAGAAGATTCAGAAGTTTTACTCGCTCAATATTTAATAGTGGAAATTCTCGACCAGCTAGCAGAGATATAACATTTACCTCTTAGATTCGAATTAGAGCAATAAGGTGGAGCATGATGTATGCTTTCATGAATTATTTTATCCAGTTTTGTTTAATGTGTAATCAAGATCCATTTTTTGATTTCTACGTATTTTTATGAAAATAAATATTTGACATGAGAATTTAATTTCTTGCAGGTAGAAGTTGCATCGTTCAAGAATACACGACATGACAACATAGTACTCTTTTTGGGCTATACTTTTGATAAGCATAAATTAGGTATTGTTATGCATTACTGTAAAGGTCGGCCATTGCACCAGTTACTTCATGAACATTATGAAAAATTCAATTTCACTGAGATCGTACATTTTGCTACGCAGATATGTCAGGTAATCCTCTAAACTCTAAACTATTGGAAGTGAGACGAATAACTGTAAAAATGAATAAATGCAGTATCTGCATTTCTCTGCCAGCAGTGTTTATCTTATTGACTTTCACGGATGAAAAAAATTATTGGAGTGTATTTAGGGGGTATCTTACTTACATACAAAAAGAATTATTCACAAAGATCTGCGAACAAAAAATATTTTTGTGGAAAGTCGAAATCGTATTGTTCTCACTGATTTCGGCCTTTTTAACATGAAAAGACTTGGTCAGCCATACAGGTAATTTAATTTATATATTTATTTATTGTGGATTTAAGCGCGAAGCTAATGTCCAAAAATTGACCTTAGAATTTGTTAGTTTAAATTTCTTAGTATGTATTTCGAATAACATTCTTACAAATATGCACTTTCTTTGCTCTTCAAGTTAGACAACTCTATAATTACTTGGACGTTTGAGAGGATTGACCATCAATGACTTTATCCAGAGTAATGGATTTCTGGTCATAAAACTTAAAATAGCGACGTAATTATAGTTGCAATGAGAAATTATAGTTACAACACAGAAATAATTAAGGGATCATACACTGGTTGTTCCACGATACTGGTTGTCTTATGTTGCTCCGGAACTGATCAAGGCGTTATCGGCTGAACTGATCCAGTTGCCATTTACGGAAAACAGTGACGTTTACGCATTTGGGTATGCTCGTGAAAAGATTTATGAATATAGTCTTTCTTTGCTTGTAAAAAATCCACTTTACAAACGTGTTTTTAGGACTATCTGGTACGAACTAATGACGTATCGTTTTCCATTCCGAGAGCTACATCCGGATGTTATCATTTGGAAAGTTGGATGTGGTTTCAAAGCACCTTTTAATGATATTTCTGGTCCTCGGGAAGCCAAGGTAACGGTAGTTGAATTTAAGAAACGGATTAAAGCTCCGAAATTTCCGGGTTATTTGTGCATTTAATTATCTGTTTAAATGCTCAAGAGAGTTAAAGAGGTTACGTTTTAGGATATTCTAGTACAGTGCTGGGATTACACGGCAGAGGAAAGACCGACACTCCGTGATGTCTCAAGAATGCTGGAAAGACTTCCGAAGAAACGGCTGGGACGCAGTCCTTCATTTCCAGTCTCGCGAAGCTATGAATCTGTTTTTTGAATCATCGTCCGTCTGTTGTACTGAGGTGATTCCTTCTGTACATTTTCCATACCTCTCTTTGCTCTCCTCTTTCTTTCTTCTCTATTGGTTTTGTCGGTGTTATTATACTGATTGTAGTTTGAATTATGCTTTCACTTTAGGGACCTCTCTTAACATCCTGCTATTGTTGCGTGAGTTCGTACCCATTAGTATCAAATTTTAAATTTAAAAGCTATATCCATCGAATTAGCACCTAGTATCGAAAATGGAGTATATCAAAAAGAACACTGTTACTTTCGTTTGATTTATCAGTAAATTTAATCCATTGTTGAAGAGCTAACTGATAAATAACCATTAGTTAATCGTAGCTTAATGACTGTTTCTATCAGTGCTTCTAGCAACATGTGATATTCTTCTAGTATAACAGTGAGCAGTGTTGTCACTGGAGTGTGTTTCATCAATGTGATATGATTCCACAATATCAGTATTATCTTCATTATTTATCAGTTATGGGTTGTACTTAAAGCAGATTTGCTCTATCTTTTCATATATAGTATTGTTTCATATTTATTGCTGTTATTGATATATGCACTGGCTGCTGCATTGTTTATTTTGCATATTATTTGAATCTTGACGAACTTTATTTTAAGTAAAACGCAGTGATATTTGTTTTGATGTTCATTGTAAGCGGTACAAAAATTTTTAGAAATTGAGACGAATTAGTCCACAAAAACAGCTAATTGGACACTTTTTGAAGTTCTTACGAGAAGTAGCGTTATAATAATGCTAGCAATGCAATCCTTATGATCACGCTTGTAGACCTGTGCAAAATATTAAATGCTTGGGGTAAATAGTTCTGGTTCAGCATGCAGCTTAACTGACTCCACAAATGCGGCGCATAGAGATCAAACGGTCCCAATAACGATAGCCGACTATGAATTATGTTAAAATAAAAATGCGGAAGTAAATCTTGCATTTGAAGCATCGGAGAGCTTTCTTGCAAAGTTTTGTTCCGGATGCAGAACTGTTGAATGCAAAACGAAATATTCAAATATTTTCATGCATGTTTAAGTCGTAAGTGAGCGATCTATACGACGACTTTCTCTAAATGTTTGGGAATGTGGTGTTAAATCAACTATTTTTTTTTTCTTACATTGCCTTTACTGTTTACTCGTAACAGAATTGTCTATAAATTTGGGCTTAAACCATGTTGGTCGTGGAATTCCTAACTCAACAATTCGTTTTCTCTCTGTTCGGTCGGTCGAAACTTTAGCGTCTTCATTATTTTGGTCTGTCTCACTGGAGTCAGGACGTGGATCATCTTCAAATTTCACATTTGTTGATTGTTTTTCTCCAATATAAGGATTGTAGGCCATAATTTTGGATTTCATCAAGTTGGTCAATTCTTGTATTTTCTTGTAGCAAGTTGCTGTAATTCAATCAAAATGAAATTGCAATTTGAATTCTAAATAACTATATCCATTTCATAAAATACACGATTTGAACAGTTTTGCATCATCCCAAACTTGAATTAATTGTACTAAAATACTGTAGTCGATTAGAGTTCTTAATTTCCCTGCAGAATTATACTACTTTATATATTACACTACTTTGTCCCACTTTTTATTATGTCCCAGCATTCATGTTCAGACCATAACATATAAAATGAGACATCACAGATCTATAAATATAATGGATTCCATTAAAAGCATCTGTTATTGAATTTCATTTTTTAATTAAAAATAAATTAATTCTCAGAATGCTTTCAAACCAAAAGAACAGCTTCAAGGATGCATCTAAAGATGTCCTACTTTAAGAATTCACTAAACTTTACCGTAGCTAAAAAAAACTATAAGAAAAATTGAATAAAACACGATTACCGCATATTTTGTCGTAATCATGATAACTGCCACAAATATGACAGGTCACTAGTTTCGTTTTGAGTTCTAACGTTCTATGCTTATCAAATTTACGTGTCACTTTCTTCGCTGAAAAAAGCCAAAGTGATAAAATACAGATCGATGATCTTTAATCTATGAAATACGGTCTTCTAAAAGACCAAACAAATAATGTATATTTTTCATTTAAAAATAAAAACTCTAGACATCTTTATCTTAATTCTGAAACTTTCTGGACGGAAAACAGTCGATGAATATAAATCGGAACTGAACAATACAAACCTTGACAAGTTCTAATTTTCGGCACACCCCACGCGAACCGGAACTTCTTGACGATATCCTGAATATCCCATAAGCGCTCAGCGCCATCAACATTTTGCACCAAAATATCATTACAGAAAGCAAACGTTGGTTCTAATTCGTTGCTATGACGAAACCATGTATAATATCTCGTAAGATATTGTTTGAAATGTTGCATGAATCAGCTAAATTAGGAAATAAAACATCAATGGGATCATCGAAATATTGAATTCTACAGTACAGAGGTGTAAATGAAAAGAAAAAAATGCATGTAGCTTAACCATGAGTAGAAAGTACAGGGAAGGAAAATTTCCAGACAAAACCTTTAATTCTGCAAAACGCACCACATCTCATGAAACTTGAGAACCCAGCCAACCCACAAACAAAGCTTTTGCGATTTGAGAGTTCAATTTTTTCCTTTACACTTCAAGATAAACAAAGACGGAGAATATGGTCATTCGAATTAACCCATTTTTTTCTAAATTTTTCCTTCTGCAGCTTCACAGACACTGGTTCCTTGATGTCACTGCACATAGTGTAATGAAATCAAAGAAAGTACCTCATTTGTTCAGATATAACAAGGTGATGGAAACAGTAACATTGATATACGTGAAATTCACATTAATTTATTCGAAAAAATTTCTTTTTAATACGAATGAAATATAGAAGAGATATCAAGCGTTTGCTCAAAAGTCATCATCATCTTCTTCAGCCATTTCTTTCGCAAACTCCAATTCCTGAAAGTACAACAAATTTCATTTATTCATTATTTTATAACTTCTTCAATATTCACACGGCACGGTTAATAACACATATTTCACCTGCTGTTCACGCTCTCTTTGCTCCTCAATGGATTCCACCACACCTTTACCAGCTGTTGGCGGGTAACGTAATGCTTTTACTGCTTGATTGTGCAGTTCCAAACAATAACTAAAAAAACATAGTAATGAAAAATCTCATCAAAACAAAATCCAAATGCGCATATAGAACACTTTTTAATAACCGTATGCTAAGAAATGGTCACACATCGGTCTTCGAAAACTTTTCAACTCCTAAAATTCATTACCGAATACGGGTATCAAAATGCGTTTGTGGTTCCGTCGTACGGTAAATATCTTCTGTCTCCCTCGACTGCATATATCTTTCGGATGAATTCTGTGAATCAAATGTAATCGCTGCTTCAATACCGCCATCTTTGATTGCCTGTAATTATTTAATAATGGCAATAACCACCACGGACTGAAGTCCACAACAATTCAAGATTTGCAGGAAAAATTTTAGAAATATGAAAATAATTCAAACTTACTTTAGCTACCAAGTATTCCGCTTCTTGATCACTATTTAAGAGTAGTTTTTTGCAAATGTCTTTGATTGATATACAAGAATAAGCAGTACTAATCTGACGTAGTGCTGTTTTGATAACATTCTGCCGAAGACGGACAATCAACGTCAAAGTTTCATCAGGTCCAAAAACATGCACTGCATGTTTGTTCAACACTTTGTTGAATAACAATAAATCACCCAAACGAACAGCTAAAAGAAAGCAATCCGTTTCCTTCAAGCTAAGAAGATTTAACCGCCACAGCTACAATCTTGGTTGAATCAAATTTTGTGGAATAATTTTGCCAAAAATGCATATTAATTTTTGAACTGAAAAAATTAAGGTTTACAGCTTTTACTACAAACGTCCAGAAGCATAAAACATAAAACATGTTTGGGATCCACAATTACTTCTTGCCTAAACTTGCATGGAAAAACCACCTTGAGTAAGTTCGAGATACGGCGCTAGTGTTTTTCGATATATTGGCACGCGAAACACGGATCGCTCTGGGATTTCACCTTGTAGTAAACTGATCACAACAATCCATTTTTGTACCTAAATGCTCAGTTCAAACAATCGTTGCTCGAATAAAAAATTTAATGGAAAACTGAAATTTAGAAACTTAGGGAATTTATGACTCATGCTTTTTGTTCTTCTAATACTCATTTTTTCTGAAAAAAAATGTGTTCATACATTTTGCTTAAAACCTATAGCAGCATCCTGAGGAGCTTTACGAATTGCTTGCATGAAGTAACCGGCGGCAGCAGTATAATCCAACTGCATCGCTTTGATTCGACCTTGATAATAAAGAAAACGTGCCAAATCATTATTCGACGCACCCTCCGGAAATGTCACCTTAAAAAACAGCATTTTTTACGTTTATTACGTTTATGAAAATGAAAGTTTTAAGATTTTTTTTTGTTTTTTAAAAAATAACTTTCCATAACTTTATTTTGTATCGTTTACTCATCTCGACGATCTTTATCCTTTTATTTCTTTTATTGCTTCGTGACGAAAGAAACTAACTTTTGAAACAAGCATAGCCGCAGCCTCGTAATGTTTTCCAAGCAAATAGGCACGCAAAAGACAGACAATCAACACCGCCTGTGAATCATATTGTCGACGAAGTGTTGCTGTCCGAAGACGACCATTCAGATAACTAAAAGCTAGTTATTTATTATGCTTGATGAGAAATACTAAAGGATAAAATTCTCGACATATTTAACTCACTTCCAAATTGATCCCTTCCTCTTCATATTGAAGAATCCTGCATCTTCAACACCTAAATAATACTCATTTCTACTGAAACTTATTTTTAGTCACTCATATACTTCAATTTGCTTAGTAAACTTACGCTCTTAACTGGTCGAGTTTATTCTTTGTTTCGTAAATGAGACACAAGTAGAAGAATGCTTTCGCTGCAATGGAATCCAAAGAACGTTTCTCGTGAAAGTCAATTCTTTCAATTAACGTTTCCACACACTAGAAAACAAAGCTGATTTTATCCTCTTCAAGAGAGAAAAAATTACAGCATAAAACATCAAGCAACATTTAAAAAAAATGAGGTGAAACCTTTTCTGCTTCTTCTAGTTTCTTTTGATCAACAAGATGAAGCAAGACAAGCAAGTGAATATAAAGCTCCACTTCCGGCGGCGGAGCAATACATGGCTGAACACCCGAACGTCTAGTAGGTCGTGGTGAACGTCCACCTTTACTTACATCCACTTCCATCTGGAACATAAGGTATGATTTTTTTTTTTCTTGCTTTTACCAATTTGCGATACGAAGTGAATCAAATCAATGCATATACCGGTTGAACAAGGCCAAAAACACTTGGAGTAATCGGAAGCCACGATATGAGTTGATCTCGGATTAGCGGTAACGCCATCAATTGTGAAGTGATCAGCTTTTTAAGCACATTCCCACTTAACTGTTTTCGAGTCTTGTGCAAAAGTTGTATCATTCGTGCGAGTACATGCAGTTCGCCCTTTTCCAATTGTGAACACCATGTTCGCAGATCTGAAATTCATTTCCTAATAATGCATTGATGTATATACTGCAGTGACTTTTAAAATTTCAGAATACTTTTTGATAACGCATAAAATTTCCTTCTACAATGTACACAACTTACCGCTTTTTGAAAAAAAAAAAAAAAAAATTAGAGATTCAATCACAAAAGTATTCCATCGGATTCATCCTTTTGTATCAATATTCAGAATGTCCCTAAGTAATTATGTCCAGCAGAACACATTTGAACATCCTCACACATTCGTCTTACCTTTTTTTGCGTAACTTTTTGTTGTGACATCCGTACCATCAGTTTATTATTTATGCATCTAACGACTGAGAAAAAAATACAATCTTCCTGACTCAGACTACTTCACACGTTCACGTTACACAGTAATTATCGTAAAAACCTAGACTTTCAAATACAATCTGCCCAGTGCTTTCATCAGCTTTCCTACCTCCCGGATCTCCACTTTCACTTATTCAGTACAGTCACTCTTCCTCCTTTCTTTCTGACATGCCTTCAAACTTCTGATATGATATATAATACAATACTAACTTTCTAGGATTGCAGCATCAGGATCATCTACTTTTGACATGTCGTCTTTTTCTTCACTTTTCGCATCGCCACTTTCTTCTTTTTCGTCATTGGTATTCTCTTTTGGTTCATCTATTTCCATCTTCGATACCATTTTTCCCTAAATATTTCCTATTAAAAAAAAAAAAAGGAGAGAAAACATTTAAGTGATAGCATAATGTAAAACACAGAACAAAATAAAGTGACGTAGGTTTAACCAGCACTATACAATAGTGAGTATGTAAATCAAGGAATCATATAAAGCAGAGGAAATATCAATAAATCGATGAAATAAAGAAAAGAATTATGTGGGAGGTTTAATAATATAAAAAATCGTAAATTTAAATTATAAAAATTACCGAATACTTTTCAGCATGCTATACGAGTAAAATCTGCATTGTCAATGTTGAATACATTACATTACAATGAGTGACTATGTGAGAAATGCTAAAAACTGATTAAAAATGTAGGATGAGAAGAATTATACAATTATATCATCTAAGAAATAAAATATACCAATCACCACCAATACGAACGATTATTCATTGGTCAAGAATAATCGAACTGTTTCAGTTTTCATATCCAAACAACTCGCTACATTGCCTAGAGACAGACGGAGAGGTGAAAGACGAAATATAACGTGGAGCAACTTGAACGGAGATGCCAGAGAATGTCAAAAGATGTGAAGTTTCACTGGATGCATAACGAAAACGAAACATAAACTCGAACTGAAGTTTTGAGTCTGAATTTTAGTTTAAGTTATAGGTTTTTGAATTACTTCGAAACGTTCAAACTATTATGTTTCCACTGATATTTCAAGATCGATCACTCATGCATATTTGAATTTATCAAAATATTTCGATTGAAACACCTGTGAAATTCCTTTACTTAGAATTACGTGCAAGCATAAGCGACGTGGAAAGTGTGTAGACGTACATGTTACGTGTATGTGATGCATTGGTTAATTCGATGAATAGTTTTTTTTGGTTTGGTCTTCTTCGTTGTCGTGAAACGTTGTTTGGTCGGGATATAATATCGTTGGCACGCTTATTTTATACTTCCCAACGATACAGTCAGGTGATTTCAGTGTGATATTATCTTAATGATGCATGTGGAGATGGGAATGGAACTAAGAATTTCTAACTAAACTAATAGTTTGATATGTATTAAAATTCATTAAATATTTATCTTGTGCTATTGTTGAATTAACATTAAGGTAAAAGCAAAATGATGAGAGATCTGTTATCATCTAAACAGATATTACAAAGTACGGATTATACCTTAATGTTAGTTTAGTAACAATAGAAGAATATTAAGCAAAATTTATTTAATGCACTTAAAAAGTTAATAGTAATCCGGTTGGTTTATTCATTGAGGAAGAAAGGTATGAATTGAATTAGCAAGGGATCAGTTTTAATTGGAACATTAAAATGAGAATTGTCAATCAAGTTTCGTTATTATGTGCGTTATTGCTGATGGTTACGTGATATATATATATATATATATATATATATATATATATGAAAAAACTTTTTGATAGGTAGAGAGTGATCGCGATAAAAAGTCAGATTATCGGTTGAAACGTAAAAATCATTTCGGGAAGAAGAATCGCGAGCGCTTATCAACATATTTGTATAATATGGCTGCACCTGAAATTGAAGAGGTAATATTAGTTAGTAATGTAAAAATATCAATGATTGGCTTTATCAGATGAAAGAGGGTAGTATCGCATAAATTTGTGATACTTATTTGTAATACTGTTAAGTTATGGGATAGAAGTTGTCTCGTTTTTATTTTTCTTTATCCCGTTTCAGCAGCTTATACCACTTCGTGCAGCTGTTAAGGAGTTTGGTGATTTGATACGTTCTCTCAAAGAAAAAGGTGCTCCGAAAACGGATATCGATAGAGCGGTTAATGAGCTGAAAGCTCGCAAGAAAAAACTGGAAGAACGTGAACTTGCTTTAGCACCTAAAAATATTTCATTTTTTGACCGGCTGAAATTTGAGGATTTATTGAAGCAGCGTTTCTTTTATGATCAATCATTTGCAATCTATGGAGGTATGTTAGGGTTCAATTCATCATTGATAGTCATTAGTCAACTTGGATAGATCAGTTTTAAGATGGGTTTCTTCTTTTTTTAAGCTGCCATTTTGCGTTTACATTTTCATTCTTTTTCAACAACACTCTACACTTAGGTGTGACCGGATTGTATGATTTTGGTCCGATGGGATGTGCTATGAAAGCGAACATGATTAATCTTTGGCGAAATCATTTTGTTCTTCAGGAAAATATGCTTGAGCTGGATTGTTCAGTACTTACTCCTGAAAATGTTCTCAAGTAAGATTTGTTTTGCTTGCATTTTGATTAATAGTGAATGAATTGCTGTATTTAGTTATTTTGGTTTTTTTTTTTTCTTTTTTTTTTAATTTATTCATGCTTTTGTACTATAATTGTAATTTTAATATTTAGTTTGAACTGCTATTCATGACTTATTTTCCGAAGTTTTTACTCATCAACAGTAATATGTATTTCATTATAGAGCATCAGGGCATGTTGATCGATTTTCTGACTGGATGGTGAAAGATCTGAAAACCGGTGAATGTTTTCGAGCTGACCATCTGATCAAAAATTTCGTTGAGAAAATATGTGAGGTGGGTAAAAATGATATTTTGATTGCATGCTTTTGTTGATTAAAGAAATCAGTTCTCTGAAATTGAAATTAGTCTCATTTCACTGGATTTTTAAACTATTTTAAAATTCATTCAGGATACAAAGACATCGGCTAGTGTTAAAGAGGAACTAAAGGAAATCCTGGCGAAACTGGAGGGTTTTAACGATGCAGACATGCACAATGTCATCGTAAAGGTATAAGCTTGTTATCTTTTCTAAATTATAATTGATATTTCCTCATTATTCAAATTAAATGAGCAAGTTTTTTAGCACAACATCAAATCTCCAGTAACAGGGAATGAATTATCCGAGCCTATTGCTTTCAACTTGATGTTTCCAACAATGATTGGCCCAACAGGCGATCTGAAGGCTTACTTGCGACCAGAAACGGCACAAGGCATCTTTGTTAATTTCAAGCGGTTGTTAGAATTTAATCAGGTTTGTGATTTTTTAGACTTAGATGTTTGCACTTGACTTCATAATTGGCTCTATTGGTCTTTATCCTTGTAAAACAATCTTATTGCCTTGTTCTACAGTTTCCTTTCATGTGCATCGTCATTGTTTTAAAAAACTACTAATAATATTACCAATTTGATTTTAAAGGGTAAGCTACCGTTTGCTGCTGCCCAAATTGGTTCTGGTTTTCGAAACGAGATTTCTCCAAGGCAAGGTTTAATACGACTTCGTGAATTTACAATGTGTGAAATTGAGCATTTCGTTGATCCGAATAATAAAAGTCATCCAAAATTTGAACGGGTGAAGGATTACAACCTGATATTGTTCTCGGGTTGTAATCAAATGGATGGTGCACCAGCAGAAATATTGCCAATTGGGAACGCTGTTGCTAAGGTATGGTTTGATTTTAGTTACAGTTTCTGTATTACTTTGAGCAAGAAGTTATATTCTCATTCACAGGTAGTATTAAAAGCATGCTCTGTTGAATTCTTTTTATTACCAATATAAGATGAAGTAGTTCAGGGGAAATTAATTTTGCTGCTGTTTTCGGAATAATAAGTTTGTAGAAGTTGGTTGCAAATGAAACTCTTGGTTACTATATGGTTCGAGTTCACAAATATTTGATGCGCGTTGGAGTAGACCCAAAGAGACTGCGATTTAGGCAGCATTTGGCTAATGAAATGGCTCATTATGCTTGTGTTAGTTCATTTATTTATATCTGCTGTAGGATAGAAGTCCATATTGATAGTTTTAGTCGTGGTTCAATTATTATGCTTTGATGTTCACGATGATTTAGACATGCATAGAATAAGTTATTACAGTGATATGTGATCCATTTTAGTTATGAAATAAAGATGTAAATTCCAATTTTGAAATCTCACTAAGATTGGAAGCTGAAGTTATTATATGGCTGATTAGTAAGGAACAAAATTTATTAATAAATCTGCAGGATTGCTGGGATGCTGAAATCTTGACATCGTATGGATGGATTGAATGTGTTGGAGTAGCTGATCGTGCATGCTATGATTTGTCGCAACATTCGAAAGCTACGGGGGAGAAACTAGTAGCTGAGAAAGTGCTCAGTGAACCAAAAGTTGTGCAGATTATTGAAGCAGTACCCAATAAGGCAGTTATTGGAAAAATTTACAAAACAGAAGCGAAGCAGGTGGTTATTGATTTCTTGGGACGTTCCTTATGTAGGGGAAAATTTTCATTTTTCTTTTCTGGAATCATTGATGTTTTAGATTACTGTATGTTTGAAAATAATAGAGCCTGCGTGCTTTTTCAATACACTGTTGCATATGCGTTAAAGTCGTTTCGAAACTTTCCTTATCTTTTACGGAAGACTAAAAATTTGAGAAAAAGTATGATGGTTAAACACAAGGTATGCTTTATGTTTAACAAATGATTTACATTTATTAAGCTTTCAGATCTTTACTAGGCTTGAACAGCTCACTTTAGAAGAAGTTGAGATGCTGGAAAAGGAGATCGTTTCTGCGGGGTAATTTATTTTTTCTATTAGCTGACTTAGTATCTAGTAATCAGTAGATTCTAAAATATGTCCAGTTTATTTAACACTTTACATTAGATTGTGATACCAGAGCTAATTGCGGTGATAATTCCATTTATAATTCTGCATCTGTTCTACCTAATTACAGCAATGCGAAACTTCGATGTGGAGATAAAGAAGTTGAATTGCAAAAAGATTACATTACCATTAAAAGATACGAAAAGAAGGTTATATTTCCATTTTAGTATCTACTGACTTTTGCATTTTTTAGGAATAGGAATCAGATATTTTTTCAAAGATATCTCTTAAGTTTTCGTCGTCTCTTAAGGAATCTTGAGTTATTCGTTACTTCCTTTGCTTTATAGTACATTTCTATGTAAATAAAAGGAGAAGCATAACAAAGGAGTGGGGCTAAAGCAATTTCAACTTGACAATTATCGTAATATTGTTTAACATCGTAGGTGTATACTGAGGAATTCTTCCCATCAGTTATTGAACCCTCATTCGGTATTGGAAGGATCATGTATAGCGTTTTGGAACATTCTTTCCGTCAAAGGGAAAATGACGAACAAAGAGTGGTATGATTTTTTATTTTTTGAAAATAAAATTTCCTTATATATCAGTATGATGCATATTTCTTTCACTTATTTAAAAATTTATTAATTTTCCTCTTGTAGTATTTTGCACTGCCACCAATTGTTGCTCCAATCAAATGTTCTGTGCTTCCAATCTCATCGAATCCACGTTTTGAGCCAATTATGGATGCTGTACGCTCAGAATTAGTTAAATTTTCTGTGAGCTATAAACAAGTAAGTATTTTTAACGGTGTGATGATTTGGAAGTAGATTTGAAGTCGATCTCTTAATAGGCCACTAAATTTTTTCTTAATTGTTTTAAGAGTGATGTTATTAAGGATGACAGCAGTGGATCACTTGGTCGACGTTATGCTAGGACAGATGCCATAGGCATACCGTTTGGTATAACGATTGATTTTGAATCGGAATCAGAACCATGGACTGTAACTTTGCGCTACTCAATCACAATGGAGCAAATTCGACTAAAGGTTTGTTAATGCTTTACCATAATTTTCAGAGTTAATAATAAATTGGTTTGACTTTCATATTTTTTGCTGTGCATATTCCCAATTAATTTATATTTGAGAAGTATTTTGGAATAATGCAAAAACTGGCATATATTCAGGTGAATGATGTTGGAAAAATCGTTGCTGATTTATCATCCGAGAGGATGTCTTGGAGCGAAGCACAACAGATTTATCCTAAATTTGAGCAAAAATCTGATGCTTAATGGCCAAACTTGTTTGTGAATTGTTTTTGGTAGTATATAAGAGATAATAGGGATCAGAGGCAAAGTTAATTGCTTGAATTATCTTGAAACCTGTGATTTAACTTTCTGTTCTTGTTTTTTTTTTTTTTCTTTTATGTTGTTTTATTTCATCGCTTTGGGTTTAAAAAAAATTCGAAAAAATAATACGACAGTAATCAACACTTAGGCACAATCAGTTATCACTGAGAAAGTTAGGCTGCCTCAATATAAATTCCGAAAAATGAGACAATGTTTTTAACGTTTTCGACTAATTCCACTAGTTATTTCAATGTACGCATTTAGTAAAACTTTATAGGTCAACGATGGTCAGTTTTTAGCTGTATGTCCTATAGTCATTGCTGAAATATGCCGTAATATTGCTTTAAATGAACTGAAGCTTCTTTTGGCATATTACTTTCATTAATTCTGAAACCAAAAAATTCTGCTAAATAAGGATATCAGATAATAATTATAACTTCATGCATGAATCTAACATCGTGGTTAAAAGTCGCAGTGTTAACTTGATAAAATGTCTTGCGGTATCTGTCTGATGAAAGGACTTTTTTTCATACTAATGCTAAGTTTAGTTAACCGAAAAGTTTAATTGCTTATTAGAATTATATTAAGTTTGAGAAAAGTTTGAAAAGTTGATGCTGTCAGCTCAAATTATACCTCAAATAGCTTTTAAAATTTCCAACGCAGTAGTCCTAATTGAGAATATGAATACACTATGTAGATTTGTGGGAATACTCTAAATTAATTAGGTTTATCCAAAATAATTCTAAATTAAGAATCCATTTAGTGAAAGGATAAAGATTATCAAACCAACTGAAACAAGTTTCTAGAATGTAAGGGATGTAAAAGAGAAGAATTATTAATTGGAAATGGTGAATTATCAGTTGGGAAAGTTGGAGACTGGTTCGATATGAGTTCCAGCAAATCAGATCGTTCATTGAACGTTGAGAGTTTGCTGTCGTCGATGTATAATAATTCCATAACATACCATTATCGCTATGGTTGGCACTGAACCTAACGTAATGAATAGTGCAATGAGAAGAGATAATTGTGAAGAAGTTGTTCCTAAATTTGCTGGTAACTTTTTTTTCGGATTTGAATCTGAAATTTTAGCCATTTCAAATTTTTCGGTTTTTTTTTTTGATTATTTTTTGATTTTTTGACTAATATTACTCATTTAATTTGTCTTATTTTTCAAATTCCAATAATTGCAATTACGCATTATGCTGCAGAAATATATTAAACTCCTTTGAATTACTTATTTTCCAATTATTTTAATTTTATATTATCAAGTTTTTAATCATTTCTTCCATTCATTAAATTATCATAACTTACGGAATTTAGCAGCGTATATTTGTCCTGATGGCATCATTTCTAAAATTGTAAGTAATTTTACTACTTTCACTTGTGTTTCACGACGAAATCGTGCTGCTGATTTTGTTGTTTTTATTATATTTGTTGTTGTTGTTGTTGTTGCTGTTATTGCCATTGCTGTTGTTGTTCGTGTTATTGTTATTGGTGTTGCTGTTGTTTCGATTAACGCTGTTTTATTTACTTCACATTGCTGCAAAATAAAAAAGCAAGAAATAACAAAAAACATTGGTTAATTTTTCAACTATTTTTATTAAATATATACTACTGCAATGAAACGAATATTTAATTATTTGTTCAATTAATTCAAGTAATAAATATTTATATTTCTATTAATGAAATTATAATATGACATTTTAAATTATACGGAAGAAAAGATTAAGATATCAAAGTTACAATGTCAATCTTCTAACTGTTAATTGTTGGCTTTTAGCTTTTAATTTAATTTTTTTTTCTCATTATAACAAATTTAAATAAATATAAAATAGTTATTTTATTTATTTCATTTTAATTAATTACATTATATTTAAAATGATAAAAATAACCTGTCGTTTACATGAATGTATACATGGCCTTATTTGACATTCGAAATAAACAAATTGTGTTGATGTAAACTGAAAACCATACATGTAAATGTAAACATGTTTCGGACTACCATTACTAGAAGATGTCATATAAACTGGTAATTCGATTGCTCGTGATAATCCTATTCCACATCTATAAATTTACAAATAGAAATTACAAAACTGATTATTTTGAAGAAATTTTTGAAAAAAATGCTTTGTGTTAATGCATATAAATAATAAAAATAATAGAAAAATAACAACAACAATAATAAAAACAAAAAATATTGCAAGAAATTGAAAACGTTGCAAGCAATATTTATTTGAATTGAATAAAAGTACTAAATAAATTCAATAAATCCATAGATTTAAAAATTAAGATTAAAATAAAAATCAGTTGACTATAAGAAAAATAACTGTTATCTATTGAAGAAATACCAAAGATTACACAAACTGACTAGATAAACTTTTAACTTTCTTATAATAAATTACAAAACAAAAAGAAACTGATAGATCGATATGCAACTTAACCCATTTGCATCAATAATTTGCACCAGTGCATCTGCATTATTACTACCATCGTGAGCTATACACGAATGCGCGTAAAAATCATAAATTTCTAAAATTTGAATATTATAAATTTTTCAATTTCAAAAATAGTAGAAACAAACTTGGAAATTTCTTTTCCAAATTTGTTTGTTAGAAAGAAATTTCTAAATTTGTAAACTATTTGTGAAAAAAATTTTTCGTTAACTTTTATCAATACACTTTGTAGTAATTGTTTTCACATTCTTATTCATAAATTACTTCGAAGTATTTTTGTATTTTTGTGAAGAAAAAAGAAAACACAGAAAATTGTTGTAAAGTGTTTTACTTTGTCTGCTATAAATAATTTGAAGATTTCATTAACTAATTTTTTAGTGCATATTCTAAGTTAAAAAATTAATTAAGTTAAAATTAATTAAGAAATAATTAGCCCAACTCCTGATAAAAAGTGCAATTTCTGTTTTTTAATCTCCTAAAAATGAGAAACGAATGCAAATTTTGAAACAAATAATGGGCTTCATTTGCAAACTAATAATTAATTTTGAAATTTTAAACTAAAATATTTAAATATGTAAAGACTAAAATATAATCAAATTTCACATTTTTTTCATTGGATCTCATATTAAAGCATGGTTAAGAACTGAAGTTAAAAACTAATAACATTTCTATTATTTCATAATATTTTTAATTTTAAACATGTTTAAAATTTATATTTACAATAGATTAAAATAGAGTTTAGACTTCCCAATTGAATTCTGGCTTTTAATTTTAATTGATAAATTATGAAAATCGAAAATCTATATCAAGTAAGAATTTTAAAAAATTTAATTTCCATATTTCAGATAATTGTAATTTGTAGTAGACAAACCTGTGTTTTCAAGAACAATATCAAGTGTTAACGGTTGTCCAACTCTAGCATGCCTAACAGCATCACCAATAATTCCGTGCCCATCAAGAATTTGAATTTGTAATGCTGGCACGCTTCCGGTTCCGGTTACAATACCGGTTTGTTCTTCCATTCCACTAATATTTTATTAAATTTAACCTTCTGCCCCTCACATTCGGGATGCAAAAAAAATTCATAAAAATGATTTCGATGATATATTATTATCATTATTATTATTTTTTTTACTATTATTAATATTATTTATTATTTATTATCATCATTATTATTTATTAATTAATGAATTAATTTGCTTATCATTATTATTATTATTATTATTATTATTATTATTATTATTATTATTATTATTATTATTATTTGTTAAATGATACAAAACAAAAATCAAATTTCAAAGCTTAAAAATCTTTTCGTCTAAACTACAATTTGCTTATTTATTAAAATGCATTAATTGGCATGGATTTATTTCAACTTTGCTTAATTTTCAACAATAACAAATAAAACGAAGCAAAATTCGTTTCTCTAATTTTTTCTTTCTTCCATGAATTCATAAATATGTTTCTCCAATTTGTTTCTTGTGTAAATATCATAAAATGATAAAATTATCTGAATATTTACAGTTCATCAGGTAGCTTTTTTCACTAGCAACCATTTTAATTTTCATGTTTTTGTGGTAACACCTTCAAATTCATCATTTATTAGCAGAAAAAACTAATGTGATGAGAACTTAATGACTTTGTGAAAATATCTTTTCATAAAATCCGATCCAAGTATCTCATTATGAAATCAATGATAATAATTAATAATAGTAATAAGTAAACTAATTCATCAATTAATTAATAATAATAATAGTAAGTAAATTAATTAATTCACCAATTAATAATAATGGTAATGATAATAAACTTAAAATACTTTACCAAGATATTTTAAAGCGACAATTCTTTCACAGTCTAAAAACTCAGTTCAGTAAAATTTCAACCAACTTTCTAACATTTTTCAAATAAATGTATGTCGAGAGACCGGTTTTTCCAATGTGACAAAAATGACAATTATTTTGGTATTCGTCAAACTTGACCGATTAAAGGTGAGGGAATTAAACAGCAATTTAAAAAAATTTTTAAGGAAAATAATAGGATCAAGTTTTCTCATAAAATTTTATAAGAAATGTTATTACGAAAATTTTAGGGATAATTTTTTTTTCTTCTTTTTTTATAGGAAAATGGATAAAATTGAAGATGGAATGAAATTAACCATTTATTTTCATCATTTGCCATTCATCAGTAATTATTGGTCATGTAAAGGTAATCATTTCAAGTCGCTGATTTTAAAAATCACAATTTAGGTAACTGATTATCCAAAACTTCTTGAGGCAATAAATAACAAATAATATTTCGAATAATTAATGAAATAGAGATAGAGTATCTGTTCCACTTTAACTTGAAATGATCACCTTAAGATGAGCAATGATTACTGATGAATGACAAATGATGAAAATAAATGGAATCCAAAGAAAGAGGAATGTTTTTATATTTGGAAATTAATAAATTTGAAAGTCAAAAAATAAAATAATGATTTTAAGATACAAAGGAAAAGGATGAGGAATTATACTCGTTGATCTATTATGCATTTGTTAACAATGTTAATAATACAAATTAAAAATTTTAAAAAACTATTTTGGTCAAGCATTCCTAATTAGCTTCTTTTTATACATCGTTTTTAGAAGACTTTTCCAACCCTCTTTTTTCGAAAATTATTTTTCATCCATAGATAACTTCTCTTTCAACAAAAATGTGACACCCAACTTAAATTAAATTAAACTATACAAATATTTCAGGGAGAAAATTTGTTAAATAAAAAATAGCACAAATTTAGAATAAATGAAATAGAAACCAACACAATTTGTAAACCAGCCATAGTGACGGTAATATCATTTGTCACATACATGCAACGAATTTGTAAACTTGTCACACCATCTACTAGAATATGCTTCATTGGGCTAAGAATTAGCATTGAGGTTACTTCACCTGTTGCCTATAATTTAACAATAGCAATGTGTATATTCAAGTGACATTTAAATGGAATATTGATTTTATATTATTGTTTGAATGGTTGATTTTTATTATTTCAATTCTATTGATTTAAAACCTAAAGTCTGATGCTTTACAAAAAGAAAATTTTTTGCTAAAATTTCAATTTCTGACTTTAGCTGACAAAACTATAAATGGGATATCAAATCTACACTTTAATACAATTTGCGCCAAGTTAAGTAGATTTAAATTGCAAATATAAAATTAATTAATTATGAAAAAATTGCAGAGTTTTTAAATTATTTAAATTCTTTATAAAATTTTCTATTAATACCTGTAGCATTCTAATTCCACAAGCATAACTTCCATTTGATTCAAAAATAGGAATACTAAAATTTATTTGGGTACTGTGTTGACCTTCCCAACGGCAACCGCTATCATTATAAGCATGATCAGCAAAAATGATACCATCAAATGACTCATCAAATTCTAAATAAATATCCATTCGATTGTTATGACATGTTATTCCATGACCTGAATATATTTGAACAACCCTACATACTATAAAAGAATTAATAGCATAAATTTAAAGCATGAAATTCAAAAAATAAAATCTAGAAATTGCCTTTCTTTTTTAAACGAATTTTCTTTTTTTTTTTTTTAATTTCTAATCAGTATGTAATTTATACATATTACTATCGTGATTCATATCTTGTAAATTTAACGGATGATAATGATAATATAATTTTCGTCTGAGTTCTTTCTCTCGAGGTACTTTTTTATTTGTGATTATTATAAAGCTACACTGATGGAATAAACAAAGTCCTACCTTTAAGTAACCTTTTACTTTGTAAGCAATGCAAAATTATCAAAAGTAGAAAATAATTTGCTTTGACGATCATTTAAGATAATCCGTTGTTTAAATCACTTACACCATTAATTAATTAAGAAATTGTTAAATTAATTGAATGGTGAAGATTTTCTAATTAAATTTTTCCAATTTTTTGTTGAATTTAGTCGAGTCGAATCCTTCAAATTTTATAATTAAATTATAAAATGATCCGCTTAATTATCTAATCTGTTAATTCTATTAATAAATTAACAAATCGTTATTTGCAAATGATTATCACTTTAAATCTATCATTATCGCCCAATTATTGCCTCTTTCGATGAAGCTAAGTAAGGTAGGAGAGAGTAATGAATATCAAGGTTATAAAAAAATAATAATGGGTAATTACTAGCTAAAAAGACTATTGGTGAATACAGTAATAGTTGATAATTATGAAGAAGGATCTGGTGATAATGATGGGTGATGATGATGACGATAATAATGATAATGATGGTAACGATGATATCAATAATGGCAACAATTATTATCATTATTATTATTTAATAGTAATAATAACACTAATAATAATAATAACAATAATAAAAATAATGATAATAATAATAATAGCAATAACAATAATAATAAATAATAATGGTGATGATGGAAATAATAATGATTATGAAAGTAACAATGGTAATAATAATAGAATAATGATAATAATAAATGTAACGATGATGATGCGTAAGATTATTCTTAACATAATTGTAAAAAGGTAGAATCGCTGACAGTAACCTTCGTTACTGCCTGTACCGTCATCGCCACTCTTAATACCATTACTAATTTTACTATGCCAACAAAGAATGTTCGTTATTTTATGCAAAAGCCATCCCACTGCATTTTATAATAATCTTTTAATTTCAAGGCGAATGCTCAGGCAATTATCGAAATTCTAGTAACTAATGAAAGTATAATTATTACACTGCTATAATACTTGTTACCGAATAGAAAACTTCAAATTTTGCTTAAATTATAAGAAGCGTGCATTGTTATAATGAATAACCGCGGGATAAATTCACTTACCATTATTTTCTCATAGTGTGATATTTATATATGTTCGCAATCTATGATTTTCCATTAGAGAAAACCTTTGAAATTGCCAAATTACCAAATTTATCTCTTCAAAATATTTAATTGCAAAATTCACTTTCTGAAATTGTTAAATTACTAAATCTGCCTTTTCAATTTATAACAAATCGAATCAATCAATTTATGTTTGAGAGCTTTCTCTGCGTTAGAACGATTAATAGCTCTTACTTTTATTGTTAACATTTGTAATTTAATTTGAAAGAATATATTCGGCTTTTCTTTCAGAATATGCTACCAAATTTCTTCGGGAATTCTCCTAATAGGAATGGTAGGTACAATTATTTTTTGGTAATGACTTAAATTTACATTATTTTCAATGAATTGCATCTGATATAAAGATATTACAACCAAATATTTTGGTGACGTCAAATTCCAACTGATTAGATTAAACATCTAAAACATCCTGAGCTAAATTGATAGCATGTTAGTTCTCCAGTTATCAGCTTCCAACAAAAATAAACTGTTTCATTCTTTTGGCTCTCTTGTCTCACATCCATATATAGGCATTTCTACATCCGTCTGACATCTGGTCGAGCCTTTGTTCGGAAACTTGTAATTCCCGCTTTCAACCAGAAAAGTGAAGGATTTTCAGAACAACTTGTTCAGACTCAGCGGAAAACTCTCAGCTCTTTGATTCAACTTTTTTGTCACGGTTTTCCCAAAATAATTAAATTTTCAAATCTTCTACAACAACAGGTAATTAACTCAAACCGCCAAGATTTGCCACAAATAATAGTTCAACAAAAGCTTGAAGAAAAAGGAGGATATTGGAAAAGGCTTGATATACTCATTGGAGCAGACTACTATTTCAATTTTATGACTCCAAATGATGCCCATCAAATGACATCAAGATTCTAATAACTGAAAGGGATATATTAGCAGATCTCACAATTATGACGTAAATAAAAAGAAGTTGGGACAGCTGCTGTTGAAACCAAATCAATGAGGGAAAGCAGTGTCATCACGACCCCAAAAATAGAAAAATTCTAGAAATTAGAACTGATAGTCATTCACGAACAACTTAATAATACTCATGATGACGAAAAAGTATTAAGACATTTCAAAGAAACAATCGCTAAATGAAATGGAAGGCATTTTGGTGGAAGATATGGAAGATTCAAAGGTTTACATAAATGATAATTATGGTCTTTCTCTCGGAAGATTAAAGATATTAATTAGGCGACTTCATACTGACAAATTACTTCTCAATCAATACAACGAAATAATTCAAGAACAAATGGAAATTAATATATTGAAGAAGTATTTCCAGAAATGAATCAAATTGTTATATAGCATTTGCCGCATTATGGAAGATCAACACCAAACAAATTAACAATAAAATTAAGAATCGTTCAGGATGTTTCCGCTCACACCAAAGGCATGAAAATTGTGAACAATGTTCTATATCGCGGTCTGATTGCACTCCCACATTTAGCAGGCATAATGCTTCAACTTAGAGTGATGGAGAATCCATCAGAATGCAACTGCACACGATTTCTTTGGTTGAAGAACATAGATGGAATAGTCACCGAAGATAATATAATGTTATCGTTTCCAAAGATTTTCATTCGGGATAATATCATCTCTCTTCTTACTGACAGCCACTCTCAATACCACTTAGAAAAAAATCAAAAACCGAATGAAAAAGTATGAGAAATAATACGAATCAGAAGGGAGATTAAGAAATGTTTGAACCTTTGGTCGTTTAATATAAAAAGCTTCCATTCGAAAAATTCTGTCATTTTAAAAATTCAGTGTTTAATCTTATTATTTAAATGAAATTGAAACTGTTCTTGTAAGGCAAATTACAAGTAAATAAGGAATGTCAATGCGACTGAAAATTATCTGAAACTTTTTTTGTGCCTCTGCTGACAATGTTGTATTTTGTCCCTGTGGAACGTTTCCAGTATTGATACTTCAATGAAAGAAAATTATTGATTTAAAATGTAAACAAATATTTTATTCGGTCAAGCCAAAAGATTAATAAGATTCAAAGTTGCAAATGAATTAAATTGGAAATTTAAATTTCCAACACTTACAAATTGTTATGCGGGACCTCAATAAATTCCCAGAGTGTACACATAGAGTGTCGGAAAACCGAAAAAAAAAATTTATTATATTTCTAACGATTTATCACTCTGTATCAATTCCTTATTCTTTTTCTCACAAAGCTATTCAATACTGCCATTCATTCATCTGCTGTTTCTATTATTCAACTGTATGTTGTGCCGATTCATTATTTGAAAGAAAATACGATAACTGGGTCGGTCTTGCTCGCAGACAAGAAGCAAAGAGTTCAATTCAACTTCCACAAACTTAAATAAGTCCAACGAACTTAACTAATCCAAATCATCTAACTCTTTTGGCCAAAACGATATTTCAAATTCACGACAGTAACCTGACCCTTTCTTCATAAAAATCCCAGAAAAACACCTGTTTCAGCTTACTTCCACTAAAATGTGTTATTTTTGCTGATTTAAACAGCATCATTGGAGTTCTGAAGAAAGATTTCAGGAAGTTAATTATTGTTAATCATCTGAATTAAATAAAAAATCTAGTTGTAAAGTTCATCCAGCTAGTGAAATAGAGAAATTTTCTACTATAACGCAGATCAAATAAATGTAACCAATATGCTCAAGAATTTTCAAATTACTTAATGATAGCTTAAAAAGAGAAAGAAAAATATCAGTCATATCTATAGTCTGCAATGCATTTATAGATCAAATTACTAAAAATAATTATAAAAATTTCCATGCTTTCCTTATGTAAGTAATTCAATTCCCTTGTCATAAAAAAATTTCTCAACAATACAAGCACCAACATTGTTAATTAAATCTTCGAGTTTAAAATCACGGAATAAATGATAGTACCTAAATTAAAACAATAATGCATACTAGAAGTAATAATAAGAAAAACAACAAAAAAGTAAAATATCCATGTTTTCATATATCGATATCGTGACTCTCCCGCTTTACTACAAAACTAAAGCTTGGCAAAAGAACATCATAAATTGTTGAAGTATTTGCAAAGTGACAAAATTCCATACGAGATCTAAGGGAATAATAACTTGAGTAGCTCCGTTTTAAATCGAAATGACAATCTCAAAAAAATTATAAGGCTATAGAAGTAGGTGAAAACTTCCACGATTACGTCGAATGAATAAACAAAATTCATTAATATATCTTCATGAAATTTTTTCAGATGATTTTCCAAAAAAAAAATGCAAAATAAACCTGAAAGCAAACTAAGCCAAGCTATAATATCGCTGAATGGAGAATGAGTATCAACATGCGACACTATACCATTTCCAGGTTCACAAATATAAATGTTACCTGACCAGGTTTTCCTTAAATATTTCGGAACCAAGCATTCGAATTCAATTCTGATGGTACTTGTCCATGAAGCTTCTGATAAGCTAAATGAGCTCTAGCTATAACTTAAAAAATGACGAATGAGTAAGAAAGTTGAGATTGAAATACCATAAAATCATAGTTTTTACCAAACTGACTGAATATCCTTTCTAGTTTATCGTATGGTAATCCACACAAACGACTAACTATTAGCAACAAACAATATCTACAAAATAAAATTTGAAATTTAACATTTAATTTCTATTTCTGTAATCAATAACTTTATATGAATTAAATAGAAAGCAAGCATTAGCTTTAATTGATTCCTGACATTACATAAATTCATTTCAACTTTAATTTGAAGAAAACTTGAACTCTCTAAATGAAATAACTGCGTAGTAATGAAATATCCGTATTAATAACTTTGCTATTTCCAATAACATCAGTTTTTTTTTTCCTTAGTATTATCTATTGATAATCAGTATGATTCATATTCATTCAATAAACCAAATAAATCACAAAGCTAATGTGTCCTTTCGTCATCATTACTATGTTTGTTCTACAATACAATAAACTATAGAATTTATATAAAAAACAAAAGAAGGATCGTTTTTCTTCTTTTTTTTTTACTTACTAAACGGATAAATTAAAATATCAAGCAATGAATACTAGTTAAAAAAAAGAAAACTTTAAAAAGAAAGATATGATAAGAAATCCGTAAATGCTATCGAAGTAAGGACAGCGCATGTGAAATCTTATTAGTTGTTCATATCTCTGATACGTAATTACTATTATAGTATATGCATGTAAAACGTTTACATAACATGTAGGTGAATCGTTATTATTATCATGACCTATTACTATTATTATTATTGCTGTCACTGTTCAAATGCATGAAGAAATTGAATATTTTGAATTTGAAGTTATTTTCTTCACAAAGTCATCGGAATATTATTGACGAAATGAACGAATTTCCCACACTTGAAAGTTGGGTAGATCAGTGTTACAATTTTATCATAAAAATAAGTTTGCTCACTATGCTTTTTGATAATTTTGCCGTTAGCGCTATTTTCTTTGCACTGTTTAACCTCCTTTTACTATTGGAAGTGGTAAAGAACTACTAAAAGTGCTAAACTTAGAATAATAACAATTTTGTCAATGTTAACATCATGTGAGAAACTTAAGCTATTTATGCGTACAAATAGACATTATAAATTTATAAAATCCAATAATATTTGTGTTCGAAAAATTTAAATTTCCCCTATTGATTCTAAGCTTCATTTCGTGACAATTCAAAAAAATCAAATAAAAGGAATATTTCTTACTTGATTAATTAGCTACTTTATTTGAATAATGTCAATTCATTTATGTAATGATTAATTTTTATTGGCTGAAATTTTCATAAGGAGAAAAATTGCAAATGTGTATTTACTCCATAAAATAAGATAGATTTATGAATATCAACAAAATTGTAAAATTTCTGCATCATTCTGATGATAGCACCAGAAATGCCGTGTAGCTTCTCATTCTTGAGCACCTTATCGTATTTCTTCCGAAATATTCGCGAAATGTTAATTGCTTTCTGTTACGGCTAGAATGAATATACCAAAAGGTATAAAAAGTTTGCCGAAATTTGGCCTAATGGAGCAATTACGTGCTTCTTTACATGGCTTTTTTTTTGCATCGCATTATTTACTGAATTTTGTATAGCTATTATACAACGTTTTCATGTGCACATTTTCAGCACATTTTCTCGTGCATTTCGCTTCAAACAGACAAATATGTTTGAAGTCTTGCTAAATTTGTGAAACTAACGTGGAGCTTTCGTACAATGCTTCCTATGAGCGCTTAGATTATTCCTATAGATGAAAATTTTGCCACAATTTTCGCACTGAACATTAATTTTGTGTGTTTCCTGATGAATGGAGAATGATGATGGATGAGTGAATGTTCGCCCACAACCGGGCACTCTGCATTCATAAATAAAAGGTTTGGGATGCGTTTTTCTGTGAGCTATGTACTCACTGTAATTCTTTGTTTTCATAGTACATCCGACATGGAGGCACTCGTAATTTTCCTCATCTGAAAAATTCTTTTACAACATTTGTTTTTATAATTCTATCGATATACTTAACAGCTCAGGTCACAGTTCTTTACTAGTTTTCTCATGTATTTAAAATTTTTTTTTTTTGTAAATTTTCCGCTGCGATGAAATCATATCCAGTCCTCGATTCTTTGCTGTTAATACCTACAATTTTACACATTCATTCCATTCCTTAAACAGCAGATACAGTTTATCTTTTTATATGTTGAATATAAATGAGAAGGATCTATCTCTTTGTTGAGTCTTTGTTAAATATTGATCTATTGAATTTTGTACTGCTATATAATGAATCTTTCTCAGCTGTGCATTTCACTCCAGGAAGGCAAACATGTTAGAGTTCTGCTAAATTTGTGAAACTATGCTTTCGTACAATGCTTCTTGTGAGACCTCAAATTATTTTTTGAGTTGAAAATTTTGCCACAGTTCCCGCACTGAAGTTTAGGCCCATGTGCTTCCTGATGGTTGTAGAATGATGATGGATGATTGAATGTTCGCCCACAACCGGGCATTCTGCATTCATAAATAAAAGGTTTGGGGTGTGTTTTCTTGTGAGCTATGTATTCATTGTAATTCTTTGTTTTCATAGTACATCCGACATGGGGACACTCATAATTTTTCTTATCTGAAAAATTCTTCTATAACATTTGTTTTTGCAATTAGCATCTTCCATTTATCATTTGGTAAATAATTGTTATATTTTGGAAAGTGATTATGGTTTTAATTTATATTAGAAGCAAAAGCTTAATGTTACCTGTAATGGAAGCGCTTTGCAAAACAAATAACTCTGAATTTTTCGCAGTAACGAGATCAGTTATGTTTTCAAATTCCTTAGTACTTGCATCGTTAATTTCGCGGAAATGACTGAGATCTACGAAGTGTAGAGGGTCGGATGAAATGCTGCTATGCATATTCTCACCATCTGTTCTCGGCAATTCTTGCAACTGAGAGTTTCCTGTTGTAATTGGGACGGTTTCGATTTTCGAATCCTCATTGCTTCTATGCTCACTTTTCCACAAATCAGTGAAATCGAAGTGCGAAAAATCAGATGAAATGCTAATCTCCAAATTCCTAGCAGATGATCCTGGTAATTCTCTACCAGTATTTTCTGGATCTCTTTTATGAACATCAATGCTTGAACCTAGGATCGACTCCAAATTGCTATTATCAAGGATGTTGAAACTAGTTGAGAAGTACCCATTGCTACAGTCATCCCATGTAATGTCATCGATGTCGAGATTTAGTAGAGAGATAGTTTCATTCTCAGCCAAAACAGTACAAAGCAGAAAGCTCAACCAGATGATTTGTGTCATTGAAATGAAGAGCAAGATGAAAAACTGAATTTTTACAATGACAGAAATACTCGATTGAAAGTCTTTATTTCAGATTGGTTGGAATTAAACGGCCAAAGGTTTAAACAGTTTTTAATCTGTCTTATTTGCATCATTCCTCATATTTTTTTCCTTTCACTCTAATTTTTCCATTCTTAAATTAATAGCTGATGAATACGCTTTTGGACTGTATGAATAAAAGATTAAAAATTAAATTGTCATGCATGAAAAATTAAATTCATACGGCCATCAATTGTTACCTGTCGTGTAACTCCTGATAATTAATTAATATCACTTCATCATTTTTCATTAATTTGAAAATATTTCTAAAAGACTCTACAAGTGCGCAAGAATGAGAAGCTGCACGATATTTCTGATAATATCATCAGAATGATGCAGAAATTCTACAACTTCATTATGATAATTCTAATCATTATTTATCAGATGAATCTCACTCTTTTTGTTTCAATATTCTATAACTTTCCAATTCTTTTACTTCTATTTTTCTTCTCATTGAGTATTACATTTTCAATTTACACTTAACTGACGTACTGTACAGGAATCTGACTGAAATGCTAACATTTCATGCTTAATCTAGTAGGATTACGTCACATGAAACACAACAAATCTTTTGTTATTCTCTAGTAAAAAAATCGGGTGACAAAAATTTTGTTTGAACCAATTGTGAAAAAACATGAATGGATAATGTTATAAAAATGTACAACAGAAAATGTACAACATTTTGACAATTGTTGTGAGCTAAATTTACATATTTCGCTTTTGTTCTATTCCAACAATCTTTCATCTGCTGAAATTGCATGGAAAGTATTATATTCCATTAATTGACCTCTTTCAAGTTCACTATTCGACCAGCTTTTATGTCTTGAACGTTTAATTTGATCAGTTGGAATTTGACATTACCAAATTGTTTAATTATATTATTTTTATATCAAATGCATTTTTAGTAGGAATAAGTTAATTTTCATTAAAAATAATGTAAATTTAAGTCATTACCAAAAAATAACTGTGCCTACCATTCTCATCAAGACAATTCTTGAAGAAATTTTAGCGAGAATATGCCATCAATTGGAAATTTTGTATAAATTCTGGTTGAATTACTTCTCTGAATTAGGAAGATACAATGATTCAAACTTTAAGTTCTTTAATGATTTTTTGTTTTTCAACCATGACTTATTACTTTAATGAAATTCCAATCTACATGCCAACTGGCCAGATGCTATTACTTCTCTGAATTGGGAAGATTCATTTAACAAGGAAGCAGTCGAAAAGTCTTTATTTTGAGGCTTACAGTGAACACTAAAAACTAGAATGTATTAAACATATGAAAACACACGATGAACAGTTTATTTATAAGCTAAACCCGATTTTGAACTAACATGTCAGTACTAAAGTGCTAAACTTACAATCCTAACAATTTTGTCAACGTTAATATCATATGAGAAACTTAAGCTATTTATGCGTACAAATAGACATTATAAATTTATAAAATCCAATAATATTTGTGTTCGATAAATTTAAATTTCCCCTATTGAATCTAAGTTTTACTTCGTGATCTCTCGAAGCTCTCTTTCTCTCTCTCTAAAAATCTCTCGAATCTCTTGAAAATCACTTCATGTAAAGTGTTAAATTGTCAATGAGATGTCTGGCCACTGACGTGCACTAGTCGATGGATTATTGGGCAATTTTTTTTGCTTTTCGAGATGATTTATTACTGTAATCCATTTTCAAAATCATCATGAAAAAATGTGCATTTTGTTAAGGTGGAAATACATTTGTCATTCTTTGTGATTGCAATTGTAAGTTCGATGACAAATTAATACTGTCATTTTCTCCATTATATCATATTACAAAATAATTACTAACTGTGAAGTGATGTGAGTTCTAACAACAGTTAATGTTTTTCATTACTACAGGAAAGCTAAAGCAAATACTGTTTTTTAGAATTTGTATAGATTGCTTAGTTAAGGCTTTGTAATATTCTTTCCTTTTTAAGACTTTGATGAGATTTTAGTAGTTTGGAAGTGAAAATGGATTAGCGGTTTAGCAAAAACTTGGGAAACAAACTGTATCAGAGATTTATATCGGACTACCGATATAAATCATATTGATTTGGTATATAATTTCTTTTTTGACTTTGGCCACACTACAGCAACGTCAAGATTGCTTTATATATTTTATGCTTCAACACAATTGAAACAATTGAAAAGTCATAACACAAGAAGAATCATTGCCTGAAATGAGAGAATATAATGGAAATTGCTGATGACGACAATCCGAAATATAAGGTTAAAGAAAATAAAATAAATCACATCTATCACAATAAAACATAATAGCGTAAAACTCCTCTGCAATTTTTATTAAATTATTATTGATTGTACTTTTAGACACTCTACATTTTTATGGGCAAAAATTTTGGCATTTTTGGCCTTGACAAACAAAAATCAGGACAACCTGAAAATAGTGTATGTGACCTAGTCTAGTTTAAAATTTTATTTTACATAAAGAAACTAATAAAAAATTATAAGCTATTCATTAACATAAATTTGACAGAATAAAATGATTCATTTGTAGCTATTTCCATGGATTATCATAATAAATATGTTTTAAAGATATTGAAACTTTCTAAAATCTCGAATATTTTATCAAAAAGAAACAAATTGCTTTATTATCGTTGTAGACGATGAAAGGCATATCCGATAAGGATTTTGCTCTAAAATTGAAGAAATCAAAGCGCGATATGAAACGATAGCAAAGAAGGATCAGCGGATTGAAATGAATTGGGATACTTTATTTGTGAGTGTTTTTTGGTGGCTGAAATTACCAATAAATAATATAAGAGTATGGCAATTAGCTAATAAAAATTTGAGGGATAATTTTCACACACACACACACACACACACATACACACACAGACACATGCACACAAATACATATTTCAATTTTTTTGTTTCAAATAATCTATAAATATTGATTAGATTGTAAGTAACTTACGACTTTTTGATTGTCTTAAAAAAATTTGGCAAATATTACAGTGATTACTGTTCTGCTACGCTTAATATAATTTGTCATAAACGTTTGTCTTCAATTGCAGCAAGCAAAAATATCGAAAAAGATAATATATTAATATTTATACTATCAACAGAAACTGCGTTAAAAACGAAAAGAAAAAAGACGAAAGAAGTAATTTTGTGGATAATTAATTTCGCTTGTTTGTTTAAAATATAATTTAATAAAGATTACATTTCATGCCAAAGACAGAAATTTTGCTCATTTATGATAACATGTAACCACAAATACAGATATGCGGAATTTTATTAAATATTATTCATAAGGAATTATTTCTTCATTTCTTTCACATTTTGTAATGAAAAAAAAAAAAAAAAAAAAAAACTCTACTATTAAAACTGATCCTCGTTATCACATACAAATTATATTTCTGGAAGATTCCATCAATGAAAAATACACTGTCTGGTTACTATTACTTTTAATTACTGTTATTTTTAACTACTGCTAGAGTTTATTGAGTGTTAACATCGAATCTATTTCTTTTGAAATGAATGCTTTCAACCTTTTTCGATAGTATGCGGATTTACGTAGGACAAAAGTCATTTTCCATTTTATTATGCAAAAAATACGAGATTAATTGATCAAAATTTATAATAAACTTGTTGTTAAATTCATGCAATGAGCAAAGATTATTCAGCTTAAAAGAGAAACGAAATTGACATGGAATTCATTGTATATTTGCATCGTATCCCTCGAATTCATTCGGTCTTCATTTTTACTTTCAAAAAACGATTGGTAAGTTGCTTGAAAATCTAAATTGGCTGTCCTTTTCCGTTAGAATGAAAAGTCGCAACCTCAAGGCTCATCAAATTAAAATTTAACTCACTGTAATATGTGTTTGTATTAAATTCACATTGCTTCCCTTCATTAAGGCACTAATTCTGGAAACGCTTTGCAAACGATGAAAAACCCACGATTTGCACTTTTCATATTATTTTTTTGCATTTTCGGCACAGACATATTATTAGTAGCGTCAAAGCGATCCGCTCCGGTAATTTTTGAGAATTTATATAGATATGATGTGACACTGAAAAAAAAAAAACTAAAAAATCAAAAGTGCGGGTTCTCAGGGTGAACGATTTTTTTCCCACTGATGTTATCGTTAACGAGAACTATACCCATGTCACCTTTACCTTTCTAAGCACATCGCAGAATACCGTTACTCCATACGCCACGAGTCTCCTCAATCAATTATTGTAGATTGGACGAATAACTGATGCAATGCTACCTTGGAAGTAAGTTTACCTTCTAATATCTTCTCATAAGTACACTACTAGCGTTGTTTTCTTTGCATCATTTAACAGTCCTTTTGTTTCAGCACTGGCAGACCACTTGTAGTTCCACTTAATAGGATTGTGCAACCATATTTTGTCAGTTTATCCCAACAAAGATAGTTTTCTTGGTTTATGAATGGAAACCGATTCCGTAGAATTTGATTATGTTTGTTGTTTAAATTAGCATTTGTTCATTCTCGAATTAAATCATTTTTGTCGCAATGCAATAAGTTTCAATTTTATATCACTCGAAAAACTGAAAATCACTATGAAATTTTGCTAACTTTTATTTACAATCAAAAAGCGTAACGCTACAAACTGCAAAGTAATAATTGACTAGGCTTTGTTTCCACATGAAAAAGACCATAAAATACCCCACGCAGTTTCTTGTGAAATTGTGTACCTTTGTTTTTTCCATTTTTGAAACAATGAATCTTTTATCAAAACAATGAATCCACTACGACAAGGATAATTCTAACTAAAATAGTTTTCTTGGTATCAATTGGATTTATGATTTAAATATAATTCGTATAATATAATACTTAAACCATGGAATTAAAAGAAAGTAACTGAGAGAACTATCTTGCAATTTGTTGCTTCATAGTATGACCCTCTAGGGTTTTTAGTTCCTTCAATGATTACATTAAAATTATTCCTTCAACTTTTATGGAAACAAAACAAGTTGTGAGAGCAGCCTTGAACCTATCAAAAAAAAAACAAAAAAAAAAAAGAAAAAACAGTGGGAATCAATGATATGATATGAAGTTGGCAAAAAAAAAAGAATACAATAGCTCGACCTGTAATAAACCCATTAGATCAACTAGAAATACATGTATTTTCGGATGTTTCAAATAAAACATACACAGCAGCAATGCATGTTCTCATTATCAAAAAATATGGTAAGAACTCAACATTTCTCATTTATGCTAAATCACGTATTGCCCCACTTAAATTACCATACCTCGTTTGGAATTACTTTCAGTACTAATTGGGGTAAAAATTATACAGTTTGTATTGAAGCAAAAAGATGTGCCTGTAACACTTTGGTCTAATTCTAAATGTGCTCTATTTTGGATCAAAAATTATTCAAGATTATTTCCCGGTTTATACAAAATTGAGTAGAAGAGATATGAAAGGCAGATTTCACTTCCTGATATCTTCCAAGTGCGCATAATCAAATGAACGTTGTTACTAGAGGAATTCCACCAAGTAAACTCAAAAACTATCAACCATGATGAAAGGGATTGCAGTGACTAGAAGTGGGGAAAAGTAAATAGCCACAATAGGAATTCAAATACCAAGAAGACGGTGAATTTAATAGAGCAATTATGACAACTATTAGAAAGGTAAAGAAAACTTTGAAATCAATAAAATTTCAATTTACAGATGAGAAGCGTTTTAGACTCGCATGTTAAGAGCAACAGTGTGGGCATTTTGGCTTATCAAATTAAGCTTCAAACGAGAAATTATTTCCACTTATAAAAAATTTTAATTTATCCCCCCCCACCATCACTGATTTTAGTGTCGCTCATGTCACTTGGCAATACAAAAGCTTTCATTTTCAAAATTTCACTCCTGTTATTGAAAAACCAATACAAGAGTGAAATAAAGTAACCGGCGCAAAAGTCATGCACAGAACCCACTGATCAAATCAATTTTAGAGTTGGAACTAACAGGTTGTTATTTTAGATATCCAAATGTTTTGATCTTTGAACTTTACATATCTCCATTAATCAGAATGTTTATGTCATTTCCATGAAATATAGTTAGAAAAAAGATAAATGTGAAACATATCAGATAGTTAAATAACATAATTTCATCAAAAAATTGTCTGTAGCATATTGATGACGCGCATCTTCTGACTCCTACGTATTCTTCTGTGTCACTCCCAATGTATGCTAGAATTATGTATCTCTTCTTTCACTCCTACAATGAATATTTTGAGATGTAAAAGAATTGAAGAGTTTGCTGTAGGAATAACCAGTGAAATGCATTTCAATATACCTTCTGTACATCGCAGTATATTAAGAATTTTATTTTGCTATACCACGGATACGAATGTTTCGCAACGCATTTTTGCGTACATTTCACTTGCAGTTGGCAAAAGTGTTTAGAATTTTGCTAAATTTACAAAACCAACGAGGACCTCCGATGCAAAGCTTCTTGTGAGTGTTGAAAGAAATTTCAGAACTGAAAATCGCATTGAAGTTTGCTTATGAAAATAACTTATAAATTTATCAGATTCTTAGAACAACAGGTATTCCTTATTGCCTTTTATGCTGAGCATAATGGAGAATCGAGAAGGATCTATCTCTTTGTTGGGATTGGTTAAATAGAAGTATCTATTGAATTTTTCGGATGTTTTCCATCACATTTTTATGTGCATTTCACTTCAGGTAGACAAACATGTTTAAAGTGCTACTAAATTTGTAAAACTAACGTGGAGTTTTCATGCATCGCTGCCTGTGAGATCTCAGATTTCCCTTATAGATGAAAATTTTGCCACATTTTTCGCACTGAACTTTAGGCCCATGTGCTTTCTGATGAAAGGAGAATGATGATGGATAATTAAATGTTAACCCACAACCGGACACTTTGCATTCATAAATAAAAGGTTTGGGGTGTGTTTTTCTGTGATCTATATATTCATTGCGACTCTTCGTTTTCATAGTACATCCAACATGGGGACACACGTAATTATCCTTATCTGAAAAGCTCCCTTATGACATTTGTATTTGCAATTCTTCCTTGTACTTAATTAATGCAATTTAAAAAAATGATCATAGAGTAATTTAAATTTAAGAGGAAAAGCTTTTTAAATCTATCTAAAAAGACTATTTAAACAGCAATAGTTGCTGATTTTTCGTTTCTTATGTTGAATCGACAAGAATTTTTCTACTGAGATTGGATAAATATCGAAGTACCTATTGAATATTGTATTGCTATACAACGGATATTTCTATAAGGAAACGTTTTTAAAATTTTGCTATAAATTTGTGGAACTAACATGCAATTTTCGCGCAGCGCTTCTTGTGAAAGACCAGATTACTCTTACAGTTGAAAATTTTACCACAGCTTCCGCACTGAAATTTAGGTCCATGTGTTTTCTGATGACCGTAGAATGTTGATGGATGATTGAATGTTCGCCCACAACCGGGCATTCTGCATTCATAAATAAAAGGTTTGGGGTGTGTTTTCTTGTGAGCTATGTATTCATTGTAATTCTTCGTTTTCATAGTACATCCGACATGGGGACACTCGTAATTTTCCTTAACTGTAAAAACTGTCTTATAGCATTTGTCTTTACAATTCTATCATAGCAATTTGCAATTAATTAACGCAATTTAAAAACCGGTCATAAAAATATTTGTGATAACATAAATTTTTCGCTGCGATGAGATCAGACAAGTTTTCGATTCTTTACTATTTATATCCATAATTTCAAGTAAAAGAAAAAAGCTTCTTCCTATACAACGGATGTTTCTCAGTTATGCATCCATCAGATAAACAGTCAGGTGTTTAGAATTTTCCGAATTATGAAACTAACGTGGAGCTTTCGTACAACGCTTCTTGTGAGATCTAAGATTCTTCTCACAGTTGAAAATTTTGCCACAGGTTTCGCACTGAAGTTTAGGCCCATGTGTTTTCTGATGACTATAGAATGATGATGGATGATTGAATGTTAACACACAACCGGACACTTTGCATTCATAAATAAAAGGCTTGGGATGAGTTCTCCTATGAGCCATGTATTCCTGGTGACTTTTTGTTTTCATAGTACATCCGATATGGGGACACTCATAATTTTTCTTATCTGAAAAATTCTTCTATAACATTTGTTTTTGCAATTAGCATCTTCCATTTATCATTTGGTAAATAATTGTTATAGTTTGGAAAGTGATTATGGTTTAAATTTAAAAGCTTAATGTTACCTGTAATGGAAGCGCTTTGCAAAACAAATAACTCTGAATTTTTCGCAGTAACGAGATCAGTTATGTTTTCAAATTCCTTAGTATTTGCATCGTTAATTTCGCGGAAATGACTGAGATCTACGAAGTGCAGAGGGTCGGATGAAATGCTGCTATGCATATTCTCACCATCTGTTCTCGGCAATTCTTGCAACTGAGAATTTCCTGTTGTAATTGGAACGGTTTCGATTTTCGAATCCTCATTGCTTCTATGCTCACTTTTCCACAAATCAGTGAAATCGAAGTGCGAAAAATCAGATGAAATGCTAATCTCCAAATTCCTAGCAGATGTTCCTGGTAATTCTCTACCAGTATTTTCTGGTTCTCTTTTATGAACATCAATGCTTGAACCTAGGATCGACTCCAAATTGCTATTATCAAGGATGTTGAAACTAGTTGAGAAGTACCCATTGCTACAGTCATCCCATGTAATGTTATCGATGTCGAGATTTAGTAGAGAGATAGTTTCATTCTCAGCCAAAACAGTACAAAGCAGAAAGCTCAACCAGATGATTTGTGTCATTGAAATGAAGAGCAAGATGAAAAACTGAATTTTTACAATGACAGAAATACTCGATTGAAAGTCTTTATTTCAGATTGGTTGGAATTAAACGGCCAAAGGTTTAAACAGTTTTTAATCTGTCTTATTTGCATCATTCCTCATATTTTTTTCCTTTCACTCTAATTTTTCCATTCTTAAATTAATAGCTGATGAATACGCTTTTGGACTGTATGAATAAAAGATTAAAAATTAAATTGTCATGCATGAAAAATTAAATTCATACGGCCATCAATTGTTACCTGTCGTGTAACTCCTGATAATTAATTAATACCACTTCATCATTTTTCATTAATTTGAAAATATTTCTAAAAAGACTCTACAAGTGCGCAAGAATGAGAAGCTGCACGATATTTCTGATAATATCATCAGAATGATGCAGAAATTCTACAACTTCATTATGATAATTCTAATCATTATTTATCAGATGAATCTCACTCTTTTTGTTTCAATATTCTATAACTTTCCATTTCTTTTACATTTTCTGTTGTACATTTTTATAACATTATCCATTCATGTTTTTTCACAATTGGTTCAAACAAAATTTTTGTCACCCGATTTTTTTACTAGAGAATAACAAAAGATTTATTGTGTTTCATGTGACGTAATCCTACTAGATTAAGCATGAAATGTTAACATTTCAGTCAGATTCCTGTACAGTACGTCAGTTAAGTGTAAATTGAAAATGTAATACTCAATGAGAAGAAAAATAGAAGTAAAAGAATTGGAAAGTTATAGAATATTGAAACAAAAAGAGTGAGATTCATCTGATAAATAATGATTAGAATTATCATAATGAAGTTGTAGAATTTCTGCATCATTCTGATGATATTATCAGAAATATCGTGCAGCTTCTCATTCTTGCGCACTTGTAGAGTCTTTTAGAAATATTTTCAAATTAATGAAAAATGATGAAGTGATATTAATTAATTATCAGGAGTTACACGACAGGTAACAATTGATGGCTGTATGAATTTAATTTTTCATGCATGACAATTTAATTTTTAATCTTTTATTCATACAGTCCAAAAGCGTATTCATCAGCTATTAATTTAAGAATGGAAAAATTAGAGTGAAAGGAAAAAAATATGAGGAATGATGCAAATAAGACAGATTAAAAACTGTTTAAACCTTTGGCCGTTTAATTCCAACCAATCTGAAATAAAGACTTTCAATCGAGTATTTCTGTCATTGTAAAAATTCAGTTTTTCATCTTGCTCTTCATTTCAATGACACAAATCATCTGGTTGAGCTTTCTGCTTTGTACTGTTTTGGCTGAGAATGAAACTATCTCTCTACTAAATCTCGACATCGATGACATTACATGGGATGACTGTAGCAATGGGTACTTCTCAACTAGTTTCAACATCCTTGATAATAGCAATTTGGAGTCGATCCTAGGTTCAAGCATTGATGTTCATAAAAGAGAACCAGAAAATACTGGTAGAGAATTACCAGGAACATCTGCTAGGAATTTGGAGATTAGCATTTCATCTGATTTTTCGCACTTCGATTTCACTGATTTGTGGAAAAGTGAGCATAGAAGCAATGAGGATTCGAAAATCGAAACCGTTCCAATTACAACAGGAAATTCTCAGTTGCAAGAATTGCCGAGAACAGATGGTGAGAATATGCATAGCAACATTTCATCCGACCCTCTGCACTTCGTAGATCTCAGTCATTTCCGCGAAATTAACGATGCAAATACTAAGGAATTTGAAAACATAACTGATCTCGTTACTGCGAAAAATTCAGAGTTATTTGTTTTGCAAAGCGCTTCCATTACAGGTAACATTAAGCTTTTGCTTCTAATATAAATTTAAACCATAATCACTTTCCAAACTATAACAATTATTTACCAAATGATAAATGGAAGATGCTAATTGCAAAAACAAATGTTATAGAAGAATTTTTCAGATAAGAAAAATTATGAGTGTCCCCATGTCGGATGTACTATGAAAACAAAAAGTCACCAGGAATACCTGGTTCATAGGAGAACGCATCCCAAACCTTTTATTTATGAATGCAAAGTGTCCGGTTGTGGACGAACATTCACTCATCAGTCAACACTCGTCAATCACCAGAAAACACACGGGCCTAAACTTAAGTGCGAAAATTGTGGCAAAAACTTCAACTCGAAGTATAGACTAAACGCTCACGGGAAACGCTGTGCGAATGTTCCATGTTAGTTCCACAAATTCAGAAAATTTTGAACATTTTTTACCTGACTGTCTACCTGAAGTGGAATGCACAGCTGAGAAATATTGTTGTATAGCAGTGAAGAATTAATTTGACACAAAGAACTCAATAAAAAGATTCTTCTCGTTTATGTTCCATATAAAAAACAATAAGCAGTACTTGCTGTTCTCAGAATCCGATAAACTTAAAAATTATTTTCTTAAAAAGTCTTATGCTTTTACGTGAAATTGTGATATAAATACTAAAGAATCATGATCTTATCACAGCGGAAAATCCACTACGTTTTTTGTTTAAACAGACGAAAAAAGAACTAAGAAAAGGTGACCTAAGCTATATGAGATATATTATCACCGACATTTTTATGACCAGTTTTTAAATTGCGTTAATTAATTGCAAATTGCTATGATAGGATTGCAAAAAGGAATGTTATAAAACAATTTTCCAGATGACGAAGATTACGAGTGTCTCCATGTCGGGTGTACTATGAAAACGAAGAATTACAATGAATACGTAGCTCACAAGAAAACGCACCCCAAACCTTTTATTTATGAATGCAGAATGCCCGGTTGTGGGTTAACATTCAATCACCCATCAACATTCTCCGGTCATCAGAAAACACATGGACTTAAACTTCAATGTGGAAGCTGTGGTAAAATTTTCAAGTATAAGAGCCATCTGTTCTTTCATAAGAAACGCTGCGCGAAAGCTGCATGTTAGTTCCACAAATTTAGCAGAACTTTAAACATGTTTGTCTATCTGAAGTGAAATGCACATTAAAATGTGTTGAGAAAAAACCGTTGTATAGCAGTACAAATTCACTAAAGAAATAGATCCTTCTCGTTTATATTCAACAAAAAGAAAGATAAGCAGTACCTGCTGTTCAAGGAATGGAATAAGTTTAAAAGTTATTTTCTTAAGAAGGCCTTTGCTTTTACGTGAAATTGTGGATATTAAACAGTAAAAAATCAAGAACTGATGATCTCATCGCATCAGGAAATCTACACTTACATTTTTCATTTAAATACATTAAAAAACAAGTAAAGAAGCTATTTGAAGTATATTATCACAAGCATTTTAATGATCAGTCTTCAAAATGCGTTAATTAATTACAAATTGGTACGATAGAAATATGAAAACAAATGTTACAAAAGAATTTTTCAGATGAGAAAAAATATGAGTGCCCCCACGTCGGGTGCACAATGAAAATGAACAGTCGCAAGGAATACATAACTCACAGAAAAACACATCCCGAACCTTTTATATATGAATGCAGAGTGCCCGGTTGTGGGCTAACATTCAATCATTCATCATCATTCTACAACCATCAGGAAGCACATGGGCCTAAACTTCAGTGCGGGAACTGTGGCAAAATTTTCAACTCAAAAAATAATTTGAGGTCTCACAAGAAGTATTGTACGAAAGCTCTACGTTAGTTTCACAAATTTAGCAGAACTCTAACATGTTTGCCTTCCTGGAGTGAAATGCACAGCTGAGAAAGATTCATTATATAGCAGTACAAAATTCATTAGATCAATATTTAACAAAGACTCAACAAAGAGATAGATCCTTCTCATTTATATTCAACATAAAAAAAGATAAACTGTATCTGCTGTTTAAGGAATGGAATGAATGTGTAAAATTGTAGGTATTAACAGCAAAGAATCGAGGACTGGATATGATTTCATCGCAGCGGAAAATTTACAAAAAAAAAAAATTTTAAATACATGAGAAAACTAGTAAAGAACTGTGACCTGAGCTGTTAAGTATATCGATAGAATTATAAAAACAAATGTTGTAAAAGAATTTTTCAGATGAGGAAAATTACGAGTGCCTCCATGTCGGATGTACTATGAAAACAAAGAATTACAGTGAGTACATAGCTCACAGAAAAACGCATCCCAAACCTTTTATTTATGAATGCAGAGTGCCCGGTTGTGGGCGAACATTCACTCATCCATCATCATTCTCCATTCATCAGGAAACACACAAAATTAATGTTCAGTGCGAAAATTGTGGCAAAATTTTCATCTATAGGAATAATCTAAGCGCTCATAGGAAGCATTGTACGAAAGCTCCACGTTAGTTTCACAAATTTAGCAAGACTTCAAACATATTTGTCTGTTTGAAGCGAAATGCACGAGAAAATGTGCTGAAAATGTGCACATGAAAACGTTGTATAATAGCTATACAAAATTCAGTAAATAATGCGATGCAAAAAAAAAGCCATGTAAAGAAGCACTTAATTGCTCCATTAGGCCAAATTTCGGCAAACTTTTTATTCCTTTTGGTGTATTCATTCTAGTCGTAACAGAAAGCAATTAACAATTCGCGAATATTTCAGAAGAAATACGATAGGGTGCGCAAGAGTGAGAAGCTGTATGTGTCGTGAAAGACGAAATATTTAAATTATTATATCCAAACTAACAAATTTCTCTTATCTAATTCCTTTTCCTCACACAACAAAAACCCTTTGTTGGTAAAAATCCTTCTTTATCAAACCCTTTGTTAGCAAAACCCTTTATTAGCAGTCTTTGTTTCACATCAGTTAAATATCCTCTGCCGGATATCTGGTCAGCTCAGTTCTGCATATAAACAATCGTCCTCCATGCGGTGGTTCATTCTGCATTTTGGGGTGGTTTTGATATCATTTTAATGTTTTATAATTATATCTTTCGTTACGCGTTTGTTAATCGGTGTAGCATCCGTACGATATGTATAAAGCGCTATTATTTGCTTCATGTTAAATAAAGGTTTAATTACCCAAGTTTGAGGTTTCACGACAAAATAAATTTTTGGTGCCCGAGGTGAGGTGAGGTATGTCGGCCAGTATAATTGTTCAAGCTACACCAGTAAAAGCGAATCTCGAGGGACTCCTCGATGAAATACAACAATTGGATCTAACTCCGTTAGACCAAAAAGCGACAGTAGAAGTATTGTACCAGCAATACGAAGCAAGGGCAAGGATTATCAAAGAAAAGTTGATGCGCCTCGAAAAATACGTTGGCACTCTTGAGAAGATCAACGACAAATGGTTGAAACACATTCAACTAGCCCCAATGTCGCAAAAGAAAAAAGAAGAAAAATACGAACAAATGACAAACGACGATAGAGGTATTTTAAAATTAATTAACATAGGTACGGATACCATTATAACCTTATCTATGTACAAGAATGATACAGAGTTAGCCCTTAAACGTCTAGCACAAATTAAAGAACCTAGCTTAACTGAATGTCGTCCAGTAGTAAATTTATCACAATTGTCGTTACCACCGTTTAGTGGAGACCCTAAAACATGGAGAGAATTCTGGAGTAGTTTCGAAGCCTTCGTACACTCTCAAAACATACCAGATATCCAAAAATTAAATTACTTGGTTTCTTGCTTAAGAGGAAACGCCCTCCAGCTAGTAAGAGGTTACGATAGGGCACCTGAAAACTATAGAATTATAAGAGAATTATTAATGGAGAAATTTGGTCGTGTTTCCACTATAAGAAAATTACTTTACAATGAACTCATATCTACAAAACGAAACAACCGAGACTGGAAAACAATAATCGAAGAAATGGAGAGAGTTCTAAGGCAGTTAGAAGCAATTGGCGAAAACGTAGAGCAACCTAGCATCGAAACGATAATAGAATCCAAATTGCCAAACTGGATATTAAACCAGGTTTATCAACAGTATGGCATTTCTGGTGCTATCATCAGAATGGTGTAGAAATTTACAATTTTATTGATATTCATAAATCTATCTTATTTTATGGAGTAAATACACTTTTTGCAATTTTTCTCCTTATGAAAATTAGAACCGACAGAAATTAGTCATTGCATAGCTGAATTGATATTATTCAAATAAAGTAATCAAGTAAGAAATAATCTTTTTATTTGATTTCTTTTGTCGTTTTTTCGAATGATCACGAAACGAAACTTAGAATCAATAAAGGATTCAACATTTACGGATTGCTATGCAGAACCTTAATAAATTTGCGGAATGAACAGCAAACGTAGAATGTAGTGGAAGCAAAAAAATGTTTTTGGAAACAAACCTTTATGATTTGGTTAAATTGTTATTCGGGGGAGAAGTTTGATGTCAGGGAGATGTGTTGGATGCCAGCTAAATATTTGGGCAACAATTGAATAAACTGATTCGGAGGATTGGATAATTTAAAAACTGATCTAATTGACAATAGTATGGTTATAAATCTACATTGATGTTAGACAATGATCCGAACAAAGGAGAGGAGGTGCTTGCATGGGCACCAGTTGCTAATAAAGAGCTTATTAGATAACCGCATGATTATGATAGCTAACAAAGAACGATGTAAATTGTTTCAATATGTAGAAGCATAAATTTGGAAACAAAGAGTCCGAAGTATAAGCATTATTTGCGGAAATTACGTAGATATCTTTACTACAATTTGCAACTCATATTTTTAGATCGCGATATTAAAATCCGCGACACTCCCGACCGAAGGAGCTAAATGCTTTAGTTCGTTGGACAGCTTTGGTTGATTGCTTCGCCTTATAGCGCTTCTAGTTCGTAGAGCAATTGGTTCTTGTTCATTGACATTTTGCACTGATTTGTTAAACATTGTTGGTTGAGGGTCAATTTCCTCACCTTTGACTTCCAGTGGGTATAACATATTCACCGGTCTGTTGAGTATTTTTCCTTTCGGTAATTCTATCGAGACACTTCTCACTTCTCCATCCTTTCCTGTTTTGATTTCTCTTATTCTGGCTAGTTTCCACATGCCACGGGGAATTTCTGGTTCATTTAGTAACACAATCTCTCCCTCGTGGGGAGTTCTTTTTACTACATCTCTCGGAGAAGAGTGTTCCCTTTGTGCTCTTTCTTTAAGAGTATTTAAATATTCCTCTTTCCATATTTCCCAGAAGGCATCGAGGGCCTTTAGTGTATTTGACCAGTATTGAATGAGTTTTTCTCTCGAATCCAATTTATGAGGGATAAAATCATCCATTTCATTCTTGTTTTTAGCAGGCATGATTAGATGCGCATTCGGTAGTATAAAGTCAATTGGACGCAATATGATACAATCATCAAAATTTACGTAAGTTAGTGGTCGAGTATTCAAAATACTTTCCACTTCCGCTACTAGCGTAATCAATTCCCGTTCCCATAATAACTTTCTGCCGATGGCTCTTTTCATTGCCCTTTTTGTTAACCCAATAAGTCGCTCATATACTCCTCCGTTCCAAGGCGCCTTTGGTATTATATTTTTCCAGATCATTTTCCTTTCCGCTAGGAATTCATTTAATTGTTGTTTCACAATGATTTTAAAAATTAACTGGAATTGACCAGCGTTGTCGCTTAAGATTAATTCTGGAAAGCCTCGTCTTGCTGTAAATCTTCTGAAAACATGTAAAAAGCTTTCGGCTGAAAGAGTTTCTACTACTTCTAGATGTACAGCTCTTGTTGTGAAACATGTGAATAGTGCTACCCATCTTTTTGTTAGCCCATTATCACTCCTGATATTCACAGGACCTAAATAGTCTAGTCCTACTCGCGCAAAGGGTCTTGATCTTGTGGTCCGAGATGCTGGAAGATCAGCCATAGTTGGTAATTTGAATGGTTTAGTTGTCCAGCGTCTGCACTTCATGCACTTATTCAAGATTCGTTTGACTTCCGTTCTACCTTTTGGGATCCATATCGTCGATCTCAGATTTGAGAGTGTATGAGCAATTCCAGCATGATACAGTTGTTCATGTCGTTGCTGAATAAAGAGTTCAGTTATGGTGTTGTGTCTCGGGAGATATATTGGGTGTAAGTTACTCTCTTTCATTTCAGAGTTAACTACGCGGCTTTTGTATCTCCATAGTTCGTTATCATAGAACAAATTCCATTTGATTATTTCATCTTTGGTAACTCCTTCTGACTGTGCTTGTTTGAATAGCACAATTTCTGACAACTCGTAATCCTGTGTTGTCAATATATTCTTTTCTTTCGTTGCCATCTTTAGCCAAGGAATTTCCCTTTTCATTGTTAATCTTATGAATTTCAGAACCCAACCAGTTGTTCTTATTAATCTTGACCATTTGCTAAAACGACTAGCATCTAAGATTCCGAAATGTTTGTTTATGATAATTGGTTCTGTGATGTGGGCCACAATTTCTTCATCCTGGTAATCCTCATTGTAATTGTATTTCCACTGTGGCCATTTTGATTCGTTTTCTGTTAACCACTTTGGTCCTTTCCACCAAAGATCATATCCTTTTAGTTTATTCGGAGAGATTCCTTTTGTAGCTATATCAGCTGGGTTTTGTTCACTTGGGATATATCTAAAATGGATTTTCGCCTTTCGTATTTCTTCTACCCTATTTTGTATGAACGTTGGTAGTAAACGGGAACTATTGTGAACCCAATGAAGCGCACATTGAGAATCGGACCATAAAATTGTTATCACGTCCTCAAGCTCTTTTTGTTTTAATACGAATTGTACCATTCTCACTCCGATGAGTATTGCCAGTAATTCTAATCGAGGTATTGACATTCCTTTAATTGGCGCAATTCGGGATTTAGCAAACACTAAGAATACTTCTCTTTCTTGAGTTCGAATGTATAAAGCTGCTGAGTATGCAGCAGTTGATGCGTCAGTAAAAACATGAAATTGTACTTGCTTGGAACAATTTGTTGTGAATCTTGGTAGATCCTTTAGTTTCTTTGGCCATTCGTTCGTGAGTAATTTCCACGTGGTTTCATCTTCCTCACTTATAATTTGATCCCATGAAAGGTTCTTTTTCCACAAAGTTTGGAGAAACAATTTGAATCTTATCAGTATAGGAACTATGAATCCTAGTGGGTCATATTGTGAGGCTACGAATTGCAATATAATTCTTTTAGTTAATTTCTTACCAAACCATGGTTTTAACGTTACTTGAATGATATCTTGTTTGTGGTACCAATTGAGACCTAGAATTTTTTTAATTGAACTTACCTCTGCTCGATCTTGTACCGGAAGTTTTTCATTGACTTCTTGGTCGTTAGAGAGAAATTCCCGTACATTCATTGATGCTTCATTGAATATAATTTTAATTTCCTTATAATTGGAAAGAGCTTCGTTGGTTCCTTTGGTTGGTATTATAATGTTATCGACATAGAGATTTTTCCTTAACTCGAGTGCGATTTTGCTTTTACAAGTTTCCAAATGATAATTGAGTGTAGCGGACAATAAAAATGGAGATGATACAATTCCAAATGGAACTCGTTGGAAACGGTAACAACTTACGTTTTCTTCGTTAACTGGACTTCGAATGTCTTTCAACCAAAGAAATCGAGTGCAGTTTCTATCTGTTGGATGCAATTCTATTTGCAAGAACGCCTTTTCTACGTCTGCTATTATTACATTTTTCATTGTACGGAAACGTAGCAAAACTCCAACCAAATCAGGGAGTGTTATTGGTCCCCGATATAAAACATCATTTAAACTTTTCATTCCTTTACAATGAGCTGATGCATCATAAACTATCCTCAGATTTGTCGTGGTTTTATTTGGTGTTATTACTTCGTGATGAGGCAGATAATGAATAATACCAACTTCATTCATTTCCGATGACACTTTCTCAATTATATTGGAATTGAGTTGTTCTTCAATAGTTTGATTGTATCGACTTAGTAATTGAGGTTTCATTTGAAGCCTCCTAATTAACGACTTTAATCTTCCAAGGCAAAGTCCGAAATTATCGCTTAGTTTGTTCTTTGAATCTTTCCAAGGCCAACAAACTTGATATCTTCCCTTGTCCCTAGTGATAGTTTGTTTAAATTGCTGCAATGCTTTTTCATCATTGTCAGAGTTTATTTTGTCTTGTATACCCATTAATTCCAGTTTCCAAAAGTGATCTAAGTCTGGAATATTGACGGCATTGACTTGAGAAATCGGACTTACTGATGTGGTTTCTGAAATACTGTCGTGTATTTCATTTATATACCCACTTCCAGCTATTATAGGTCCAACCTTTGTATGGATCAATGAAAATCCTGATTTTAAGTTCTCTGCTTGGTCAAACTGGATAAACTTGAAGAAGTGATCCGCACCTATGAGTATGTCCGGTTGTTTCCATTTGTTTTTGAAATTACTAAACTGATTTCTTTTGTCTATCATCAACAATTCCTTTTTGTTTAGATTAACTACTTGCAATTCATTCGTCAAGTGGTTAACTGTTATTACATCTAATCGGATTATTTCTTTATTTCCAATTTTTACTCCGATTTCAGTTTTAGTAGTGATACACGTTTTTGGCGTCTTATCACCAAATGAAGCAATTTTTATTTCCATCTCGTTAGTTTCTTGTAGATTCAATCGATAAGCCAAATCCTTTGATATGAACGATAATTGAGAACCAATATCGAATAGAATTAAAGCCTTTTGTTGGATTTTTGGGCGATTTGGATTGGTTACATTTATTTCCTTACATAACAGTAAGGTTCGCTTTTTCCATTGATTTCCTTTTTCGGTAATGGAGTTAGCGATTGTGACTGAACCCAATCTTTCTTTGTTGGAATCCACTGCTTGCGTGAGTTCCTTGTAGTTGTTGGGACACAGTGCTGTATTGTGTGGACTTTTACAATGGAAACACAAAGGTTTCCCTTTTTTACAATCACTTGTTGCATGTCCTTTTCGTAAACATTTGAAACATGCAGTGATTTCTCTCAAACGTTCCATCCGGAGTTTGAGAGTGGGATAGATGTTACATTCATTGTTCCAGTGGTCCTTATTGCAAAATACGCATGCTTTCCTTTTCCCATTTATAGAAATTTTTCCTGGAACCTTTTTTGATTTGATTGTATTATCTCCCTTTGTTTGGTTGATTGTGGCGAAAGCTGACGTTTCGCCTCTAACATTATTTTTGTTTGTTTTCTTCTCCCTTGTGTCTGCTTGACTTCTAGCAACTTCTTCATTTCTTAGAACTAGTTTTGTCAGGTACTGCCGGATATCCTTAACTGACCAACTCGTCGAATCCTCTTTCAATTGGTATAATTTATCAATTATCCACGCTGGTAGTTTATTTTCAATTGTAATTTCGATGCTTGAATGCTCTAAATTTTCACCTATAGCTTCCAGTTGTCGAAATGTTCTCTCCATGGCTTCTATGGTTGCTTTCCACTCTCGGTCATTTTTTTTGATGGTATTCAACTCGTTGTAGAGTGATTTCTTTATAAGGAAAGGTTTACCATATTTCTCTTTTAGTAAACCTATTATAACATCGTAGTTTTCTGGCGCTATATCATAACCTCTTACAGATAACAAAGCATCTCCTTTAAGACATGATATCAGATAGTTTAACTTTTGAATATCTGGGATGCTTTGCTCATGGACTGCTGCCTTGAAACTACACCAAAATTGCCTCCACAATTTTGGATCCCCACTAAACGTTATTAGTGGTAATTGAGGAAGTTTTATTTCTGCTTGATTTGTGTGAATCATACTATTCTTTGGAAATGATTCTTTGACCTCTTCTTGTTTTAAATGTTGTAGTACCGAGCAATATTCATCAGTATGTATTTTAAGGGTAATAATAGTTTCTCTTGTTCTAGTGATTAAACTTAAAATACCTTGTGGATCGTCAACCATATTGGCGTATTTCGTCTCCTCTTCCTTTCTCCTCGTTGCTATTGTCAAGCTCTGAATATTATCCAGCCAATTTTGATTAGCTGTTTCGAGTAACCCAGCATAATATTCGAGATGTGCGATCTTCTCCTTGACGATTCGCAATTTAATTTCGTATTGATGCTGAAGTTCCCCTCGTGATAGTGTTTGAGACGGGGAGGTCAGATCGAGTTCACTTGCTTCTTTAAGAAGTTCTAGAGTTCTCGACTTCGATAATTCGCTTCCTTTTCTTATACTGTCGGACATGTCCCGGCTCGTGGCACCAAAATTGTAGTGGAAGCAAAAAAATGTTTTTGGAAACAAACCTTTATGATTTGGTTAAATTGTTATTCGGGGGAGAAGTTTGATGTCAGGGAGATGTGTTGGATGCCAGCTAAATATTTGGGCAACAATTGAATAAACTGATTCGGAGGATTGGATAATTTAAAAACTGATCTAATTGACAATAGTATGGTTATAAATCTACATTGATGTTAGACAATGATCCGAACAAAGGAGAGGAGGTGCTTGCATGGGCACCAGTTGCTAATAAAGAGCTTATTAGATAACCGCATGATTATGATAGCTAACAAAGAACGATGTAAATTGTTTCAATATGTAGAAGCATAAATTTGGAAACAAAGAGTCCGAAGTATAAGCATTATTTGCGGAAATTACGTAGATATCTTTACTACAATTTGCAACTCATATTTTTAGATCGCGATATTAAAATCCGCGACATAGAATGAGTTTTTGATCAATTTCCTTTATTTACAGACCTTTGCTAAATGGAAATGACACCAGCTTCAAAATATATTTTTTGGCTTAAAAAACAAAGCTCAAATTATTTTCGAGTACTTTCACCTGTTTTTTTTTTTTTTTTTTTTTTTGTATATTTTTGAATGTTTTAATAGTGAAAACAATTTCACCGATACAATTAAATGCCAATTAAGTTTTCATTTAAATTGACTGGAAAGCATATTTTGGGAAAATTTGCAAATTGTCAATATTTTTTTTGCGAAACTTTATAAGCATTTTATCCTTTTTTTACAAACTTTTTAAGCTTTATAAACTTTTCATCATTTTATCTAAGCAAAAGTGAAATAATATGGCTTTTGAGCAAAATTCCAAGCAAGCAAAAGTTTATCAAAAATTACTTAAAACTTCACTGAGGAGATAACGCTGACATGACGAACAGGATTAACGGCAGTGATATTTACGGAAACTGATGATCTCATCGTATCAGGAAATGCATGAAAAAGTTGAATCTCTTGATTTCAATGAAATTATTTTCTTCACAAACTTATCGAATATCATTACCGAAACTCGAAAGCTGGATAGATCAATGGTATAATTTTCTTGCTTATTTTTATGCTTATTTTTATTTCTGATTCGCAACACTACTTTTGCTTTAATTCTTCTTTATAAAATTTATTATACTGTTGCTTCTGTTAATAAAGGAATTATTACATTCGTGCAGTACCCCACATATTATAGCATCCACATCCAACGAATCTCCCTTAGATCAAGAAATAGATCTCTCCAAGTGAGACAAATTCACGCTGAAATTCGACCGTGCCAAATCTCCCACAGCAATAAACTCATTCATAATTGTCTTATCTGACTGATCCTCATGCAACAGAGTGATTGTTCTGAAAAGGTTAGGGGAGTATTCTAGTCATTCCAAATTTGCCATAAATCTTTTCTGTTTCAGGTGTCAAGTATTCTGGTGAGGTCAACAAAGATCGCGTGGAGTCTTCTGTTCTGCTCTATATTTTTTTTTGCACTTGTCTGAGCACAAATACAGTGCCTCTGGTACTTCTAATAGACTAAAAATCACGTTAGCTCTGAAGTAGAAGTGCTTCGGGAGTAGTGAACACTAGTCTATTCAGAAATATTTTTGGAAGAATTCTGTCAATCTTTAGACCATCGGTTGAGAATGTAAGATTTATGAGAAGAGGCCATCTGAGGAGGGCTGTGAACCTGACATGTTGTTCCTATCTGCTTTTACAAGCTTCGTAGAATCCCTCTGTGATTGCCGACATCTGCGCGTGATTGGATTTTTTGCGCTAAATTAATCGATATCGCAGTTCATTGATTCATGACAATACGCTGGATATAGCTAGTGACAAATATATAATGATAATTCAAATATAGATAATACATCTCGTACTCGAATTATAAGGTCAATTAAGCTTGATTAATTAGGGTTATATGCTTGTTTTACTTTAGAAATACGTGTTTCGGATGTTTTAACGTTCTACCAATTAATAACTATCCTTAATATCGATATTAATACATATTCATGGGGAATGTCAGAATAAATAAATTCAAATTCCTAAAAATATTGATTTGGACTATTATTTTTTTTTAATTTTTTGTTGTTAATGAAGCCAATATTTCAATATTCCGACTCATTTTATTAGCTGAAAAACATATGATTAGACAAATTTTCATGTTATGTGGAAATGCTTTATCAATAGTGGATTGTTTCAAAACTACAGAAAATTTTTTCATAACAATTTATAAAGTAATCAATAATCATTGATTTCAAATAATAAATAATTTCAAACAAATACAAAGGAAGTAAACTGAATTGAGCTATGGAATTTTATTTATGATGATTTTGAAAAGGAAAAAGAAATTAAAACAAATTTGAGACAAAAATAAAATGTAAAACATAACGAAAAGGAAAACAAAAAATAAAAAAAACAAACAAAGAACAAACTTTTCAAGTTTATTTCATTAAAAATAAAAATTTCACACAGTGAAAACTTTAAAAAATAAATAATATACAAAAGGTGTCAAAATTAATTGTCAGCAAATGAATTTTTAGTTATACAAAGAACAAATTTCTTAATGATTTTAATAAGGCAAAAATTGATAAATTAATTATAGGATTTGTCCAAGTTTGTAAAATTTTGAGTTTTAACATTTTTTTTTTATTCTTTACATATAATATGTGTTTTTTTTTGAAATGATAAAAATTTCAGTTTTTCTTCTAATTTTTCATGTTATTTCATTTTTTTCTCACCTCTTTTAAAATTTCTATCAATTAATTATTAGTTTTTTTTTTTTTTTTTTCTACTTTTTCTTTTATGGAGTATGATTTGAAAAAGTGGTAAGTTGGTAATCACCAAAACTCATACGTATATCGCGACTTAACGCTTCCATTTGACTACGAGCAATCTCTTTGAGATCTTCTTTAGAAGCAAATTCATATTCATTTTCATAACCAATCGAATGAACACTGTAAAAATTCACATTTTAATTTTAAAGTTGGTTTAACGAAAATGAAAAAAAAAAAAGTTTTCAAAAATAGAGAAAAAATTTCCATCCTTTATGCTAGAATTTTCTGACAATATTATTATTCTAATGATAAATTAAAATAATTGAATGATAATTTATGCTTAACAAATATTAATTCATTTCAAGAAAGAGAAACAAAATTTTTTTCAATAATTAAAAATGAATCACATTTATTGAGAGAATACCATTGATTACTAATAATTATTATGCATTTCTTGAACATATTAATCATAATTCATAATAATTACAATAATAATTATTGTTTACTTTACTTATTCGTTTACTTTTTGATTACAAACAAAATTATTGTAAGCAAAATTATTATACAAATCTAATCTTTGCAATTATAATACAGCAAGTATTAATAAATAATAGTTATTAAAAAAAGAGAATTAATGATATGTGTATAATATTTTTTGATGCAATATTTTTGTCTATTTATATAAAAGATTTACATTTTAATCCTAAAATTTGTAAACATATCTGATGTATGTAAATATGATTTTAAGCATTACCTATTCCATCGAAGATTGCTAAAAAAAGATGGTGTGCCAATTGATGAACAGATACTATCAATATCAGCATCATTACCATTATCACTTTGACTCCACAATCTACACTTCTGTCGTTGTGGATTACTTACACCACTACATTCTCTGCAATCATTTATGTATTGTGCAATATCAGGATAGTAATAATAATATATAGCAAATTAACTAACCATCGACAAATTAATTATACTTAATTATTATCAAATAATTAAATATGACTTTTCTTTTATAGCTACAAAATGATATCATCTACATTGAGCAAAATTTTTGAACAGCACCTTAAACTTTTGTGAAGTCGTTCTAAACGATCATTGTGCATTTCAGAATCAGACCAATTACCTTCTGATTCAGCATTATCATATTCGGTGTGACAAGCACTTGATATATCTCTTCTTTAAAAAAACATTAAAAAGATCAAAATTCAAAATTTCAAAATTTTATTGATTTAAAATTTAAAATGATCGTTTTGAATTAATTAGCTGAATAAAATTTTATGTTATCTTTACAACTTATCATTTTTAATTTACCTCAAACTTTTCGTTGAGGTAGAAAGTGCAGTTGGAAACGGATGATCTTCAGGTGTCGGATTAAAATCAGCAATAGCTGTTAACTCAGCTAACATTCGATCAACACGACTTGCTGCAGCAGCAAGCTTATCATTTCCATCAAATATTCGACTTGTATCCGATGTCATCGATCGGTTCAACCAACTTGGAGTTCGTCTCATATAAAATCGAAGACGACGATTTCGTTCTGGTGTCACTGATTGATTACACTACAAAAATGTATATCATATCATTTTATGTTTCATTCATTCATTAATCCACTCATGGAAAAAAATTCAAATTTTAAATTTAATTAAATTTTATTTTCCATCATTAAAATATGTGCAATTTTTTGTGCTAGAAACATATGAAATGACTGTCTAATATTTCTATTGAAAAAAGAAAATCAATATAATAAATGAATGCTATTTTAAAAAAGAAGGAAAAAATGATTTAATACTCTTTTTCACTAATTTCTCTATGAAATTTTTAAAAATTTCGCTTCAGTTTTTTATGGAAATTTTTGTTTCTCATTTTGTGAGAAATTTTTTATAAAGTGTCTGCAAAATATTCATTTTTTTTTTTAAATTATTAACTTAACTTATTCCAAATTATTAATGGAATTTAAAAGTTTTTCAATTATTAATAGAATATTGCTTGCATAAACTTGTATAAACAAAAAAAGAAAGGCGAAGAGAGGAAATGAAAAGAAGAAAAAAAGAATATATACGCATAAAAGTTACTATAAGTTAATTTTTTTGATAAAATAATTCAAAATATCTGGTTGAAGTTTATTTCAAATTATTAGTAAAATTTCAAAATTTGTTTGAAAAGAAAAAAAAAAAGGAAAGAGGAATATACTTGTGAATCAGACGATATATATGCTTGAGAATCGAAATAATTTTCATTAACATGTGCTGAAAGTTGAACTGATGAAGTTGATGGTTGTGTATTATTTGCAAATTCAGCATTTTTTTCATACAATAACATTTCCGGTGTAATCCATTCCATTTCTGAATCCGTTTCAACGCCAACATCGATTGAATATACTTCAGATGAAAATGAGGAATTCATTGAAGCAAACATCTAAAAATAATTAATATTGATCGCAGTAGATGGTAATTGAATTTCGAACTAATCATATATCATTTTTAAACATTTTTACATTTACAAATAAAAACAAAAACAAAACAAAATTGAAGGAATACATTTTAATTCAATGAAAAAGAAAGAAATAAATAGACTAAAAAAAACTTTTTTTTTTTGAAGAAATACATTGAAATAAAAATAAAGAGATAATTTAAATAAACCTCTAATGGATTTTGTGATGTTGAATTTTGCTCTGGTGGTAAAGATAATGAATTAATATCTGTTTCATCAGCCTGATAACTGGTATCCGGATAATTATCCTCGAATACATATGCATTAAGTGTTCGTGAAATTTTGATTGGCCTTGAATCAAAATTAAAATTTCTTGGCCTAAGTGCTAAATAAATTTCCTCGGATACCATAATACCGTAACAATTTGCATGTTGCATTAAGGTACGAGCACCCAAGCACGGCATACCAATTAATTCATATGTAGGCTTTTGATTGTTAATAACAGTTGATAGAACTGATCCGCAATCAATACCTTAAATAAATCTCATATTACATTGTCTTCAATGCTTTTTCTTTAATTTATCTGTTTAAAAAAAAATTTCATTAAATTGTGTATTTAAAATAACTTTAAATATAGTTTAAAAGTAAATTTCATTAATTCATAATTTTAGTTTAAATTTGTTTTTCTTTTTGAACAATAAATAAAAGAAGTAATCAAGTGTATATGGAAGAAGTAAAACATTTTCGCAAATATTATCTTTTTGTATTTATTAAAATTAAATTAACTTTATTGGTATGTTGCATTAGACCAAAAAAAAAAAAAAAAAAAAAAGAAAGGAAAAGAATAAATTATAATTATTAATAAATAATTAGATATGAAAAATCATTTCAAACAAAATAAAATTTCTAAATTCCACACACATTTTGATATCAAACAGAATGAAACCTCAATTTCCATTACTATGCGTTATTCAAATTTAAACGTATAAAAGAAATGTTATGTTAGTAATTTATGTTTAAAATTAAATTAGCTTGCCGATATTTAATGAAATGCCATGATCAGCTGCAAATGCTGAAATATCTAATGCAAATTGCGTAAGCTCAGCAAGTAAGTCACCAATTGTTGATGGCGTATCGTGAACCTGCAAATTATTTCAAAAATTTAATTATAGAAATTATTATATATCTTTTTATTATATATATATTTTTTTAAAAAATTGTTTTATTTGCACTTTATGAATAAACATTAGAAAAATGAACATTTTTACAAAAATCTGGGATGACACCCACTGCAACAATATAATTTTTTTGGCATCCTCGAATTTTCTCAATTCCACGATGTTGCATAACAATCTAAAACAGATAAAGCATTTCTTTACTGAAATTTCTGAAATAATGACATGAAATAATTTAAATAATCCTAAAAGTTAAGTGAAATGTAAAATTCCGCAAAGTTATAAACAAACATATTTACCTGATCAAAAATGCATATTAAATTTTTAAGATTTCGTACGGCAGTTTCACCATTATCATCATCGCTTAAAATCTATAAATGAAAAAAAGAAAAAAAAATTAGAAAATAGAGAAGAGCAATTCAAACCCAATTACTTCCAAATTTAAAAAATAAGTTATAATTTTTTCTGTTATTTTCAAGTAAATTTTTCCAGCCATTTTTTCCAAAACATTTTTTAACTATTTACCCAAAATTTTTTTACAAAAATTTTTGTAATTTTTTTTATAGAAGAAAGATTTGTGTTTATAATTCGTATTCACCCATCAAAAAATTTTCAAACAACAATTAAATTTAATTCTTTATATTTAAAAAGAATTTTTCTTTTTTTCCTCCTCAGTAGCACTTTATCAATTTTAATTAAATGATAATGGCATACACTGATATGAGCTATGCCAACACTATGACAAATATGATGGTAAAGATCAGATTTGCTTGGAAAACTCTGCGCAATATGCGACGGTAGAGCATTTTGAAGCATTTGTTGATTAGCTAATTCAATTCGTTCAGCATTTGATGTCTCATCTAATTCCTAAAATTAATTAATTAATCATTAATTAATCATAATGTTCTTCATAAATCTATTTACATCGCTGTAATGAATCCTAACTGAGATCAAAATGCTAAAGTTAATCATCAAAAAGTAAAGAAAAGGGAAAAAGAAAGCAAATGAAAAATTGATTAAAAAAAAGAATTATTTATTCATAAAATAAATCCAATCAATTTTTTTTTTCAGTAAGATTTTTTTCCCTTTTCTGCCTTTCTTACCAATTAAAAAAGAGCAATTAAACAGATTTTCATTTAATTAATCAGTAATTGCAATTTATCAGTAATAATATAGATCTCATAGCTTTCCAAAAAAAAGAAAAGAAATGGTAATTTCTTCTTTCTTTTTTTTTTGCACAATTCATTTCTAACAGAAAACTAATCTTAAGCTCAAATATAACTTACCTTAAGTTTTGACATAAATTCAAGCCGCAAAATCCGTTCATTTCTTCGAAAATGAAGAAAAATAAGCAATGACAACATGAAAAGGCTACTTAATAATTCTAATTCAATATTGTTTACTCTATAAATAAATCAATTATACGTGCGAAATTTATAATTACAATATTATTATTACAATATGCAATATTAAGTTTCATTATAAGTTCAACTATCAGTTAAATTTTTAATTTTTATTAACCAGTTATATTTTAACATGTCACATTACTATATTTTATACACTCAAATTATCAAAATTAAAATTTAAATATTTTGTTATTATATATCATTACTACTTTATTAATTCATTTTTACTTGGAATATTTCCAAACAGTTCTTTTTTTCCCCACACTAAATATTATTTGCTTTTCCAATACTTATATGTAGAGTAAATAAATAAACCTGAATGCTTCAGATAAATTTTAATGCAATTAATAATTTGATATAGATTTTAATGTATTTTAAAAATTAGTAATATTTGTTAATCGTTTTCAAAAAAAACCCACAGAAAGAAAGAAAAAATCTCTTATTTTAAAGTCTCTTCATTTTTCTCCTTTTTTTTCAGAAAATTTAGCAATTTCTTTTTTCCTCGAGAAAAAGAAATCAATGAGGAAATTTTGAAATTTTGAAAAATTTCCAGTGTATTTTACAACCGAACTTCTTAATGTAAAAAAATTCAAATTTGTTTTCAACACAAAGTTTTGTAAAAATGAATAGAACTGTGTAACGTTGGATATGATTAAGTGATATTGTTTAATATGCTCACGTAATACTATTAAATGATATGTTTACGTTCACGTAACATTTCAGTACTACTGTTAATGGATATACAGTTTACTGTTACGCTTACGTATTAATTACTGTTTAGTAATATATGCTCACGTAGTACTTTTTAATGATATATGGTAATTGCTTAATACTCATGTAAGTATTGCTTAATATTCACATGGTAGATTACATTTTTTGTTGCAGTACTGTCATTTTTGTTTTTTGTAAAGAAAAAAAGACAAAACAAATGATATTCTAATTTTTTCAAAACAAATTATCTACATACTTAGGACTGATTAGAATATAATAAAACTAATTCAATAGTAATATAAATGAATTTAAAAAATTTCATTTCTTGTATTTGAAAAATTTATAGAATTTCAATTTTACATTATTTAATCTTTGTGGATTTAATAACGAGAAATATTTTATATAGTAATTATGTAGACCGCTTTAAATGAAACAAGTTTCAAATTTTAGCTAATTTTTTTTTTTTTTTTGGACTTCCAAAAGTTCTACAATGGGGTAAATTTTTAGCTGAAAATTTTAAGTTCTAAGAAAAACAAAATTTGTAAATTTACTACATAGAAACAATTTTTTTTGAGTAAATTTTAACCAAAAAAAAATTTCGATAAAATTAGTTTCTTTTTTAAAAAAAAAAAACGAAGAGAAAAGAAATCACTTATTTTCTTTACTTTCCCGCTCTTTCATAGTTATCCAACGAGTGAATTTGTTTCCAAAAAAAAATTTCAGCTAAGATTAAAAATGGGAAAAAAAATGCATAAATTATTCAAGTAATGGATACATTCAATGAATGAATGAATGATCTTTGGTCAAACATTCCATTCATTTCGAAAACTTTTGAAATAAAATGAATGCAAATTTTACATTCATTTCTTCTTTCTTCCTTCATTTCTCTTTCTCCCTCTCTCTATGTCCCTCCTTGTCTTTGCTCAAGCAATTGTATTATCGCTTAAAAAAAATTTTTGTAGCTTATATTATCGAAAATTTAATAGTTTAAATAAAGTACTTTAAAGTTTAAATTAATTGATAATTTATCATTTGAAGCAATTTCAACTTTATATTTAACATCATTTTAATGTTAAACGTGTAATTTATATTAGCTTAATTATTTGTCGAAAATTATTGCAAAATTTTTTGATTTATAATTAGAAGGTAGTATTGCAATAACTTATTATCTTTTTTTTTTTTTTAAATTGCAATAATATAATAATTATTTTCTCATTAATTCGGCTTTTTAAAGAAAAAAATAGCTCATTTTCTTGTAAAACATAAATTGTAAAATAATTTTAAAAATATTTTCGACAACAATGACAAATTAATTAATTAAATAAATAAATATTACCGAGAATTGTAAATGTTTGTTGAATTAATGGAAATATTTTTCATAAAATACGAAAAGAAAAAGTGCTCACGTAACAAATTGCTCGTAATTGACGTAAAGCATCGGATGGGTAATAAATGTATGACAAGAATATAGCGCAAATGCAACTAGCAATGCGCCAAATAGTACCAATGACGGGAAACGTACGAAAACAGATGTGAGAAGCATCCAAAAGGCACAATTAAGTTGTGAAAAATGTACAATACCACATTCATCTAGCGGTGTCAAATTTGAATTTTGTGGACAGGAAAACTGAAATTGATCGAAGTTTTGATCAATATTAAAATGAAATATAAAATTAAACGAACCAAACTTTAACTTAAAAAATAAAGTAAAAATTAAACTTTAACTTAAAAAATAAAGTAAAAATTAAAGAAAAAAAAAAAATTATACATTGATAAAGAAAATAGCCCACTTATATATTTTTGAAAAATATGAATAAAGATATGAAATAAATTTTAATTAAATTAAAGACTTATCCTGATATATTCACTCATTTAACCCTACAGCATTAGTTTACGAATAAAATGTTTTCTTTTTTTCGTTTTTTTTTTCTTTTTTTAATTAGAAAAAAGATGAAAGGAAATAAAAAAAAAAAAAGGAAAAACAAACTGCATTAACAATGCCGCATATAAATAAAAGTGATATAATTAATAAAATAATAACTGTATGACCAATAGCTGTCCTCGTTATAAATTGACAAAAATTCTGAAATTTTTTTTAATTTTAAAAGAATAAAAAGGAAATGAAAAAAAAAATTAATGAAAAATTAAGATAAATCATAAACCTATCGAATAATTTTCACAGTTAAATTCATCACAATTTTGTTACATGTTAAATGATCTGAAAAAATGAAGGAGCAAAGTAATTTTCAACAACTTTGGATGTTTTTTTTTTTTTTTTTTTATTTATTATTATTGCTATTATTACTATTATTATCATTAATATTATTGTTGTCATTATTGTTGTTAGTTACTACTAATTATTATTAACGTAATTATTAATTTTTAACATTATTGCTTTTATTATTATTTAATTATTGTTAATTATTATTATCATAATATAGCTACTATTATCAACATTATTATTAGTTACTATTATAATTATTAATTATTGTTGGTATTGTTACATAATTATTATTATTACTATTACTATTACTACAAACCATTAATATTAATTATTACCATAACAATAATTATTAGTTCTGCCATTAATGTCATTAGTTATTATTAACATCATTAATTAGTATTATAAATTATATTATAATTATTATTATTACTACTCTAATTGCACAAAACAATTTATTGATGCTTTTTAAAAAAACATTTTAATTCCTTTTTCCCTTTTTGATAAAAACACTAAATTCAATTCAAATAATTAATTATACCGTCACAGTTTATTTATTTTAGAATTGCAAATTATCATTTGTTATGTTACGTTACGAATTATTTTCCATCTTTAATTTACTAATGGTATAATAATAAATTGAATAAATTGTAATAAATAGCAATAAAATTAAAAAAGCTGTCATGATTGAATAATTGATTATAACAAACATACTTGGAAAAAATTTGCATAAAGTGTGAGTAATATCATAAAAATGATAGCCAATGATATGATAATCATAATAAGCGTTGAAATTTGCCTAAAATATAATTCTTACCATAATGCAAAATTAAGAAAGAAAATTTTATTGATATTAAGCATTAATTATAGCATAAATAAAAAATTAAAATAAAAAACTATATAACATTGATTATATTATATCATATCATATCATAACAAACTAACCTTGGCAAAACCAAAACATGATAAATACCATAGACAACAAGAAAAAGTATACTGATAGCTAATGCTGGCACAAACCACTGATCAAATTGTATTTGATACTAAAATGAATAAAAATATTTTAAAAATTTGTTAGTTTTTGTCTTTTCTACCAGTTATGTGAATAATATGAAAAGTGAAGCAGAAGAAAAAATATGAAATAAATATTTGTACCAATAAATTTAAGCTGAATATTTAAATTCAAATTATAAATTTTTTTTTTGGTGCTATAAAAAAGCAGTCATCCATTTGTTCGTTTTTTTAACCACATTTTTTTCTCTAAAATTCAATTTTAGGGAAACAAATGTAAAATTATCAAACAGTTAGCACTATTTAATTCATCAAAAATGCTAAAAAAAAATAAAAGGTAAGAAAGGAATTGAAATTATAATAAATTTATCAAATGCATCTAAACTAAATATTTAATTAAATAATTAATTAATTAATAATAAGTTAGTTGACCGCTTTTTCCATTTGTTGATTTCGAAAGCATAATAACCAACTGTGCATTACACTTCTGCCAGTATTATCTTTATCAGTACTTTTTTTTCCATTCATCAATGATAATTTATCCATTCGTCTGTAATTATAATTTAATTTAATCATTTCAAAAATCTATTTTAACACTGCAGAAATTTTATTACCATTTTATTTTTTCCATAAATTCAGTCATTTTTCCTTTTTTCTTTTTTTCTTTTTTTGTCAACGTTCCCTTAACATTCAATCAAAATTTGATTGTAAAAAGCAGACTAATAAATTCTTTCGTGCTATTATATTTGGTATTTAATCCATTTAAATAACTTTTTCTAAATTAGAAAAACGTTAATAAACGATTGCCAGTACAAACTTAATCAAATTCCCTTAAAAAAAGTAGAAATAATAGAAATATTAATCAAACTTTTACAAATTTTATTACGCCATTATTATATTAGCGTATTTTAATATTTTATTTCAAAAAAAAAAAGTTTGATATAACATTTAATTGCACACTTATCACTACAATACTTATTTAAATAAATTTGCACAAAACGACAAACTTTTTCCGTCGTCCACCCATTGTAGCATTATTCTTAAGTAAAGTATCATTAGCCGATGATATTGTTTGTAATAGCCTATTAATTGCTTGTGGTATTGTAACTAATGAAAATCGTTTCAAATTTGGAAATAATATTGATGATGATAAATTGCTATCACAATAATAATATTGATCATTTGTAAGGCGCCAAAGTTGCCCACATTTTTCAAATCGAAAATTACATTCAGCTTGACGCTTTGCCCCATCTGCCATATATATTCCACTGAAATATCTTTTAACAGATTTAGTTTTTCGCTTTTTAAAAAAAAAGAAAAAATAAGAAAAAACAAAGTAGAAACTATATATATATTCCATTGAAATACTTTTTCTTTTTAGCAATTTTAATTTTTTGTTTAAAAGAAAAAAAATAAGGGAGTGAAGTAAAAAAAAAAAATCAAATTTATGATTAAAGCCCAATTTACAATAAAAATTAGAGAATAATACCTTTCAGGTGCAATCCGTTCAATGTTAATAGCTTCTTCAATCGGATATCCAATAGCATCATAATGCCATTTTGTTAAGCCAAATATTCCACACGATACGGCACCACATTCAATTCCGCAACGCAATTGCAAATCCACAATTGTTGCATCACAAAAACTCCTGCCAAAAAAAAAGGAAAAAAGTGATTGAAGCATATTTATTGAACAAATTAATTGATAAATAAATAAATAATTATAAAAATTCAGAAATGAAAAAAAAATTGGAAAAATTTTGTGAAAGAATTTAAAAAAACATTGAGAAAAATGAAGGATTAAAAAATGATGAAAGTTACTAATTAATTAAAAAATTCAACCTTATAAGTGCTTGTAAATCGCATGCAAAAGAAATTGCATTCTTAAGGTGGTCATCACGTGCTGCTGGGATACCTGAGATTACGAGAATGCCATCGGATTGTAAACGAATACAACCACATTTCTGTAATAAACTTCAATATTTAAATTATTTAATTAGTTATTTGCTTTTCATCTTACTTTCCCGTTTATATTTCCTAATTTCCATTTTATTTAACACCTATTTTGTTTATTTGTTTATTTACTTTATATTTATTTGCTTACTTCTTATTTATTGAAGACAATAATTAATATAAACAAGCATTTGCTGCTTGCTGTTATTCTAAAATGAATTTATATTTTTTCTTTCTTTTTTTGTTTTATATCATAAAATCTTATGCCTTTTGATATAAACTATATATCATATATAATGATAATTAGTGAATAAATTATATAAGCTGAAGTAATATTAAATCAAAAATTGATAGTTAACACAGTAAAAATTTTTATACAAAAAATGAGAAAAAAAAATTTAATTCGCACATAATACTTTCTCTAAACAATGAAATTTTCAACGCTCCAATTTCAAACATATTTGTGCAAAAATTTTATTAAGCAAAATTATTTAATTCAAATTTCATTTCAATTTTAATACCTAATATAACTTTCTATTTTATTGCAGTTGAATTTTTCGTTTATTTTTTACAAAAAGAAAATAAACAAGAAGGTCATCCGTTAAATAAATTACCTCAAAAAAAAAGAGGAATTGTTTTAATGAGAAAAACTGATAGAGCAAAATGAGAAATGAAATCATAGAAGGTAAATTATCAATGTGACAATGACATTAATGTTAAAGTCCTTTCTATATGTTATCAAAACCTCTCACTTCTTCATATATTTATTGATTTATTTGTTTATTTATTTATTTAATAATAATGTATTTAGCATTTTTGTTTTATTTTTCTCTGATAAATTTTATTCCGATAATAAATTATTGTGAAAAATCGCATAATCATAAAAATTTGATAAAATTAGAATATTAAATGCAGAATTATTGAAATATCTAAATTAGAAATTTCAATTTAAATTCAAAATATGTTCTCAATCATCTCCACATGTATGGATTTTATGTTTCTTAAAACGTAGAGTTTCTGTTTCAGATTTTTTTACAAATTGTTAATAGATATTTCATTCATTACGACAAATTAATCAACATTTTATTTAATTTGCCGTTTAATTTGCATTTTTCCATTCCATAATGGTACTCTCTTGCTTTCATTGTTTTGAATTAGAGAAGCAAAAAATAATAATTAAAAACTGACAAAATCAAAATTGATTAACCTTTTGAACAATTTCAAATTTATGAACATACTAGGAATATTGTTTTTTTGAAAAGTGAAAAAAACCAATTTTAAGCCATACTTTTTTTAAAACAAGTTAAATAATAACTAAAATATTTCAATTCTTTCATTTATTATTAATCCAATGATGATAGCATAGTATTATTGTGTTTTCTATTTTTAGTAAAGAAAAAAAGAAGAACAAATAAATCAATTAATGAATTGAACAAATCATCACAATTACTTTCATTTCGCTATTTAGAAATATCTTGAAATAACGCAAAAAAGAATTTAATTTGATTTCTTTTCAAATTAAACTAAATTTTTTAAAACTCCAATTAGAAATCAAAATAAAATTTTTCATCCTAATTTTTAATTGTAAAAAAAAAACTTATTTATTTCTCTTTTTTCTTTGATAATATAAGACATATATTAAATAGCTTGCCCCCTTTAATATTTTTCATTTCTTCTTTTTATTTTTTGCTGTTTCCAAAAAAAAAAAGAATAAAATCAAACTTTTTTTAGTCAGCTAGAAAAATTCTGCTAAGTCATTTTTCTAAAATCCTTCCCTCCTTTCTTTCTTTCTTTCTTTGATCCCTTTCGAAGTATAAACATATAACTTTTATTTAACAACAGCTGTTTCCATCTATTTACAAAATTTCACATCTTTTTCTCGTTAATTTTTACTATCGAACTATTATTCTCTAATAATTGCTATTATATTTTATCATACGTAAAATATAAATGAACAAAAAATGTTGAAATAATCAAAATTTGCATAATGTTACATTTTTCTTATCTTTTCTTTTCTTTAACATTTTTTTTTTTCAAATTAAAAGACGAAAGATAAAAATGTAATATGATATAAAATATCAATCAATCAATCAATCAGATTATTTCAATCTTTTTCTCACTCTTCCTTTTCTCTCCTTCGTTTTTCTTTTTTCTTTTATACTCAATCACTAAAATGGATTTTAACAAAGTCACTTTAAAGTTTAATATCCTTAGAAGTTTAAAATATCCTTACAAGCTTAAAGTAATAAAAAAAAAATCAAAAGGAAAAAGAGAGAGAGAGGAAAGAGTTCTTCTCAATAAAAAAATAATGATTTGACAACGAGAAAGTTCCTACAACATTTCAACAATTAATTTTTATTTATCTTTCTTTCTTCTTTTTTTTTTTTTTTTTATAAACAATCATTATTTTAACAAATCTGAGTTTAATATTGAAACAATTTTGCTCAACATTTTTTTTTTTCTGTTAATATTTAATAATTTGGTACTTTTTTTTACTGAATAAGAATTGCTAATTCTAGTTTACATTCTTTTGTGATAGTGAAAATAATAATTATAAAATTTAGTGGAAATTTTATAAATCAAGGATGCATTAATGAATTTAACAATTATGGAAATTGTGCTAAGAAATCAAATGCAAAAATTAAAAAAGGGAAAAAAAAATGACATTTACTTTGATAATTTGATCAATTCGAGCATTAAATTCATTCAACAATTGCGCCGAATCTTGAGCACTACAACATGACAAGACATCTTCCAAACCAACTAAGCGACAATATACAACACTGAAATTGATTTATATTTACTTTATTCATTTTAACAAATAACGCCAAATAATTAAAATAATCTTGAATATAAGACATATTCATAAAGTATGATAATATTACATTTTCTCTCACTGATGATAAATAAAATCCAATTAGATTAATTAATTGAAAATATTTTCATGAAATGTGCAGTAATTTTTTAAGTTTTTACTTTTTCTAATACATGATAATACTACATTTATTATCATTGATATGATATAATAATTAAAACAACGCTAAATGTAATAATTAATTGAAATTAGCTCAACCAAACATATCAATTTTTTAAGTTTTTTTTTTTTTTCTAAGCTATCATTTTGATTTTTTCTCAGATATCATTCAATAATGATAACACATAAATGATAATATTATTTGAAATTATGGCAAAATTATTTATGCTTTGTAAAGAAAAAATAGAAATATATACATATATTGAAAATTCCTGAAGAAAAACGAAAAAAAAAGAGAAAAACCTAGTTTGATTGTAATGTTCCGTATAAATTGTTGGCGGAGATTTAGCAAATTGTTGACGTGCTGCATGCACTAAATGTGATGGTACTGCAGTTTGCAGCAAATCCATCTGAAATATAATAATATAAAAATAATTTTAAAATTTTGTAAGTTTGTTACTTTTATTTTAATTCATTAATCAATTCAATTTGCTCCATCTATTATTCAATGTTATTCATTTTTTTTTTTTTTTTTTTTATATAAATCAAAAGAAAAAAGAAAGATATTATATATTTAAATATATACTTTATTTAAACTAAATTGATAATTTTCTGCTCAAATTTGCATATCTTATAATTTATTTTGTTGTAATATTGTTCGATAAATAATATATTGCATTGCTATCAACTATAAAAATTTACTATTTTATAACCATAATAACACTTAAATTATTTGAAATACTAACATTTGATTGACTGATTAAATGTATTCTCAGGGGAGAAAATCGGAAAGACGAAGTGGAAATTTGAACAATTGGAAAATGACTATTTGCAAAAGTAAATCATTCAATCAAATGTTATGCAGATTTTATCAAAACGAATGCTTCAAATCAAAATGAATTATTGATTTATAATTACTATAACATAATTCAGGAACGGAGAGAGAGAGAGAGAGAAGAGGAGAGGAAAACTTAGATGAATTTATATTTTAGAATAACTTAGCACTTCAGTCAGATTTACTACAAAAATTAATTTTGATTTAAATGTTGTCAATTTATTGGTTTTCATTAAATTTTCAAAATTTATTTCATTTTAAATTTAGTTTCTTCTTATCCCCTACTACAATGGAATGATGAAATAATAAGTAATTGATGATAATGCTAATAGAGGAATGAGTCATTTTACTGCTAAGATTCTCTTAAAGAAATTGAAGATTTAAATTAGTTAAATATAAAACAATATTAACTTTTCATAAATAATATAAATGCAATTAATTCTATCAAAAAACTTTTAATTGAAAATCTTAAAGTTTTTTGAATCTTTAAAGCGTCAAATTTTTTCGTTTTTTTTTTTTTTTTGAAATTCAACCAGAAATGATTGGTGCTCTTGTTGTTGCTACTTGTTTGCATAAGTATAAAACTTTGCTATTTTTTTTTTTCAAATTTCAGTTCTGATATTTGTTCAATTTTTTGAATTTTGATCATTTCATTTGGTTTTTTCAGAAATTTTTAGAAAAGGAAAAATTACAACTTTTAAGAAAATGCAAAGAAATAAAGCAATGATGGACTTTTTTTAGAGAACACATATTTAATCCAAAGAGTTTTTTAAAAAGTTTTCTAAATTCAAATTTTTCATCCAAAAGATTTCAATTCTGTCAGTGATTTTTTTCCATTTGAAAGAACAAAATGTTTATCAATATTATCAATCTAATAGAAATACAAAAAATTTGCTTCCATTGACAAATGAAAGTAAAATCATTGCTATCACATTAGCTAAAATTAAATGAAAAAAAATTAAAAAAAAGAATTATTTTTTTTCAAGTGGATAGATAAAGCTAATATTTAAAAAAATTGTAAATTAATTTCTGTAAAAAATAACTACTCGAAGACTACTTCATTTAATGAATTTCTTCAAATATTTATTCCAGTTGGAAATTTTTAAATGAAAAAAAAAAAAATAAAAATAAAAAAAATAAGAATAAAATATGAGATGCGACTGAAGCAATTAAATATTTTAGCATATAAAAAAATAATTTAATGAGGACAAAAGGGTAAAATGAAAAAAAGAAAAGTAAATTAAAAAATTTGAGAATGTAAATATAAAAAAAGAAAGAAAACTAACAAGTTTAGCATTTTCTTGCACAGCGCGTTTTTCTGCAGCAAATGCATTTCTGGCACGCAGAAATGCAGCACGGCAAATTTGTTCACGTGTTGAATATGAATAAAACCCGATGAAATGTACCCACGCATGAAAAATTGCTATTGCCAAAAACTGAAATTATATATATATATATTATTGAAGATATTTAAAAATTAAAATTATACTTTTTTCTGCTATTAAAAATATTTAAAAGTATTCTTTTTTGAAAAAATTAACTGATCAAAGTTTGATAAAACATTGAAAAGCAATAAAATCTTTTATAATTTAATACGAGGTTGTTTGCAAATAAGAAAAAAAATCTATAGTTAACATATGAAACTATGCAATATAATATTTTATCAAAAAATTTTTGTGCATAATTAAATTTCTTATTACCTTCTTTTCTTCTACTCTAGTTTACTTTAATAATAAAATATTACATTGCAAATTTCCTACATATTAATTAATTAACCAATACATTGCATATCATTTTTTTTATTATTAATTAATCAATCCACCATCTATTAATTTATGAGAGCGATTATTTTGAATTTACTGATAAAAATTTTTGGCTCAAATGATTTTATTTAATTTATTTTAAATTGCTAACAAATTAATAGCTGACTTCAACATTTCTATTTTTTGTGAACAAAAAGTCAAAAAAAAAAAAAGGGAAACAGAAAATTAATTGCACCACAATTATGAAAATCACTCAGCCAACTTATTTATTGGTTTCAAATTAAATTTTAATAATAGTAAGTTTAAGGTAAGTTGATCAAAATTAAATGTTCAGTTAATTTATTTTTTTATTTCTCTATTTAGTCTAAGTATGCCTTTTTAATGTCATTATTATCGCAATCATTTTATTTGCACCACAGCTGTTTTTTACCATTTCACATTATTCTCATTAATTAATCCATGTTTGTACGATGAAAAATATGATTCACTGACAAAGTGATATACTTAAAATATTTTAGTTTTGCTACAGACCAAACTGATTGGACAGCTTGAATTAACAAAAAGTAAGCAATGCATATATATCATTTTTTTGTGCTGTCGCAACTTTTATTGATTATTCTTCTCTTCATGAAATCTCAATGGAGCCATATCATATCACTTTGATTTATCATATATTTATTATCTTTTATTAAAAAAAGCAAAAAAAGGAAAATATTTTTTAATATTTATCATTTTATTTGTTTAATGATAAAATTTTCACAGGAAAAAAAATCATTTGAAAAAATTCACTTTTTGAAAAACAAAGTTAAATTGATTTTATAAAATAATTTCTGGAATGGATATAATCATTCTTGGAGATTTTTCTTTTCATAGTATCATAGATTATATCAATTTACTATACCTGAAGAAATGGAAAGAAAAAGTATAAATTGTCGTTAGAAATAAGATTTTGAAATAAAAGCAAAAATAAAATTATTTCAGAAACTGATTTAATGATTTTTAGTACTTGAAAGACAGGCAAAAAATACTTCTTTTTCTAAAATTATAACTTTAACGATTAATCGAATACTATATTGATTCACATTAGCTAAATAAAAACAAAAATAATTAAATTTCACAAACATCTTAGAATTTTAAATAATACATCTCATTTAATTCATTACCGTCTAAAAAATAATATAATTTTCAAAATATTGGAAAAAATATTGTAAAAATTTCAACGATTACAAAAAACGGTAATGATGAATAGGCAAATTAAATGACTTTTTTCTAAAAACATTTCTTTTTCTAAATTAAAATTCCTTTGCGAATAAATTCTTTTTTGAAAAGATAAAAAGAATCAAACATTACATATAGTCATTTATTATGATATATTTTACATTTTTTATGATACATTATGACATATTTCATTTCATACTTTTTTAACATTTAATTTTTTCATTTATTAATTCAAATAATTAAATCTTGGGCATTAAATAACAATAGAAAGCTGCGAATAATCATTTTTAAGATTAAAGAATTGTTGAAACAATCAAACAATCATTATCGAATTGTTCATTTTAATAGATTATCACGAATTGATTTTAAAAATTTGAAGCTCGTCAAGGTTATTATCACGATCTTTATCACTGTTAATATCATGGTTATTATCATCGTAAGTTCAATTTTCTTTTACTTACTATTAAAGCTTTTCTGACAAATTGGAATTAATCATTTGTTAAGAATGAGTGTTATCAAGCGTTCAACGATAGTGGTTTTTCTTTTTTTTGATCTGATATGAGATAAATCAATCCACCGTGATTAATCATTCACTACTGCAAAAATTGAAGTATTCAAATTTATGAATATCTTATCACAAAAAAAAGTTCCTGATAAAATACATTATCCATTAATGATAAGAGTTTATAGAAGTCAATTAAAAATTATGAGTCAAATAAAATTCGAATCTTTCAAAGTTCAATTTAACACTGCACAGAAAATTATTGTTCTCAATAATAATAATAATAAAACATTGCTAAATGAATAAAAGTTACAAAATGTTGTAATTAAAGAGGATTGATTTGCATTAAAACATATTTCATTCAAATTATATTCCTTTTTATAAATAATATGAATGAATGCATAAATTGAATATCTTTGCCATTGTCTTTTGCTAACTATTTAGAATTATTTTTAAACTAACATCCTTTGATTTATGCCGATTGTCCTTCAAATTTTTGAAAGTGTTTCTGATCTTTTCTTTGTTTCCCTCAATCTTAATCAAACAAAAGAATAGAACAAAAAAAAAAAAAAAGAAAAGTTCATAAGAATAGTACTGATTTAAAAAATTTTTTCATATATTTCCGCTCCTTTAATCATATTATTACACTTTCATTAGTTACATTTATTCATTCATCCATTTATAAAATGAAATAAAATAAAAATAAATATACATTTTAATAAGCAAAAAATATTTAAAGAGAATTTAACATAATAAAATTTTACCCCATTTTTCTGTGGCAAATTTTATTATTTAACGGATATATACGGACAAATTCTTTTCATATTTCCATTTCCGTTTCAAACTTTTTTGCATTTCCGTTTTTTTTCTTTTTCTCTTATTATTCCTTTATATATTCTTTTTAGTGTTAGCATTTCCGGGTTATAATTATATGAAAACGGAAAATTTTGTATTCTTTTTTATTACATTCACTTTTATGTATGTCTCTCTCTCTCTGCATGTGTCTGTCTGTCTGCATTAACATTTTATAAATTCAAATAATGTATGAAAATTTATAAATGGAGCAAAATGATTTTTGTGTGTGAATTGACGATCAAATGAAATGAATGTGCGGGTAAATAATATCAATGATAATAGATTGATTAATGCGGGTAGGTAAGGGAAGGGAAAGAGTGGGTAGGAGCGGAGGAATAAGAAGAATGAATAAACGCCGAGAAAAGAGAGAGGAATTATTAATTTGATAAATTTATTACTTCATTCATATAAACTTCTCTAAGTTCTTCTTTTCTTTTTTTTTCTTTTCGAAAAAATGTTTCGTTTCATTTTTTTTTTTATTTAATTTTGTTATTACAATGCAAATTTTGTCATTTTCTGCACCGTTTAAGATTTATTTCCGAAATAGAAAATACAATTTTTCGTTTTCTCTTTTCTTCTTCTTATTTTCAGTGATTTCTATCTGATTTTTTTTTTTTTTTTTTTTGGAAATTTTAACAAAAATGAAAAAAAAAGTAAAAATAGGAAATAAAAAATAAAGAAAAAAGAGGAGAATAGAAAAGTAAACTTCTCTGTAATGAAAATTTTTTGTTTCAAAATGTATCAGAATCTTTCTAATTTAGAAAGACAACGATAAGTATATATAATATATATATATATATATATATTATATATATATATCAAATTGAATTTCGAATTATGCCATAGTAAAATCATAAAGCAATTAACATGAAATGAGCATTGATTGTACAATCAATTTATTTAATTGATTCATTTAATCAAATTAAATTTTTGTAAAACCTATTAGTGATTTGTTTGATAAGGAAATCATAATCATAATAATAACTGATTCCGTAAAATTCGAAAATTTTGCTTTATTATACTTTATTTTATCATAAAATAAAAGTAATACATAGATGACTTTTTTTTTATTATATACATTTATATTTCATTAATTTTCCAAATTTCATGCTCAAATTCCTTTGGGAAAGAAACATTATAAAAGAGTTTCACTGAATGAGACAAATTGTAAGAAAAAAAATGTGCAACTGCTTTTTAAAATAAAATTGATAAAAGACCAAATATTTAGACAATGATAAATGACAACCACTTCTTTTTTCTTTTTCTTCGTTGCTCATTTATTAATTAATTACAATTAATGTTATATTAATAAACATTAAGTAAAAAAAGAGAAAAAAAGGAAGAGAAAAGAAAAACTGAAAATAAATACTACTGAATTTCAATTTATTAATATAATTTTTTTTTAGAAAAAAATTTAGAAAAAAAAATTTAATTTTCGTAGTATTTATTTGAAATGATAAATGAATTGAATGAAGGGAAAAATAAAAAAAATTCTTTTAAATTATTTAAGCAGAAAAAAAATAGAAAAAAAAAAAACAGTTTCATTTCCTTTTTTGTCCTACAAAATCAAACGAATTTTCAATATGAATTGTTAATTCTAAAGTTAAAAAAAAGATCGTTGCAAAAGAAAAAAACGAACACTAAAAAGCGAAACAAAGAAATTTTTAGAAAGTAAATAAGGAAAAAAAATATTAATTAATAAATTATAAAAGTTTTTCTTAAATCGTATTTCTTAACGACAAGAAAAATTAATAAAGCACTGCTTTTTTTTTTCATCGTTCCTTAGATATAAATTAATTATAATAAATTAAGTTAAGTTAAAAAATTTTCTCGATCTTATAAATTAGTGATTAATAATTTCAAACCAATTGCAGTATACATCGATCAAAATCTATTAGTTAATTAATATTATATTTTACAAATTGCCTTTTAAATTTTTACTTTCGCCTTTCACATTGTCCTCCATCATTTTACATTTACTGCTGATATTGTGGTAATGTGGTAATTATCGGGTGAAAATTGTTCTTATGTAAAAAGCTTTGCGAAACAACTGTCAAATGATATTTCTTCTCAGTAATTTTTAAATTTCAAAAAAAGAGAAAGGGAAAAGAAGTGATTGATCAGATAGTGAAAACTGCTAGCGAAGGAATGTTCATTCCATTACTATAGATCAGGATGAAATTAATTTTTGTTTAATTCATTTTCCATTTCCAAAATATTTCAATATAACTTTTTTCTTTAAAAAAAAAGATGATTGCACATTAATTAATGAATAATATAGCATGAATTGGGAATTATAATAATCATTTTTAAAAAAGAAAAAGAAAATAATGAATAGAAAATAAAAATGAATAAAATAAATTTTTATGTTTTGTTAATAAAAAACATTTAACTAATATATTTCATCATTTTAATTAATTTTCAATTGTCTTTTCCTTCCTTTTTCTAAACAATTTGTTTACTAAACAAAAAAAGCAAAAATGTAAGAATTGCGGAAAAAAAAACCATAAAATATAAATCTTCAAAATTTTAAGAACAGATATATCTCATTTAATAAAATATTTATAATAAATCAAACTTTTTCATTTTATCATAATCACAAATTTATATGTTTATGTGAGAAAATAAGTTTTGATATATTACGTGGAAAAATTTTTCTAAATTTAGAAAAATTAAATTTAGATGTTCCTTTATTTTTCTTTCTTTTTTCCACAACTATCAGAAAGGATTCTTTGAATTATTTGAATTATTTATTCAGAAAAAAAAAAAAAAAAAAAACTCTGAAAAATGCATTACCACTAACAATTTAAATTCAGTTTGTAATGTATAAAGTACACTAATGATAATACTTACAAAAAAGCTCAATACAAAAAAAAGTACGATTTAAAAAAAGAAAACGAATAAAAATTTTGAAATTAAAGAAAAAAGGAAGGAAAAAGAAACGATAGTGTTGTCTATACGCCCTTGAATTAATACCTACTCATTTACTTGCACTTAAATTAAAAGATAATTTCTTAAATTTGTAGAAAGTTTCTTTTTTTTTTAATGCTTCATACATACTTCTTTCACTTTTTTTTCAATACCTCACACTTAGTAGATTTCATCAGCTTAGGAAAATTAATTTAATTCAAAAGTGTATACAAAAATTGATTCAATGAAAAGTGTAAACAGTTTAGAGGCATAATAATTTTTTCTATTTTATTTTGGATTATTTCACTTTTAATTGATAAATTCATTCCAGTCAACGAATTTATTGCATTTTTAATCAATAAATTTATTACATTTCTAATTCATAAATTCATTTGCTGTTTAATCGATAAATTATTTCATATTTAATGAGCAGATTTAGTATTTTTTTATATGTAAAAATTTGCAAGATTTCTAATTTGAAAAAGAAATTTGGGAAAGATTAGAGGAAAGAATTTTGTACATATGGGAATGATTATTATTTAATAACCCAATCAAAGAAGGCAATCGATAAATTAATTGATTGGCAATATCTTAAATTTAAAGTGGCATTTATTTAAATGGATCTCAAGGAAAAAAAATGAGAAAGGAAAAAAAGAGGATTTTTCACTTAATTCATTTTTCGTTCCATAAAATTAAAATTCAATTAAAAATTTTTATAACAATGGTTGAATATTAAAAAAAAAAAAAAGAATAGAATTGAATTATTGAGAAATATGAATAAGTTAGAACAAAAAACAATGATTATTTATTAATTGTTAATATCAACACATTATCAATCAATTAATTATCTGTCAATTTTTTCCTTCTATTAATTGAACTAAATTAATTTATGGAAAATAGGAAATATTTGATAGAAGAAAATGAGAATTTGGTAATTATTATTTATTAGTGCAAATAGAAATAGATTTCAACATAAATAGGAAATAAAATAAGAGAAAGAAGAGAGAGAAATGATAAAAAATGAGCAATGAAACAAAAATAAGAATTAAAAAAGAAAAAGAGTAAATAAAATAGCAAAGAAAAAAGAAAAATTATAAAATAAAAAAAAATACATAAATTTAGAAAGTAATGAAAGAGGAAAAGTACGATTAATATTAGTTGATTTTCAAAAGGTTTTGTTTTGTTTTTTTTTTTAATTTTAAAAGCTCAAAATTTTCAACAATATATATGTGTTTACCTTTTAATTTATTTTCCTATTCATTTATTAATCATTCATTCAAATTTCGCTGAATTAAAATACATTTAAGTTCAAAGTTTATTAGGCAAAAGAAAATAAAAAGAAATAAGAAAGGAGGGAGGGAGAGAGAAAGGGACTGGGAGGAAATACCAACAAGCAAATTAAATTCTTCAAAACGATTCTCTTTAAAAAAAAAGGAAATTTTTCAAAAGATTTAAAAAAGATATATGAGAAAGAGAAATCATTAACTGAGCAATATTATTAGCAATAACAATGAATAATTGTTATTTCAAAAAAAAAGAAGCATTTGTTTGAAGAATTAGTACAGTGGAAAAGATGAAATAATTGAAAATAGAAACGATTTAATGTTATATTGAAAATAAGAAGTAATTTCATATTATGTTACGATGATAAATGCTTTCAATGCATATTTATGATTAGTACAGAAACAATTGCTCAAATTTCAAATATTCCTATCTTCTCCTATTCTCATATTTTTCCATACAGTAACGATTAATTATTTATTCAAGTAATTTAAAAAAAAAGAAATGATTTGAAAGCAAAAAACATAATTTAGTTTAAAATTTTAATTTATTCTTGCTATAACTCAGTTTACTGAAACAGAAGATAAAAATAAAATATCGAAAAATTGCTCAGGAAGAAACTATAAATACAAATAGTTACTTTTTTAAAGAAATATTCAAGTCAACTTTCCATCAAAATAATCAAAATTTTAAAGTTTTAAATGAAAATCCGAATTTCTCTTTAATATTAATTAGTGAATGATTAAGCAGAAGCGAAGTAAGTGCTGCAAAGGAATATATATATAATGTCAAATTGTTGATGTGCTTCAAATACTATAATTTATTAGTAACTGTATTAATTTCCTTTTGTTCTAAGCAAATTTTTTTTTTTTTTTTTTTTTTTTTTTGCAACCTTTGGTCTTAAAAAAGATTAATTAATGAATGATTAGGCAAATTTTAAATTTTAGACAAGAATAAACTGAATGGAACATTAAGCATTAATACTGGCTAGGCTGTAAATTGCAAGTGTAAAATAAAGTGAAACAGACAGATTAAGTAATTTCAAAATTTAACTAATTATTTTGAAAATATAGTCCGTGTAAAAAAAATTAATTGTGGTTAATTTAGCATTAATTTTCCTTTTGAAAAAAAAAAAAAAATTGAAAGTTCTGTTAAACCATAAACAAGAAGAAATCTGATCAGTTGGCTTATCACAAAAATTTATCACTTATCAGTTAATCATCCTTATATAAAAATGTAAATGGACTGAAAAGAGTGAAAATTTTGCATTCTTCGCTATCGTTAATAATCTCTTTCACTATTTTTCCTTTTCTCTTCCCTCTCTCTCTCGCTCTTTCTCGTTTTCACTTCTTTTCTCTCACACTTTCTCTACCTTCCATATCTTTTCTTACTAAAATTAAATGACAAAGAATTTCAAATTCGCTGAGAAAATGAGTATCAATGCAAATTTTAACAGCAAATCAATTTTTAAGCAATGATGGATTATTTCAGAATCAAAATTGAAGTTAAAATGGAAATTAAATAAGAGACAGATAAACGATGATCTGAACTATACTTTTATGCTGCTAACTTACAGCTGCTTTGTTTACTTACACTAGATAGTAAGAAGTGTAAAGTAAATTTTGTTGAATTGTGATCCGCTCAATCTGTTAATTAAAATTAATGGCATTAAACAAATTTAAACAAATGAAATATTATTATATATATTATCGATTAAATTTCTCATATTTAATTTATGATTTCCTGTTATTAATAACCGAGGCGAAAATAAATAATAATTAGTGCATGAAATTGAAAATTTTTCGGCTTTTAAAAGAGCAACAATTTTTTCAGAATTTTTGAATTAATGTATCCCAAGCAAAAAAAAGCCATAAATATGTAAAAACTTTGGAAATCAAAAAAATTTTTCAATAATAAGTAAATTATTAGTGACATGTTCAATTATATATATACAGCAATTTACATAGGTTATACTAGCATAATATTTATAAAAAATTTGAAGCAAAAAAAAAAAAAAAAAAAAAAAAAATGACAGCAAATGATTTAAATTAAGATAACAAAATAATGATAAAATAGATTGTATGAAATATTTTATCATTTGATCTTTTTTTTTCATCCTTACTCGTTTACTTATCAATTATGAAAACGGATGACAGAAGAAAAATAAAAAATATAAAATGAAAAAATATTACCTGACTCATTGCAAATGGTATTTGGGTAAGAAAAATAAGCGCCAATAATTGTAGCACTGACAAGATACAGCAAATAATTGATGAGTAAATAATTTTTATTGGTATTAGAGCATAAATTGTAAAAATTACTAATGTAGTAGGTAAAAGAGCTGAATAACCATATGGTAATAAAGCAATTGTTGTTGTTGCAACTAATTGCACAATACCATAAATTATATAACGAATAGAAGTTGGCTTAATAAGTAGAAATGCTTGTAAAACAATGCATATTATAGCACTAATTCCATTAATTATTAGCATAAAATCAAATTGTAATAAATGAATTAAAGCAGTAAATAGATAAAAAGCAGTCCAAATGCATTGTAAATGTAACAAATGCGCATGTGAGTGGAATAGAAGTGATTGCTGATAAAGTTGCTCCAATTGTTGATCACCAAATGTAACATCCATTAGGGGAGATAAAAAAAAGGAAATAAATTTTTAGCAGAAATTTAAATAATATTTAAATAAATAGTAAATAATATTGAATTTCTTCTTGTTTTTCTTTTTTTTTTTTTGTAGATTTTAATGAAAAAAAAATATGATATCACTTATTGCAATAGTAATAATAATAATAGTAATAGTAGTAATTAATAATAGAAATTATTGCTACTGCTTCTGCTATTGTTGTTTTTGCTGTTGTCGTTGTTGTGCATATAATTGTCGTCGCAATAAGTACTAATTGATAAGGTAGAAGTAAATAGCAACGGATAAATTCTTACATAATAATATCTAAAAATATTCTAAAAAAGTTTTTTTTTGGAAATGAAAAATATTAAACGAATAAAATTTTAATCAATTTATTTATTCATTTTTCCGTTCTTTCATTTCTCTTCCTCTCATTCATTCTTTCTTTTTTTTTTTTTTTGGAATCAAAAAAAAAAAATCATCTATTCATTGAAATTAAAATTATAACGCAATAAAATAAAACAAAAAATACACTCAGTATATTTTTTGTTTTATTTTATTTTTCTTCTAAAACAATAGATTTATTCTTAATTAAATTTTAATTATTCATTAATTGAAAATAAGAACAAAAAAGGAAGAGAACAAAAAGAGGAAAATTTTTTAAAAATGAAAGAATATATATAATGATGGAATAAACAAATAATAATACTAACAACCACTCATTTCAATTTTCGTTTCGTTTTAACCAGACGAAAAAGACAAATAAAAGATTTATATTTAGTGGTTTTTTGAAAAAAAAAAAGGAAAGAAGAAAAAGAAAGAAAAAGCTTCTTTTTTTTTCTTTCGTTTCTCTCTTGGTTTTTTTCTTTATTTTTTTTTTAAAAAAAAAACTAAAAAACTAAAAAAATGGGAAAAGAAAAATTGAAACTTTGTTTTTCTTTTACATTTCAATTTTAGAGGTCATTTCTTCTTTATAACAAAGAAGGAGATCGAGAAAGACAGACACACACAGAGAGAGAGAGAGAGAAAGAAAAAAATAGTTAATGATAATGTTTTAAAATAAATTAAAAGTACAAAAAGCTTTTAATTTACTGGAGATGAAAAGAGAAAAATGTGATGATTTAGGACAGAGGGAAAATGATAATGATAATGATAATGATGATAATAATAATAATAATAATAATAATAATAATAATAATAATAATAATAATAATAATAATAATAATAATAATAATAATAATAATAATAATAATAATGATGATGATGATGATGATGATGTTGATGATGATGATGATATAAATGTTTATTTATTCGTCTTTCTTTCTTTATTTAATAAATCGTTTTTTCTTTCTCTCTATCTCTATCTTTCCCTCTCTCTATTTTATTATTTTAATTAAAATTTTAGAAAATATCTGTGCTATTGCGATTTTTAAATGGTTATTATCATTATCACTATCATATCACTAGCATTAAAATGTAATACAATAAAATAAGCATGGTTATAAGGAAATAGAAATGATAAGAGAAGCTAACTAAAAAGCTAAATTTATCAAATTATAACTAAATGATCTAAATAATAGTGGTAGTAATGGATGCAATAGTAGTAAGTGGCGGTAATGGCAGTGACAGTAGTAGTGGTGGCGGTAATGGCAGTGACAGTAGTAGTGGTGGCGGTAATAATAGTAGAGCGGGCAGTACTGGTGGTATTAGTAATATTTTGTTGTTGTAGCTGTAGTGGTAAGAACGGTTACAACCGATTCAGTGGAAATTTCACCAAACCAACTGACTCATTCATCTCTTTCTTCCTTCTCATTTACTCCTTTCTGCCTCCTTGGGATAAGAGGAATGGGATGGACGAAACTAATGAAAATTAATCAACCAATCAACCAACCAACCAACCGGCCAACCGACCAACCAAGCAACCAACCAAACGACCGACCGACCAACCAACCGACCAAACCAATCAAACTAATCAATCAATCAACCAAATTGATCAACAACAACTAAACGATCATCTAAATAACATCAACTAAGCCATTAACTAATTTAACAAAATTCAACAGCTAATTAAGTGACTAACTGACCGATTTAATTGATAAACCGATTAAAAAAGATTAAATTAAACGGATAAAAAAAAGACTAAATAGACCGAACAGGATTACTGAATCATTTATACGATAATTCTAGATGATAAAATAGCAAAAGAATTCCATTACATAACTGATAAGAAAATGAATGATCAATGAAATAACCTCTTTTTTTCAAGATTTAAAATTATATTATGAAATTGAGGATTGAATATAACTGTGGTTGAATTTAATTTTTATACTTCAATTTCCATGATTAATGCCCCATTTTTTTCTCTTTTTGATCGAATATGAAAATAAATTTTCAAATTTTTAGCAGATTATTATTTTGGTTTTCGTAAAAATAAATGGAGATAAAAAGAAAGAGAAAGAGAGAAAAAAATAGAAGAGAAAAAAAGGAAATTAAATTTCGATCATTTCAAGTAAAGTGGACAGAAAAGTTGGACAATTTAATTTAAACTATACTTATTCTTTTCTTTTTGTTTTACAACAAATCAAATATCTCCATTCACTTACACTTATCGAATGTTATTTATGCAACTATTTACATCTATCCTAAATGAAATACCATCAAATTTTTCATCAAATTTATTTTTATCAAAACTTTTCGTCCCATTTAAAAAAAAAAAAAAAAAACGAAATAATTTTATGTGAAAAGAAAGAAAAATACGATCAAAAAAATATTTTTTACATTTCTTAAAGAATGATATGGTAGAAAATTGATAATTTCTCTAACTTTTTTCTTTTGTTTTTCACAAAATGAAAAAAAAAAATTAAATACCTAATTATTACAACTACAAAAATGAAATAAATTTACATATGACAACTATTAATAGCTCATTTGTAGAATGATTATTATGTAGATCACGTAGGCTTCACGTAGATTTACGTGGTGAGAATTAAGATTTATTTATAAATCTTACACTAAATATATGGTCACATAAGCATATGTAATATACAGATGTATGTTATTACAAACAGTAAAATTTATATATTGGTCAGATAGTGCATTTCTATCACTGACCACTACCACTGATAATAACACACCTTTTTATAAATTATCATTCTTTCGGATATCCAAATGATGATGACCTGCTTTTTGATGTTGACCCACAAATGGTTTGTTAATGGATGATGAAAGAAGATTTCATGTGTAGCATAATAATGGTTTTAATCATTTTCTTTTCATCTCACACAATTTTGTTTTTACCTTTATTTACCTATTATTAACCAGTGGTTTTCATTAGAGTTATTGTTGTTGCTACTATTTGTTATTGGTGTTGCTGTTATTGATGTCGCTACTATTATTTATTATTATTATTATTATTACTGCTATTATTTGCTTTTATTAAAAAAAAAAAATGTAATTTTGTTAATATTTAAAATTATGGTATTGAAATAAATCATACAATATGCAAAAATATATTGAGAAATTGCTAAGTAATCTGTTTTTAATTTAAAATGTAATTTAGACGATATTTGAAATATATGAAGGATTAAATTGACATAAAAGTTCCCTTATTTCAAGTACTTTTTCAAACATTTTCACATAGTTTCAATATTAAGCATTTAATGCTGTTACATTTTATGTAAAAACTTCAAATTAGCAAACAATTTACTTCTCATACTTATAACTACTTCAACTAAATATACTTCAGTTGAGAGGGAAGCTCACCGACAAATGCTAACATAATGACACAGAACTTAAAAGTTTATAACTTTTTTCGCAAAAATTTATCGTTTATATCTATCGTTCACATACAAACACATACATACACACACACACACACATACACACATACACATACATACATACATGCATACACGCGTATATATTAGGTCCTTACTGGTTTACTAATTCTACATTTATACTATTCAACCCTTGCCTTCCCTACTTTATGTACCATTGTGCCTCATAATGTTTTTTATCATACTTCATTTCCGATCTTTCGGATAAGCCATACTTGCATTTGCATAGTTTTTAAGATTATACATTTTTTTTTCCTTTATTTTTTAAAGTAGAAAACAACAATATGGTAGAGAGAGGAAGAGAGAGAGAGAAACAGACGGAAAAAGATGAAAACTGACTTTTTCTTTAGAAAATAAAATTTAAAAAAAATAAGAAAAATAATTTCTTCCTTTATTTTTTAAAATAGAAAATAAAAAAAAAAGAGGATTATTAGATAATAAATTTAAAATACTATGCAAAAGAAAAACGAAAGAAAAGAAACAACAATTCAAATGTTTTTATCAATTTGATAGTGTTGATAACCAACTAACTTTATGTGATGAATGAGAAATTAGAAAAAAAAAAAAAAAAAATAAAGTAAACAACATATCAAAATTTAATAGAGATAAACTGACAGAGAAGACAGAAACATCAATGTTAGATTATAATGGATAATATATAAATGAAGTATGTAGCATTTGTTGTAAGTTTTAGAAGAGAGTTAGAGAAAACAAGTAAATTTTAATAAGAAAAAGTAGGAAATCATTGATACCATTAGTTTATTACGCACCCTTACTGGACTTTTTAATCGAAAACATAGTTTGAAATGTTAATTATAAGTTTGTTCTATTAGAGATATTAAAAGAATGGAATTATTCCAAACAATATTTATAATTTTATGTGATTATTACAATGTTTTCTTTTTAAAAGAAAAAGAAATTACACCATCTTTAGGCGCTATTATTCCTCATTGAAAAGCTATCATGTACACAGACGTGACTTTTAATCAAAATTAGAGAAAGCTAAAGCATGATAAAGTTGAAAGTCGATCAATGAAATATTTATATGAAGATATTGTAGTACATTTCCTCATACGATAGAAGTGTATAATTATAATATCCGTAGTAACATTATTGTCCCATTGATGGATAGGATAACACATTAATTAATTAATTGTATTTTTTCATCTTGTATTTAATTTATTTACATCAACATGAGAAATATATACATCAAAATGACAATATTTTACATTACAAATTACCATAATGATAAAATGTTTCTAAACCAACATTTAATTAATTCGATCGATCAACGAAGGATAGTTGTAATTCTAAAGTTGTTATTGATCACTATAAACAGCTAAGCAATAGTATTGACTTGTGAAAACGATACGTATTTTAACAAGCAAGCAAATCTGCCACTGCCAGTAGTTTCTCTGTTAGCAATAATACAAAATGAAACAGGTGATAACTTAATAGATACGATAGAAGAACTATGATGTCACTGATACGCAATATATTTCTACAGATTTTCCATCAAAAAGAAAAAAAAAAAGGAGTAAAAATATCGTTAATAAAAAAAGAAAGGTTTCCAACTTTTACTAATAATCTAAGATATGTAATGTTTAATGATTTCAATTAATATTTACTAGCACATTTTATTGCCATTCTCCTTAAATTCATATACTTAATTTCTTATTTGGAAGTTTCGAAGGAAAAATCATATTTGATAGTATATAATAACGAATAATTTTTCTGTCAAAAAAATTCTAATCATTTCTCAAACTTTCCAAATTATCACCCTCCTACCAAAAACAAAAGAATTGCGGAAAATTTACAAGAAATTCAGAAAAACAAAACTTTTTCTGAAGTATAGCAGTGCTCACAGGTAATTTAAATTCAACTATAAGGACACTTCTTATATACACAAAATCAAAAGAAAAAACCGAACTTAACCAAAATTTAAAATAAAGAGTCAGAACGTGCAGAATTTGTTTGAATGGTCTAACTGATTAATTGACACAAAGCTACTATACAAATTAATTTTTTTCCTCAACACTTTTCCGAGTTAATAAATCGTACAATCCTACTGAAGAGAACAGCTCTGTATCCACATCTAATGTTGCCTTTGAATTTATATTAGTACGTTCTCGACTAGGACAACCACTACTATCCAGTCCCTTTTTTTGCATTTGATCATCAATTTTTGAATTTATCCTTCCAGAAAACTCTGATTCTCGGACCAGTAACTGTTCTACTGGAATTTCACCCAATAACTTCTCTTTTTTGATCCGATTTAAATAAATTCCTTCATTGGCAAAATAACCATAAAATAATGGAATGTATTGTATCTTCCCAGCAAGCCAAACCTATAAACATGTTTGGAAGGATGAACAAGCAGGATAAAATATCATTCCTGCCGCTGCCAATGAGGAAAAAAAGTGATACTGATTACATATTGAATGAAGCACAACTTAGTGTATATCAGAGTGTTATGATATTAAGGTATTACGAAGCTTTCATTCCTATTCAAAACAGAACTTTTAAGGAAATAAAAAATCAATAAAACTCATTAAGATTAATCAAAAAGTGTGGGTGATTATAGTGTGCTTAAAGGTAAACAAAATCGATCAATTATGCTAGAGATTGAAAAAAAAAAAAGAACAACTCCATTTGTGATTACAAATAAATAAAAACTTCGCTATTTAATCGATTTTATTAATGGGATCACTAGCTGGCCCTGTGGCCTAATGGATAAGGCGTCGCTCTCCTAAAGCGAAGACTGCAGGTTCGAGTCCTGCCAGGGTCGTATGACTTATCACACTTTAGGATGATGGGGTTTCGCAATTGCGGTGAGGCCCGTTTTTCTCTTACTTAAAATATCACCTAAATGCTTTGTATTAGCTTCCAATTGTCTCAGAACAGCTTAAACCTCACTTCTTTGTTCTATAATAATTTCAAACTTACAACAATTAACAACGAGCCATACTGAAATTTTGGGAAAAATGACAAAATGGTTGCTGGTCCAAAATTTACTGCGCCATTTATTAATCCACATGGAGCAAAAAAGAATGATGGCATTGTTTCAACCACAAATAGAGCAATAATTGTCGGATTTTCTATAATTGAAAATTTATCGCTGATCTATTAAAACTAGCATTATTGGATTTCTAATATCTTAAAGATGAAAAAGAATACATCCATGTATTTTCTGTCATTAGTGAAACATGTCAGTGTAGCTATGTGAAGCATAACAATCTGGGTAATCCATGTCACTGCAGTTGCTAGAATACTTATTTAGTGTAGCAACATATCAACAGCGATTTTCAATCATTTACAATGAAATTAATTAATTCGTGTCACAATTAAGAAATTTTAATGATAACATTGTCTTACCACTGAAAGTAACAGCGATACGCTGTCCATCAGGAGAAATCTTCATATCACGAATATATCCACCAACCTTGTATGTACTCTTACTACTAGTGCTATCACCGTTACCATTATTTTCTAATATCATTTTTGAAAGATCATATACAAGAACAGCAATCTCCGATCCATATGATAATCTGCAGTGTAATAGAAACAACTGGAAGTGAATTTTGGTTGAAACAATTGGAAAATCAGAAAAAGAGCTGATGGAAATTTTATCCCTAATTATTAGAATAAACCATCAAGTGTCTAAAGACTGCGTGAAAAAAAAAGACTTATCTTACACTTTATATTGTCAGCAACTCAATCTTATAAACCACAGAAATATGTTGAGCCAATAAATAGTTCGAAGGAAGCTAATTTCATAGAAATGAAATAAAATTCATATGAAATTATTCGGTTTGAAGTAATTTCTCTAATTTTTTTATTTGAACTAAGAAATTTAGATCAAGAAAAAGTAATGAATTTCGATTTTTAGATAAATAAAATACTTACTGATCATTCTCTGTATTTTGTAGTTTTTTAATAAAATGAATACCACGAATGAAGGGTTCACCACGTGTTGCAAAAAAAAATACATCACTTAAGGGAGTCCAAGCTGCTGCTATACAAAGACCTTTCAGTTTTTTCCATCGTTCTTCGTGCCATGAATGACGATCGTAAACACTTCAAAACCAAATATGAAAATTTATAGTAAAAGTTTTATAGAGTTTTAAATTGAATAATTCACCGAAGATTTCAACAGAGTCTTCGTACCTTATAACATTTCCGTCATAAGCAATAGCTATTTTACCACCATTAGGGGAAATCCATACATGACGAATACGACCACCAGCCCATGAACCAACTAATTCGCTTTCACCATTACTTGTATCCAGAACCTAATGTACTTACTTCATAATATTTCGTACTTCATAATAATACTTCCAAAGTCTACTTTACTTACTATACATAAATACTGAACACAAACTCAACATATCTGGTACATAAAGTTTTTTTCTTAGTGTATAACGAGTCCACAGAATACATATTCAAAATATGTAAATGTTTTTGTGTGATATTTCTCTATGGCACTAGAGAGCGAAGATTCAGGTTTAAAAATGCAAAGAATATGCATGTAAAGAAAAAATAACTCTGCTAATCCTAGGTTTTTATATTTAGTAAAAAAAGTCTTTGAAGAGAAATTTATTTAAATGTACTTCCGAAGAAAAAACCCCGCAGAATTAGAGTTTTCATTTAAAATATCCGACAAATTCTTCAAAACTATATCTAATGGACATCCGAAATGTAAGTACTATTTAATAAGACCAAAGAAAAAATACTTGCAAACATGATGATGATGTTGAAACAACAAAAAGTGCTTGATCAAAAAGAGAATCCCAAAAACATTGTGTGATTGGAGCAAGTGATGACATTTCGATGACGTCTGCGCAACTGACTGAAGGACTGAAATAAAGATAGCAAAAACTAATTTTTGTCGGAAGATTTGTAAGTAATACTCAATATAGCAAAATATATTTTAACCAACCGAATATTCCAGTTTTGTTTGTCAAGCTTCCAAATTAACACAGCATGAGTACAAGCCACTGCTAGAACCATACGATCAAAAGGCCTAAATGAGCATAAGTATGATAAAACTTAACTGATCAGAAAGGTTAAGCTACAAAAGCAATTTTTTCAAAATATCATGCTGAATACCAAATGAGTGAAAATGATTCACAAAACTGCATATTAAAATAACTCAGAAAATTTACAAATACCAATTAAAATTAATTAACGGGAAAAAGAAACAACTGTATTTACTTCCAAGCCATATCAGTTACATTCTGCTGATATTGGTGCTTTAATGTAATAGGTAATCTATTAGAGCCGCAACAAAATATTCTGATGCAATCGTTATTTTGGCATATTGCAATTCGATGACCACTATTATGTATTGCAATACAACGAGTCCAATTTGTCAACCTGAAATGATGAGTCATGTTCGTAATGCTCCCGATTATATGATAATCTAATTTAACCAAAAACTTAAGTAAAACAAAAATTTCATTATGGTATTTAAAGAGGTTGAATTCAGACATCGATTGCAGCAGTTCAATTTAAGCTAATGATTGCTAATCATATGTAACTAAGGTACGGCATAAAGGTTGAGAAACAAACTATGTTGCACATAAGATGATTTTGCACGCTTTAACCATTGAATCCAGACAATCTAAGACCAAATGATATGATAAGTTAAAACCTTACCAATTTAATGTAGATGAGGTCTGCATGATGGAATCATATAGGCTTTCTTCAGATTTTGCAAAAACATTAGTGATATCAATCTGAGCTTTTCTGAAGATTTGACCTGCGGATGAAAGCCAGTCACTATAAGGAATAATACCACTCATAGCATTTCTAACACTATCCATCAGACTATCGATACCTTTGGCTGCCCTCAAAGTCAATGCAAAAATTTATCACTTATCAGAAAACTGATAAATTCATAAGAGTAATGAAATAACAAAGCTGTAAACAAGACAATTCATATATCATACTAAGTTATAAGTTTGGACTTTTTGCCATATTAAACATAGATCTGCTTAATGGCAGTTTCTCCACTTTTCAACTTCAACGAATTATTATTTAAAGTTGAAACAATTAAAATATTACTCACTAACCAACTATTCAAGGTTTGTTGAAATCGACTTTGCTGATTGTCAACAAAAGTTTCGCCAATACTATCACGTGATAACGATTGTTGTAATCGATTCAGCAACTTATCTTCAATTTTCGGAAATACGCCTAACTGAAATATTTATCATTGCCAATAACTGCATTAACATTTTCACAAACTCATCTGTGCAAAATAATGATTCATTTGAAATGTAAAACAAACTATACGAACAAGTGGATCTAAGGAAATAGATCTCAGTAAAACATGAAATTTTGACATGAAGGTAGGTATTAACTTTTACACTCTACTTACTTTCCAAGCATTTATAAATGAACAAAATATATCTTTAAAAAAAGAGAAAATCACTCATGTACTTATTTTCCATCTATTTATATATTAGTGAATTTATTCCATATTAAATGAAGTTAAGTCAAAACGTAATTCAGGTATTAAATTACAACATAACCTTGTGATGATGACGTATGTCATCATTTTTAGAAATAAAAATTGAAATATACATGTATATTTTGTATCCAAATGAACAAAAATATATTCATTAAAATGGATAATTTATTCGAAAATTCAATACTTAACAAACCAATGCATTTTTTTCCATTTCGTGTAATTCTTTTTCAGTACCATAAATTAATCTACCGTTTGTCTCGTACAAGCAAATAGGAATATCAGCTGATGATTCAATCTGTGGAAACTGATATGATGACATAATCAAGGTCCTCAAAAACGATTAAAAATGACAATTATCAAACAATACTTTCATCATTCTGATATCTCTTTCATTTCTGTAATTTCGTGAAACTTTTTAAATTTTGCAAAGACAAATTAAGCAATTTTCTAAAATAAAATGAAAAAAAAAAAAACAATAACGGAATCAAATAAATTGTGTAAAAATTATCCCCTAATTTTTAAATCCTTAGAATTCCCAAACAGAAAAAACTTGAAATTTTTTAAAAATCTAAAAATAAAATAAATTATATGGAAAATCGACAACCACAGAAATGGCAGTATCATTCTTCACACCAACAACAGATGAATATTTCAAAAAAAAAAAAAAAAAAAGAAAGGAAAAACTCCATTACTTACCATCACAATTCCTCCCTTCAGGACTCTATCGTATGTATAGGAGCTTCAGCTGCTATATTAGCAACTCACATAGTCGTTATAAATTTAAAGTAATTTTAACGTGATAACGTACGTATTTAAAGTAATTGCATTTATATATATTTTACGTTTTTAAAGTAATTGCATTTATATATATTTTACGTATTTAAAGTAATTGCATTTATATATATTTTACGTATTTAAAGTAATTGCATTTATATATATTTTACGTATTTAAAGTAATTGCATTTATATATATTTTACGTATTTAAAGTAATTGCATTTATATATATTTTACGTATTTAAAGTAATTGCATTTATATATATTTTACGTATTTAAAGTAATTGCATTTATATATATTTTACGTATTTAAAGTAATTGCATTTATATATATTTTACGTATTTAAAGTAATTGCATTTATATATATTTTACGTATTTAAAGTAATTGCATTTATATATATTTTACGTATTTAAAGTAATTGCATTTATATATATTTTACGTATTTAAAGTAATTGCATTTATATATATTTTACGTATTTAAAGTAATTGCATTTATATATATTTTACGTATTTAAAGTAATTGCATTTATATAATATGTATTTTGACGTGAACGATTAGTAATCTTATTAATGTGTTTTTTTTTGTCAGTCATATGTATCGTAATAATCAACTTATACACTAGATATTACTAGAATTTGAATGATGAGTCTTCAATCTTTTGATAAAGTATTCCGGATTTAGAATCATTGCAATTTTTGTGAAATATATTGAAAGTAAGGCTGAAAGCTAAGTTTTTTTTTTTTTTTTTTTTCAGCGAAAAAAAAAAAAACGAATTACAAATGCAAATTCGGAATTGCACCAATGCTAAATTGGAAATTTAAAATTTATTTTCTCAAATTTTCGCCAGGTAGAAAAGGAAAGAAAGGAAATGGTTTTACTATCAAATGACGGATAAAATTGTTTTTTTTTTGCATTTATTAATTAACTTATAAATGCATAACTTTTTTTCAAACTAAAAGATTTCTTCAATTTATACTTCACCTTTAAATAACATCTTCTCTACTTTCAGGTTTTTTTCAGGATCTGAGTAATCATAGCATTTTGAAATTTATTAAGAGTGAGGCAAAAATTAGACCCTCCGATAGCTTTATCTTTTAAAATATAATGTTTTCTTTTTTTTTTTTTTTTTTAAATATGGCAACATCAATATTTTTCTATTTATTTTATTTAGAAAATTTTTAAAAATGGCGAATAGAAAAATTTTTTTTCCGCTTATTTATTATTAATTTAATGATAGTATCATACACTTTTTACTAAATATTAAAAATCAAAATTTATTAAATCTTCGGTTGTTATTTTAAACTAGTTGAAAATTATGCTAAAACCTTGTCCTTTTATTATATTACTACTTTTTTAAATGATTTCTTCAACTTTAAATCAGTTTTAATTATTTTTATTTCAAGATAAAAAATTAATATGTTGTTTTTTTCAAATTTTTTATTTCTAGTTTAGCCATAAAGAAAAACAGTTATGTGAGAGAGTAGGAAAAGAAATGAAAGTGTAAAAGAAAATATTTGATAGAAATGACAATTGTGGTTTGTTTATTATTAAAATTGGTTAGTAATTACTCGCAATGATTGGTACTTCTCATTGGTATTTCAAACAAATTTCTTCCAATAATGGGGAAAGGGCTTAAAGAGAAGAATGACGAAAATGAAGAATGAATTGTAAGGAAAAGCTTGAAAAGGATGAGAAAGAAGCCTAGGATAATGCTTTTAGACTTATAGTGAAGCTTTCAGATGAAAATTTAAGTCTTAAGCAATAGATGGAGCATATTTAAGACTTCGTTGTTTAAATGATTCGTAAAAAATCTTTTTTTTCTTTTTTCCTTTTTGTCTTTCTCCTCCTCTTTTTCCTTTCTTCGCTTTCCTCATTTAATTTGAAATTGAAAAGGATCATTTTGATGCATATTTAAAAATGGACGAGTTACGTGCTGCCACTATTGCTACTGCTACGCAACAACAACAGTCATTTCATGGATGGAAAGATTGGACAAATAAAAATATTTTTGCATCATCTATTGATGAAACAGTATTTGATTATGGTTATCAGAATCAGGATACTACTGCTACAGAAAATAGAATTCATCAAGGTCATTCATCTTAGCAGTATATCATTTAACTATAATAACAATGATAACGATTATTGATTATTATTATTAATTATTACTATATAACCAATTCTCATTATCACTAATTATTATTTTTATTATTGTCATTTATTATTATTATTATGCGTGCAAAAATTGACTCAAATACCATGATAGATTGTAATATTTGCGTTATGAAAAAGTTATGAAAAAATTTTAATGAAACATTAAATTATAAAATTGGTTTATGAGAATTAGCAAAATGTGTGAAAAAGTAAGGGAAAGGAAAAAAATACGAATTCATTAACTAATTAATAACTAAATCATGCGAGTAGTATAAAATCTTATCAAAATTATAAGTTTGAAATTAATCAGTTCTAACAATTTTTTACATATGTGTATTGGTTCAGTTATCACATCAATTGTTAGTGTATATGAAAGAAAATTTTCAAATGAAAATAGGTATCACAAGTTAATAAATACTAATTTTAATTTGAAAGTGTTAAAAGTTAATTTGTAAAAATAAAATAATTGGAAGTTTTTTTTGAAATATTTGAAATATTGTTTAGAAATGACAACAACTGATGAAGAACGTACTTCTGAACAACCAATTACAGCATTACAAGCTGCTTGGAATGTTACAAATGCAATTCAGGGAATGTTTATCGTCGGTTTACCTATCGCTGTTAAAGTACCATTTCAATATATTTCAATGTTTTAGTAAAAAGAAAAATGCAAAGACTTCTTTTTTCCGATTTCTAAATATTGAAATGTTTTGAATTAAAAATTTTTTCAGTTATATAAAACAACAATTTTATATAATTGCTCACTGTTTTTCTGTCCATTTGTTGTTCATTCGAACCTTCAACCTGCGAATCGATAATACTATCTGAAACTTATATTTTAGGATTAAAGATGGACGATATTATCTAAAATTTAGAATTCTTATTCAGAACTTAAGGATCAGATCCTTACTAAGAATTAATAAATCTTTCAATGAAATCACTACTGAAGAAAAGAAAGAAGTTGAAGTGAGAAAAGATGGGGCAGGAAAAGTATAAAGTTAAAAAGTAAATAAATTAGCACTAATTTTAAATCATTCCTTATTGTCTAGGCTCATTTGAATCGTTTATTTATTCGTAACACTAAGATTAGCATCGTCATCATTATCATTCATGTGGTTGAAATAAATATCGTAATAATAGTAACACAATTTAAGTGATATAATTTGATGATTTAACTTCTAATTTTTAATAAATTGCTTTAAAAATAAGATAAAATTCATGAATTGATGGATTATTGATGAATTGATATGATTAATGAATTAACTGAAACTAATTGATGAAATAATTATTGGGCAATTGAAAATTTATTATCCATAAGTCTATCTCATTTTCTGATTTTTTTAATTCAGTGTAGTTTTTCTCACTTTCTTCATTTGTTCTGATTGTATAAATTCAATTAGCCATAATTTGCTTTATTATTAGTTTAGTAGAATTTCAAAATTCGGAAATCTAATCATTGAGTGTTAAACTATACCAATGAATTTAGTGAAAGATTTTGCAACAGATAGTTTAGCTTTTAACATTCGTTTCCATTCGTATATATCCGAAAAAAAAAAATAAGAAAAAAGTGTAGTATTCTTTGTTAATTGTCATTTCAACGAGAAAATTGTTTTAAGTTTTAAAATTTGACGATTTCAAATTTCATTAATCAATTATAATTGGACTGAAATTAATGATTGATTAATGAAGGTGAAAAATAAATAATGCAATTGTTGTCAGTGCTAAAAAACGAAAAATCCTATTTTGTTAAGTTTTCTAATTGTAGGAATCAGGTTATTCCAATCTGAAAAACGTTTCCCATTACTGGATTGTGTCGTAAACTATCTGTCTTCCACAATTCTAAAATAATGAGAAGAAGATAAGAAAATGTTCACCGTTCACATATATGCTTATTTGATAACTGAAATTAGTTATTTTTTTATGCTGGAATATATTTCGAAATTTATTCGAATTGAATTTATCTTTGTACAGAATCACCCGTAATAGAAAAATTAAATTAATTAAAAGTGAAGCAAAAAAGACAGCATAATTAGTCTGAATTTAATTTAATAACAATAAACTGTCCTTAATTCAATTATTTAATTTCTCATGTACACAAAGTCGAATAATTGACAACAGAATAAATTTTGAAATTTATTGACATTAAATTTATCTAGATAATTTTTTCTTAATTTGTTCAAAATGGTTTAATAGTAGACAGTTGTAGTAATTCTTGTTGTTGCAATGTCGTTACTCAATTTCTATTTCTAATTGCTTAATTTATTCAAGGTTGGTGGATGGTGGACAATTATAGCAATTCTTGGCGTTGCATATTTGTGTTATTGGAGTGGAATTTTACTCATCGATTGCTTGTATGAAAATAATGTTAAAGTAATCTATACTTTTTAATATAATTCAAAAAGTAGAGAGAATATTTGATACATTTCAAAATTTAAATAAAAAATATTAGAGAAGAAAAAATTTTGCCAGTTTAATTTAAAATGTTATATGTGAAGGAATTATCTTTACCAAACACTTCAAATTTTAAAAATTTTGAGAAAAAAATTTTGTTTTTTTAAAATTATGCACAGATAAGAAGTACGTATCAAGCGGTAGCAGAAGCGTATCGTCCAGGAATGGGTCGTTTTGTATTATGTGCGCAATTGACGGAATTACTGAGTACTTGTATCATTTATATTGTAATTGCAGGTGATTTACTTCAAAGTTGCGTACCATCACTTGGTAAGATTATAATTATATTTAAATGAATAAAATAAAATATCGTAAAACTATCATATTCTCCAAATTAACAGAAATAAATCAAACAGTAATAATTATTAGATTTATTTGAAAGTACAATTATAGATATGTTTAACAGTTATTTCGTTATGTCATATTTTTTATCATTATAATTTAAATTTCCATATTTTTTAAATATTGTGTGCACGAAGGTTTTAAATTAACATTTAGATTAATAGATGTTTAAGTACTGAAAATGTAGCAGTAATGCTGCAAAAGTAAAAATAAATTAAGAATGGAAAATACAAAAAATCAAATAACAAAAATTGCAATCAAAATTAAATCGAAAAAAATGCTGAATTAAAAGCTGAAAGAAAAGATCAATAGCATTTGTTAAATTTATAGATAAATCCGCTTTGATGATGCTTGTAACAACAGCGCTTCTTGGCTGTGCTTTTCTAGACTCAATTCGAATAGTAAGCAATTTGAGCCTGATGAATGCTATTTCACACCTAATCATTAATGCTATCATATTCATTTATTGTTTATTTCAGGTTAGTCTTTTTACGTATTATGAAAAAAAAAAAATAATTTTGTCAAAAAAATACTTACCAGATTGACAAATTAGCAAAATCAAGAGAAAGAAATTTTTCCTTGATATAATTTAAAGAAGATTGTTAATTATTGGAAAACTTTGACAATACGACTCAGATTAATAATATTTATTTTAGAATAACTGCAATGGTAATTATATTCGAATTTTTGAATATATAAAAGAATTTAGGCATTTATAAATAAATTCGCAGCATCTAGTTTAGGTGTTAAGAGTATACTTAAAAATGAATTAAGTCTTTCATTTTTAAATTTTAATTAGCTTTTTTTAATCCATAACGATTTTTGAAATTACATGACCTTTCAAAAATATCGTTCTTAATTAAATTTTTGAAAATTAACGATATCGGACTGGATGTGGAATAAAGTACCATTTACATTTGATATTCGTACCATGCCAACAGTGATTGGTGTGGTTGTATTTGGCTATACTTCACATATTTTTCTTCCATCATTAGAAGGTTCCATGGAGGTTTACAAATTTAATCATTAATTTTTTAAATAATTAAATATAATATGTTGAACGTTTCACTTTTAATTTAATTTGATTCAAAATTTATTGTTCGAAAAACTTATCATTTTTTTAACAAAAAAATAGATAAACAAAATTTAAACTAATGTTTTGATAATTATTATCAATTGTTAATCACGTAATAATTTAAGGATCCAACCAAATTTAAATGGATGCTTCGTTGGTCACATATCATTGCAGCAATTTTCAAGTCTCTCTTTGGTCTTCTTGGCTTCCTAACATTTGGTGACTTTACGCAAAAGGAAATTTCCAATTCATTACCAAATCAAACATTTAAGGTTCACCCTATTTATAAGATAAGAAATAAAAACTATTCTTTTCTTACTTCCTAAAATTTTCATTTCACTTCAGCTTTCTTCTTTTCTGATTTCATTTTATTGCTAATATTTAAAACAATTATCTAAAAGTATGTATAGCATCATACATTCAAATGAATGAAGTATTAGCTTGTATACCACCCTAAAATATTTTGAAATTTTATTTACATCCACTTAATATTATTATACACTCGTAAAATCATAATTTGGAATGTTTTGCCACCAGATTTTGTTATCATAATTTCAATCATATCTAATCCCTATCATTTATATTTCTGTACGAAAAATAATTAAATATTACTTTTTAGGTAATAGTTAATTTGGTACTGGTTATAAAAGCACTCTTCTCATATCCATTACCATATTTTGCTGCTGTTCATTTACTTAAAGATAATTTATTCATGGGCACACCAGAAACACTATTCACAAGGTAGAGATTGAGTTAAAAAAAGAAAGAAAAAAAGTTAACTCATTGGTTTTCTTTAAACTTCCCCTAATTTGTTTTCATAAAATCTAAATTGCTCACTTTTATCAGTGAAATAAATGGAATAAATAAAAAAAGAAAACAAAAAAAAAATTGAGTGCAGGAAAATATACAGAAATAAGCGGAAAAAGTAGTAGCATTACCGATAAGATTTGAAAAATCTATAATATCGACATATTTCCGGAGACGGAAAAAAAAGAAAATTTATTCAATATGCTAATGATACAAAATGCTTTAGCTGCTATGGTATTGGACATAGTTTACGTGAATGGGCACTTTGTTTACGAATTATTTTGGTGCTTATTACACTGCTAATGGCAATGTCGGTACCATACCTAATTGAACTAATGGGCCTAGTTGGCAATATTACTGGAACTATGCTGAGTTTCATTTGGCCAGCTATGTTTCATTTGAAATTGAAAGGAGCAAATGTAAAAGAAAGTGATCGAAATTTTGATAAATTCATTATTGGTACTGGCATCTGCTTAATGACCATTGGATTATATTTTTCTGCACTTGAGCTGGTACAGGCAATTCGTTATGAAGAACGATAGTATGAATCAGTTGTCGCCATTCTTAAATTTGTCGGTGCTGTTGAATTTGCTAAATTTTCTTAGAACGAAATTTGATAATGACATCAAATTTCGTTCTAAGAAAAAAAAAGTGATGAGTATGAGAAGTGAAGCAAATACTGCTCACCGAGTGAAATTGAAATTTAAAGACTTCTTTTAAAAAAATGTTAGAAAAAGACCTCTCTTACAAAATCAAACTAGAAATGTTTATAATGTAATTCATAATATCTAGAAAAAAAAAATATCGTGAAGAACTTACTTCATTTTTATATGGTTGGAATAATTTAAAACTTTTCTGAATATATATTTTGTAAATTTAAGTATTATCAATAGTAGAAATTACTCATAAGTTTGCAGATATATGATATTTCATATTAATTTCAATAAAATTTTGTATTTGATAAAAATTTCTCTTTTCTTTTGCATTCATATAATGAAGTGAATTTCAAAAATAGCAGAAATGAACATTCATATTAATATTTAGTAGAAGAAAACATAATTCAGATATTCAAGTTTCATTTTTCACCGCTATTTGTCTCTTCATTAACTCAAGTAATACAGTAAAATAAACACCTTACCTTTTATAAGAACAAAGTAGTAATCATGTTAAAGTCAGATATTCAATTCAAATACATACCTTTTCCACCTGCACTTCTCCCAAATACTTCCCATCCAACCTACAAAAACTAAATTTTTCAATCACTGAGCAACTGTTATGTAAGCAACTGTTATGTAAGAAAATGTAAGCAACTGTTAAATTTTGGCTACTCGAGTTCAAACCTCTCCTTTAGTAATAAAGCTGCTACATATAGACCAGATCCCACTACAATTCCTGTGTGATCCCACCGTATGCAGCGGAGGATTTTAGTTTCTGGTAGGTGGTGGACGTGTTCGTCCTGCAGTTTCTGTGGTCGGTTTTGTGGAGATTTATATGATAAGATTTGATTTAAAATGGGATTTTAACAGCGGAGAAATTTCTTCTTCATGTGCATAATTTACGGGGTAATCGTATATTTGTTTTACTTATTTTAATATATTTAACATTGCATACGAATATTATATGTACATTAAAATGTGTTGTTGTGATCGATTATCTCGAATAGAATGTATCCTAATCACATTGTTGGATTGCATTATTCCACTGCAACACTATGACTTTATGATTGCTGCGTTTTATTATTATTATCGCTTATATAATATATTGGTATTCAAGTATTGTTGTGATTAATTTATGCTTCACGATCTTTGGCTTAAATACTAGTAACAAGCTTACATTAGCTCTTCAATTGCTTACTTTTGTCAAAATTTCCTGGAAAGTTCCCTTCCTCTGACTGTTTCACTCATTATTATTTCATCCCGTCTTTGCTTATTTCTTTAGTTGTGTTCCAGTAACATTAATTTCGTAGGAACTTTCCGGATAGCTCCATATTGTTAAAATAGGTCTTTGCTGATGTGATAAGCTGGAATAAGTTGACATGATAATTCCGATGAACATATACTAAAGGTCAGAGAGAAAATTACATGATTTCACGAAATGGTTTTGTCTTGAAACAAGTCTTTTATGTGCAAGCTAATTCTGTTATTAAGTAATTCTGCTTTATGATATGACAAAATTATGAATATACATGGTGATCACTTTTACTATTCTGTGATATCAAAATATATCCAAGTTTGAATTGATTTCATATATTCCGTTGTAATATAACGTGAGTGATAATATATTTTCCAGGAAATATGGGCGCATACCGTTACATGCAAGAGCTTTGGCGTAAGAAGCAATCAGAGGTTTGAGCTTTTTTCGTCTACAAACTTATCAAACATTTTTAACGGTTTGTCAGAAGCGAATGTGTTTCTGAAAATGCCTGCCTAACAAATTAAAAAACTGAGACAACTAAAAATCTGATGAATTAGTTCAATATTAGGTCTCAGCGGTTAGACTAGTGAGGAAGCTTTAAGAAAATAACTTGATAAAATTTTTCGAATGAATATTTGCTGACTGTCTGCATGTTACTACAGAGTCGAATAATCTATTTCTTATTTAAAAAATTTATGTCATAACATCATTTTTCTTACACGCTTATGTTTGTAATTAGAAGAGATGTTAAATAAGTTGTTAAACGGGTGGTCTTATGATTTCTAATTATTAGATTTGCTTAGTTATCTATTTAGTTGTTTAAAAAAAATGAATAGAGGGAAGAGTTTCTTCTAGTTATTTTTTCTGCTTCTAGACGATGCGCTATTTGCTTCGAATACGCTGCTGGCAATATCGACAACTCACCGCTATTCATCGTGTCTCCAGACCAACGCGCCCCGAGAAGGCTCGCAGATTAGGCTATCGTGCGAAGCAAGGTAATTTTTTGATTCATTTTATTAAAATAAACTCTAAAGAACTTTTTTTCTCTTGTTTGACTATCTGTAAAAACAAGCCAGTTTGTCGTTTGTTTTTTCTTATGGAGAATTTGAATTAAACTGAAATTTCAGGTTACATTATCTATCGTGTGAGAGTACGCAGAGGTGGTCGTAAGCGCCACGTCGTGAAAGGTCAAACATATGGTAAACCAAAAAACCATGGCGTTAATGAGTTGAAATTTGCTCGCTGTAAACAGTCTGTTGCTGAGGTTCATGGCGCTAGTTGTCTTCCTTTATTCTTTGAGCCGTTTCATTAGATTTTGGTATTACAAAGCGTTTTTTCACAGGAGAGAGTTGGGCGTCGATGTGGCAGTCTTCGTGTATTGAATTCTTATTGGGTTGGCCAAGATTCTACATACAAGTTCTATGAAGTTATTATGATTGATCCGGCTCATAAGGTTTTCTATTTTATTGTTGCTACACTGCTTTTTCAGATAATGGAATCACAGATATGATCTGAGATGTATTATAAGTTAACGTGTTGTGACACAGCTGCTTGTAAGCTTATAGTTATGCAAGTTTTTAATTTTTGTCCTTTTTATCATCGGGAAGCACACTCATTGTATTTTATGGCTAATCATGCGAACGGTACAATTTTTTAGTTGGTGGTATACAATAATCAGTGCTACCAGCGAAAAATTTTTATTGCTTTTTAGGCTATTCGAAGAAATCCAGACACACAATGGATAACAAAGCCTGTTCATAAACATCGCGAGTTGCGTGGGTTGACGTCTGCTGGTCGCAGAAGTCGAGGTCTTGGTAAAGGACATCACTATTCAGCAACGAAGGGAGGTTCACGTAGGAAGTGTTGGTTGCGTCGTAATACTTTATCGCTTCGTCGTAAACGTTAACATGAAATATAAGATAAGATTGTTATGTATTTCGTGCTGTTTACGTTAAATGAAAAGTTAAGGCTATGAAATGTTTGATTTCAATTAGTTTTTTTCAGTGCATTTATGAGGTGGGTTGAAACAGAAGAAAAAAAAAGCATATCATCAAGGGCAAGATAAATATGCTCATGAAAAATGAAATAAGGATTGTGAAAGTAGTAATTTGATGCTTTAGTTGCGTAGCTATTCAAATATAATTCAAATGTAATAATTATATGACCTGGCAGAATGTAGATCAGGACAAATACTAGGTGATTTTGCAGTGTATATTTTTAATCAGAAACGAACTATTGTGTTTGGATTTTGCCCTAGAGAAGGGGAGATCAATATTTTATTATCTTTTACTTGAATGTATCTACTAGGTTTCCAATCACATCGAATAGTGTAAACCAAGCTTCTTCGACATGTTTCCCTTGACAATGCGGATATGATTGCAAAATTACGACCACTTCTTTTAGCATGTTCTAAAAATGCAAGTGAAGACAAAATAAACAGGTTACAGGAAATTTTAGCGAATGATATAAGGATAATAGAGTGTTTATGCGCTGGCTTGAAGTGAACTAGATGCTTACCTATGGAGTTACTTCTGTAAAATACAAAATTTGGCTTATGATTGGGTGATGTTTCGAGGAAGATTATTACTTAGCCAGCAAGTGTGAAGCAGATGTTGTTTATTCAGTACAAGCAAATTCAAATTACTAATTGCCATAATGGAAGTTTAAATTGGCATTTTAAAAAAATTATAAGGTTAAAATGCATACCATGATATGACTTTTGCAAATGTTCCACTTCAAATGTGCAGTGGTAATTCTGTTTATCGTTTTCACTAATTTTTCTTCATACGGCATACTATCAATAATGGCTTTAAGCCCGGCTAAGTAGACCAACCCGTGTTCTTTAACTACATCTGCTGTTATGATTGAACTATCCGGAATGCCACTGAATTGTGGCCATATCTGTTTGTATTCTGGGAAGTCGCCGAGTAGTCTGAAGATAAAGGCATACTTTCAGAAAAGTGGCGAATAATTTGTAAAATCAGCAAAAACCGTGGAAATAGCTATGGCCTCCACTTGTTTTGCACATCACTTAGTTAAAAAGAACAGTCTACCTTAATCTTAATTTTCATCTGTTTTCTGCAGAAACTGAAAATATAATCGAACAAATCAAAAATTACTATAAACAACAATGTAGTGGATGACGTAATTTGTTATAATGATACTATGGTAAGCACATATTATAATCATATAATGATAAAGGACTTGGAAATATTCATGACAGTGATAATTACTTAACAATAAATCAATCAGCTGATAAATATTTGGGGTTAGTTTTTCCAAATATTTTATACCGAGTTGAAGCTATTCTGCTATCTTGTCATTTTTTTAAAATATTGTTTAATATACTAAAATTTATTTTTTTCTGTTCCATAACTTTTCATATTTTATTATTCACTTAATAGATGTTAAAAATTTCATCGCTAAATAAATGATAATTACTATTAATAGAGGCTATATTTTGGAAAATTGTATATTAGAATTATTGAATTGATTTGAAATTTTAGTATTTTTTTCTTGAAAATAAAAAATTGGTTGGTATGTTAGCCATGCAGAGATATTTGTATTTTTATTTGATAGATAAATATAATTATATTTTGGTGAAAATAATGATTTTTTTGATACACTGATTAAGCAGCAGTTCAATACCTTTATGAGATACAATAATTAAAAGGCAAACTTAATTCTTACAGAACAAAAATTTTTTGTCCATTTTTCTGGGGATCATTATACAAATATTTAAAAGTTTTTTGGATGATGTATCGTTGTTCTTGCGACAATCGTTTTATTTCTTCTACAAGAAAAACTTATTGAAAATTTTCAACTGGTCGTAATTTTAAAAAAAATAAGTAACAACTGATTGTATGGATTCGAACAAAATATTGACAAAGTCATCTTAAATTGATCTATCAACTCATATCATATATATTGGCCAAGTAAAATTAAATGATATGAATGTAGGTAGAAGAAGATTCGCTTAAAACCTCGAATTTCAATAATTAACACTGCAAAAATTCCCTATTTTTCAATTATGTCTTCGAACCTTTCTTTAGATCAGATTTAAATAATATTAATTCAGCTTCGAAAGAAACCAATTTCAGTGTTTCTCGTTTTTTATCAGAAAAAAAGTAATCAGAAATGAAATTAAACAAACGTAAATAAAACTATGGTAAAATTTTTTATGGAATAATACTATTAATAATTATTTAGCCTAACTCAAAATATTTTTTAATAAGATTTGTCTAATATATTTTTAAAACTTTCTTGTTATATTTCTTTTTGTTTGATTACTTAAAATTTGTGATAGAATTTTTACTCATTGTTTTTAGTACAATCAAGAAAATAATTGGATGAAATATGTCACATAACTCCTTACCTGCACAAATATTTGCTGAAGATTTATTTGCATGTCGCTTCGATTCTACATACATCACGCTAATGAGCTCTTGTTTTTAAGTTTTGTGAACTAAATAGGACTGCAAATAATTAAAAATTCATATGTTTGGCAAAAGAAACCAAAAACGAAAACAGTATGGAAATTTATGTATTTATTTCAAATAAAGTATTTAATAATCAAAATATATTATTAATTTAGAATAAAATGAGAAATAAAACGAGGGAAAAGTGCTATTTTCTATTTTAGAATATCAAGAAATCAACGTTTTTAATTTTCCTCTTCTATTTCCTTTAAAGCATTCAATAATGCTTATATTGATAATTAATAGAATCATAAGTTATCGAAGTAATTCAGTGCTGATGATTGAATAACCAAAAAAATCTTTTGAAATAATATTATGACTAAATGCGTAAGACTAATGTTTATAGACATTGATGATCATAATGTTGTGAATAATCTTACGACATGTTTTCCTTTTATTTAATAAAATTGATTACTTTTTTTTGTTTAACATAATTGATGCGAAAAAGAATTTCAATATTATTAAATTGAAGTAGAAAGGTTGAGAAAAAGAGTTTAAAAAACTTATATAACCTTTTTTTGGACTTGAAATTATTTTGTCACCCTCATTTTTTACGATTACTCTTCAAATTACATGAATTGCATAAAGTTACAACAAAAAAAAAAAGAAAAAGTATTAATTAATTAGTAAAAAAATGCTGAAGCATTGACTGCTTCAGCTTTCCTAATGCAAAGCACTAACTGTTGTTAGAACTCACATTATTTCACATTAGCCATTATTTGGCAATATGATATAATGGAGAAAATGACAGTATTAATTTGTCATCGAACTTACAATTGCAATCACAAAGAATGACAAATGTATTTCCACCTTAACAAAATGCACATTTTTTCATGATGATTTTGAAAATGGATTACAGTAATAAATCATCTCGAAAAGCAAAAAAAATTGCCCAATAATCCATCGACTACGTGCACGTCAGTGGCCAGACATCTCATTGACAATTTAACACTTTACATGAAGTGATTTTCAAGAGATTCGAGAGATTTTTAGAGAGAGAGAAAGAGAGCTTCGAGAGATCACGAAGTAAAACTTAGATTCAATAGGGGAAATTTAAATTTATCAAGCACAAATATTATTGGATTTTATAAATTTATAATGTCTATGTGTACGCATAATTAGCTTAAGTTTCTCATATGATATTAACGTTGACAAAATTGTTAGGATTGTAAGTTTAGCACTTTAGTACTGACATGTTAGTTCAAAATCGGGTTTAGCTTATAAATAAACTGTTCATCGTGTGTTTTCATATGTTTAATACATTCTAGTTTTTAGTGTTCACTGTAAGCCTCAAAATAAAGACTTTTCGACTGCTTCCTTGTTAAATGAATCTTCCCAATTCAGAGAAGTAATAGCATCTGGCCAGTTGGCATGTAGATTGGAATTTCATTAAAGTAATAAGTCATGGTTGAAAAACAAAAAATCATTAAAGAACTTAAAGTTTGAATCATTGTATCTTCCTAATTCAGAGAAGTAATTCAACCAGAATTTATACAAAATTTCCAATTGATGGCATATTCTCGCTAAAATTTCTTCAAGAATTGTCTTGATGAGAATGGTAGGCACAGTTATTTTTTGGTAATGACTTAAATTTACATTATTTTTAATGAAAATTAACTTATTCCTACTAAAAATGCATTTGATATAAAAATAATATAATTAAACAATTTGGTAATGTCAAATTCCAACTGATCAAATTAAACGTTCAAGACATAAAAGCTGGTCGAATAGTGAACTTGAAAGAGGTCAATTAATGGAATATAATACTTTCCATGCAATTTCAGCAGATGAAAGATTGTTGGAATAGAACAAAAGCGAAATATGTAAATTTAGCTCACAACAATTGTCAAAATGTTGTACATTTTCTGTTGTACATTTTTATAACATTATCCATTCATGTTTTTTCACAATTGGTTCAAACAAAATTTTTGTCACCCGATTTTTTTACTAGAGAATAACAAAAGATTTATTGTGTTTCATGTGACGTAATCCTACTAGATTAAGCATGAAATGTTAGCATTTCAGTCAGATTCCTGTACAGTACGTCAGTTAAGTGTAAATTGAAAATGTAATACTCAATGAGAAGAAAAATAGAAGTAAAAGAATTGGAAAGTTATAGAATATTGAAACAAAAAGAGTGAGATTCATCTGATAAATAATGATTAGAATTATCATAATGAAGTTGTAGAATTTCTGCATCATTCTGATGATATTATCAGAAATATCGTGCAGCTTCTCATTCTTGCGCACTTGTAGAGTCTTTTAGAAATATTTTCAAATTAATGAAAAATGATGAAGTGATATTAATTAATTATCAGGAGTTACACGACAGGTAACAATTGATGGCTGTATGAATTTAATTTTTCATGCATGACAATTTAATTTTTAATCTTTTATTCGTGTAATCCAAAAGCGTATTCATCAGCTATTAATTTAATAATAGAAAAATTACAGTAAAAGGGAAAAAGTATGAGGAATGATGCAAATAAGACAGATTAAAAACTGTTTAAACCTTTGGTCGTTTAATTCCAACCAATCTGAAATAAAAACTTTCAATGGAGTGTTTCTGTCATTGTAAAAATTCAGTTTTTCATCTTGCTCTTCATTTCAATGACACAAATCATCTGGTTGAGCTTTCTGCTTTGTATTGTTTTGGCTGAGAATGGAACTATCTCTCTACTAAATCTCGACATCGATGACATTACATGGGATGACTGTAGCAATGGGTACTTCTCAACTAGTTTCAACATCCTTGATAATAGCAATTTGGAATCGATTCTGGATTCAGGCATGGATATTCATAACAACGAACTAGAAAATTCTGTTGGGAATTTGCAGGATAGCATTTTATCTGATTTTTCGCACTTTGATTTTACTGATTTGTGGAAAAGTGAGCATAGAAGCAATGAGGATTCGAAAATCGAAACCGTTCCAATCACAACAGGAAATTCTCAGTTGCAAGAATTGCCGAGAACAGATGGTGAGAATATGCATAGTAATATTTCGGCAAACATTGAGAAGCCCGACATAAAAACTGACCTTCTTACTGCAAAACACTTAAATTTATTTGTTCTGCAAAGTCCTTCCATTACAGGTAACATTCAGTTTTTACTTCTAATTATATATTCTCACAATTTGAATCCATAATCACTTTCCAAATTACATTAATTCATTACCAAATGATATAATGGAAGATGTTAGTTGCAAAAACAAATGTTATAGAAGAATTTTTCAGATAAGAAAAATTATGAATGTCCCCATGTCGGATGTACTATGATAATGAAGAATTACAATGAATACATAACTCACAGGAAAACGCATCCCAAACCTTTTATTTATGAATGCAAAGTGTTCGGTTGTAGACGCACATTCAATCATCAATCATCATTCTACAACCATCAGGAAACACACGGTCCTAAACTTCAGTGCGGAAACTGTGGCAAAATTTTCAACTCTAAAAATAATTTGAGGTCTCACAAGACGCATTGTACGAAAGCTCCACGTTAGTTTCACAAAATTTAACAGAACTTCAAACATGTTTGCCTACTTGGAATTAAATGCATAGTTGAGAAAAACCCGTCCTATAGCAGTACAAAATTCAATAGGAAAACAACATTTAACCATAAATAAATAGATCATCCTCGTTTATATTCAACATAAGAAAAGATAAGCAGTACCTACTGTTCAAGGAATGGAATGAATACGTGATTGAACAGCAAAGAATCGAGGACTGGACCTGATTTCATCGCAGTGAAAAATTTAAAAAAAAAATTTTAAATACATGGGAAAACAAGTAAAGATCCGTGACATGAGCTATTGAAGTATATCGTACACATTTCAATGATCAGTTTTCAAATTGCGTTAATTAATTACAAATTGGTATGATAGAATTATAAAAGCAAATGTTGTAAGAGAATTTTTTAGATGAGGAAAATTACGAGTGTTCCTATGTCGGATGTACAATGAAAACAAAGAATTACAATGAATATATAGCTCACAGGAAAACGCATCCTGAACCTTTTATTTATGAATGCAAAGTGTCCGGTTGTGGGTTAGCATTCAATAATCCATCATCATTCTGCAGTCATCAGCAAACACACGCACCCAGGACTGAGTGCGGAAACTGTGGCAGAATTTTCAGCTGTAAGAATAATCTGAGCACTCACAGGAAGCATTGCACAAAAACCATACGTTAGTTTTTCATATTTAACAAGATTTAAACACGTTTAGCTATCAGAAATGAAATGCACGTACTGAGAAGCAATGTGCTGAGACAGGAAAAAACAAAAAAGAATCAAGAACTTCCTGATTTTATCGTCACAGAAAATCTTCAATTACATTATTTCTTTAAATGCATAAAAAAAAAAAAAAAAAACAAAGTAAAAAACTATAACCTAAGTCATTTGATGTAAATTATCACAGACATTTTTATGATCAGTTTCCAAACTGTGTAAATTAATTAACAACTGGTATGATAGAATTGTAAAAACAAATGTTATACGAGAATTTTTCAGATGAGGAAAATTATGAGTGCCCCCACGTCGGGTGCACAATGAAAACGAAGAGTCGCAAAGAATACACAGCTCACATTAAAACGCATCCCAAACCTTTTATTTATGAATGCAGAGTGCCCGGTTGTGGGCGAACATTCAATCATCCATCATCATTCTACAACCATCAGGAAGCACACGGGCCTAAAGTTCAGTGCGAAAAATGTGGCAAAATTTTCATCTATAAGGGAAATCTGAGATCTCACAGGCAGCGATGTATGAAAACTCCACGTTAGTTTTACAAATTTAGCAGCACTTTAAACATGTTTGTCTACCTGAAGTGAAATGCACATAAAAATGTGATGGAAAACATCCGAAAAATTCAATAGATACTTCTATTTAACCAATCCCAACAAAGAGATAGATCCTTCTCGATTCTCCATTATGCTCAGCATAAAAGGCAATAAGGAATACCTGTTGTTCTAAGAATCCGATAAATTTATAAGTTATTTTCATAAGCAAACTTCAATGCAATTTTCAGTTCTGAAATTTCTTTCAACACTCACAAGAAGCTTTGCATCGGAGTTCCGCGTTGGTTTTGTAAATTTAGCAAAATTCTAAACACTTTTGCCAACTGCAAGTGAAATGTACGCAAAAATGCGTTGCGAAACATTCGTATCCGTGGTATAGCAAAATAAAATTCTTAATATACTGCGATGTACAGAAGGTATATTGAAATGCATTTCACTGGTTATTCCTACAGCAAACTCTTCAATTCTTTTACATCTCAAAATATTCATTGTAGGAGTGAAAGAAGAGATACATAATTCTAGTATACATTGGGAGTGACACAGAAGAATACGTAGGAGTCAGAAGATGCGCGTCATCAATATGCTACAGACAATTTTTTGATGAAATTATGTTATTTAACTATCTGATATGTTTCACATTTATCTTTTTTCTAACTATATTTCATGGAAATGACATAAACATTCTGATTAATGGAGATATGTAAAGTTCAAAGATCAAAACATTTGGATATCTAAAATAACAACCTGTTAGTTCCAACTCTAAAATTGATTTGATCAGTGGGTTCTGTGCATGACTTTTGCGCCGGTTACTTTATTTCACTCTTGTATTGGTTTTTCAATAACAGGAGTGAAATTTTGAAAATGAAAGCTTTTGTATTGTCAAGTGCCATGAGCGACACTAAAATCAGTGATGGTGGGGGGGATAAATCAAAATTTTTTATAAGTGGAAATAATTTCTCGTTTGAAGCTTAATTTGATAAGCCAAAATGCCCACACTGTTGCTCTTAACATGCGAGTCTAAAACGCTTCTCATCTGTAAATTGAAATTTTATTGATTTCAAAGTTTTCTTTACCTTTCTAATAGTTGTCATAATTGCTCTATTAAATTCACCGTCTTCTTGATATTTGAATTCCTATTGTGGCTATTTACTTTTCCCCTCTTCTAGTCACTGCAATCCCTTTCATCATGGTTGATAGTTTTTGAGTTTACTTGGTGGAATTCCTCTAGTAACAACGTTCATTTGATTATGCGCACTTGGAAGATATCAGGAAGTGAAATCTGCCTTTCATATCTCTTCTACTCAATTTTGTATAAACCGGGAAATAATCTTGAATAATTTTTGATCCAAAATAGAGCACATTTAGAATTAGACCAAAGTGTTACAGGCACATCTTTTTGCTTCAATACAAACTGTATAATTTTTACCCCAATTAGTACTGAAAGTAATTCCAAACGAGGTATGGTAATTTAAGTGGGGCAATACGTGATTTAGCATAAATGAGAAATGTTGAGTTCTTACCATATTTTTTGATAATGAGAACATACATTGCTGCTGTGTATGTTTTATTTGAAACATCCGAAAATACATGTATTTCTAGTTGATCTAATGGGTTTATTACAGGTCGAGCTATTATATTCTTTTTTTTTTTTTTTTTTTTTTTCGATAGGTTCAAGGCTGCTCTCACAACTTGTTTTGTTTCCATAAAAGTTGAAGGAATAATTTTAATGTAATCATTGAAGGAACTAAAAACCCTAGAGGGTCATACTATGAAGCAACAAATTGCAAGATAGTTCTCTCAGTTACTTTCTTTTAATTCCATGGTTTAAGTATTATATTATACGAATTATATTTAAATCATAAATCCAATTGATACCAAAAAAACTATTTTAGTTAGAATTATCCTTGTCGTAGTGGATTCATTGTTTTGATAAAAGATTCATTGTTTCAAAAATGGAAAAAACAAAGGTACACAATTTCACAAGAAACTGCGTGGGGTATTTTATGGTCTTTTTCATGTGGAAACAAAGCCTAGTCAATTATTACTTTGCAGTTTGTAGCGTTACGCTTTTTGATTGTAAATAAAAGTTAGCAAAATTTCATAGTGATTTTCAGTTTTTCGAGTGATATAAAATTGAAACTTATTGCATTGCGACAAAAATGATTTAATTCGAGAATGAACAAATGCTAATTTAAACAACAAACATAATCAAATTCTACGGAATCGGTTTCCATTCATAAACCAAGAAAACTATCTTTGTTGGGATAAACTGACAAAATATGGTTGCACAATCCTATTAAGTGGAACTACAAGTGGTCTGCCAGTGCTGAAACAAAAGGACTGTTAAATGATGCAAAGAAAACAACGCTAGTAGTGTACTTATGAGAAGATATTAGAAGGTAAACTTACTTCCAAGGTAGCATTGCATCAGTTATTCGTCCAATCTACAATAATTGATTGAGGAGACTCGTGGCGTATGGAGTAACGGTATTCTGCGATGTGCTTAGAAAGGTAAAGGTGACATGGGTATAGTTCTCGTTGACGATAACATCAGTGGGAAAAAAATCGTTCACCCTGAGAACCCGCACTTTTGATTTTTTAGTTTTTTTTTTTTCAGTGTCACATCATATCTATATAAATTCTCAAAAATTACCGGAGCGGATCTCTTTGACGCTACTAATAATATGTCTGTGCCGAAAATGCAAAAAAATAATATGAAAAGTGCAAATCGTGGGTTTTTCATCGTTTGCAAAGCGTTTCCAGAATTAGTGCCTTAATGAAGGGAAGCAATGTGAATTTAATACAAACACATATTACAGTGAGTTAAATTTTAATTTGATGAGCCTTGAGGTTGCGACTTTTCAGTCTAACGGAAAAGGACGGCCAATTTAGATTTTCAAGCAACTTACCAATCGTTTTTTGAAAGTAAAAATGAAGACCGAATGAATTCGAGGGATACGATGCAAATATACAGTGAATTCCATGTCAATTTCGTTTCTCTTTTAAGCTGAATAATCTTTGCTCATTGCATGAATTTAACAACAAGTTTATTATAAATTTTGATCAATTAATCTCGTATTTTTTGCATAATAAAATGGAAAATGACTTTTGTCCTACGTAAATCCGCATACTATCGAAAAAGGTTGAAAGCATTCATTTCAAAAGAAATAGATTCGATGTTAACACTCAATAAACTCTAGCAGTAGTTAAAAATAACAGTAATTAAAAGTAATAGTAACCAGACAGTGTATTTTTCATTGATGGAATCTTCCAGAAATATAATTTGTATGTGATAACGAGGATCAGTTTTAATAGTAGAGTTTTTTTTTTTTTTTTTTTTTTCATTACAAAATGTGAAAGAAATGAAGAAATAATTCCTTATGAATAATATTTAATAAAATTCCGCATATCTGTATTTGTGGTTACATGTTATCATAAATGAGCAAAATTTCTGTCTTTGGCATGAAATGTAATCTTTATTAAATTATATTTTAAACAAACAAGCGAAATTAATTATCCACAAAATTACTTCTTTCGTCTTTTTTCTTTTCGTTTTTAACGCAGTTTCTGTTGATAGTATAAATATTAATATATTATCTTTTTCGATATTTTTGCTTACTGCAATTGAAGACAAACGTTTATGACAAATTATATTAAGCGTAGCAGAACAGTAATCACTGTAATATTTGCCAAATTTTTTTAAGACAATCAAAAAGTCGTAAGTTACTTACAATCTAATCAATATTTATAGATTATTTGAAACAAAAAAATTGAAATATGTATTTGTGTGCATGTGTCTGTGTGTGTATGTGTGTGTGTGTGTGTGTGTGTGTGTGTGAAAATTATCCCTCAAATTTTTATTAGCTAATTGCCATACTCTTATATTATTTATTGATAATTTCAGCCACCAAAAAACACTCACAAATAAAGTATCCCAATTCATTTCAATCCGCTGATCCTTCTTTGCTATCGTTTCATATCGCGCTTTGATTTCTTCAATTTTAGAGCAAAATCCTTATCGGATATGCCTTTCATCGTCTACAACGATAATAAAGCAATTTGTTTCTTTTTGATAAAATATTCGAGATTTTAGAAAGTTTCAATATCTTTAAAACATATTTATTATGATAATCCATGGAAATAGCTACAAATGAATCATTTTATTCTGTCAAATTTATGTTAATGAATAGCTTATAATTTTTTATTAGTTTCTTTATGTAAAATAAAATTTTAAACTAGACTAGGTCACATACACTATTTTCAGGTTGTCCTGATTTTTGTTTGTCAAGGCCAAAAATGCCAAAATTTTTGCCCATAAAAATGTAGAGTGTCTAAAAGTACAATCAATAATAATTTAATAAAAATTGCAGAGGAGTTTTACGCTATTATGTTTTATTGTGATAGATGTGATTTATTTTATTTTCTTTAACCTTATATTTCGGATTGTCGTCATCAGCAATTTCCATTATATTCTCTCATTTCAGGCAATGATTCTTCTTGTGTTACGACTTTTCAATTGTTTCAATTGTGTTGAAGCATAAAATATATAAAGCAATCTTGACGTTGCTGTAGTGTGGCCAAAGTCAAAGAAGAAATTATATACCAAATCAATATGATTTATATCGGTAGTCCGATATAAATCTCTGATACAGTTTGTTTCCCAAGTTTTTGCTAAACCGCTAATCCATTTTCACTTCCAAACTACTAAAATCTCATCAAAGTCTTAAAAAGGAAAGAATATTACAAAGCCTTAACTAAGCAATCTATACAAATTCTAAAAAACAGTATTTGCTTTAGCTTTCCTGTAGTAATGAAAAACATTAACTGTTGTTAGAACTCACATCACTTCACAGTTAGTAATTATTTTGTAATATGATATAATGGAGAAAATGACAGTATTAATTTGTCATCGAACTTACAATTGCAATCACAAAGAATGACAAATGTATTTCCACCTTAACAAAATGCACATTTTTTCATGATGATTTTGAAAATGGATTACAGTAATAAATCATCTCGAAAAGCAAAAAAAATTGCCCAATAATCCATCGACTACGTGCACGTCAGTGGCCAGACATCTCATTGACAATTTAACACTTTACATGAAGTGATTTTCAAGAGATTCGAGAGATTTTTAGAGAGAGAGAAAGAGAGCTTCGAGAGATCACGAAGTAAAACTTAGATTCAATAGGGGAAATTTAAATTTATCAAGCACAAATATTATTGGATTTTATAAATTTATAATGTCTATGTGTACGCATAATTAGCTTAAGTTTCTCATATGATATTAACGTTGACAAAATTGTTAGGATTGTAAGTTTAGCACTTTAGTACTGACATGTTAGTTCAAAATCGGGTTTAGCTTATAAATAAACTGTTCATCGTGTGTTTTCATATGTTTAATACATTCTAGTTTTTAGTGTTCACTGTAAGCCTCAAAATAAAGACTTTTCGACTGCTTCCTTGTTAAATGAATCTTCCCAATTCAGAGAAGTAATAGCATCTGGCCAGTTGGCATGTAGATTGGAATTTCATTAAAGTAATAAGTCATGGTTGAAAAACAAAAAATCATTAAAGAACTTAAAGTTTGAATCATTGTATCTTCCTAATTCAGAGAAGTAATTCAACCAGAATTTATACAAAATTTCCAATTGATGGCATATTCTCGCTAAAATTTCTTCAAGAATTGTCTTGATGAGAATGGTAGGCACAGTTATTTTTTGGTAATGACTTAAATTTACATTATTTTTAATGAAAATTAACTTATTCCTACTAAAAATGCATTTGATATAAAAATAATATAATTAAACAATTTGGTAATGTCAAATTCCAACTGATCAAATTAAACGTTCAAGACATAAAAGCTGGTCGAATAGTGAACTTGAAAGAGGTCAATTAATGGAATATAATACTTTCCATGCAATTTCAGCAGATGAAAGATTGTTGGAATAGAACAAAAGCGAAATATGTAAATTTAGCTCACAACAATTGTCAAAATGTTGTACATTTTCTGTTGTACATTTTTATAACATTATCCATTCATGTTTTTTCACAATTGGTTCAAACAAAATTTTTGTCACCCGATTTTTTTACTAGAGAATAACAAAAGATTTATTGTGTTTCATGTGACGTAATCCTACTAGATTAAGCATGAAATGTTAGCATTTCAGTCAGATTCCTGTACAGTACGTCAGTTAAGTGTAAATTGAAAATGTAATACTCAATGAGAAGAAAAACAGAAGTAAAAGAATTGGAAAGTTATAGAATATTGAAACAAAAAGAGTGAGATTCATCTGATAAATAATGATTAGAATTATCATAATGAAGTTGTAGAATTTCTGCATCATTCTGATGATATTATCAGAAATATCGTGCAGCTTCTCATTCTTGCGCACTTGTAGAGTCTTTTAGAAATATTTTCAAATTAATGAAAAATGATGAAGTGATATTAATTAATTATCAGGAGTTACACGACAGGTAACAATTGATGGCTGTATGAATTTAATTTTTCATGCATGACAATTTAATTTTTAATCTTTTATTCATACAGTCCAAAAGCGTATTCATCAGCTATTAATTTAATAATAGAAAAATTACAGTAAAAGGGAAAAAGTATGAGGAATGATGCAAATAAGACAGATTAAAAACTGTTTAAACCTTTGGTCGTTTAATTCCAACCAATCTGAAATAAAACTTTCAGTGGAGTGTTTCTGTCATTGTAAAAATTCAGTTTTTCATCTTGCTCTTCATTTCAATGACACAAATCATCTGGTTGAGCTTTCTGCTTTGTATTGTTTTGGCTGAGAATGGAACTATCTCTCTACTAAATCTCGACATCGATGACATTACATGGGATGACTGTAGCAATGGGTACTTCTCAACTAGTTTCAACATCCTTGATAATAGCAATTTGGAGTCGATCCTAGGTTCAAGCATTGATGTTCATAAAAGAGATCCAGAAAATACTGGTAGAGAATTACCAGGATCATCTGCTAGGAATTTGGAGATTAGCATTTCATCTGATTTTTCGCACTTCGATTTCACTGATTTGTGGAAAAGTGAGCATAGAAGCAATGAGGATTCGAAAATCGAAACCGTCCCAATTACAACAGGAAACTCTCAGTTGCAAGAATTGCCGAGAACAGATGGTGAGAATATGCATAGCAGCATTTCATCCGACCCTCTACACTTCGTAGATCTCAGTCATTTCCGCGAAATTAACGATGCAAGTACTAAGGAATTTGAAAACATAACTGATCTCGTTACTGCGAAAAATTCAGAGTTATTTGTTTTGCAAAGCGCTTCCATTACAGGTAACATTAAGCTTTTGCTTCTAATATAAATTAAAACCATAATCACTTTCCAAACTATAACAATTATTTACCAAATGATAAATGGAAGATGCTAATTGCAAAAACAAATGTTATAGAAGAATTTTTCAGATAAGAAAAATTATGAGTGTCCCCATGTCGGATGTACTATGAAAACAAAAAGTCACCAGGAATACATGGCTCATAGGAGAATGCATCCCAAACCTTTTATTTATGAATGCAAAGTGTCCGGTTGTGGACGAACATTCACTCATCAGTCAACACTCGTCAATCACCAAAAAACACACGGGCCTAAACTTAAGTGCGAAAATTGTGGCAAAAATTTCAATTCCAAGTATAAACTAAGCGCTCACAGGAAGCGTTGTGCGAATGTTCCATGTTAGTTCCACAAATTCAGAAAATTTTGAACATTTTTTACCTGACCGGAAGTGGAATGCACAGCTGAGAAACATCCGTTGTATAGCAGTAGAAAATTCATTTGATACAACGAACTCGATAAAGAGATAGATCCTTCTCGTTTATGTTTCATATAAAAAACAATAAGCAGCACCTGCTGTTCTCAGAATCCGATAAATTTAAAAATTATTTTCTTAAAAAGTTTTTTGCTTTTACATGAAATTGTGGTATAAATAGTAAAGAATCATGATCTTATCACAGCGGGAAATCTACAATTACATTTTTTGTTTAAACAGATGAAACAACAACTAAAAAATCGTGACCTATGTTATTTGAGATATATTATCACCGACATTTTTACAACCGGTTTTTAAATTGCATTATAGAATTGTGAAAATAAATTTTATAAGACAGTTTTTCAGTTAAGGAAAATTACGAGTGTCCCCATGTCGGATGTACTATGAAAACGAAGAATTACAATGAATACGTAGCTCACAAGAAAACGCACCCCAAACCTTTTATTTATGAATGCAAAGTGCCCGGTTGTGGGCGAACATTCAATCATCCATCAACATTCTACAATCATCAGAAAACACATGGACCAAAATTTCAGTGCGGAAGCTGTGGTAAAGTTTTCAAGTGCAAGAGTAATCTGTTCTTTCACAAGAAGCATTGCGCGAAAGCTGCATGTTAGTTGCACAAATTTAACAGAACTTTAAACATGTTTGTCTACCTGAAGTGAAATGCACATTAAAATGTGCTGAGAAAAAACCGTTGTATAGCAGTACAAATTCACTAAAGAAATAGATCCTTCTCGTTTATATTCAACAAAAAGAAAGATAAGCAGTACCTGCTGTTCAAGGAATGGAATGAATTTAAAAGTTATTTTCTTAAGAAGGCCTTTGCTTTTACGTGAAATTGTGGATATTAAACAGTAAAAAATCAAGAACTGATGATCTCATCGCATCAGGAAATCTACACTTACCTTTTTCATTTAAATACATTAAAAAACAAGTAAAGAAGCTATTTGAAGTATATTATCACAAGCATTTTAATGATCAGTCTTCAAAATGCGTTAATTAATTACAAATTGGTACGATAGAAATATGAAAACAAATGTTACAAAAGAATTTTTCAGATGAGAAAAAATATGAGTGCCCCCACGTCGGGTGCACAATAAAAATGAACAGTCGCAAGGAATACATAACTCACAGAAAAACACATCCCGAACCTTTTATTTATGAATGCAGAGTGCCCGGTTGTGGGCTAACATTCAATCATTCATCATCATTCTACAACCATCAGGAAGCACATGGGCCTAAACTTCAGTGCGGGAACTGTGGCAAAATTTTCAACTCAAAAAATAATTTGAGGTCTCACAAGAAGTATTGTACGAAAACTCTACGTTAGTTTCACAAATTTAGCAGAACTCTAACATGTTTGCCTTCCTGGAGTGAAATGCACAGCTGAGAAAGATTCATTATATAGCAGTACAAAATTCATTAGATCAATATTTAACAAAGACTCAACAAAGAGATAGATCCTTCTCATTTATATTCAACATAAAAAAAGATAAACTGTATCTGCTGTTTAAGGAATGGAATGAATGTGTGAAATTGTAGGTATTAACAGCAAAGAATCGAGGACTGGATATGATTTCATCGCAGCGGAAAATTTACAAAAAAAAAAAATTTTAAATACATGAGAAAACTAGTAAAGAACTGTGACCTGAGCTGTTAAGTATATCGATAGAATTATAAAAACAAATGTTGTAAAAGAATTTTTCAGATGAGGAAAATTACGAGTGCCTCCATGTCGGATGTACTATGAAAACAAAGAATTACAGTGAGTACATAGCTCACAGAAAAACACATCCCGAACCTTTTATTTATGAATGCAGAGTGCCCGGTTGTGGGCGAACATTCACTCATCCATCATCATTCTCCATTCATCAGGAAACACACAAAATTAATGTTCAGTGCGAAAATTGTGGCAAAATTTTCATCTATAGGAATAATCTAAGCGATCATAGGAAGCATTGTACGAAAAATCCACGTTAGTTTCACAAATTTAGCAAGACTTCAAACATATTTGTCTGTTTGAAGCGAAATGCACGAGAAAATGTGCTGAAAATGTGCACATGAAAACGTTGTATAATAGCTATACAAAATTCAGTAAATAATGCGATGCAAAAAAAAAGCCATGTAAAGAAGCACTTAATTGCTCCATTAGGCCAAATTTCGGCAAACTTTTTATTCCTTTTGGTGTATTCATTCTAGTCGTAACAGAAAGCAATTAACAATTCGCGAATATTTCAGAAGAAATACGATAGGGTGCGCAAGAGTGAGAAGCTGTATGTGTCGTGAAAGACGAAATATTTAAATTATTATATCCAAACTAACAAATTTCTCTTATCTAATTCCTTTTCCTCACACAACAAAAACCCTTTGTTGGTAAAAATCCTTCTTTAGCAAACCCTTTGTTAGCAAAACCCTTTATTAGCAGTCTTTGTTTCACATCAGTTAAATATCCTCTGCCGGATATCAGCTCAGTTCTGCATATAAACAATCGTCCTCCATGCGGTGGTTCATTCTGCATTTTGGGGTGGTTTTGATATCATTTTAATGTTTTATAATTATATCTTTCGTTACGCGTTTGTTAATCGGTGTAGCATCCGTACGATATGTATAAAGCGCTATTATTTGCTTCATGTTAAATAAAGGTTTAATTACCCAAGTTTGAGGTTTCACGACAAAATAAATTTTTGGTGCCCGAGGTGAGGTGAGGTATGTCGGCCAGTATAATTGTTCAAGCTACACCAGTAAAAGCGAATCTCGAGGGACTCCTCGATGAAATACAACAATTGGATCTAACTCCGTTAGACCAAAAAGCGACAGTAGAAGTATTGTGCCAGCAATACGAAGCAAGGGCAAGGATTATCAAAGAAAAGTTGATGCGCCTCGAAAAATACGTTGGCACTCTTGAGAAGATCAACGACAAATGGTTGAAACACATTCAACTAGCCCCAATGTCGCAAAAGAAAAAAGAAGAAAAATACGAACAAATGACAAACGACGATAGAGGTATTTTAAAATTAATTAACATAGGTACGGATACCATTATAACCTTATCTATGTACAAGAATGATACAGAGTTAGCCCTTAAACGTCTAGCACAAATTAAAGAACCTAGCTTAACTGAATGTCGTCCAGTAGTAAATTTATCACAATTGTCGTTACCACCGTTTAGTGGAGACCCTAAAACATGGAGAGAATTCTGGAGTAGTTTCGAAGCCTTCGTACACTCTCAAAACATACCAGATATCCAAAAATTAAATTACTTGGTTCTTGCTTAAGAGGAAACGCCCTCCAGCTAGTAAGAGGTTACGATAGGGCACCTGAAAACTATAGAATTATAAGAGAATTATTAATGGAGAAATTTGGTCGTGTTTCCACTATAAGAAAATTACTTTACAATGAACTCATATCTACAAAACGAAACAACCGAGACTGGAAAACAATAATCGAAGAAATGGAGAGAGTTCTAAGGCAGTTAGAAGCAATTGGCGAAAACGTAGAGCAACCTAGCATCGAAACGATAATAGAATCCAAATTGCCAAACTGGATATTAAACCAGGTTTATCAACAGTATGGCATTTCTGGTGCTATCATCAGAATGGTGTAGAAATTTACAATTTTATTGATATTCATAAATCTATCTTATTTTATGGAGTAAATACACTTTTTGCAATTTTTCTCCTTATGAAAATTAGAACCGACAGAAATTAGTCATTGCATAGCTGAATTGATATTATTCAAATAAAGTAATCAAGTAAGAAATAATCTTTTTATTTGATTTCTTTTGTCGTTTTTTCGAATGATCACGAAACGAAACTTAGAATCAATAAAGGATTCAACATTTACGGATTGCTATGCAGAACCTTAATAAATTTGCGGAATGAACAGCAAACGTAGAATGAGTTTTTGATCAATTTCCTTTATTTACAGACCTTTGCTAAATGGAAATGACACCAGCTTCAAAATATATTTTTTGGCTTAAAAAACAAAGCTCAAATTATTTTCGAGTACTTTCACCTGTTTTTTTTTTTTTTTTTTTTGTATATTTTTGAATGTTTTAATGGTGAAAACAATTTCACCGATACAATTAAATGCCAATTAAGTTTTCATTTAAATTGACTGGAAAGCATATTTTGGGAAAATTTGCAAATTGTCAATATTTTTTTTGCGAAACTTTATAAGCATTTTATCCTTTTTTTACAAACTTTTTAAGCTTTATAAACTTTTCATCATTTTATCTAAGCAAAAGTGAAATAATATGGCTTTTGAGCAAAATTCCAAGCAAGCAAAAGTTTATCAAAAATTACTTAAAACTTCACTGAGGAGATAACGCTGACATGACGAACAGGATTAACGGCAGTGATATTTACGGAAACTGATGATCTCATCGTATCAGGAAATGCATGAAAAAGTTGAATCTCTTGATTTCAATGAAATTATTTTCTTCACAAACTTATCGAATATCATTACCGAAACTCGAAAGCTGGATAGATCAATGGTATAATTTTCTTGCTTATTTTTATGCTTATTTTTATTTCTGATTCGCAACACTACTTTTGCTTTAATTTCTTTTATAAAATTTATTATACTGTTGCTTCTGTTAATAAAGGAATTATTACATTCGTGCAGTACCCCACATATTATAGCATCCACATCCAACGAATCTCCTTAGATCAAGAAATAGATCTCTCCAAGTGAGACAAATTCACGCTGAAATTCGACCGTGCCAAATCTCCCACAGCAATAAACTCATTCATAATTGTCTTATCTGACTGATCCTCATGCAACAGAGTGATTGTTCTGAAAAGGTTAGGGAGTATTCTAGTCATTCCAAATTTGCCATAAATCTTTTCTGTTTCAGGTGTCAAGTATTCTGGTGAGGTCAACAAAGATCGCGTGGAGTCTTCTGTTCTGCTCTATATTTTTTTTTGCACTTGTCTGAGCACAAATACAGTGCCTCTGGTACTTCTAATAGACTAAAAATCACGTTAGCTCTGAAGTAGAAGTGCTTCGGGAGTAGTGAACACTAGTCTATTCAGAAATATTTTTGGAAGAATTCTGTCAATCTTTAGACCATCGGTTGAGAATGTAAGATTTATGAGAAGAGGCCATCTGAGGAGGGCTGTGAACCTGACATGTTGTTCCTATCTGCTTTTACAAGCTTCGTAGAATCCCTCTGTGATTGCCGACATCTGCGCGTGATTGGATTTTTTGCGCTAAATTAATCGATATCGCAGTTCATTGATTCATGACAATACGCTGGATATAGCTAGTGACAAATATATAATGATAATTCAAATATAGATAATACATCTCGTACTCGAATTATAAGGTCAATTAAGCTTGATTAATTAGGTTATATGCTTGTTTTACTTTAGAAATACGTGTTTCGGATGTTTTAACGTTCTACCAATTAATAACTATCCTTAATATCGATATTAATACATATTCATGGGGAATGTCAGAATAAATAAATTCAAATTCCTAAAAATATTGATTTGGACTATTATTTTTTTTAATTTTTTGTTGTTAATGAAGCCAATATTTCAATATTCCGACTCATTTTATTAGCTGAAAAACATATGATTAGACAAATTTTCATGTTATGTGGAAATGCTTTATCAATAGTGGATTGTTTCAAAACTACAGAAAATTTTTTCATAACAATTTATAAAGTAATCAATAATCATTGATTTCAAATAATAAATAATTTCAAACAAATACAAAGGAAGTAAACTGAATTGAGCTATGGAATTTTATTTATGATGATTTTGAAAAGGAAAAAGAAATTAAAACAAATTTGAGACAAAAATAAAATGTAAAACATAACGAAAAGGAAAACAAAAATAAAAAAAACAAACAAAGAACAAACTTTTCAAGTTTATTTCATTAAAAATAAAAATTTCACACAGTGAAAACTTTAAAAAATAAATAATATACAAAAGGTGTCAAAATTAATTGTCAGCAAATGAATTTTTAGTTATACAAAGAACAAATTTCTTAATGATTTTAATAAGGCAAAAATTGATAAATTAATTATAGGATTTGTCCAAGTTTGTAAAATTTTGAGTTTTAACATTTTTTTTTATTCTTTACATATAATATGTGTTTTTTTTTGAAATGATAAAAATTTCAGTTTTTCTTCTAATTTTTCATGTTATTTCATTTTTTCTCACCTCTTTTAAATTTCTATCAATTAATTATTAGTTTTTTTTTTTTTTTTTTTTCTACTTTTTCTTTTATGGAGTATGATTTGAAAAAGTGGTAAGTTGGTAATCACCAAAACTCATACGTATATCGCGACTTAACGCTTCCATTTGACTACGAGCAATCTCTTTGAGATCTTCTTTAGAAGCAAATTCATATTCATTTTCATAACCAATCGAATGAACACTGTAAAAATTCACATTTTAATTTTAAAGTTGGTTTAACGAAAATGAAAAAAAAAAAGTTTTCAAAAATAGAGAAAAAATTTCCATCCTTTATGCTAGAATTTTCTGACAATATTATTATTCTAATGATAAATTAAAATAATTGAATGATAATTTATGCTTAACAAATATTAATTCATTTCAAGAAAGAGAAACAAAATTTTTTTCAATAATTAAAATGAATCACATTTATTGAGAGAATACCATTGATTACTAATAATTATTATGCATTTCTTGAACATATTAATCATAATTCATAATAATTACAATAATAATTATTGTTTACTTTACTTATTCGTTTACTTTTTGATTACAAACAAAATTATTGTAAGCAAAATTATTATACAAATCTAATCTTTGCAATTATAATACAGCAAGTATTAATAAATAATAGTTATTAAAAAAAGAGAATTAATGATATGTGTATAATATTTTTTGATGCAATATTTTTGTCTATTTATATAAAGATTTACATTTTAATCCTAAATTTGTAAACATATCTGATGTATGTAAATATGATTTTAAGCATTACCTATTCCATCGAAGATTGCTAAAAAAGATGGTGTGCCAATTGATGAACAGATACTATCAATATCAGCATCATTACCATTATCACTTTGACTCCACAATCTACACTTTTGTCGTTGTGGATTACTTACACCACTACATTCTCTGCAATCATTTATGTATTGTGCAATATCAGGATAGTAATAATAATATATAGCAAATTAACTAACCATCGACAAATTAATTATACTTAATTATTATCAAATAATTAAATATGACTTTTCTTTTATAGCTACAAAATGATATCATCTACATTGAGCAAAATTTTTG